GAAATTGTCAGTGTCATAGGGAGGATGGGTCAAGAGGTCCGAATTCAAAAGTTTTAAAATTTCAGAAAATGATTCTACATAAAACTTAAATCATTTTTTACCAAATTTTCTGTTCTGCTCGAATGTCAAAATTTACAGTTTCTAACAGTAATTTTTACCTTTATTTTTTCAATACTTGCAATAATTCAAGTTATCAAGAGGAGATTCATAAAATTGTTGTCTAGCTTTGACTTTTCAGAAACGATGTAGACTATCCTTATGAAAGAAATTTTTAGCAAGTAATAAACTATTCTCGGAAAAGCAGGTTCAGATAGACTTCGTATTTCGTAAGCGTGAATCTATCCCCAGCCAAATATGCTTAAACTTTTAGTACAATTTAACACATTTGAAAAATATAAATTTATTTTAGAAAAACAATATTAAATTAGAAAAGAAAGGGAACAAAAAAATGGAAAAATTTAGTCCATGTCAGCCCATGACGGCCACCCTACGCTGCTAGAACCACTCTTTGATGAAGCAAGAGCAAAGTTTAGGATCATTATTCGTGGTTTTTTGACAGAACGACGTCCAAATAATCCAGAACCACGTAGACGACGCTAGACAGTATTAACAATGATCTGTATGTGACTTTTGGTGAAAAAAAGTCATGTTTTTTTTCGGAAAAATCTCCGTTGATATCATAGAACTGACTCAGTTGCCGATTAATCTCGGAAGCGGATAGACGCGGGTTGCTCTTGCTGATTCTTATAATTGTGCGATTGATTGCCGGGGATGTTTTAGAAGGATTTCCAAGTGGTTTGAAATCCGATCGAGGTTTCAAACATACACGAATGGTCCAAGTCGATAAGTTGAACTGTATTGCTCTTAAACGTCTGATGGAATGTTTTTGGATCATTTTGGTCGTCTCATGCTAAAACAAAAAAAACTGATGTTAACATTGAAATCTTTAAAAAATCGAAAAAAAACTTAAAAATTTAAAAAATCGCAAAAAAAGTCCAAAAAACAAAAATTGCGTCTATAGTATCCCAAATCAAATTAATTATGTTTGGGAACACACTATCCGTGTTGTCCAAAAATTTCAGATCGATTGGTCAACTTTTCAGAAAGTTATGATTAAAAAAACGAAATTGTATATCTTACTGCACGGTACTGTAAATAATCACGGATTATTGTTGAAAGTGGAATAAAATTCGAAATATACGGAAAATATTAGCCATTTTTTAATTTTTAGTCCTAAATAGCCACTAGTTTACAACAATATACACTTAAAATACAACTATAATTAATTTAAATCCAATTTTAAAAGAATATATCACAAAAATTGTTTAAAACTTTAAAGAAAAAAAAAACAATGATGTAAAATTAATACGGCCGACAGCTTAAATGTGGAAAATTCGCTTAACTGTGGGATTTTTAATAATTCGATTTTTGAAAAATTAACTCATTTTTTCCTTTTCCTTGATGGGAAATTGAAAATGATGCCGTTTTAAAACATGCCTGACGGTATAAACTTTAAAAAATTTGCAAAATAAATTAATAAAAAATCACTTATCGCGGTCCATTTTTCTCCTTTATTCATGCTCTCTGTGGCTGCTTGTTTTTTATGACTTGTTCTCTCTTCCTGCAAATAATCTCAATTTAATAAATTTAATATAAAAATTGCGGACCGAAAATTATTTTAAGAAAGAGTATACTCACAGATTATAATTACATTTACTTCAGGATACGTAGAATATTGTAAAACAATCCATAAACTTGACCAGTAAATCCCTCAAAATCGCTCAATCTGTAAAATTTAATTTTAAATAACTCGACTATTTCTCACGAATAATTAAAAACGTTAAAAACGACGAAGAATGTTGGCCAACAGCGAGATGTGCATATAAAAATTATTACTTTTTAAATTTACTAATGCTTGTCAATTTTGAGGAATTTTGACTACTATTCAAATTGCTTATCGTTTACGTGATATTCGCATTTATGTTGTTTGCTCATACAGTACCGCTCAAAAGGTTGGAAACTTTTGGTTTCTTGGGCATAACTTTTTTGAAATCACTTTTTTTTTACATTTTTGGAAAAAAATTCCATGAACTTTTTTTCTGATTGTTTCTTACGCAATTGCCGATATAATGAGCTATTAGACATGATTCGTGCTTACCAAATAAGGAGGATCGATTTCAAGTTTTTAAAACGAATTCGGTCATTATTTTTTAACGGAAAATGAAGGAATCGAACACTTTGAGAGGTTTCGTACGAAAAACCTTTATGGCCAATATTCTATGTGGCAGGATTGTACGGAATTCCGATTCCGGAAGAAAATTGCAATTCGTAGATGATGAATTGATAAACTTTTAATGCAAAAATTATCACATTTTTCCTTTTTTTTTGAATTTTTTTTCTAAATTGCCCTATTTCAAAAACGTTTTTTTTCCACATATTTCATTTCTTGTATACTTTTCAAAATTACATAATTGCGAATCAAACAGTAATTAGTTAGCTACTATTCAAATTGCTAATCGTTCACGTGATATTCGTATTGATGTAGTTGGCTCATAGCTGACCTTGCGGCAATTCTTTTGTGAATAATTGCATAACAACCAGCGAGATAGTGTTGGAAATTGAGAGGGTCGGCTTAGACGATATTCAAAATATCGTGTGCAATGACAGATTTGCGACTCGAAACGCCCCCCGAATGGGCGGTCGATGCTCTCGGCTCCGCCCACATCGACTATAAAAGCAGGGGATGCGGCTCAGATGGCGGACAATGGCGAGTTGTCTATCATCGAAACCTTCGGATCATGATTTGCTGATCTCGTTAGGAATTCTCGCCTCCGATTCGGTCAGACGGATCCAGCCCTTAAGTGGGTGGTTTGCAGTGTTGGGTTCAGGTGATGCTAAACCTCTCGTTTGAAGCATATCATGTGAAGAGGGCTAGATGATAGATGGCGGACCGTTGTCCCCGTCCCCAGTGGTACCACTATCCCCTCCCCATCCCACTCCCACCCCCCTCCAGATCGTTCGCGATCGGGCAATGACCCACTCAGGATTTCCCCACCTGCAGCTGGTGAGCCTCCTCTTCACGTGCCGAGCCTCTCCGTGGCGAAGAGGATCAACTGGCGATGCCATCACTTCTGGGGGCATCGTCAGGCTAATCGGTACATCGTCTCACGCAAGTCGAGGAAGATTCCTCCTCCTCAACTAGGCGGCTTCTCTATGACCGAGCAAGTCGTGAGAAGTATTACGAGACACCTCAAATGCTTTCGAATCCCCACGGCCCTCTTAAGGGCTTTTAATTGTTTTATCTATTTTTCTCAAATATAATTTTATCAATGTGTGTAAAATTTATTGAAACATTTTAAATTGTAAGGGCCTAAAAATGTTTTTTTAATCCAAAAAAAGACATGACATGGAAATTTGCAAAAATGCTTCTTTAGAGTTAAAAAATTTCTTAAACATTCGAGCATGAGAAAATATACGCCAAAATTCAATTATTATTAATATTATTGTTGGAATTGAAACTTAGCGTCGGCATTATAAAAAAAAATGTCTTAAGCAATAATTTCTTCATACAAATTGTGCTGGATCCAATCCAGTCCGAGGAGTGTGGCGGTATCGGCTACATGACAATATCCGGATCCGTGTTGTCCATTGATGATGAACTTGCAGTTGAACCGTCCTTTGAGGCGAATCCTGTTGTTGTTAGCGGCTTTCAGATTGACGTTGGCAGGCTCGAGCGATGGTTTCCCAAGTCGAATCCAATCCTTTGTTGAGACTAGCGAGATATCGGCGCCAGTGTCCAATTGCATCTTGACGTCGGTTTCATTGATGTTCACGTTCTTGAAGATCCGGTTGCTCTTGTTGATCCATGCGTGGTTGACTGAGATGAGTCCCAGATGTCCTCCTTGACGTCCTCTGCGGGATCCTTGGGGTTCCCGGCGGGATTCTGGGTTTCGTCTGCTGTCCGTTCGGTTGCGGTTGCAGTCAGCATTCCAGTGAGGTCCTCCACAATGTCTGCATGGTGATGGTGGCTTCTGCTGCGTTGTTGGCTGTTCTGGTTGTGGTTCGGGTGTCCTCGCCTTCGGGGTCGAGGTTCTTCGTGACGTCGTTGATCGTTGTTGGTGGTGGTCCTCTCTCGACACAGTCAAACTGCTCTTGGCAGAGCAAGCGAAGCAGCACCAAGACTTCGTTCGAGAAATCACCAAACTGCTGATGGAGGGACGACCAGGCACTTCACCAACCGCTCCCGCACAACCAAACACCCAAACAGGGCTTATCGACTCGCTGACGACTCGACTACCGACATTCTCCTTCGACCCGGATGAAGGAACCACATTCGAAATCTGGTATTCACGGTACGAGGACATTCTGCGACTGGATGGATCAACATTGGACGACGGCACCCAAACCAGGATCATCCTATCAAAGCTCGATGCCCCCGCTTTCGCCAAGTACGCCGACAACATCCTGCCAAGGAAACCATCGGATCTAACGCTCGAAGAGACCATCACCCGGCTCAAGACTCTCTTTGGACACGCGAAGTCTGTATTCCGACGCCGATACGAATTTCTGCAATCGCAATTCACTGGTTCGGATCTTGTTCAATACACTGGCCAAATCAAGAGGAAGTTCGCGCAAGCAGAATGGGCAACGACGACGCCGGAGCAAACCCAGATTCTCGTCTGGATCATGGGTCTCAACGGACCGGAATTCATGGACGTACGCACCCGGGCTCTGCAGCGGAATTCATGGACGTACCGGAATTCATGGACGTACGCACCCGGGCTCTGCAGCAACTGGAGTCAAAGCCGAGCATCACTTTGGACGAATTGCAAGCGGACGTACTGCGCATTCATGGAATCAAGGACGACGCGAAACTCCTCAATTCGCCAACAATCAAAGGACTTCACCACGACCACCAGCACATTCCCCGCTCTCTCTTGCTCACGGACGATGCCGCTGCCGACGCACTCTCTCATCTCATATCGGAACATGCCCGCACTATGGAGAACGAAGATCGAGTCATTGCCGCCGTCGAAGCTGAAGTCATCGCCGATCGGACCGAACGCTGCTCGAACCTGCCCGTCACCGCCGACCAGGTTCGTCATCACACCCGCATGGAAACGCTTCTCCAAGAACAAGGATCGCGAAGCCGGTCAGACTACCACAGATCAATTCATCCCGAACCACCTATGTTTCGAACTAGCGAGGGAGATGTTGGAGCCGTGACCTCGACACGTCACGTGACACACCACGTGGCACACGTTTCATAGGAGCGATATAAAAACCCCTTTTTACGCTCAATAATCAGTTATTCATAGTTGTGTCTAATAAATATATTCTCTACGTTGGCTCGTTCACAAGGACACAACAACTGGCGATCAGGAACACAACACAAATCATTTCATACAATTGAAAATGCTTTTCGTCGAAAAAAAAAACTTGCAAAATTAAGCTGAACAAAAGTATTATTTTCATGTCTTGATGAGTATTGTAAATTGAAAACTACAGATGAACAGTACTTGAACATTTTGAAATATTAAATCTATTAAAAAACCTACTGGACATTCCTGAGACGTTCGTTCTTTGTGAGGACCACGTTTAGTTTTACCAGTTGAATAGGTATTATCCCATAATGACCAGTAGAAGTGGAAAGCTGGTTTGTGAAAAGCCCATGCACCATAATAAATTTTTTTATTAGATTGCACTTCGACACCGAGAAGGTAGTTCCAGCCTCTTTGGCAATCGCTGAAAATTCGCATGTTATTCTGCTGACCAGATGCCGATGAGGTAGCCCCGGTCCCATGAAAATATCTTTTGGCATCAGCTAAACTTCTCCTGTTAAGCTTTAAAAAACTGGGATCCTGCCCGCCTTCCATTCGGGCAATCCTGTACATACTGAGACAGGTAGAACAGTAACAGTTATAGGTCTGCATTCTGTGCTTGCGGAAAAACAATCAGAAAGAAGTTCATAAGACTTGAAATGTAAAATTGGTTTATTTCATTTGTGTTACACGTGAATGACAATTCATTAGAGATCGTTGGCCGAAAGGAGCCGATGTTAATTGCCAATATCTATAAAAAAAAGGGTTTAATAATTTTGTTGGATTTTAATGATCACCCCTCATTCGTTATCATCTTTTATGAGGTCATATTCCTTCTCACAATACATATATGTATCTTCCTTCTCGAATTCATCACACGAGCTGAATTGGTGGCTTCTTTGATTCCGGTATGAACATATTTGGTCTGCGAGAAATAACCGGAAGAAATTGAGTTTCAAAAAATGATCCTCGTTAAATCTATTCAATCGATGGTGTCTGAAGTCAGAAAATGAATCCATCAATTTCTGAATATTACATTAATTTCAATCAACATACCCTGCATATTCTGTCTTCATTCTCGGTGCTCGTTTCTCTCGGGTTGGATGAACTTCTAAATTTGTCTTTCAATTGAAAATTCTCATCTTCGATTTACCCATATTTTCCAAACGTCGGACACACTTGATTATTCGGTAGCGCAAATTCTTCGAAGAATATCTCGGAATATCTTCCAACATCCCCAGGAACAGCTGAAATCGAATATATCTGACTCGAATTCAACGAAAAATTGGCTAAAATATGAGTCTTCTCAGGTAAATGAAAATCAATCGAATTCGAAGAAAATGAAATATAAATTAACCTGATTAGATTGAAAATAATTAAAAATCGAATGAGAAAGTGTTTAAATTCGATTTGAAAATTTGGTTTCGATTCAAGAACCTTCAAAACCGATTGATTTATTTTTAATTTCAATTGTTGATATTGAATTCGATTGAAATTCTGGAATAATTCGAAACGTATTAATTTATATTCGATTTCGATTGAAACGAAATTATTTTCGAATCCGATTTATTTTCATTTACCTGAGATACGATTAACAGGTGACAAAGTGAAAGTGAAGGATTCATTAAACAAAAACAATGAAACACGTGGCCTATATTACCAATTTTCCACAATTTTTCATTTTGATATTCTGGCCATTGACGTTTCTGAAAAAAAGGAATGGAATGAAGATGAAAGAGACGGAAAGTTGTAAGTGATATGAAGAATATTTGTTGAAAACATTTGAATTAAACCTAAAATTATTGCAACTATAATTAATTTTAATCCAATTTTAAAAGAATATATCGCAAAAAATCGTTAAAAATAGGGAAAAAATGAGTTAATTTTTCAAAAATCAAATGATTAAAAATCCCACAGTTAAGCGAACGCTGCGCATATTCTTTTAAAATTGGATTTAAATTAATTATAGTTGTATTTTAAGTGTATATTGTTGTAAACTAGTGGCTATTTAGGACTGAAAATTAAAAAATGGCTAATATTTTCCGTATATTTCGAATTTTATTCCACTTTCAACAATAATCCGTGATTATTTACAGTACCGTGCAGTAAGATATACAATTTCGTTTTTTTAATCATAACTTTCTGAAAAGTTGACCAATCGATCTGAAATTTTTGGACAACACGGATAGTGTGTTCCCAAACATAATTAATTTGATTTGGGATACTATAGACGCAATTTTTGTGTTTTTGACTTTTTTTGCGATTTTTTAAATTTTTAAGTTTTTTTTTCGATTTTTTAAAGATTTCAATGTTAACATCAGTTTTTTTTGTTTTAGCATGAGACGACCAAAATGATCCAAAAACATTCCATCAGACGTTTAAGAGCAATACAGTTCAACTTATCGACTTGGACCATTCGTGTATGTTTGAAACCTCGATCGGATTTCAAACCACTTGGAAATCCTTCTAAAACATCCCCGGCAATCAATCGCACAATTATAAGAATCAGCAAGAGCAACCCGCGTCTATCCGATTCCGAGATTAGAAAAAAAAATAAAAATAGGGGTTAAACTTTTGGGGTGGAAAATCAGGGGTAGGGGTTGAAATTTGGGGGTTGATGGCAATGGGCCTAATTAAACCCGCATTCAATTTTTGCGCTGACTATATGGCCTTAAAAAACTTGAAATGACCAATTCAAATAATCTTTTTTTCAGAATTAAACTCGTATTAAAATATACAGTCTCATATTTTTCGATGCTTGAATATGATCGTCAAAAAGGTAAACTGACAATAATTTTATAAAAAAACACCCCATTCTCTACGTTTAATAGAAAACATTTAGTAGAGCATCATAAACACAAGTCGTTGTTAATTATTCAACATTAAAAAAATTCCGCATAAATTGGAAAATCGATTAAAAGAGAATCTATGGCAGGTCAGTTTTTAGTCACTTCTGAACCATGTTTCATCAAGATTTACTGTTTTTTCGTCCAACTTCGCCTAACATAAAATCTCACGAGTAATATTCTGCACGCACTACACGAAAAATTACACAGTCAACTTTCTACAGTAATTAATAAAATTGTTTGCATAAATATGTTTTCATTCAAAAATATTTGTTTCAGAACTCAAAATTTTACAACTTTAGAAAAATTCCCGGGTTAAATTCTGGAAGTAACTTTTCATTCTTTCTACACATCGTCATGATATGTCGTGTCTGCTTCATTTTTTTGCCTCGAAGTCCAAGCTTGCGATAAAGAAAGAGCAGTTTTTGTTTCAACGCCATTTTTCTCTGCCGACATACTTTTGGGCTGTGTGAGTCGTCGTCAGTAAGCGAACATTCCACCAGCAACGCTCCAAATTCTCTCATTTATTCTGCCCGAGCGTGTCATTTTGAAAAATCGAATAGGACAGCGCGTTATAATCATTCATTCGTTATAGCGATTTTTTTTCAACCAACGAAAACATAATTGTTTCTATGACAACATTTTATAAACAATCATTTTTATATCATTTCTTTCGTGAATTGTTAAATATTTTCTTCTTTTTCTACAGAGCTCCTTAAAATTTGAAATTTTATTTAATTTTTCATTCGTTTCTTGCCTCGAATTGTGCCGAATTCGTAAATACTGCCTGTTTACCTCGCGTTTGTCTACCCCTCTAAGTCTCCTATCCATCATCGAAGGCGCCACTATTGCTGTGTTTCGTTCATCTCATCGCTTTGGTGTAATACTCAATGGGTATTTTTTTTTTCAAAATATAAATAACTATTACCGATTGCCAAAGTCATTTACAAAATTATAGTTCGGAAAAACAAAAACCACATCGACTGAATCGGTTCGTGACTTATTAGACCTACTTACTTTAACAAATTGTTTTCAACTTTAAATTGTTGTTTTCTCTCAACGTACGTTTTCATTGTCATAAGTTTTGTTTTTGAAATACATGTCTATTCTAGTATTTTGATTTTTCTAACTCTAAATGTGGTATATTTCTGCTCAATGGGTCAATGATTAATTGGTTTTAGGCTTCGCAAACGCGCACTTCATTTTCCACAGCCGTTTCGTTTCGCTTCATTTCGTCTATTTTCTCATTTCTACATATAATTCTGTTGTCAAACTTAAAACTCAAATAGTTTTCTTGTATTCAACCACACATAAATCATAGCCGTTCACATCGCAAATAATATGAATGTGCTATAATCGCGGCCGGTCACAAATACAAGTTTGCGTGTCTCTTGTCCTTCGCATTATAATGTCAATATTGCGGTTATTTTGACATTATTCGAATTGCATTTTTCTCCTTAAAACCCTGAATTTCGGCTCAATTATTTTGAAGATGGTATCAAATCAAAAATGATATCAAACAAATAGATGTCGTCCAGTGTCATTATCATTCTCTCATCTTTCTTTCTCAATTCAATTTGTTTCGTTTTGGTCTCGTTTCAAAAATCAATAGGATTTTTTCGTTTTATTTCAGAAGCTTGGGCGTTTGCCATAATGAGCGACAATAATAAAATCAAATTGAGCCGTGTGTTTTGCGATTTTCTTGTTCTGACCCTAGTTGGTGAGTGGAAATCTTTTTAAATAAATAAATAAAAAACACATGGAAATTCCAGCAATTCCACTCTACGTCTTTCATGAGTTCGTACCACCGGTTCGAAGGGGATTCTACTGCGATGACGAAACTATTCGTTATCCATTCAAACAGTCGAAAGTCTCTCGACAAATGCTCATTGTGGTTGGACTTCTAATTCCCATCCTTCTTGTAAGTTTTCGAAATTTCAATGATTTACACGAATAATTTACGCGCAGATGCTTGCAACTGAATTGTTTCGTACTCTTGCCTGGGAAAAGAAATGCGAGGAGAATTTCAAAACTTATAATGTAAGTTTAACTACGCTGCAGGAAACGAAAAAAGAATGTCGAATTTCAGCTTCGCAACCATTCGGTTCATCGGTTGATTGTACGACTTTACTGTTTTATTGGTACGAGTGATGGAAAATTATAGGATTTTTTGTCCTCGATTTCTTTCAGGATACTTCTTCGTTGGCGTTTGTTTCAACCAATTGATGGTTGACATCGCGAAATACACAATCGGAAGACAACGCCCACATTTTATGGATGTTTGCCGCCCAAATAAGGGATACACTACTGTTAGTCATCGTTCTTTTCATTAATATGATAACCATTTTTTTTTCGATTTTAGTGCACTAACCCGGATGAGTATATCACCGATTTCAACTGCACTACTAGCGATGCTCGTCTTATTCACGAGGCGCAACTGTCGTTCTATTCGGGGCACGCTGCTTTCAGCTTCTATGCTGCGTGGTACACGTCGGTAAGGCTTTTATTGCGTTTAAATATATTCGTAATCGCGCGTCTATGGGAGTTGTATTAGCAAAACTAAAATTGGAGATTTACGGGCTTAAGTTTAAGGTAGGACTTTGCGGCAATCAGTTTTTAAAATAATTTTTTTCTCAACAAAACATCGAGAATTAATTACGAAATTGTATTTTCTTTTTGACGTTTTTTTTTGTTAATAAAACACCACCGCCTTGGTCTAAGGAAGCATAAAGGCGCACATCGCACATGCATAGTGTTCGCCAATTTACCGTAGTGGCGGCGACAATATGTGTATTAAAACATATCTAGAAAACATTTCTTAATAAATGAAATAATAGTTATTTTCAGCTTTACCTCCAAGCCCGCTTGTTCCGCCCATTGTTTTCCCGTCTCTTGATTCCGGTAATTCAGTTTATGCTTTTCTCCGGAGCTGCCTACGTTGCCCTCACCAGAGTAAGTATCAGGTTGTTTCTAATGGTTCAGTTCGTTTCAAGGTTTCTGATTACAAACATCATTGGTCTGATGTATTGGTTGGAACAATCATGGGAAGTGCTATTGGAATCTTTGTGGTTTGTTAATTTAAGCCTTCGCTTCTACTTTGTATCTAGGCTCTTTTCGTCGCCGAAGTCTTCAAACGAAGAGAAATCCCATTGACTGCGAATGCTAATGAATTTGGGCTTATAAGGTATGATTATTTCAATATCAAAGAGCTACAGAAGCAATGAAATGATGATTTTCAGAATGGATCGGCCGGATGCCGTGGTTACAAGAGGAAATGGAGCTGGAACTGTTGTAACCACCCAGCAAATGATTGTTACTGAGACTGACCCAGCTAACCAAAGACTGTGAGTCTTGATTTTTGCACAACTCTAGAATAGTGCATTTCAACGACTTATTTCAATTTTTTGTTTGATGCAACAACAAAAACTCACGCTTTGTCCGAATGTACGTAATATTTAAACATGAATGGTGCCATTTTTAACACAAAACACGCACGAGGTTCTTCTTGTGGTCTCATCAATCAATTTCATTTTTATTCTCTATTTGATTGTGTCTTCTTGGGATTTTCTATCGGTTGCACACCTCCTACTATTGGATGCTTCTCCTTTGAACACGAGTCTGTTTTTCTTTGTATTTTGGGACATTCCGTTAAAGCTTAGATTAGAATGCGGTAATTGAGATTTGGGAAAATTGTTCCATTTCAGAACTCAATGGCAGCAAAAACTTGAACTACGAAATTCAAGTCCAATATCGAAAGAAGTGAGAGGATTCTAGTAAATAATAGAGTAGTATTTTGGATGTTCCATACTGGCTAATAAATTCACAAGTGAAAATTAATTCCACAAATTGAAATTACTATATCAATAATTGATACCAGGCTTGTCAAATCCGGGACCGATATGAATAGCTTCTCAGCAAATTGAAGTCAGTTCTACGGTTTGGAGCAATAAGTAGAAATAAAACGATTGCGTTTACGACACTCCGGAATTGACGAGCCTGATTAATAAAATTTTCCTTTGGAATAAAAAATATAAACGTTAAATAATTTTTTTAAAAGCATTTAATGACCAAACAATTTAATATCTTTTGAAGACTAAATGTGACAGGCTTTGTAATTAAAAATTATACCTCCTACGGCGTCTAGTTCTCATATTCCTATAAATATTGTAATTAGTCGATTTACGCTCATTTTCAGTAGTATTTAATACGAATAATATGATAAATGTTTCCCCAGAAGTGATAAACTTATTCATTAAGCTACACACATAAATTTTGCGAAATCGCTTCTGTATAACTCCAAATTAATGCTATTACCATCGCAAAAAACTAGCGTATAACGGAAAACCTATGAATCATAGTAACCGTAAATCTTCACAGAATGCTCGTTTTTTGCGATTGTAATACATCATTGATTCTTCTAATTAAACTATTTTAACATTTTGTCCTCGACCATTCTAACCAACTCATCTGAATTTTGCGGATTGGACAGTCTGTTTTAGAGTTTCTCAGCCGCCCACATTTAATTTGGGTCCCCCCATTGTGCCGTCATCGGATCGTTCTTCAACCAAGGACTACAAAACCGAGATCCGTCTAGACCCAGTAATCGTTGTCAATGTCAAGTGATTCTGTCTTTTTCTCTTCTTGTTGTCATTATTTGATAATATCAATCCCCAAAATTCTTGTGTTTCGACAACAAAACCGATCGAAAATTCTAATCCGTGTGAGCAAGAAAAAAATTAATCCCGTTAATTAATGTAATTAATTGAAATCTGACAAGATGTTTTACCGTGATATCTCATAGTTTTTTTTCCATTTGATGATATTTTTAAATCAAAATCGTATAGTGCATTTTCTAACACAAAAATCGGCGAAATCAAAGAAAAACTAACCATACATAGAAAATTTAGAATTTATTGTATCAATTATTGTTTCTGCTGTGTTGTTGTTGTGACATTAATAAACAAACCGAATGCAGGGAATTGTGTTGTGATTTCAGCTTATGGAACCCGGCACCCACTTCTTCGATTTTACACACCTACAGGAGCAATTATTAATTACAGGGTGTCATTTAAGTTCCCGCACAAAAGTTTGACGCCATGAAGAGCTTGGCTGTCGCACTTTTCGTGCACCAATACAATTTATTTTTGTTAAATAAGGTATATTTTACTTACTTTCCAAGTTTCACCTCATTCGGATGTGTTTCCGAGAAATGGCGAAGGCTAACATCCATTGCGCTTCCATTATCGAACTTCATAAGCAAAATGTGAGCTCGAGAGACATCATTCAACGGGTCGGTGTGCCTCGTAGAACGGTTTGCGACACCATCAAACGTTTCAAGGAGCTAAATACGACCAGTCACCGTCCCAGACAAGGAAGACTCGTCTCAGTAACCACTCCTCAGAAGATCAACGCCGTCAAATCGAGGATCAGGCGAAACCCCCACAGGAGCATGAGAAAGATGGCGTTAGACATGGGAATGAGCATCTTCGCTATGGAACAAATTGTCAAAACGAAGCTTGGACTGACCCCATATCGTGTCCAAAAAGCGGCAATTCTATCGGCCGTCAGCAAGCAGAGACGCTTCGAAAAAGCAAAACGACTTCTTGCTCGCACGCGGTCTGGACAACACCTCGTCACTGTCTTCTCCGACGAGAAGCTGTTCACTGTGGAGACGGCATTCAACTCACAAAACCATTGAGTACTTGCCCAGACATCCCAGCAAGCTTCTGAGAAAAGAAGAACATATCATCCAGCCTCACATCCTGCCAGCATGATGGTTTTCGTTGCCATCTGCTCAACCGGGAAGTGCCCCCTGGTTTTCGCGGATCAGGGGGTGAAAGTGAACAAAGAAGTCTACGTTCGGGACATTTTGGAGAAGCATGTGATGCCCTGGACCCAAACGCATTTCGGTGGGCAGAAATGGGTCTTTCAACATGACGGAGCAGCCGCCCACACTGCCAAAACTACTCATGAGTGGTGCCAGACCCATTTTCCCGACTTCATCAAGTCATCCGAATGGCCTGATTGCTCCCCAGACCTGAACCCGCTTGACTTTCCCGTGATGGGGTCTTGCAGGAGAAGGTCAACGCAAAACCCCATTCAAGTGTAGAGGCTCTGAAGAAGACATTACTGGCGGAATGGGACAATCTTTCCATCGAATACCTGCGTACCACAGTCGCATCCTACCCGAAGCGTTTCCGTGAAGTCATAGCTGCGAAAGGAGGCCGAATCAAAAAGAGTTAATAGATAAATATTTGTTATACTATAGATAAAAAATATTTTGAGTCTCGTTTGATTTGGACTTTTAGTTTCAGAAATATACGTCTTCAAAGTTGTGCGGGAACTTAAATGACACCCTGTAGAGACAAATAATTACGCCTTTATTTGGTTTCCTTGTATTGCTGGCATGTGTTTGGTGTTTTGAAACGTTTCGCGATACTTCGTTCAGAATTTCTACTATTCGGTTTTTCTTGCTCATTATGTGAAGTTCGTTATAGAAAAGGAGGCGATCGAGCGATTTCGATTGATCAACGTCAACCGCATTTTATTCAAGGAAATCGATTTTGAATTCAAATTGATATTGTTGTGTTTGAAGTGTTGTAAATATCAAAATTAATAAAAATTAAGAAAGCGCGATATATGAGAATGACATTGTCTCATTAAAAGTGTATATAAGAAAAAATGAGCTGGAAAATTACTTAAGGAACATGTAAAAGTGTAGATTCTAATGAATTATTCATTGCCATAACAAATCCTTCTGTCTGCTTTTTCGAATATGTGTCAATTTTTAGTTTCAGATTTGTTTTAATTAATTAATTCATTTTACTTTAGGCGACCGTTAATTGGATTTTTCTGTTATAGAAACAACGTAAACAATTAATTAGTGTTGCTTCTTACTTCCGTGTCCATCATCTCCCTCCCATTTACAGCCGATCATTGTCTTGTCCATTGAGCATATAACCTGATTGCTTTGCTTCTTCATTCTTCCCCGTCGTTGTCACTCCGATGCGAACCGATCCGAACCGATGCCTTGTTTTGCAGTAGTCTCCGCGGTTCGCTCGTCGATTCGATGTCGTTCTATTCGGCTAACACCGACTGGGAGATCGCCTCGTCGCTTCTCGACGGTCGAAGCGCGCGGACTGATCGTGGTGACTATATGTCGATCCGATCCGATCCTTCTTGGATTCCGTTGCTTGATTAAAGTTCTAGGCTAATAATAATAATAATTTGATGATTTTAGCGCTCATTCTCTTTTCGCATTATTTAGTTTGTTGTGCATTTTCCCCCGATGAAATTTGTCATTCATTTCCACATTTCAATTTTATTCTTTAATAAGGATAAATTCTAACTCATTAACAAAAAGTCTAATGGTACTATGTAGATTTCGAAAAAAAAATTCCGGTCAAAATCACATTTAAATAGCAAAACACCTACGCAGATTGGGAAAAACTAGTTTCAGCCGGTTTTTTAGGCTTTTCCTCAAAATCTGCATAGCGCTATAAAATAATTATTTCAGTAAAAAAGAGTAAGTTTAAAAATGCACGATTTCGGACATTGACGCGAGTTGCACGTAGTAGTGTAGTTGATTATTTGAAATTTCAGTGTGAAATCTACAGATGAGGCTCGTCGCGACTTCTTCCAACCAATTTGATGCTTCATTTTTTACATTAATTTCATTTCTAATTTACCAGCTTCTGCATTGCGCATCTTGATCTCAGTGAAAACTACACAAACTGAGGAATTTTGCATTAATCGCTGCTTTATTAATAAATGCTTATTTTGCTATTATGATTTAATTTCATCCGGATTTTTTCTTACTAACTGGAAAGAATTAAAATGAGATTTTTAAAATTATGTATAATAGGATGGATGAATGAAACATACAATTTCTTCGCAAAACAAGGAATATCTTGTAAGCTTATATCCATGAGGAAGTGAAATTTATCTGACGTTACTCATCAGACGTTGGGTTCTGATAAAATTAAATAAGAGCGATTCTACAATGAATTGAAAAATCAGTGGAAGAATAGTAAAAAAGAAAGGTCTAAGTTGAAAGTCTCAAAATCACTTTTCGAAACGCAATTACAGAATTCACAGCGATTATCGAATTATTAAAGGAATCCTCCATTAAAAAAAATTAAAAAAAAAAACTTTGTTAGGGAAAAAAACTTGAAGAAAAAATTCAAATGAGATGGGTATTTTTTGACATTTTTTCACGGTGTTTTCATGAATTTTCTACCGTTTATTTTCATTCTTCTGATCTTTCAAATATAAAAAGTTAATAGATCAAGATTAAAAACCAAAAATATAAATATTTTTGCGAGAAAATTCAAAACATATCACAGGAACCGCAAATTAATAATCGATATGCAATGAATCATAGAACGAATGAGTATAGACTACATTCAGAATATGTATGTGATAAATCGAAATCAATTCAACGAAATTCGTTTCACCGGAATCGACCCGATAACTCATAATTTGTCGAATATGATTTCGAATTACCTGATTGCCAACCATCAATTCAAGAATCCGAAACACTTGACAATATTTCAATTAGGAATGCAGCAATATTTATTTATTTCTTGTTTCTCATTTTCATTTTTTTTCTGATTTCAGCCAAGAAAATCTATAATAAATGTTGTAAAAAGTTAGTATAGTCAAAATGGGAGGCTGAGAAACTCTAAAACAGACTGTCCAATCCGCAAAATTCAGATGAGTTAGTTAGAATGGTCGAGGACAAAATGTTAAAATAGTTTAATTAGAAGAATCAATGATGTATTACAATAGCAAAAAACAAGCATTCTCTGTAGATTTAACGTGAGTTTAATTCGTAAGTTATCCAGAACACGATACCCGAATTCTCATTGTGTTTGAAAAACTTATAGTGGTATCCATATATAGAAAAAATGAAAATTTAATGATGTTTCGTTCATTATATTTCGTTCAGATCAAAATGAGGAATTTTTGACCCTAAATAGTCTCAAATTAATTTTTCCTCTCAATACGCGTAGAAATCAGTTATCTCATTATCATGTCATTAGTTCTTCCTATTTACGATGATATCATTCGAAGAGTTTTTGACCACATCTAGTATTCAAACCCTATTAATTGATTTGAAACAATAGAAGTCTAGTCCAATTGTCATAATCGAGATGTCTGAACACCTCAATAGTCGATTGTCATGCTTGTTTTTTTTTCGGCTTGTCCCACTCAATTCCTTGTGTCCCGCTAATCCGATGATGATGAGCCACTCGAATTGTGCCCTTCTAGTGAAGAGGCGGGGCGAGCGTTTGTAGCTCAAATATAAAATTGAAACACTTTGCGTCAATTCCCCATATTACGTCTAACGATGTTCCACATTCACGAAGAGCTAATGTCATTCAATACTGTGCAACATCAGCAGCAACAAGACACACAAAGTCGCGCTTCATCGACAGTATTCCGTCGCAATCTCGAATCGAAAAGGAAAGGATTCCGAAGATGCATGACATCGGTGTTTTAATCATCATTCATTTTAACATTATCTCTTGTTTCGATATGTGTCGAAATGACTGTATGTACTATGTATGTATGTCAACTGTTTTCTTAAACAAATGAATCTGTTTCATTTCAAATCGATTTTTCGTTGATTGCTAATACCAATAAATGAATGGAGACAAATGAGTTCACATATTGCACATATCATGAACCACATATTTCACATTTACTAAGAATTTCGAAAAAAAAAACTTGTTTTCAAAATTTTGTTGGGTGCATTCTTCAACTTTTTATATTACCATCGCAAAATTGTGACAACCGCGTTTTTGAAGGGGTAATTCAAATTTTGGTTTAAACTATTTGAATTATTGATATGCTAATATGATAAATACCGTAATACGGATTCAAAAGTTATAAAAAACAATGTAGATTTACATAAAGTTTGATTCGCATAGTACGATATCCGAATTTGGAAGCAAACGTGATCTGTCTGCTAAATGTTGAACTTGTTAGCTCAGTTAGTTGCATTTTGTGCTTCAATTCTACAAAACTTGAGCGAATCCTGCGAATCCTTGTAACAATAATCTAATTAAACGATTTGCAACGTCATTTTGCTACGGATATTGTTTGTTTGCTCCATCATTATGAGATTCGGTGGATTAATCTTCGACTAGTTTCGTGAACTAGCGAATCAATGTGTTCGGAGGGTATTCAAGCAAGATAAACTGATAAATCTAACAAGATTGTAAATTCGAATGAAATAAGTTTCAAAATTAGTAATTGCAAATCTGTGCTGAATCATTCGCTTATCGTCGAGAAATTTCACATCTCTGGTAACTCAAAACCAATCGGATCCGAAAAAATTCGGCTTCGGAATCAACCTTATCCGATTGGTAATTCTACGGATAAGATTGGAAAATTGTCGGATCCGATTGGTTTTTTTGCGTATTTTCGGATCCGATTAGATTTTCTTCGAATCCGATTCGTAATTATTCGAATCCGTTTTGTTTTAATATTTCAATTTGAATCAGATTCGAAAAATAACCAATCTTATCCGTAGAATTACCCATCGGATAAGGTTGATTCCGGAGCCGAATTTGGTCGGATCCGATTGGTTTTGCGTTACCAGTGATATGCCTGTCTTCGGCACTACGAAAACTAATATTTGCTATAGTCCGCTTCTAAAAAAGTGGTTAACTGAATACAGTCTGAATACCTTTTTTCAAAAGATAATATCCCGCAAGAAGCATCATATAGATAAGTGCAAAAAAATGCGGATAACCGGAAAATTCCTAATATGCAGAAAAATAAAAAGGGAATCAATTATTTGATTTGAATCTTTATTTAATTTTTGTTCATTGCCGTTTAACAAGCAAAATAATGAATTCTAAAGATCTCATGATGAGAATTCGCCTAGAATAATGATTAGCTATCCAAAATTGATTGTAATCATTTGAAAAATCCCCCTAAAATCATAAAAACAAAAAATTCGTTGAGTTTGATGGATGACATGAAAACACGTGTCATTGGATTTTTATTGGATTAGCGATAATTAAAATGGAGATTACTGGACAAAAACACAAACATTAAATAAAAATGAAGATCACCTCAAAAATTAGATTGGGGGAAACATTGATTATGAAAAATTTGAAATACCAGTAGAACATTGGAAAAATACGAATAATAAAAGGCAAAGTGTTGAGGAAATTCAAATCGGTGTTGAAGAAAGCAGTGATTTGAGCTATTCATTGATTACAGTAGTTTTACAATGAAGCCGTATTAGACTTCGGATTGAAGACTGCCCGACGGGTGTCGGTTGATTGGATTCCTAAATACTTGAATGTGGACAACTTCAATGTTTCAATAATTACTTGAACAATTCTGTCGCATCGATTCTGGAGATATCACTGGATCTTGACGAGAAAGCGCCAGATGTGGCAAAATAAGCAGCATTATTGTAACTGGAAATTAATCACTCTCAATGAAAAGAACGAGATTTCTTTTCTATAATTGTGAAATTATTTTTTATTGTGTTTTGTTTCAAAAAACAATGAAGGCACTTTGTCTAATCGACAAGTAGAACGATCGATTTAATTTCGTCTTAGGGTCAAAAACTATCACTCCTCGCCTACGCATTCGAGATAATTCATGTGGTATTATATCGAAATATCCTCCACCCTCTCATTTCCTTATTGATTAAGGCGAAAATAAATTGAAGTGGTCGATTAGTTCAATTTGTATTTTATTCTTTGAAAACACAAGTATCCTAACATAGCTCAAAAACTACATGCAAAGTTCGAATCTCAATTCTAGAATATCCTCATTTGAAGAACACAACAAAAAAGAAATGCAGTTGAATAGTTGAGCAAATCATCAATTTTTAGTTGAGTAAATCATCAACTAAAATTAGTTGAGTTAGAAAGGTTTTTAAAAATTAATTTTGGAAAAAAAAATGGTAAAAAACTGTTCAGGACAAAAAAATTGACTGCTGGTATGTTCGCAATACTGTATTTTACCTTTTTCCTTTTTTGAAACGATTTTCTTACATTTGATGAGTAGAATATTACAAAAGGATACCTAGTTGGAAAGAAATAAAATTTTAAAAAGTTTTATAGTCGGCGTCCGGCGACTGCTGTACGCGGGTAGATTTACGTGCATGCGCCTTAAAAAGGTCTCGTAACGCGTGAATGCTTATTTTGCTGTTTTCACGTGAACTGCTTCATTTTTCTTAATGAGTTTCGCATTTCCTTGAATTTCCAACCTCATTTGATTGAAAAATTATCGAAATGGTCCATAAAATTTGATATAACCTGTTAGTCCTTGCGAGACCACTTCGAAAGACGCATTTCCGTAAATCTACCCGCGTACAGCAGTCGCATTTCTATTCGAATTTTAAAGAAAAAAATATTTAAAATTTACTTCAAAATACTTCAACTATAATCAAGCTTGCAAGATAAACCCGATCCGTTTTTACTTGTTCACTTTTGCGGGTCTTCAGATTTTAAATAAAATTATCCACATCATAATCGCATGAACGTCGTCACCACAATTTGAACAAATATTTTGATTTATTCTCTTTTTTTTTAGTTCCACTCCTCTCCGATTATTTTGATTTACAAAATATTCTTGATTTAATTAGATTACAGTATGGAAACATACCGCCAAATTTGAAATCTTGCAAAAATTTGCAAACCTTATGCTATGATCAACTTGAGCAGGTGAAGGTACAGGTGGTAGAGGAGTTGATGTGATTCTGAGAGCCAAAAACCATTTCAATAATTGGTTTCTTTTATAAATACCTTGGAGGACTCGAGCTAACGCCAAAAGTGGTACTTTTGCTCACGTGCTCACCGTCAAACGTTGTTGTTCGTTGCGGTTTCTTAACATATAACCTATAAAACATTCATATGAGTAGTTCAATGAACTGAATAACCTCTTCTTATCTCTATTGTGGAACATCTCGATGAATTGTGCAATACTCTCGCTCAGCGGGGTTCTTTTGACAAAAAGGAGAAATGCAACAACAATTGGGAGTAGACGAATAACCAAGAGCGTGATTAGCATGTACATTGGGATGAATGAAGCTTCAATTTGAGGATCGCATGTATTCTGTAATAGAATTCATGACGATTTCGGGTTCGCCACTAGAGAAATGCGCAAGGAATTCTCAAAAAAAAAAAAAATAAAACCTTTGGATTAAGTCGCCTTCGATTCGCAGCGTATAGATTGTGATCGAAAGTACACCCAAGTCTTTGCTCCATCTGCTGAAGACCTCCTGGATTATGAGGAATGGCATGATTGAGTAGCTAAAAGAAGTTTTGTTGATCGGTTAAACTTCATTTTAATTTTTACTTTCTCAGTGGCATTCGGCAAATGTCCTGAATACGGCATCAAAGCAAAACAAAAAACGTGAACTTGGATAACGGCATAGATGACACCGCAAGCAAGAACAACCTGAACAGTTATCTTCGGACATCAATCTAGAGATGTGAACAAACCCAATAAACGAAATTCTTCTTGCCAGAAGAAACATCACAACTTAAATAGAGAAGGGCTGAAATTGCGCAGAAACAGAAGACACCAATTTCAGAGAGAAGGAAAAATCGTAGAATATTCTTATACTGGAATAATTATTTGATTCATTTTCAAAAACGCATTCAGATATTATGCTTATCTTTCCACTTATTCATATTAATCCCCACAATTTTCCCCGTTTAAATGGAATCACTTTTACCAATTTCGAAAGCTGCATCGAGTACTAACTACAACCAGTTGCGCGCATTTAAAATTCGCCATTTCTGCAGGTGAAAATCCAAATCCGATTCTCAAATGAATTTTTAATTTTAATAAAAAAAAGTTGGGTCACCTATTTTTTTTATAAATGACGCAATACAGTCAAATCGGGAATCCACAAAACACGTTAGTCATAAATATTCTCGAAAATTGGTAAATTTAGATTCCAATTAACTAATTTCCGGAAATTCAAATATTATACAACAAAAATGTTAATCCACTATTCTGATTCTACGCGTCTCCAAAATGTACGTAATTGATCGAAATATCACGAAAAAATTCTAAGAAAAATTATTTCTAATGATTTTCTGGATTTGAAATGGTTTAAAATAACCAAATTTTCAAAAAAAAAAAAAATTCAAAACCGAAAAATCAAAAATTTGCAATATGCAAATGTAAAACGAAATTAAAAATTATTTTTTAAATTCTAATTCTTACTATAATCAAAATGGTTTTACTTAAGGATTATATTAACATCCCAAAGAAACGAGAATATTGATAATTTGGGAACCGCCGTATATCGTCGGACTGTAATTCAAATTTGAATTATCGACCCGAAAAAATTCGATGGTTCCTCCACAAATACCCAAAGTGATAGTTCTAGAATGGTAATTCCACCCTCAATTATTTAAAATGATATTTGAAAATACTCACCGTTCTTTCATGTCCAAGAACCTCATGCTCTTTTTCGCTCAATTGATAAAGCCCTAATAATGGATTGAAATTGATTTTTGAGATGCTGATCGTCTTATCCAAATAATCGACGAGTTCCTCGTAAACTTGCTTGTCTCTCCACACATAAATCAGCAGAATTATAGTAGAAATCTGCAAAATGTGAGAAATTAGTTGCAAGGATTTGATTTGTTCTTCTTCTTTTTCTTCCAACTTCATCGGATTATAGCCGTAATTTGGAAGCAGCAAATGTTCTGATAATTCTATTCATTTTCGATAATCCACTTAATTTGTAGATTCGGCTTCCGAATTCTCTCGCTTGATATCATATTTTCTGTGCATGTCTCATTCGAAAATTAATAGGCGGGGATTCTCATAATCTGTTGTATATAAGCCGAGCTCGAAGAGCACAACCGATATAGTGGTGCTTCCCACCCTCATCGCCGCTTAACAAATGTTCCATATTCCGGTCGAAATTCATAATTTTGTCGATCTTCACAACTCAAAAACTTTGCCCGACAAGGCGAAACAAATTCGCAAAACTTTGGAGGAGCGTCGCAAAGGATTCCGACGCAGTTTCACGTCGATCAACTAAAGTTATGGCCACACGCTAATGGTCCGTCCTCATTTGAATAAGTGTTCGAATATATCAATGTAATTTCAATGAAATAAATTGTTATTTCTTTTAATTTACGCGTTTTTTTTTTCATTTAAAAACGAATAAACAAAAAAAACTAGACGGCGATTTTACTCCGAGAGCCCCAACATGACTCTTTTTAAGTTTTCAAGCATTTCAAGCAATATTTTTAAGCACATATTGTCCAAATCGCGCAATTGCGGAAAATTGGTGAATGCCAAAAAACTTAGATCTCTACTTTCAGTTTTGCCATATGACCGCTGCCATTGGGTATTTTTTAGCAAAATTTTCCGCAGTCGCGTCGACAATATATTTTTTTTGGCAGTCTTTGGTAGAGTTGGACCTCCCAACGTGAGTGTTGATTTACGCGACGAAGTTAAGTAGTGAATTGTCTGTGTGGAGTATACAATAAGAGTCTCTAGACATTTGGCCAATTTTTTTCGACTATATACATTAATTCTTGATTTACAATATTCTCATTTCTTTCAGTGTTTTTTAAAAAATATTCCGTGATTGGTAGTTTCTGCTAATATATTGATAAAAAGATATATATTTGATTCAAGAGGCGAGAAAATGCATTGTGAAATCTTATATTTTGATATTGATAAAAATACAGTGTTGAGTACATAACATAATCCAATACATTTTTAACTCCGATAATCCTGAATTACTATGTAGTTTAAATATTCGCTTGATAAGGGAATAATTTTTCTCTTAAATTTGTACATTATCGAAACTAAGGTTTCATATTATTAGTATGAACACATCAAGGGCTTCAGACCATTATTTCTCATTTTACTACATACTTTCTAGTATTTCGTTTTTTTTTCGAAAACTGTTTGCATCATGAAAATTTAAAAAAAGAAGAAAAAATAGATTATATGTACATATAGTCGGCATTTAGCGGTAGATTTATGGGCGCACTTTTCGCCATGGTTTCGCCACGCTTAAATGTCTATATTGTTATTTTGACGTGAACTGATTAGGTTTTCTTGGTCAATTTGTAAATTCTTACAAGGGAGGTCATTTTGCTGTCCGTCTTAAAATTTTTTTATTTTTTGCATACAGATTCTTTTGAAAATTTCCAATCGAATGATGTTCATTTTTTTTTCTAAAGAATCTGTATGCAAAAAATAAAAAAATTTTAAGACGGACAGCAAAATGACCTCCCTTGTTAGCATTAGATAATAAAAATTTAAAAATTATTGATATCAGCCAATACGAAGTAATAATAGACCTCGGAAGACCACATGACCCGTAAATCTACCAAAATACATCAGACGCCGGAAGCCGACTATACCTAATTCTTAAATATTGATGCAAAGTAGCAAGTTACGAGAAATTATTTGTAATCGTGACTTAAAGTAAAATAGGTCAATTTGTATAGGCTTAATCCTTTTTGCCTGAAGATATTCAACTGGTAAACCAAAAAAATGTGTCCAAAGTCCAATAAATCATTTGCAAAATGGCAAAATTTCGATTTCCGTCCGATTATGTCTGAACGCTCATCAACAATACACAATCTTTTACAGACACAATTATTACATTATTTAGATTTTCCGGAAATTAGTGGAGATATTTTAATTACTTTTTGTTGTTTTTTTCTCTTTAGTGAATTACCTCGAAAAGTCACAAAATCAAAGGGCCTTTAGCACAGGACATGTTCTGAAGGTTATTTTGTAAAGAAACTAATTGCCATTCAAAAGGTCTCAAAGTACAAATTTTGTCCTCCAAAGAACAAAACTCCGCGAGCATACAAAACTAAGGATTCGAGTATTGCTATCAAATTGAAAATTTCTGATATTCTCAAGATTAAGTTCGAGAACAATTCTTACAAATATTGTGAACGAGTACATGATTTTTTCGGATTAAAAAGTTTTCTTTACGGATATTTTGAAGAATTGACCGAAAAGAACAATGGAAATAAAAATAGACATTTGAGTGGGTTCGAAAAAAATTGATCTCTAAACCCTCTTGAAATAATTTTTAATTCAATATTTTATAAAATTATCTAAAATTTCACAAATTTCTAAACATGTAGAAATTAATCTGATATGCACATATCGCAATTTTTTGCTGTTTCATGTCTTTTTTTGTGTGAAATCAACAAAAAATCATTGATGCAAGAATTATGAATAATATATAAAAAATGAATCTGAATCAACATAAATTATTTAAGTTGATTAAAACTACCTCTAATTTATACAATCATATTCTTCTGAACATCGATAGCCAAAATTTTTAATCTCGAATGCTAATAACATTAATATCGCAACTCGGCCCAAAATCCTACTGTAGGATTAATATTCTTGGGTAATTAGATTTAAGTGATTTTTGCTATCCATAACATGATTGTGTTATTCATCGCCTAATCCCATCACGCCTAATACAACTTGTATCAATTTCCAGCGGCTCTCTGTCCAAGCCACCCCACCCTCTCCTCCCCCCCCCCAAGGAGGCGGAGCCAGAGCATGAGATCATATAAAAAGCGCTTTGCGAGCAGAATCGAGAAAATCTCAACCTATCGCCATATAACAATATATTGCACACAATATACTATCACAATGTTCCATATTCATCAAGACATTCTTGAATTTGTCGAGGCCCATCAACGCCCGGCCGTCGTACACCTTGTCAAGAAGAGTCTCGAGGACAAGCGAAAGGGTTTTCGGCGCACAATGTCTTCAATCAACTAGCAACGACAAATTTGGCTCCAATTCTACGGGGATTTATATATGTACATACCGCGACCGAACTGTACACTATTGTTTTCATTTTTTTGTAATTTCTGTACATATACAGTTTTCTGTTAATTTGTTTTTTGATTGGTTTCCATAAAAGGTTATTACGTATTTCTGTTTTACACTTAATTTAAAAATGGAGATGATTCGAATCCGGCGAGTTCAAAACGCAAAAGGATTACTGTAATCAGAGGATCAGAATTCAACTAATTTGAATAAGAAAAATTAGAAACAAGCGAAAAAAAAAACATCGAATTTGGAAAACAAAGCCGCTGAAAACAACTTTAATAAGATGATTTTTGCAGACTGAATGATAGTTAATTAAGCAAAAATACGATATGCGTCGGGCATTCAAATAATTTAGACGATTCCCGAATCTTCTGCTAACCTTCGCATTTTACCGTTAGGTTTCTTCTTAATTTTTACCAAGCGCAAGTAATTGTCACAATATTCTTTCAGCGGAAATTACCATATTAACATCATTTCATTTCCTGATTTTACCAAAAATTTTAATGTACATGATGAGTCTATGATAGAAACCCTGGATCAGTCTATTTTAACCGGTGCAAGAAATAATACTGAGCAAAACAAGAAGATATATTAGTACTAACACATCTCAAGTTCTGTTTAACAAATAGAATACATACAAAATGTATATGCTTCTTCTTTTCCAACTACTAGATTTCGCCATTTATTCATCCTGGCTGTCCATCAAATGTTCAGAACTTCAATCTCAATTATGCACTAATTAATACGCTTTTATACAAATATTGGCATTAACAACTATATTTTTGGCCTTTTGCCCTTGTTCTGATCTCTGCGAATATTTCTGAACATTCAAGATTTCGGTGATTCAGAAACTTGCAAATTTTTCGCTTCAATAAGCATTAATGCGATCATTTTCTTGAAAAATTCTTATTATAAAAAAAGCTTTGAATTAAACATTTGAAAAAATTCAATTCGTGATATTTTTAAAGTTTTTCGATGGAAATGGGATTAACTCATCCTGTTTTTAAATGCTCATCACAATATTTGGTGCCAAATTGAACATTGCACCTGGTCACATTTTAAAAAGAGTTCACGGGACTAATATCTGAATTCTCGCCAATCTGTCTGGCCTCGAACGCTGTCAATAAACATTTTTGAACGTTTCTTGAATTTCGAATCAGCTGAATAACATTTCCTATCATTTTCAAAAATTTTCGCCAATCTATCATTATTAATGCAAAGTTAGCTGATATTCAAAACAGAGAATGCTTTGAAAAGTAAGCGGAAGATTGCATGTTTCAAGTTGGTTTCCTTATTCATGAATAATTCGTATGACTCGTCTTGTAATAAAAATGAAAATATTCCAAAATCTCGGCAATTTTTCGTCTTGCACCACACAATTTGCGAATATTCGAAATCAAATAAACTAACCAATACTGCAAACGTTAATGTGATTGTAAGGAACATTCCGATCGACTCTCGCCATGTTTGAGCACCTTTGAATGTGACCTTCGGATTATTTGAAGTTGTTCGATTCGGAGGCAACGGCGGAAGTATCGAATTTTCATTTTCGAGATCCATCTCAAAAGAATCAAATCAATAAGGAAAGATGAAATAGAAGTCGAACGATCGAAAACCGATGGAAACGATTTACCACCCACAGCGAAAATCGCACTTTTATGGTATTTGAATAGAAAGAGATTATCGCAATGGATATACATATTTGGGGAAGAAATCGAATAGTTTTAATTCTAAAATTGAATCATCATCGGCAACAATACTGTTTATGGAGTCTAGGAGAATTGTCTTTTGATCTGTTTCACTGGAATGAACTCATTCATCACATTTTTACTGTTTCCAAATATTCCTTATAAAAAAATAAAAAATCAATTTTAACACAATTAAATGGAAAATTATATCAGAATAATTAGTTTCCACAACTTTTCGTTTTATTCGATTATAATAATAATAACATACATATTACTAGATATTTTCCAATTCAGACCATTTTAGATTGAATATTTGAAACAAAAAAGAAAATTTTGTGAATTTGCAGATATGACTAAAAGAATTAAACTCTAGCAAAAACCTGCTTTTCAACGTTTTGAAAATTAAAGTACGCATTGTTCAGCGTGAAGTGTTCAATTAAACCGAAAAAAACGAACACAATTTTCGAGTTTCAGGAAAATGTTGAATGGAATGAAAAAATCTAGTATTCTCGAAATAGAAACAACTATCAGGACAGACAAGATATTTTCTTCTAATTATTATTTTGTCGAGGACGGAAAAATGAAGGTTCGAAATGCTGCTTTTTAAAAAATCATAATCCGTCATTTTACAATTTTGAAAAATTCAAAGTACTTAAAATTCATTTAAAAAATGCTCTTTTACATTATGAGAGCAAGAAAATAAAAGATTTTTGATACGAGACTTAAGGCGGCAATTAAAATTGCACTTCCGAATTCGTTCGGTTATTGGTTATGTTGTCTAATAAGTAATTTTCAAGAACAAATGAAACAATGAGAATAAGAAATGAAAAGGTCATTTGGTGGAAAATAGGTAGTCATGGATAAATCAATAATAATTAGAATAAAGGTGCGCACGGCAAAAAGGGCGCACATGGAGGTAGAGGACCAAAACAGCGAGCGCGATGGCGATGCTGATGATGGGTGTGACCATGGTGAAGGGTGGAAATTAAGGCTAATCGAGGGAACCGGCAGCGACTATGGAGATGTGGAGGAAAACGAGGGTTTGGGAGGGTGAGGTCGAACACCGGAGAAGGACGCCGGCAATTCCGAGTCGCTAATCAATTCGAGGTCGTTTACGGAATACCGACACTTTTTTGGGGAGCGAAGTACGCGATTAAAATGAGACAATTTTAAGATTAGCAAACAATTACACTTTGGGAAATTATTTGAAGTATCAGATCCTAAATCGTTCGTTTCATGTAATTCAGCATACACAAAATATCGAAATTATCCATTAAAAAACAGATCATGAAAGAAAATGACCTCAATAGTATACAGGCTGTCTGTATGGAAGTAGGTTTCGAACAACTGTCGGATGTCGATAATTGTTGAGGCGCGACATGCAAAAACAGTCTTCGAAACGCTTGAATGCACATTTGAAACATACACACACATATATATGTTTTATAATTTAATGTAAGTTTGTTCGGATTCAAAAAAAAGGATGGTAATATGAAAGAAAAAAGGCAATCCGAACGATCCGATTAGTACTATTCAAACATTCATTTGATGGGAAACCGACGTGAGAAAAATCATTCCGATTAAAACTTGTTCGAATAACATGAACGGAAAAGATTATCGGAAATATGAACAAAATTGTTAGATTTTGAACATTATTGCAAAAATTAGAAAAATGGAGTACGAGAAAAAACATTGAAGCGAGAATCGCGTCTTTTGCAGTTTTTTTTTAAAATAAAATGTGAAAGTTTCTCGACCGACATGAAGAAAAATCTACCACAAACAGGTCGATTCATCAATCGTATCGAGACAATAAACGCAGCAGTTTCAAGTTGGTAGCCAGTCGACGAATGCTTGATTTATGGGACGACTTTTGGATTAAGATTCGTATTACGTAGAGAGACTAATTTAGGATGTAATTGTTTTAAGATTTAATTATTACCTTGGTCTTGTATGATAATTGGTACAATTTGGTCCGAGTTTTCTCACAACCATAACTTATTTGCACGAATTTTATGAAAGTTTAACCACGCAATTCGAAATTGTCGGATTAGTTCGCACACTCGAGAAACACGCAAATCGACAATAAGGCGGGCAAGATCAATCAAATTAGCAATTATTATTTAATACCGATGAAAAGTGAACGATTAGTTTGGAATCGGGTTAAATGGTCACGAATTTAAATTGAGGTTGTAGGTGAAATCGAAACGAAACGAACGAGCCAGTCGAAAACCGTCGATGATCTGCAATTGAGAAGCCAACGGGTCGTCTCTCAATCTCCAGCATTCCTTCGCTGGTCGTCAAGGACGGTTTCGTTGGCGGCAATCTGCGCCTACCTGCACCGCGCGCTCTTTGTCTACGTTGTTTTCTCATAAACGGTTGAGCGTCTTTGGAAGGTCGACACTGACACCAGCGACTAGTCATCGTTCCGATCAACGCAGCTGATAATATCGATGACTCCCGAATTTGCATATTTTACACCTAGACATGATGGAAATTCAAGGGAATGAACCAGCCTATTCAACAGGAAATAACGGATAATTGAACTCAAATGAGCAACAAATGTTTAAAAACTTTCAAAATACTTTAATCCTCAAAAGCCCCTATCTATATATTCTTCGATTAATTTTTTAAAATTCATGGTTGTAGTTGTTAATAACAACTTTTCAAGATCAAACGTTTGGCGTAATTTAAATTTCGGAAATTCAATGATTTCAAAGTAATAAAAGTTTCATCGAAATGCAAAATAAAACGGAATTCTCAAATAGGCGAATGGTCTTAAAACTATACCTCTGTTATTCTGAACAATTTTATACATCCTAATGATATCCAATCGAATCATCATTGCCACCAGTTTAACTGTCTGAATCCAAAACTGCTTCTAAAGAAAACACAAATTATTTAATAAAATACATATAGATAATATGTTTCGACGTATCATAATTGAAGCTTAGCTACATTTAATTTTAATTTCGCAAACATTTCAAGTTGCACATACTTTATATTTAAAAAAACCATTAAAAACAATTTTTTTTAAGAATGTTAAAAATGAAAAACGAAACCGATAAAGGCTATTGTTAATATTTTTCAATTTATAAAAAAAGACGCGTCTATTAAAAAGTGCGGTTGGTCTCACAGCGACCATAGAGCGGCAAGTTTGAATATTCGAAATCCACATTTTTTATTTAAGCGATTTTTCTCATTATTTAAGCGATTTTTCTCAAGTTTCCACTTGAGTTTTTTATTTTTTTTACCAAATTAAGGATGCCTCCCGTCAAGAAACGAGTTTCTGGTGTTGGAGCTGCAGTTAAACCGCCGACAAAACGTGGGAGAAAACCAAAAGTTGTTAATCCATTACCAGAACAGGATCCGGAGCCAGATCAAAACGATGGTAGCATGCATGTTTATTAGCTGCTATTAACTGAATTAAATTTTAGGTGGAGATTGTATCGAACCAACTGAAGAGCAGAAAATGCCAGGTAAATACTGTATATTAAAAAGTAACAACAACTGAATAAAATTAGGTTCGCCAAAAGCGTCAAATGCGGTTTCTCGATCAAGGCGTATTTTGTTTGATACAAATAAAGACATTGACGAAGTGAAACCAAAGACGAAAAAGGCTGGTAATCTGCAAAAGAAAACTGCTCCTAAGAAGGATAGAGAAAATAAAGGCACGATTTCGCTCATCATTATTTTTTAAAACTTTTTAGTGCATATTTCAGCTCCTGTAAAACGTGGATGTCCTCCTGCAAAGAAAAATGCAGCTGATGATTTGAAAGACCCAACTGTTGATGACAAAATGGAAGAAAATGGGGAGAGAATTAATGAAGAGAAAGTCGTAACTCCTGCGAAAAAGAAAGCCCCTAAAGGAAAAAAAGCGGTTCCACTTAAGAGCAACGCGAAAAAAGGTTTAAAATAATTATTCAAATCAATTTATATATAAAAATTTAAGGTGAGTTAAAGGGTCCCAAAAAAGTTTCTTCAGCCAAAAAAGGTAAATTTTTCGTTACTAATTTAGTCAAACTCAATTAATCAAAATTTAGCCCCTCTTAAAAAGAGCAAGAGGCTTTTGGCCGCTGCTAATGAAAATAATGATGCGGCAGAAGACCAAATTGTTTCAGACGCAGGTTTATTTAACATCATATGAAGGTTTTAAAGGAAGATTCTTTCCAGAAGTCAAAAATGATGATGGGCATGATCAACAGCTTGTCTCGACAGAGAATCATCCAGAAGAACAGATTATCTCACCAGAAGAAGAACAAGTTTCGCAACCAACACAGGATCAAATCCACTCGCCGGAAAAGCCGGCTGAAAGTGGTGGTATGTGTCTATTGAAAATTAACTGCTTGAAAGTTTGTTTTTCAGATACTGAAGCTCCACCGCCAAAAAAACGCGGGCGAAAGCGTAAAGATGACGGAGCACCGGCAGTTCCACCCGCCATAAGAAATAAGAAATCCACTAAAAGAAAGTAAATTAACATAAAATAATTGTAATAGTTCAATTTGTTTACTGACCATGTACTACAGTTTCTAAAACAATCTCGTTGTCAATTGTATTGTCCAATCTCGTTTACTCCAAGAAAACAAGCAGTAAATAAATATTTTCGAGAGAAACGCCATTTAAATTTATTCATTTTCGACAGATCAAATAAGGCATCTCTGATCTTAATCAGCCGACATACGCTTTGCAGGTTACCCAGAGTACGTTTAACGAATTCCCACTGTTTAAATTCGAGTTTGAATTACCCCCCAACCCCCCCCCACGACAAAGTGCGTTGAGTAATAATAAATAAAAAGTTCAAGTTGGGAGGAGGCGGAGGGGAATGAGTTGGATGATGAAAATCATGGAGATCATAATTGAAGGTCTTCAAGCTGCTTCAAAAGGTCCAGCTGACTTTCTCTGTTCTGAAAATTTTGAAAATTCAAGTTTATAATCGCTTTGTCAGTTCTTACTCCTCTAGATGGAGCACTATCGCTTCGCTCCGAAGAAGTTTCTCTGAGTTTACGCTGCTTTGTTGACTAGAAAATAAATATTAATTAATGATTAAAAAATCTTCTAAAAAAAATGAAGTACCGAGGAACGTTGGCTGTCGACAGTGGATCTCGAAGAAGTAGCACCACTGTAAAATTGACATTTACAATCAACAAGTTGTTGGCAAGCACTTACGCTGTGCGTCCAAGCCTCTGTCCACGTCTCGCCTGACCGCGGAATGGTCTTCTACCGGTTGGACGCCTTCTTGGTCGCTGGCATGTCACACAGAAGATTCTCACTGGCTCGTTGGCGACGACATTGTTTCTAGAAGTTTGTAATGCAAACACTATTCGTATCATTCAATTCGTACCTGTAATGGAGGCTTGGCCAAGCCGGGCATTGTCCATTTCGAATAGCGAAAGCGGTTGATGGATTGAATTCGCAATGTCCGTTGAGTGGATTGTAATGAGCAATCTGGAATTATGCGCAATTATCTTGCAGAATTGAAGTATTCGAACCGCGCAGTTGAATTCGTGACATGTTCTCGCACACTGATCGACAGTGACGGCAACAGCGAAATGAGTGAATGTAAGACGAGATGGTCCGGTGATCGGTGTGGAAATGTAGAAGATCGACGCTGGGCATTCTGAAAATCTTCAAATGTTGCATCATTTATTCTTTTAATTGTCTTACGCCCAGTTCTGAGGTTCTGTCCCTTCTGGAATGGTTGCCGAGGAGCTGCAGTTGTTGGAGCAGTGACTGGAGCTGGCCTTCTGAAATCCAAAATGAAAATTATGTTTTAAAGAAATCACAGTACGTTTGTGGAACAAATGGTCTGCGCGTGAATGGCTGTTGTGGTCTCTGCACGAATGGCTGCTGTGGCTGAATTGGCTGCACTGGCTGGAATGGCTGTTGTGGTGGTAAGACACGTGGCGGAGCTGTTGGTGGTGGCGGACGATTGAACGATGGAGCGATCGTCTGAATTGGTCTTGGCTGGAATGGCTGAATCGGAGCCTGGGTGCTGAAATGAGAAACATTTTAAAACAAAAAATTGACTGAAAATTCCTACACTGGTGGGAGAGTGGCGAATGTGGCTCGAGTAGTTGGAACAAATGGGATCGTTCGGATAGTGGTCGGTGGTGCAGTTGTTGGTCTGACAGTCGTTGTCGCCTTCGTCGTCTTTGGCTCCTTCTTGTCGCCTCCTGGACGATATGGTTTTGGAACGAACAGGACCTTCTCTGAAATCAATCAATTGATACTCCCCTAATAAGGTGTGTGTTCACCATTGTCAGTGCTGACTACATTGCTATCATCATAAGCTCCGAATGGATCGGCACTGTTTGGAGTATTATCCGCTAGAAAATCATGATTAAATGTTTGGTAATCTTTCTCGTCGAATATTCTTACGGGCAACTTCAATTTGTCCTCCGTCGACTTCATTGAAAATTTCTCGTCGAACTCCATCAATGGTTCCAACATCTGCAATTCATTGATCATTTATTAACCAGTAGGGGATGGAAGACCTCAAACTTGGGTAATTAAACTTTATTGTAAAGGAAATAAATTAAAACAAGTTAAACATGAATTGAACATAAATTGAATATAAGTTGAACAACAACCAACGAAGGGAAAGAAAGTGAAAAAATGGGCGTTGAGGCTCCCTTTTATAGGGGCACACGAATGCAATATAAAGGTTACACTGTGTGCGTAGGTGGCTTTGGTGGCGTGTGGCTTTGGCGGTACAATTTAATAATAGTTTATCAATTTTAAACTTTCAATAATGTGCTTCAGATATTAAATTGTGATGGCGAGGAATGATTTGTGATGGCCTTTAGACTACTTTCCGGTAGTCATTAATGACAGATCATGTTCATTCCTATGCTGATTATTAATTCGAACGGTCTCATTTACACATAGAATTTTTAATAATAATAATAATAATAATAATAATGAAATCACATTTGTATTCTTCAATGTTTTTCACCACAAATCTTTTCAACTTTTACGCATTTTTCTCGCAATCCGCCGCCATCGCGATTCAACTCAAACAAAAGAGACGGCATATCGAAGCGGGCATGCGAAAAACTGGATCAAATCACGACGAGAAAAAATGGCGGCCCGTCGTCCGTCCCCAGGACCGTTGCGAATCATCATCGTTAAGCTAAACGCACATAGATATGCATACGAATAACTCACAGATTTTGAATTTCTCGCCGGAATTTGTCGCTTCGCTAATGGCGCGTGTTTGAATGTTTCTGAAATCATTCCGACATTGAGAATTCGACAAAATGACGTCGCTTACTTGGCGATGTCATTCTGTGCCAAAACGACACCCAATGACGCGACTATTAAGAGCAATCGCATTTTGCTGAAATGATATTTTTGGAAGTAATCGGAATTGGGGATTTTACGAAAATGCCACAAAAAATCGGAGTGGTAATAAAATTGTTAATATTTGAAGTTATTCGAAAATCTCTCTTCCAGACTCAATTCGAACCATCACCTAATCGATTCGATCAGAGGGCAAATATTAGTGGATCTTTTTTTTAATAGGAACAATCGTCCTTTGGATTAGAATAACGGTAATAAGAGATCGGACATCGATCGGCGAACCTGTGCAAAGAAGCGGAAACTGAACGCGCACTAAAAGAAACGCATAGGTTATCGAATTTATATATGTACATAGTTTTACAAATTCCACATTGCTTAATAAATGGGGTCTTAGTTTATGCTTGTGAAGATCGTAATCTATTTATGACAATTAGAATACAAACATTTTTCAAACGAGAGAAGCGGATAAAAAAACCGCAAGTTTCTATCATCAATATCATCAAAACAGGAATCGCTGGTGGCGGTTGGGGTTGAATATGTGACTTCCGCATAAGATAAGACAATAAATGAAGAGAATGATGATAGTGCGAATCGTATAAACAAGCTCCTGCAGACGGCCACCTGTGGAGATGGGAGATGCCATTTATACATTCATCAATGGATGGAGAGGTGGGTCTTTTTGGTACACCATCGCGAATTCTAATTATTACACCCAACGGGTAACTGAACAATGGTTTTTCCTGAAGTGGTCAACACCTTTAAAGGAAGAAACGAATCAAAATTATAATACAGTGCAATTGTTTAGATTGTGAACCGGTTCACTTCGTTGCTTGTAATTGATATTTTTGGTTTCACTGAAGAAAATGCTTTTTTTCTCAAAATTTTATTTTCTAAAATCTGAAACTATGTGTTACACATGGCAATTGAATGAATGGAACAAGGAAAAATTAATTAGATGGTTTCGCTACAAAATTTGAATAAAAGAAAGCAATAAGGAAGGAATTTTTTCGTCTCAGAGATGCCATTTTTGAGAAATGAAACACATTTGGAAAAGAGTTAGCATACTGTAAAAGAATCCGCAGAAGGTGGAACTCACTAGCGAAATTCTAAATTGTAAACGAGTTGAATTATTTCTTCTCAAAGACTTGGCATTTTTTTCAGAAGTGAATTGATTTGTATTAGTATCAATGAGTTAATCAAAAACGGCCAACAACATTCTTTGAATAATCAGTGCGCGGGGGTCAATCGACGAAAACGGGATTGCCGATGGACACAATTTGCATTTTGTCGACAAAAACACGCCGTGCGGAGATGTCTCGAAAAAAGTCTGGTGTGATTCGAAATTAGCTTCAGCGGATTACAAACATACAAGTGTGCCGATAACAAGACGAATATACGCGCGTATATTGGCGATAAAAAACATCGAACGCAAAGATTGGAATTCTCGAACGAATCGAATGTTGCGGATCTCGGCGATTCTTTTCGGGAATCCCGTCGATTGCGATAATACGTATTATCAACGCAAAAAAAACGAGCATATTTGGTGTTTGGTGGCCATAGAAATTCTTCGATTCAATTTGTGGGAATGTTAGTTTGATGAACGAAATGGTCCCGTGCTAAAGGTCTTTTGAATACAACTGGAACATGCAGGAACTTTCATCCAACTGGGTTCTGATAAAACCCATCCAATGAGATTATAAAGTTTTCAGCGTTTCAAGTTTTCTTCTCCTAAAGAAATCATGTATTCGTTTGGAGACAAACCAATAAAACCACGAATAGCGAAACGTCCGCAAAATGCCGTCATGGCTATCACGGACGTTTTGAATAAAAATATGTATAACCGGTGATGAGAAAAAATACATCGAAAGATGCCCAATACCGCACCACTTCATTAAAAAAATTGATGGAATTGAACTAATTATTGGTTAACTATGTATATTTTCGAACACTTGAAGGACTACACTGGCCCACACACACACCTAAATAATAGAAACAAAAAATAAATAAATGTTGTATGATTGACGGACGGCACACACAAGTGCAAAAACCGAAGAGGTCAGAAGAGATATCGAAATGAAAAAGTATCTCCAGATGAAATTGACAGTCTGCCGAAGGTTGTCTTTTTTGTGCGCTGATTCACCTATAGAACATATGCGAAAAACCGGAGGAACATAAACGCGGCGAAAACAAATGTTTGAAGGACCTGCCGCAAAATGCATTCTAGCCTTAATTTGTTTGCAGATTTCCTTTTTGAAATCTGCAAACACACTGAATGAAAATCTGATTTTGTTTTCTCTATATTTTCTCAATGTACATATAGAAAATATTGAAAAGAATTGTCAACTTCGGAAAAAAACCTTCGGCATTTATCTCAAAACCTGCCAGTTCTGCAATTCAAAACGAAAATCGAAAAGTATGGAAGAGTTGTAGCCCTCAATAAATCCCTTATTTATATGCTTGTTTAGTTTTTTTTGGATTAGGCAATCGGATTACGCACTTTCCACACTGCGAAGACACTTATTCAAATTCACTTTCAATGCATGCCTACTTCTTCCAGGACAAGATAGAGAACATCAACTTGTTTACAAGGGCACCAACAGCAAAAAAAATAATGCACGAATATGGTGATTATTTGGGGCGTCGGGAATGCGAGAATTGTAATGAACAAAGCGTACAACAAGCGCGAATGTGGCGAAGATAACGAAAAAGAAGCAGGAGAAGCTGCGGGGCAGAACCTGAAGTATAATGAAAATGGGCGAATCTCGGATCAAAAGGCGGTACGGTGAGCGAGTGAGCGGAGGGCAAGCAACGACTGCGATCGCCTATCCTTGCCTGAATCGGCTGCCCTTCTCGCTGCCACGTATTTCATCCGTTTTTGTAGTGTAATTTATTAGGCGAAACAATGGCGCATGTTTGTCTTATTTCAAGTTTCATATCGGCGCAAGAGATTGCGAAAAAAGACCGCAATTTGCGTTGCGATACATGTTGGCGGATCGCTTTATTTTTTGCGGCCGTCATATTTTTGGCTAGCAATCATCATCGCGCATTCTTGCCAATCAAGTCGTGTTCATGAGATGGCAAATCGAATTTGGATTCATCGGGACTATCATAACGGACTCTTCGATTTGATCAGAGTGTTTCGAGAAATAAAAACTGGAAATTGTTTGACGAAAAAGTTGGCAGGAAATGGATAGAGTGCAACGAAATGCTAAACAAGGATGTTGGGTTTGAACGATTTCATGCGATGCAATGGATTTTGACAAGTCGACACGAGGGGGTTGGTGGTTGCATAATTCAAATGGTATAATGCAAGATTCTTACATTTTAGATGAGATAATTTCAGATTACTACGATGCTTAAAGAATATTGCCGAAAACAGCCCATCAAAATGGTCTTTTGACGCCACAATTTCTAGTTTTCGGAATATATCTTGAAAATCTGAAACTTGACAAATCGATTCTGTATCGTTTGTTATTAGTGATAGAAAATTGGAAAAATGAAGATAAACTAATTAAACCATCAGGAATTTGTAATTAAAGTTTTGTACACATTCGAAATTGTATATATGTAAATTGTATTACAATATGTTGATCGACGATCAAATAGCCATTCGAAAAGGGAGGATGAACAACTTTATCTTGATTGAAATTTCGAGATTATTCCACAAAAACGCGAATATTCGAATCTCCTAGATAAACTTTAAAATATTATGTTGAATTTATAGGAAAAGGTGAACAAATAAGAAAAAAATATAGTGGATATGATGGAAGAAATCTGAATAGATCGATGACAGAATATCGAACAATACATAAGTATGCTTGGCTTCCGAATAACAATGATCGCACGGAATCGGATGAGTGATAAAAAAACGTCAAGCGGCGATAAAGAGAAGCGGTTTTTGCAGAAAAATCAAAAGAGAGAAGATGTTCCGTGCGTCCGACACATTCTTTCGATAATTCGTCAACGAACAATTACTTGTACAAACATACTTGACAAAATTACTCTCACCAAACAGAATTTCTCTTTTCTTATACTTTTATTCAAGCAGACAATAATATATAAATGGATGGTTATAGCCAAAATATTACATTCTTTGAGGCAAAAAACGAGCGAAAATTAAAATTAAATTCATGGGCATATAAGGATTATTCATGAAAATGCTAGATTTGGAAGTTTTCTTGAAATTTATTTTGAATTTTATTCATTCCATGATTTTTAATTGACTCACAATTTTTTAAAATTGTTTGCATACAGATTCTTCTCGAAAGATATCCGATCGAATGAATTAGGTTCCTAACTTCTAATTATCGAGATATGGACCTTCAAAGTTTTAGCCCCTCCCCCAGTTGTGAGCTAAAATTTTCTATAAACACATCTTCTGAATACGTGAATTCACGCCAATAATTATGAAAATAATGATGATGTATTGAGATTGGCGTGAATCGGAATGGTTATATTAATACATTTTGTCGTGTTTAACATTAGCGAGGATGGTGAACCGAAAAATGGGTTTGTTGTTTGTTTTGTGCATCAATTGTGAACAGCCAATTTTCTATTAGGCATAGGAATTCTGATAATGCTGTTAACGATTACGCCTTCATTGGCACAATTGAATAATTCGTTGTATGAAGATGGGTTGAAAAAAATTTGCACAAAATTACAAGGAAAATATATTCATCGGACATCCGAAACTGTAATATTCGCCCCTTACGACATATGGAATTTTTCACATTTCAGTTCAATGATCCAGCTCAATGTTTGGAGGCAAATCTTCCTTACAATGTTAAAACAGACGTAAGTTATGTGATGAATTTCAATTTCATTCTTCTGTTTCAGGCAGCCGCCTTCAAGTTTTGCAGAATTGCTCTGCCATATAGCACAATTCTTTCGGGTAAAAAAGCAGTTGTCGCTGGAATAAATTATATTCAATGCTCGTTTCGTAACAATTAAATAAGACATCAAAATTTCAAACAATTAAATATTGAAGATTCGGAATTAATTTGCAAAAGTGGGTGGAAGCAATTGTGGGGACGATGCTATTTACTGATCAGCAAACAAGAAGTCACACTGAAGGAAGGCAAAGAAATTTGCGGGAAGATGAAAGCGAATCTCGTCGATATCCACCGGTTGGATTTGATTCAACGTCTCGACGATTCATTTGGACCACAATCAAGTGTCTGGGTTCGAACTTCACAGAAAAATCTGCCAATCCGAAAATCATTCGGAAATGCAACCATAATTGCGTATGGGGCAAGCGTTTTGTATACCGTCAAATACGGATCACTGATTGGAGTCGATGAGAAAACTGACAGAGCACAAGTGATTTGCGAATATGATCCTCCAGAAAATGTTGCATGTTTGTTAAGCACCAAAGCGATAGCTTAGCCATTTGTTTTAGACCATTTGGCTCGTTTAAAGCAATTCAGAGTGCTCGGGATCGTTGGAAAAGCTATCAATCAACGTCTTATTATAAAAACACACGGACGATACGGGTAGAAAACAACTAACAAATCAAATAATGTTATGCTTATTAAAGACTTCGTCAATCATTTGACAGTGAGAAAAACCCTTACGACAAACCATATGAGCACGCAGTGTGCAAAGTGAGCTCAAATGTTTCAAATTCGAACAAAATCAAATTAAGGCAATCATGAAAGTGTTTTCAAGAGATGGAGTTCGCGGAGCTTATTCATGGTTTGATTTCAATAATTTGCGAACTGAGATCGTCGAAGAACTCGTTGATGACCTTTCAATTGCGTATAGTGCTGCTCACAAATCTGAGAATGATGGCTTGTGCTTTTACCGATTAGACGATAAGGTGAGAGACATCCCTTTGCAAGGTTCAATATTATTTTTTGAAAATTTCGCGTCTAATTGAGTATAGGCAACATTTGGGGAGCGAAAAATTTGATTTTTTTGACAATTCACTAAACTTTTAAAGGGTAACATTACCAGTTGTACTGATTTGCTGAAAACGGATGTCAGCGATAGCTACGTATTGATGGAAAGAGCTTTTGCACTTGTACCCTAGTAAGTTCCTTTAAAAATGATATCTGGCATAATTTGAAAATTGCAGCAATTTTCATAAGGATGGATTGAAAACTGTGAATGCAACACAATTAGTATCTTTTCCGAATGGATTGAGATCATCGATGTTCTGCCAATCAGGTTTTACATGCAAACAGAATTTTGTGAATGATGAAATGAATTTGAGAAATGTTCAAAATTAACTATGCTTCGTGTCCTCCTGGATATCACGAATTCAAACGGGATTACAGAACTGCCTGTCACAAGGTATTGAAAAAATCGAAGAGAAAATTGAATTAATATATTTTTTTAGATTGTGTATGAAAGGAAAACCTGGGATGGTGCAATGCGGAAATGTAATTTGGAAGGGGCAACTCTTGCGGGATTCATCAACGACGAGGAGAGAGATTTCGTGTTTGGTACGCTTTTGAATCGATTTAGAACAATTTAAGCCCATTTCATTCCAATTTTTGAATTTAACACATTAAGCGATATTAGCGCGTAATTCACAGTTTCCATTCGTTTTTAATATCTCGTGGAATTTTCACAGAATGAATCAAAACGAATTTTATTCCATTTCTGAAATGAATGACTGTTGCGTTTTTCTTTAATTTAACAATCGCCCAAATAGTAGAGAGGGTAAAACGAAATGTATTGCTGATGATAATTTCTTCCTTTTTCAAGTAATGGGGTCCATATTAACAAAACTAATCAAAGATCTAACAGTAGCTAAAAAAATAAATATCTTAATAATAGAATTTTAAACCGATTCATTGAGAGTGGAAGATGGGAGAAGATTGTGAAAGATTACATACTGTTGAACTATCACTTTAACCTTTTTTCTTTTTCTATTGAGCAACAAAAATTCAAAGAATTACTCTAGTTAAAATGGTTAAAAACGATTGAAATTATTTTCAGAAAAAATCATAAAAACGGAAGGCAAATTTTGGGTTGGCGGTCGTCGTAATTTGAAATGTCTTTCACTGTCTTATTCGGGAAACAAAGATGTGTGCAACGAGGAAAATTTGTTCGAATGGCAAAACGGAATTGTTCCCGACGTTTATATCGACAAACTCAAGGTGTTTTGGATGCCTGGAGAGCCAAACTTTGCTGGCGCCAGTGAGCAATGCCTCGAAATGGTCAAGGGCGTTGTTAGATATAATTATCAATCTTGGAATGTTGATCGCTCTCGAATGTTCAATGACAAAACGTATTTGTTGAATCTTGTCGAAATCTGACTTACAATTTCAGATGTGAATCGGAAGAATTTTATATTTGCTCAATGATTCCAAGCATTTCATTTTCTCGATTTGGAAACGAATAAGTGCGATTCATGTTTTTAGTAGCAACCATTCATAAACTATCTTCCAATCATTTCATTTACGTACTTTGTCCCGAGACACATAGCGCATAGTCAATATATATATATATTTTATTTTTATTCATTCGTTTGACGTCGGCAGTAAAGAGTTGATAATGAATGAAGCTCATTTCAAAGGGAAAAACAGAAAAAAGAAAAAGACAATACGATATTGATACGAATATTTCTGAAGATTAAGGCCGGTTACTCTATAAACTGAATTTCTTATATGTAATATCACCAAGGGAATTTCTAAGTTAGTTCAAAGACGTACCAGTCGAAAAAAAAATGCGACATTTGCTTGTTCGATCCACGATTTTTGACGTGTTCTGATTTTTTTTGATCAAAATTTCTTGATAATTTTTTTTGACTCGGCTCTTTTGAGCACCGAATATAAACAGCGTGTTCTGGATGCCTGGATATTCTAACTTCGGCGGTGTTGATGAGCCTTGAAATGGTCGAATGGCGCTTTGTTCAATATAGTTTGGAGTTTTGAGATGTCGATTGGAATCCTCGAATCTTCAAAGACAACACAAAAACTGTGAATTTTGTTGTAGCTATTTCAAATATACTAATTTCAGATGTGAGCAACACGAATAGTTTATTTCAAATAATAGTTTTGCTGCTCAAACTTTTTCATAAAACTATTTTGAACTTCCTTCAACGCATTCCGAATGAACTGAACATTTTGACAACATAAAAGCGTGTCGAATTTCCCTGGCCAGGAAGCAGCCTTGCATAGGTCGGAACATCACTCACCATTTGAGAAGCTATCCGTTTCTTCCGTCGGTTTCTGAGACCGCCAATAACTCGACGAGCCGCAATCTGTTCAACTTGTTGGCTCGTGCCACATTCCGCATGCGGTCTCTCGATTCCATGCGCAATCTCGGCCGATTTCGAACGGTGCCCGTCTGTCACCACGGCTCCATACATTAGCGGGTGTCTTTTTGGGATCTCAAGTGCGGTAAGATGCTCTAACCGCTATTATGTGCGCGACGACCTCATTAACGAGACCCTTAACTATTGTCGCCGATGCTGGTTGGTGGCCGAGCTTTTTTAAGGCACCGCAATGCATGCAATCACGCACACCAACAGACACCATTTTCTTATTCAATTCCTTTCTAAATGAGCTTGCCAATTATCGCTTACAGGAAGTGCCCAATTTAACGTTTCAATACACTCTCCCTATTCATTATGGCGGATATATGCAACTCATACCAGACTGGATATGTAAATACATTTGAGGAAAAAAACCAAAAAATGTTTCTATCAACAAGTTTAGCTGAAAACCAAAACCATAACACTATTGTTTGTATGCAATATTTAACAAACATTTGGCTAAAGATGCCGACAGGAAGTCGTGCAGAGTGCGCCAAAGCGGCGCCACCTCGTCCGGTTACTGTACCTCGTGTCACACCAATATTTGCCATCGTTTTCACACCTTCGTGTGTCGGTCGAGAGCTTCCAATCGATGTATGATGGTCCTTTTTGGGTGACTCGTCGGGTTCGCGATTTCATTTTTTTTTTCGAAAATTTCTCGTCGTCTTACAATAAGACGAACAAATAGGGGGCAATTAGCCAAGAATTGGTGGTGCCACAGCGTATTCCATTCAATCTATCAACTATGCGCAGCTGCCAATCAGACAAAAAATGAGCGAGCGAGAATAACGACGAATGTCATTTCAATTTTACCTTATTCGCTCATTTTGCGGCTCCGCCGTTGATTTATGAGTTCGTTCGATACGAATTCGAATTGATTTTTTTTGGGAAGCTTTTATGAAAAATAAAACAATATGATAAAGGATGCTGAATGAGTTTCGACATTTCCGTCGGAAATTGAAATAAAAACTTTTTTTTCGAATATTTGAAAAACGAAAACAAAATAATTGGATTTGAAATCGACATAAAACTTTGCGAAATGATTACTTGAATGAATCAGCCAAAAATATGAATAATTAGGCGGTAATTACATAATTAGAAAAATGAAGTGAGACATCCAAAATTCAAAAGAGACAAATAGTTGAAACTTCACATTAATCGAATAAACTCGATAATGAGCTGCCAATTTTTTGTCGATTTTTTCGAACAATTTTTTAAAATTTGTTGAAACCACAAAAATTTGATTTTTTATATTCATAAAAATATTACTATTTTATTGTTTTTTTTTCACTTTAATACTAATGAATTGCGGATTTACGTTGGGTTATCTCAGACAAAATTCACCCATAAGACAGCTGATTGATAACAGATTTTTCTCTTAAAAAAAAAACCGAATTCTTTGTTTTTTAAAACCATAAATTGCGATAAATTCGAGCATTCCACAACGTTTGCAAAATAGAAAAAAATTAACTTTTTTTTTAATGATTTTTTCTGGAACAAACTTTTTAATCATGCTAACTAGCCAAAAGAAATGTTGAGAATTCAGTACTATTAGGAATATTTTCTGAAATGTCGCCATCAAACACCAGAACTCATTTATTTTTTAACCCACCCATCAGAAAAACACGATTCAGTCGGCAAGTTTCCACTTTTTGTATCATTTTACAGTAGAAGCTCGAATAGATTTGAAAAACAATTTGAGTGGGCTCATTCATGTCTCATTTGGGCGGCGGCCAATCGGCGACGACGAGCCCGCCCATATTCGAGCCGCTTCGCCCCGCCCACTTTCAAATCGCGCGCACACGGGAAACGCATCGAATCAGATACAGGAAAAGGAAGCGGATGCGAATGCAAGTCGTCTCGTCAGCACAAGCACCGTCCACGGGCGTCATCGGATCATCAGAAGAGAATGTGATCAAGTATTCAGCGGCAATCAAGCCGCCGCCACCTCAGCAGTCGCATTCGCAGCTTCCGCAACAGCAGTCGCAACAGCAGCCGCAACAGCCATCCCAGCAGCAATCCCAACAGCAGAATTCGTCATCGACACCGTCGTTTAACAACTTTGCCTTTTTCGTGAGTTCTTCTTTTTTAAATGCATATTATTGTTTATTTCCGTTCTCACTTATTTTATCGTGCCCTCAAAAACTGAGTTCTATTGAAATTGTCATTCAGAATGGAATGCAGAATGCGCCGATGTCCCCAACTCGAATGTTCTACGAATCGGCACCGAAGAATGAAAATGGTCAGTTTTTTTTCAAATCTTTTTTATTGAATTAAAAAAATGATCTCCTTTCTTGGGTACGGAAATAAGCTTCTGATATTTAGATTTTATCTAATAATTCTGATTCCAAATATTCTAGAACAATTAGACATTGAAGTTTTTGTCATATATGGAGAGTTTCGGAAACATGATATTCTTACGTCGAAAATTTCGAAAGACAAAAGGAAAACTAATTTTCAAGTCAAATTGCTAATCTTTTTTTGAAAATGCTTCCATTTTTCTTTTATTTTGCAAATATGTTGGAAATTGTTAGAAGATAGGTAGATCTTCCTTTGACTTTTTCGAATTACGCCGTTGATTAAGTGTGCAATCGTGCGCGGATATCCGGAATTGTTCCGTTCAGTCAGTCACCTTCTCTTTCTTTCCATCTTCTTCTCCATTTTTTCGTCTTCTTCACAAAATTGTTCGTTCATTCATTCTTTTGCATTTTTCGCGCATCCTGAATGAATGCTTCGTCGGTCGCCGTCGCCGTCGTCTTCGAGTAACTGAATTTCCTGCTGATTCCGCCGATGATTTTCGCGGCACACACAACTCGGTTTTTCACCTCACTTCATTTGTAGCTTTTTCGGAGGATGCATCGCGTCTTCTATTTTTTTTTCCAATTTCATTCTTCATTTTTCGAAAACAATAAAAATAAAATTAATGATTTGCAGATCATTTTCCTGGTATGAATTTATCGATAACGGCGACGTCGTCGTCATCTGAGAAGCTGTCATCGTCGCCGTTCTCATCGTCCACATCGCCACCGAGCAGCAAGGAACAACAGGTACCAACCATATTACTCCTATAATAATGCGCTAGCCGTTAGTCTATATATCATTAAGAAAATGGAAGCCATTTATATGGAAACCTCGGCAATTATTTCTCTGAAGACATTGGGCAATTGAGTGTATCCAGTTGAAGGGGACCCAAGCAGTTTTTCCGAAAGAGAAAAAAAAAGAATTTTGAAATATTCTCAACAACAAAAACACAATTTTTTAAGATATTTTTTTTTTAAATTTTTCATATGAATTCAATATTCAAAAATATTTTAAATTTTATTATAATGTTAAAAATTTGGTTAGAACTTCCATAATATACGAACCTATTATTCCTTCGAAGGCGGTATTTCTTAGAAATTTCGATTATTAATAATTTATTCAAAATCTCCAATTTAGACTATTTACCGCATACGCATTCATTTCATATTCGATCCAATTCTAATTCGTTCATTTCAGAATCGCCGTCAGTACTACACCGAAAATGGGAATAATAATAAAACAGGTAAATTCGAGTCAAAATTCGTTGATTTTCTTGATTCGCAATTCCAGATGTGTTCAATATTTCGATGCAAGCATTCGCTCCGAACGCAAAGAATGAAGAGCAGATTCAAGCGCATTTCAACACACTGAGCTCCTACTATTCGGGCCTCAAACTCACAAACACCTCGTCATTTCCAGCGCCAGGTTAGTCGGTCGATACGCTTCAATTTCCTGTTTTGGCACCACTCGACGATTCGTTTCATTTTGCGCTTCTCGCTTCTCATAATAGCAGCTACAGTATCCGGTGTCGGCGAGAAAACAATCAAGCGACGAGGGCTCGCCGCTCAATGCCGCCCTAACAAACTTTCGAGCTACCGTAGTCGGAGTTGTGCGCGTTGAGAGAGTGCTTCAAACAAAGAGAAACCGGGTGGTTTGGGCTCATTCATCCATCAAAAAACTGCATCGTGTGCTCGAAACTCGTCAACGATACTTTAATTGCGTCGTCGTCGTCGTCGTCGTCGGCGGCGGAGGCGGCAAATCGGGGCACAACAAAGAATGCACAAGACTATTATCTAGTAGGCTTCTTCAATGTGACAAACCAAACCGGGAAACACACCAATTATGTTATGTAACATATTCGATTCGGGTGGGCCCGGTGCGCGAAAATCATTAAAGGTGGTGCCGACGAAGTCAATTTGGATTAGGTGTCTCATGAAATTGCGAATCCGGAAATTGAATGTTGCCAAACAAACCGGCGTTGTGTTTTTTTGTGACAAACGGGATATTATTCGCCGACAATCTGCCAATAATATACATACAGTAGTGGATGCTCTCTTTGTGGGGAGATTATGAGCAAGAACATGCGCGGAAATCCTGTGCTGCCGCCAAACGCAAGATGATTCTGTGCAAACAAAACTCTTTTCTTGCCTCCTCGATATCTGAAATCCAATCCCGACGCCGTCGTTGTTTTATTTGCGGATTAGTTACAGTATGCCATCTGTCACCTCGGCATGTCCTTGCAAAAAAAAGAACCATGCGCGAGAAGGAATCAAAAGTGTGCTAGGAGATCTGCGTGCGTCGAACCCATTATCGCGCATTTCAAATTGTTGCGTTGTCGGCTTGAAACGAATAAATTATGCGAAGCGGCGTCGTCGTCGTTCCTTCAAAACTCGACAAAACGATGAGCAAAAATCGTCGGAAGAGGTCAAGCTACTTGAGAAGCCAATTAGTGTGACCATTTATGGTGTTAAACATGTGCTCACCAATTGCCAGGTGACAGTTACGAATCAATTGGCTGGTTGTTTTCGAAAATTGAATAAGAAATCAATAGAAGCGCATAAAGACAACATAAACAAATCAAAATCATGTATTTTTCAATTTTTATTAATTTGAAGTTGAATATTCAAATGCAAATTAAAAATGTATTAAATATTGTAGAAAAAAGTTAAAATTAAATGATTTATGAAATGAGCTATTTTGAAATCAAGTTAATATCGAAATTTTATCATCTGTGTCGATTTACGCGAGCATAATTAAAAGCATAATTGTACCCAAGTTTTTTCTCTGAAAACGGAAAATTTTGATTGATTCAGTCTAGTGAGCAACCGACTCAGTCTTAATTGGCGCAATACGATTACGGTAGTAGCTGAGCACGTGCTCTTCTTGCTTATTGAATATAATTACAGTCTCAAGACAAATGTTGCACACATGTCTATTGAAGCCTGTATAAATCAGCGAGCTAAACGTATGTATTGTGTGTTTTGTTTTCACGCTAATTGCTCAAGCGCAGAAATTTCACCTCAGTCGTCGATTTTCACCTGTTTTTCTTCAAGACAGACACCTGTACTCAATTAGAGCGCAAGTGTTTTGGACGAATGTGCTCGTAATTGAGTTGGTCCAAGGGACCTGCTTAATTGTATGACAATCTTGCATCACTGCGCACCGCGTGGCCCCAATCAAAACATGCTTGACGACCTAATCAAATCAAACGACTTCCTTAAAAAGAACGCATCGTGTGTTTGCAGATCCCTACCAGATTTTGGGACCAACTAGCCGCAGTTTAGCGCATTCCGGAAGCGGACAAACACAGTTGTGGCAGTTTCTTCTTGAACTTCTCTCAGACAGTCGCAATGCGGAAGTGATCACATGGGAAGGAACCAATGGAGAATTCAAGCTAGTGGATCCTGATGAAGTCGCAAGGTTGGAAATAGAAACCAATTTATCAACATTTGGAATTGATTTCAGAAAATGGGGAGAACGAAAATCGAAGCCAAACATGAATTATGATAAAATGTCAAGAGCTCTTCGCTATTATTACGACAAGAATATAATGGCGAAAGTGCACGGAAAGCGATATGCGTACAAGTTTGATTTTCAAGGTAACCACAATTCAAAACCAATATCAATATAAGTATTGATTTGGAGGAATCGCGGCAGCTCTGCAGCCAGCAACAGCGACTGGACCGCAAGATTATTTCAATTCGCACACGGTTGGTAGGATTGCTCCTGACTTTTCTTGGACCAGTGCCAATTACCGATCTCTAATTCCAGCCGGATTTAACGTACGTTTCCATTTTTGTTTTGGTTTTCTGAGCCAAACTTTCATTTTAAGGGTGGCAGCACAATTTTCAATCCATCGGTCGGATATAGCGCATTCGGTGCCACTAGTGGTACCGGTAATCTCTCGACAAGAGCATTCCCGCTCTACCGCTAATCCTAGATTCCTCCGGTCACTCTATTTGTTATTTCCAATTCCATGCGGGATTTGACAACAAAAAAACCAATTTTCTAAATAATTTAAAGAACAGTTAGATGATCTCTTCCAACAACGGGGATTCCTTGCTTATACTTTCTTTAATTTTCTAGTCCTCCCATTTTTGTTTCTCTAATATCTTCGTTTTCTTCCCACGAATTTGTTTACCTCATCACAAATGAATTTATTGAATGAAACAATGATAATGATAAAAAATAATAACGATAATAATTAATATAAAATAATGATAATAAACGATGAAATACATGTGGTTTGTGTTAACTGAAACAGTTTGGAAAAACGCGCACAAAATGACCAAATAATATCACAATATACGAATACATATTGGAAGGAGAAGAGGGTGTTGCTTGAAGATTCTTCAACACAGCTACCTGTGACTGATGCTATCATATTAGGTGCTTATACATATTAGGAATGTGCATAAGAAGATTAAGAATGCCTAATAATAATAATGATAATAATAATAATAATAATAAGAAGAATGAGTTAATGACATTATATACACAATTGAATAGCATTTTTGGTGAGTCGCTGAGCAAGTGTGAGATTGAATGAGATGATTTTACAAATTTGGTGCTAGTTAGACGTCACTGAAATGATCTCATTCCGTTGATTAGTTTCCAATTAATTTGACTTACGAGGTTTCTAAATGGTTATCCATTATGAACTTAAGAAGCTCTTGATGTTTTGAATTTTTCGATGAATCTGATGTGTTTGGTGAAGGTGTTGAGCTGGGTGGCGGAAGCTCAGGTGGAGGTGGTGCGACAACAGAAGCCGCTCCTTCTTCCTCCTTCTCATCTACTACGGATGGTGCGGCTTCTAAACTAATACTTAATGTTGACTGAGGTTCGGTTGGAGAATCGTTGATGGCAATTGTGGAAATATGAGAAGGTTTCAGCTGCAAGTAAAAAAAATTTTTTTTTCAAAAGTTGTCATTATTATTCATACCGTCATGGAATCTCCGTTTCCAGCCGCGTCGTTATTGCACGATGATGCTGAAGAGATTCCTGAAGTGGAACTTCCAAAGGAATCCATGCTGGCAGCAGTTGAAGCATGCGAGCTTCGTCGGGAGTTCTCTAATCGTTTCCTACTGCTCCCTCCGACGGCAGAGCTGACGTTCCATGACAATCTTTTGAGAATCGCGCCGGATAGCATAGATGATTTCGGTTTTAAAACATCGATTCCGTCAGCGGTATGGTAACGTTTCTCGAAACGTCTTCCAGAGTGTGGCGTCTCTATGGTATCTTCAGAAGTGATCAATAACGTCGGCGAATCACGGCATGGTGTTGAAGTAACTGGACTATCTTCTCCACAGCTAAAGTTCAATTTATTGATTTTGCTGATGTCTTATTAGAATTGATTTACTTGCTATTATTTTCTTTTCGCACAGGCGAGGAACTTCTAGACCTTTCTTTGAGGCCGTCAATGTCTGGACCCGAAGAATTCGAGCGAGATCTTGGTCGCTCCCCTAGAGTTTGATGAATTTGAAAACCTTTTAAAAATAATAATCTCTAACCATTTTCGGCTCCAAGAGAGACATACAAATCGACTGAGCTCTTGCTGGATGATAACGGATTGGCGACACAACTGGCGACGCTCAGCTTATGACGAGGCGGTGTGTTTTTGGAATCTGTGCTCGAATGACGATCAAGCTGCTCAGTGGAAGAAACCGCCGAACTACGGTGCATGTCTGCAAAAGCAATTCGCATCAATTTTTTCTCAATGATGCTCTTACAATTCAAGTGAGCATGAGCTGCAACTGCTTGCGAGTCCATGCTACTACATTTTCTGTGAACGATTGGAAGACGAGCTCCCGGTGGCATCATTCGCATTCTAAACCATTCAATCAAATTACAAATAAACGAAAATAAATGATTACCCATCGCGATAAGGCGAAAAATTGTGGTCTCCCATGAATCCTCTACCGTAATCTTCGACCGAATTGTCGTACTCGTTTGGAGACCATGATCCCCGATAAAGTCGTTTGTACTCGTCCTCAGCCATTTTCAGCATTTCCAACCAGCGTTGAGTTTCTTCGACGCCGCTAGTATACATCATGTACAAACTAGCCGGCGTTCGAAATTCCGTCATACTGATCACGTAAAACCCATCTAAAAATAATCAATAATAGCTCTACTAAAATGCATAAATTTTGCTTACTAGCTTCTAAGAATGGATGATACACAATTCTGGCAATATGAATTGGCGGTTTGATAATCTTCATTCGATCCTTTTTGCCTTGAATTCGTCGACAAATAAGGAACATATCAGTGAAAATGATGCAATGAACATCAAGTTTTGAGCCTTTCCGAGATTCGCTCATTCGGACGTCTCCCTTATGAAAAATGGTGCGATATGTTGGCGTGTTATGAGGAAGTAGCGGCATGCATTCGGTGAGATTCAGCATCATACGATAGCGGAACAACTGAAAATATTCCAATTCATTGATGGTTGATGATTTTATCCATATTCTTATTCGTCAAATTCCTAGAATATTGAATCAATAGTTTTTCGCACGCTATTTTCAGCGCTGAAGAGAAATGTAATTTCGAAATATTAAATTTGTTCTCATAATATGACGTCTGTGCATTCTATTTTTACCAATTATGTGGTCTGCGCTCGTACAAATATTTTCCCATGTTAACGAAACTCTGAGAATGCCAAAAATAAGTAGAAGCGAAGTGGTTGCCCAACTCAGAATGATACCTTCTCTAGTTCATCCGAATCTACACAATCATATCCTTCAATTGATCGCATGATATCGCTGAGTTGCAATCTCAAATCGTTGTTGTTCATTTCGAAATTGAGTTGCTTCGTCGCATTTTCAGCTCTGTCGATCATGTCGTCGACGAGCTCGCGCTCATCCTCGTTCGTCGTCACTTTTAGGAGCGCCTGAAAACCGAACAAATGAGCCACTCGAAATTCCCCGGAGATTGCAATTGTTGCTCAATTAACACAAAAAAAGAAGACGACAGAAGCGGAAGCATAAACAGAACGAACCTTGAGTAATAAATTGTATCTTGTGAGTCTTTGCATCGGCTGCGATAACGTGTCGCAAAGCTTTTGACGGTCTAGATTTTCCTGTGCTTCGGCCCACTGAAATATGCAGAATTTGGTGAGAACAAATGTCGAGAATCGCTCTTACGGTCACGAATTCACGGAACATTTCATGGTCCTTTGTCCTTTTTTGCACATAAGCATGAGATTCTCCATGAGACAAATTGAACGCCAGATAGCACTTGGACCATTCTCCAATATCCTTGAAGCCATTCCATAATTGGCGAACGTCTAGTGGCTCGCCAGTAGCTCTGCAAAATATTCATTAAATAATCCTTTAATCCAAAACGTTTGTTTTTGAAAAGTCAAACCTCGAATTTTCGAGGATTGGCTCAATTGAGCACTTCCAGAGTGTTGACACATTCACGTGAAGAAGCTCGCGAACATTGATGAACACCAAGCGATGCTCAATATCTTTGAGATATCCACTGTATTGCAGTTGTTGGAGGTAGATTGAGAGATCGACGAGATAACGTAGGAGCTGAAAATCGCGTAAATCGCTCATGTTCTTAAACACCCAAGCTCTAATCTCAAACAACACAAAATTTTTGAAGGAGAATTGTCGTTGAGTCATATAAATCCTTCCCACCTTAATATATCTGTGTTCGGTTGCAATAATCTCCCAAATGGCTTCCTGCTGTTTGATACACTTTTCAGAAAAGTTCTGAAAAAAAATGAATTATTGAAACGGCTTGAATTATTGATAAAAGAAGAAACCTGGTGATCATTCACAATCATTCGCCAATCTTTTTCCAATTTGTAGCTCGGAAACTCGCTCTCGCGTTCCTCTTTGAGCGCATTCAGCCGGTTGATCATCTCGTTTTTCTCTTTGCCAAAGAATAGCGAGATTCTCGACGAGGTCACCGACCGTGCTCGGCGCGTCCCGCCGTCGTCAGGTTCCGAGCAGCTTGGTTCATCGAACTGCGAGAAATCGCGAACGCTGAAGAAACACAAAACGTTGAGGTGATTGAATTTGGGAAAAGCCGCGTGCGGTCGCTTCGCAGTTCCGCTAATTTTCAAAGTTTTGGTTTCGAAATTTTTCGAAAATTTTGAACCACAAATATTTATGTTTGCTTATAGAGTAAAGAAAAAACATAAATATTTATTGTAAATGATAAAATTTTGAAAGAAACTTGTTTTTGTTGTCCCATATAATTCATTTATTTCAAAATTCGTCAAATCGTGCCGTAGAAACAGCGGTGAGTAGAGTGTTTCGGTGAAAAGCCAAAATATGTCTGGACCTCTCACAATCACTCACTATTTCAATGCTTTTCATCGACACTTTCAACACAATTCAGAATAGTTTGATATGGTCATCTCATTATTGCAGAGTTGCTTAGTTTTCAGAAAATTAAAAATTTTACAAGAACAAATGTGTTTTAATCTCTCATTTTAACTCAGGAAAGATCAATTCGTTAATTTGTTGTCACGTTTCCGCTGGTCGTGCTTTGCTCTAACAAAACCAACGTTAACATCTTTGATATTTGATGAATAATTAATACGTCGAGATTCGAATTAAAAAAAAGAAGACGAAGATGTACCTCAATGAACTGTCGTTGCTGCGACATTCCGCGTCATCGCTTCCGTTCAATCCGGCGTGTTGCTTCGAACGATTCAGCTGAAAACAGAAATGGATTAAACTAATTCAATGCCTCTACTTGCCATGTGTTATCAAAAAATTATGTTAAAATTTTATGCATAAACAAAACGAAAATCGAATCGAATCGTTTCTGACGCAAATTCTAATCTTGTTGTTTCTTAAACTTTTGCATATTGGATTAGATTACTATATACTTCCTATTTTCACATGGAAATGCCATGCAACCATGTGAACACCGAAAGTCGCCTCCTAACAAATAGATAGTGCGTGAAAGAAACGAGTTATATGATCGAAAATCGCCTCGAAATTACGTTTTTTTTTGAACTTTATATAATTACTGGTATACGTCTTCAACCTGGTTCGACTCTTCATCATGGTCTAATTGGTCTCGCAAAATGACCTACTCTTCGCATAATTTTTAAAGAAGTTTTAAATGACCAACAAGGTCAAATTATGAGTCATTTTCAATTCGTAATTGGGGGAAAAAAACCTACCAGTCGACTGTTGACGAATGAAGATTTTCGAGAAACGGCTTCTGCGCTCATTTTGCGTGTGGATCGCTCATTGCTCTCATCCATACTGTGCGCGGCTCTCGTATGTCGCACCACTTTCATATTCCCTCGTCCTAAAACCATTCAATTTAAGGTTTTCGAGTTGGTTTTTTGTTCTTTCGATTTCGCCTTTTCATTTTCACCATTCTGCTTTTTTTTTCATGATGGTCCCAATACATTCGGATTTAGTGGATTAGAGGCAATTTTTAAATCGGTTTCTGGCGATTTCCAAATGGCAAAAAAATGAGGAAGTTGGGGGGGGAAGTGAGGAAACAGAAAGGAATGCGCGACATGGTCAAAAAAAAAAATAAAAGAAAAGACACCCGAAATATAATTCGACGACCTCAATGTTTGAGAAAAATGCAGCGAATGCTATTACTCGACATCCTCTCCGGTAATTGCTGGTTTGTAAATTGTCAAAGGCAGACACTCACACGCACAAAAAATTGCGAACAAAAGAAAAACGAATTTCGAATGGAACTAGGAAAATTTCAGAGATTTATATATGTATGAATAAATATATTTTTTTTGCTTTTGTTAACCGGCTTCTTCCTAAATATGACTTTTGATTTTCTTCCAAAATTTCTCGAAATTTCCCAACTATTCCAATTTTTGCTATTGTCGCCCAATGTTGAAAACTAATTTTTTTTGGTTCGAGAGTTAAAAAGAAGCTTTTGACTGCAAAAAATGAGACTTGAAAAAAATGAAATCTAGGTCAAAGAGAAGATGAGAAGAAATTGCAACTGCATAGAGTGACTCTAAAATGAATTATGAAAAAAAAAGAACGAAAAGCAACCCAGGGTATTCATCATTATAAAATAGGTCTGTCGAGGCCCGCATCAAAAATCAGCCCCCATCATCCCAAAAAAGGGAATGATATTAAAAGATGGGCGGCGGCGGCGGCTCCTTTCAGTCGTGTTGACCCTTCAAATTGTTAGTGTTGGGAAAATGCGTTTCCGATTCGTGATATACAAACAAAATAGGCTGCATACATATATGCGAAATATCGTGATATCGAGAGGAGAGAATGATTTTTGGCAAGCCTTCTTTTTTGTTAGATATAAAAATTGTCGTTGGGGTCGAATGCGTGCTCTCATCGAATTCTTGGAAGACGAGCGAATCTCGTTTGACTCACCGACTCTCGAACGTGTTCCATTCATTATTCATTCGGGAATCGTGTATTCGAAATATGAATGTGTCGCGCGTATGGATTTCGTCGTATTAAATGAGAAGAGCCGTGGCGAATTAGGATATAGTTCAGATTTCCGGATTATACGATTCGCTCTTGTTGCTTACTTTTTTTTTCAACGAACCCATTTCTTTTTTTCTTTGTTTTAAATAATTGTGAGATATTTTTTGATCGAAAAAAAATAGTTTTGAAAAAGTAAAAATTGAGCGAATTCCATTTAAATTTGAAAATTTTTCAATTTAAATTCACTCTTCATTTTTCTTTTGCAAACGAAGAAAAAAAAAAATAATTTTTGCATCAATTCATTTTGAATGAAAATCGTTGTTTTTCCAAGATTTGTTGCAAATATCTTCGTCGAAATATTTGATGCCTTCAACGGCCTCCGCGAATGAAAACAACACTAAGTGCACTCGGCGGCCTAATAAGGAATGTCTGCGCTCTTCCAAACGTATCAAATTCACAACAGAGCATTCAATTAGCTTTTGATATCTCATGAAACTCAATGAATACAAAGAGAAGAAGAAAAAAGGGATGAATCAGAAGAAGAAGAAGAAGAAGAAGGATGGGCCCCGATGGATGATTGGCGAGGGTGGAATTGCTCGTTTGCTCTTTATTCATTTATTGCCCAATCTAGCAAGCAAGCGCACATGGCCAACGTTTTTTTTAGAGCAAACTTATAAAGGTCGTCAAACATCTGGTTTCGAAGCGAAAACGGATTGATGAGTTGGAATTTCTGTGTGTGCTCAAAGGCAGCTATTGATTGGGTGGAGGTGGTTGGGGGACCAGAAGATAAAACGACAATATTGAAAAGGCTTCGACCCGGTTGATTGTCGGCAGATAAATTTGGAATTGATGGTGGATGTTTCGAAAGAAAAAAAATGGAGGAAGAGTCGCGACTAAATGAAACATGTCACCCAACCAACACACTTTTTTTGGAGAATGAATCAGCGCTTGAAATCCATAAATTTGAGCGTTTGTTTGTATGTGTGTGTGTGTGAGAGCTATTGGCGAACACTTGGAAATGAAATATTTTGAGAAGCAGAAGCTCGAGGGTTCGAACAGAAGCAACACAAAAAATAACAATTTCGCTGACCGAGACCACCCTCATTATCGCAGATGGTTGTTGGCGAGTCAATAAAAAAAACGACGAAATTTTCAACAGAGCATCAATTCGAATTTCTCTAGTGATAAATACGACGAAAATAATATTTCGGTTAGCAAATGTGTTAGAAAAAATCGAATATTTTTTGAGCAACGCGCACAAATATATTTTTGTCGCTCTAACTCGTCTAAAATTAATTAAAATTATTTCTTTCAACACTGCTGAGTTTTAATCGAATTGTATAAGTCACCAAATCTGATTGAAATGACCTTTCCCATTAATGACTAATAATCGGCTACATCATGTTTCCATGACACCTGACAAGTCTTTAATTAAGAAAAACAGAATCTCACTGATATCCCGAAAATTAAAGGAAGATTTCGAGCCCATGCGAAAGATTTGAATTCATTATACTAGTCAGACTGATTTCGCAAAAACTGGGAAAATCAAATCGTAGAAAAAACGAATGCATAAGTACTAGGAAGTGATCAATTAGGCTCAAAAAAAAATCAAGCATCACCTTGTGAATATATCATTTTTGTCGACGGCTCGAGTAGTAAAATAGGGAATTTCGTGATGAATATAGTTGCCCTTCGATTTTATTCAATTCTGTTCAGTCACTTGTATGTACTACCTATTTATATGGGAAAACATTTTTTGGGTGGGAAAAACCCCCCAATGAAAACGAATGCTATAAAAAGAGAATTCGGGGGGCTCGACGTGTCGTAAAAAATGGATTTGAGCAAATATGCTGCGTTGTATTCGCTTCTGATGGAAATTTGTCATCGGAATGGAACGAAGAACGTCGAGGAGGAGGAGGAGGAGGAGGACGAGATAAGAGTAATAAATTTCGAATTCCACCAAAATCACCTTCGTATTTTTTTTCCTATGAAAACTAAGAATTCGGTTTAATTCCAAGAAAATCCTTTTTAAGTCAAAAACATGTTGATCTTCTACTTTGTCAAAACACACGTGACATACAGTCACACATAGTTAAATATAGAGAAGTGAATTGCGGGGTGACTGACAGACAAGAGATGTCTTATATGGAAATTTCGACCACAAAAAATATATATCGTGTTGTGGGTAACGCTAACTAGACACTGGAGACAAGGTTACGTTGTTGTTGTTTATCACACCTAGAAATGATAGTTGTAACAACAAATTATGCACAATGCAACTCTAGATGAAGCAATGAGCAGAACTGATCGACGCAATAGAGATTACATCTTATAAAATGTTTTAATCTGTTTTCTTGGTCATTGGCAATAAAAAATAAATAAACAAACATGAAAGATGTTCCGTCGGAGCAGGAGGAAAAGAAATGAGAACTCAAGAGATATTAGATGACATTCGGACCAATGTAATTCAATTGAATATAATGAAAAACCGAGAGCGAATTTTTATGGATTTTCTCGTTTTCATAATGAAGATTTTGACGCTTGATAATCATAAATGTATGAATCGCGAATTATTAAAGAGTTTCGACGAAGAAGACATCCCTCAAAAAAAAGAAATGAGGAACATACACTACCAACGATTCGTTTTTTTATGAACCTGATGACTCTTCTAGAATTTGCTTTGCTATTCGATTAATTTCGAAATTAGATTAATTCTTAAAATGCTTTAAAGATTAAAACGGGATATTGCAACATACGTACTATCTTGAGTCAAAATCCGCGGCTGTCGAATGAATGAATGAATGAATGAATTAAATGGGTGGAAAGACTTTCCAACTGTAAAGATATGACGAATGGAATTCGTAACGGTCGAGAGAATGGATTTTAAATGCAAAATGCAACCATCGATTCATAAATCCATTGTATGCAAATCGCGCCAATCTACGCCTCAACTTCTTATTCATCATCATTTTGTTTCATCTTTCTTCTTCTTCTTCTTCTATTCTTCTCCTTCGCCTTCTTCTCGCCACTAATTCAGCCGTTCGTTCATCAATTCGATTTCTCTCTTCCCAATCACCACACAAATTTGTGGAATCTTGCGCTATCTTTCACTCGACCAGCGAAGATTATTTGAATTCGATCAATCGGTTAATAACTTGTCACCCATTTCAATTTGTATTAATTTCGATTCATTAAACGTACACGCCTTTTCGCCCTTTAAAAGATATTGATTCTTGATGATCAAATACCAAATTTTTGTCAAACAAGCTTGTGACTACTTCCTAATATGTAGTGGATTCTTTTAATGAAAGTGAAACGAACAAGATGGAAAAAAAAGAATATGTATCAAAGCAACAAAGGTATAGCCAAAAGCTCACCTCTCACGAATATCTTGTGCTCGGCCAAATATCGAGCTTCGGAATTCTCGGGAATCGGAGTCGAGCTCTTCTCGAGAAAGAACTCAACCTCGTTGATGGTGAGACCACGGGCACGAAGTGATGCTGCAAAAAAATGAATACGAGAATAAGTCGGATGGACAATGAAAAAGAACACAATAAATACATAATTGAATGGGATTATCCCGACGATTTTTAAGATCGAAGGTTAGAGCAAAGAAAAAAAAACAAAATCTTCGAAACCAACAAGGAAATTTTTTTTTGGAAGGAAGAGGCTAACTTCCTTGTTAGAATAATTTGTTCGCTTTTAAATGTCGAAATTTGGCTTATTTATTGTGTAGAATTTGTTGAGAAAATGAATAAATGTTGAAACTAACGTTCGAATGCTTCATACAGTCTCATTCCATTTTCGAAATGAATTTTTTCTAAGCTGTTGTCGATGTCTTTGAAACTCGCAATTATAAAGTTGATTGGCGGCTCGATTTCGATGTTATGAATGCGATTCTGAAAAGAGCAATTTATTCTGTCTCGGCTAAATTTGGTGGTGAATGTTTTGATTTATCAAAATGACATATTGTCGTCAGGATTCGCATATTATTTATGCTGAATATTTGCTGAAATTTGTCTTGACATGATCATTCCTTTCCTCTGTTTATTTTGCAGGAATTTCTACGAGAGTCAACTATACTAGCCTCGAATCAATTCGGACTAATTTTAAAATACATCAAGACGTTCTTGTTAATTATTTTGTTAACAAAAATTGAAGTCCATAATTATGATAATTCGATAACCTTGCATTTTGCCGAATACGATCGAATTCGCATTCCATTCTGATTTTGCACACGCTCGCGATGAAACGACGACTGTTTTCGAACTGTAGGCATTCGATGGATGGATGTTCTTTATTTTAGGATGATATTTCAATATACTAAAATGTATTTCAAGATTGGTCTGAAACTTTTTGAATTTATGAATTAATCTACACGCGAAGGAGAATTGGCACAACATTAGTAGAAAATTGGAATTTTGAAAAAAAAAACAACCAAAAATTAAAATGAATGATGTTCAAAAGAAATGGAACGTTTCAGTTCTCCACAATAGGAAGTTTTTCGATGAAATTTGAACATTGACAAAAATTTGATATGAAGACCAAAGTTCGTTTTGTCATTCATATCTACTGATTTCGACAAATATTGAAATTTACTGACAAAACTAGAAGGATATAAGTCATAACCGTTGAACTACTTCAATATTAATATTCATTTCTTTTTTTTCTAAAAATGGAAGCTCACAATCTTGACGTAGTAGGCTTAGAAAGTGGGAAAAGACAAAGACAGACGTTTGAATTAATTGATAATGATTGCTAAAATTGTTACAAAGAGTGTTTGGTAGACGGAACAAAAATCATCACAAAAATAGTGAGAGAACAATGGAGAATCGACACTCGTTTTTATCAAATCTTTTAGAAGATGGCCATGTTCGTCCAAAGCATTCATTGTATGTTTGTATATGTACGAATGCTTCTAATTATTATCTATGTTCTTCAAACTTTGATTCACGGAAAATTCTTGGTATATGCGTGGCAAACAAATTGTTGAATTATCGATAATTGTACCTACGTGATGCTTTCTATTCATTTCATTTTTTGATTTTCTAACAACTTTCGATTGATTTATTAGACTTTTTCGAGCTGGACTTGCTATTGCTTAAATTGTCATATCTCAAAAAGGGAGAAAAGGTTGCGGTGTTCGCGTTAAGACCTTTATTAAAGGCGCACACTCCGCACGTTGACTATACATGTAATAGTTTCTGTCAATTTTTTTGTTTCTACCAAAATCTTTTTGAAATTGTCGCCGCGAAAAAAATGTGTCTACTTCAACGAACAACTCGATTTGAGACGGAGACGAGAATTTTGGATTCTCAAGTACTTTTGACCCGATTCGCCGAAAATCATTCGCAAAATATGCATATGAAAGATACATATTTTCGGAACAACAACAGCAGATGTTATCGCAAATTTCGAAAAGTGAAATTTTTGGCGACACGAACAGTTTTATGGATGTCTGAGAAACGAACAGAAATTGGCTAAAGACTCACACTAATCTAAAAAAAAATGTTGAAATAATTGAATATTTCTCAATTTGTTCAATGTAGGAGAATATATCGCACATTCATTGATGTTCCATCGAAAATTCGTTTTAAAATCTGGCTGAATGTCTCAATTTTCGTGTTGGAAGATGTTGCCCAACGGATCACATGATTGTGGATATTTTTCAATTAAAACAATCTCTGAATTTCGCATGTTTAAAATGCGATCATGAGATTTCTGTGAGATTTTAATAATGATAAGAAATTTAATAAATATTTCCGAGAGTTTTCCACAATTCTGATATACGCTGAATCGGAATTTCGATTTGCCTGCGACTTAAGATAAATCCTAAAAGTTGATTTGATTTCTATTTTTTTTTAATTAAAAAATGGCAGAATCTAGAATTGAAGATACTAGTATTGAGTGAGCTTTTCATTAACCTCGAATTTCTATCAAATATTTCTATCAAATTTGTAGTGACAATTTTCTGTTTGCTACTGACGCACTTCGACTAATTTTAGTTATTCATTTTTTAAAATTCCATTTTTATATTTCTTTTTAATGTGTCACACCCAAATCCACATTTTACATCATTAAACAAACAAGTGTTCTTGAGAAGGAAGGGTACGTGTTTTTGAAAATGAATTTTGATATTCATAGATTTCTTCCAAACATGCTCATTTTGTGTTGTTTATTTACTAAGCTCACATTCTTTTTTTTGCCAATCTTCTTGGAAAACTACTAGTCTCATCGCAAATATTTAAACATCCATCCATCGTACTTTTTTTGGTTAATCAACACGAAAAAAAAACATCACTGCTTAGGACCCATTTGAACCGATTTGATGGGAAATACAAGCGAAATGCTTATGTTTGTCGAAAATTCGCATTAATCGCATTTTTGGGCATAAATCATTAACAATGTCTCACATCTGCCATCATCATGCGATGATCGTTCGACCAGTCGGTGTGAAGCGACGGACGGCGGCTCCGCGCGTGTCCCACACTGCTGCTCATCTCCTCGAATATCGGCGTGATCGATGGAAGCAATGGACGTCGGATCGTGCGACGCTTCTCCCCGACGAGGTTACTGTAATGAGGCGAACATAATTTCAATGAATTTGGTCATTGCGAATCGCACTTGGCTGGGAATATGCAAATGATATGACGAGGAGAGAAATGAATGAATTGAGAACGAAATCGACGTTGAAATTAATAAAAACGATGAGATAATGAGATTAATTGACTAACTTGTGCGAAACGCCGAAAATAGCATCGTCGAACCACCCAAAAATAGAATATCACGATACTATTTTTTATGTCTTTGATTTTGGTCTTGGAATGACTGTTTTTCAAAGTGAATTTTTGAGAATTGCGATTTACCGAGGCAGAGTTATATGATATGAATAGTTGCATTTCGGCTTAGTTTCATATAATTTGAAGGAAATTCAAACCATTAGAAGAATTTGAAATATAAGTTTTAATAATCACAAAGTGAATATAATTAGTAGGAATGATACCCAGTTTGACAGATTTTCCGCAAACAACGAGAGATTTACATTTAGTGCAACATTTTTTTTAGTTGGGTCCTAATTTTGCTTAAAATGTTCTTCTACAAAATTGAGCATTAATTGAGCACGTTTTCATGTTTTTGCGTTCCCGCGAATATTGCTCGTTCGTCGCATATTATTGTTGCCAATCGAAACTTGTCTTTCTCGAGCTTCTTCCTGTTTTCCAGTTATTTTTGCGGTCAGGAACATCCGGCAGAACCGCGTGTGCATCACCGCCACCAACACCGCCGCCGCCGCCGCCGCCGTCGCCATTATCACCATCATCCCTTTGTGCCTCGTTTTCTATCTGCTTCCTCACACTTTCTTTTCCCAATTTCTTTTTTTTTCGTCGCGATGCGCTCAATTTTAATGGCAAGGAATCATGTGTGGTACAACAATGGATAGAATTAGAGTGACCGAAATAGAATGAAACGGACGGCGGACGAGGAGGATTAGGAACACACGAGAATTGACAAGCACAATTCAAGATGTTGCCATGTTGAATCCGCGCGGATTTCAGCGCGTTTCGATTATTTTTCTTTTCATCAATCACTCGCACACAAGGAAACGCGAATTTTCGCGAACAAGAACAAAAAATGCCGAGAGAAAAATCTTAGAATTATGTGCATTTATGAATAATGGATAAATTGCACTTGGCAAAATGCTCTTCTTGGTTTCAAGAATTTTTCGAAATTTTTCTCAAGAAAATTCTATTTCTGTGAAAATCTACCTCAGATAATTAATTGAAAACCAAAAAAAACACGTATTAATTATTTTTATCTGCGGACATTTTTTGGAAAAGTTTTTTTTTGCAGAAGAAAGGGCAAATCTATTAACGACGGGTTCATGAGTCGATAATTATGTGAATTATATGTAATTAAAGGTGCGCGTTTGATGATGATTTTAATAGAACGAACCTGCTTGACTGATTCCGTCGAAACATGCTTTTTCGTTTTTTGTGGAGATTTTCAATGATTCTCGAGCACGACGAGGTCGCCGGCGGTTGGGGCAGCGGCGAGAATAATGGATAACTGCATCGGGGCGAGCTCGGCGATTCTTCTATAATCGAATCGAGATCGACGCCGAACGTGCCAAGCGCGAGAACACGCGGCGACGACGTCGTCGACGACGCCGGCGAGACGGTGCCGCTGCTGCCGACATTGCTATTGCTGCCGCTGCCGCTGCACTGCAGGATTTCGCCGAACAGCATTGTCGCCGCTTAATTGGTGCGCGGAGCGAATAGCAGAATGGAGACAAGTCACTCGAAGGTGTCGTTTCTGCTATTCGTGTGGCGCGTGTCTTTTTTTTTGTTGTTGTTCGTCTTGGCCGTTGAATCGGCCCGACCGCACGTCGGAAAAAACGACGACGAGCAGCTGCGAGATAGAGGGCGTGGCCGAAGGGCAAGGTTCGCGGCGACTGCGGTGGCTGTGGCGGCGGCGCCAGCGTCGTGTATGTGAATGTATGTTCATGAATCGAGTGTGGAAATGATATGGAGATTAGTTGTAACCTTTATGCAAAACAAAATGTGATAGTGTCAATGCTTCATTTTTAATTGGAACGCAATTCAAGAAATGCTAGGGACTCAGTTTTTCGAAGAGAACACCTCGTCATTCGTTGAGGGTATCAAGGAAAAAGCAGTGGAGTTGCTTTGAAGGCAGTGGCCGCGGTCGCGGCAACGTGGCCGAGTTTTTGCACTAGTCCGCGCGAAATTTGTGGAAATAAACGAAAAGCCTATTAATAAGATTTTGAGGCTTGTGCCCCACTTCCACTTTTTTTTTTTGAAAGTGTCGACTAAATTTTCTAGGGCATTCCAGCGCTATCTCTTTATTTTTCTGCTTCACTTATTTAATAGATTCTGCAAAAGATTTTCAATGCGTTAAAAATTGTTTTAAAAGTGATTTTTAAAATCATTGTTAATTTTTTTTCTCATACGGTAGGCTGAGCAAATTGAAATTGGAGACGATGAATGGAAAACAGAGTTCAATGATTTAGAAAAAATGAAAATGACACTACATATTTTTGACGGGTAGAGTATAGAAAATATTATTTATTGGTCGATCGCTCGATTTATTATAATAAAAATGACATAAAAGAAGGGAAATGATAAACGAAGAAAGAATAAACGAATAGAGAGCACCAATATATAATATTCAGATTCATTGAATAAATATGTGATCGTGGGAATTGTCACACTTGGACCATAAGTTGGACTGCCCAAGGGAAACTAGCGAGATTGCGTGCGAACGAACGAACACCTCATCTGTCTCAATTTCCGACCGTCGGGTGGGGTAATCGAAATCGAAATCGGTTATGTTTCGGAAAGTGACACGTGAAAGGAATTTGCGAAATTCGTTGCGTCCAACCCACATTCTCGGTTTGCGTTATCCGGACAAAATTGGCGGCGAGTGAATTCAGTTCGAATCACACTTCTGATTCGATCTTTATCGCTTGATCATCGCGCTTCTCTTCAATTTCCGCACTATTTCGTCGGCTAGCGGAATTTTGAAATCCGAACAATATCGCGCGAATGTTTATAGGTGGCGCGCCGCGCAGATTTCTCAATTTGACCCTCGTTTTAAGTTATTTTGATATGAAGTGAAATCCCGATGAATATATACGTATATATGATACCGATGACCATCCAACTATTCAATGATTCAGGACTTTATTTTATATTTGCATACCAATCAAACAATTGCCATTTTCCTGCTATACATTTTCAAGTTGAAAAAAGGGAAACGCTATTTTTAGAAAAAGATTTCCCAAAAGACTAATAGATCCCAAATGCAATATGATGATACATTGTGCAGAAAATAAACAAAAGAAAATAGGAATAATTATTGCTATTCACCTATTGTTGATTTTCCTTATAAAGGAAGTAAATAAGATTAAGCCATTATAATGTTATAAATAAATGATGAGGATGTAAAAAATAAGAGTATGACTGGCAGATTCGAACCTTACCAGTGTTTATAAAAGCAAAATGAAACATTTTAATCAAATGGTAAACCGCAAAAGCCAATTAGCAAAGGGAAAGTGAGGGAAAACAGAACCGGAATTAATGGGATAGAGTGATGGACAATTAGGTAGTCAAAACTGAGTAGTCTTAGCCATATATGTTACACAGTAATAATTAGAAGTAAGTGAGGAAGGAAGGCAATGATGGGCTGGGGTTGTGCAGAATTTGTAACAATTCCAATAAACACAAGAAACAAAGGCATAAAATTGGCTGAAATTTGGTCATCAAACGCGCACACAAAAAAGAGCTTGGCGACGATCGAAATTAGCTCCATTCATGGCGATGTTACGGTGTGAATCACATTCGCCATTTTATGCCAAGTTACGGTTGGCAAGCGCACAAAAAAAACGCTTGTCACGCAACATTGCGCTTCTGGACATTCGACTGGATGGATTTGACGATCGATGATGTCAAACGCAACAATCATCCATAATAATTCTTTTTTTTTTGTTCGGAATCGCATAAAGAGAGAGAGAGAGAGAGAAATTAGAAAAAATACAAGTATGATGAGGAGGGTCAAATATTACAAAAAAATAAACATACCCGTGATGGAAATAATTGAATCGATATTCCAAATATGGCAACCACTACTTCCTGAAAATAGTTTTAATATAATATGCAAAAGAATGGAAAAGCCGCAGATAGTAAACGAATTGAATTCTGTCATGGAATGGGAAGGAAAAAGAAATTTTTCGAAAGTTCGTACCGTGAATAATTTGGCGAGAAGGTTACTCAGTTAATTATATACACACCTCATAAAAGAATTCGAATATAAAAATCCGGATTTCAACCGAGTGAAATAATTTAATAACTTAAAATCATATATGGCATTGAACATTCGAATTTCTCTATGAATATCATATTCATGTATGTATATCTATATATTTGCTTATCAAGTCGATTAAGCACGAGAATTAATTGTCAAGTTAGTCTTCTAATTATGTTATTGTGAAAGGTTCTAATTCAAAAATTTTGAACTTAAATAATTATTGAATATTCATATATACAAATTTTTTTTTACAACTTTTGGACTGATATTTCTTAACATAATTTCGAGAAAAATTAAAACATTTAGAAATGAGTTACATTCAGTCTTCTGAAATTCGAATTTATAGAAATAAGAAACATGAAGAGTCTTGAATTGGGATGATGTTGGAATTGTATGCATAATGATTTTAAAGGGTAACGGACGAAATACATCTCAAGGTCGAATTGAGAGTGTCAGTTATGAATGAATGCCTTTCTCGGCAAATAAGGTTTTGAAATACCAAGATTTATAGCGGCTGCATATCATTTTGATCAAGCAAGCCGGTTTAAAGGCACATGACCTAAAAATGAATCGAGAAATCAATCAGTTAACATTGAAATATGAATGATTACATAAGGGGGGGGATATTCTCAATTTTCAATATTGATAATGGAAATTTTAGATTTCGTTAAAAGGGATTTTTAGGAATAAATTCTTCTTTGCAAAAATGATGAAATCGTCGAGAGAAAAAATTTGTGAGCGAAAATGGAATTTGGAAGGTGAAGAAGGAAGCGAAAACCGATAATTATTATGAACTGGCTTCTTCGTCTCTTCATCGAAAATTTGAGAAAATTGGTGGGTTTTTCTCGGACGGGAACAATGCATCTCTCTCTCTCTCTCTCTCAAATTTTATTGTCCTAATGCCCTTCATTCAACATTTGTCCATAAAATAACAAATCGAATACAACGCAAATTCATTCGCGAGAATCGACGACAAATTAATGGAGCACAACTCAAAACAAATATGTCGAATTGAAATCATAAAGACAATTCGACGGACTTGTCGAGGCGAAATCTAGATTCTTCGAGATGAGAACAACCGACTTCCTCTTGCATTCAGAATGCTAGGTATTCAAGGTTGAATATCACAACAATTCACACTGATTACACCCGAGACTCGCGTGTTTGATATGAGTTTCGCCTTTTTTTTTGAATATGCAAACAAACATCGTAAAACTGTTTCGATTTTTTCGGGAAACAGTATTTCTCAACAAAAAACACCAATTATACACCAGCAGTTTATGTACCAATTTTATCAAACAAAGTTAAATTATAAGGTGAACCTTTTGTTTATATTTAATTAATTAAAAATGTTTTATCATTTTTTTTCATTTTCTTTTCAAAAATATTTCAAATTCGAAGCTTTTTTTACTTGTCGAACGATCAAATGTCAGAAGTCGGCTAAAAAAATACATCTGGAAAAGTTATTTTCTAAGCACACACACACAAATATATTTATTGAGGAAAACTTGCAATATTTCAAATTTCTTTACCAAAAAAAACTTATTTTTTTTTTAACAGAAACATCGGGGATGCCACAATTTTGAAATGCACACTTTAAATAAACAATAACTGGAATTGCGTTTTCCTTTTTTAATACTAAAAAAAAACAACTCAAGTACCAAATAGGAAATGCCGAAAATAAGAGAAGTATTATTTATAAAACTAAAAAAAAGGATTTCTCGAATTGAAGCAAAAAACAATTGAAACATTTGAAAGAATTTTTAGAATAATTTTTCGAGAATCATTTCATACACGAATGAACTATAAAAACACGAAAATGAATTGATGAAGTCAGTAAATTTTCTTGGAATTGAGGAACAAGATTTTTCAACACTCAAGGTTCCTTGCGGTAATCTTGATTAGCCGGCATTTTAAACGATGCGAACCAACCTCATTCAAGGTCTCATAATAAGGGAAGGAAGATGAAGGCAAACAAAAAAAAAATCTGCCATCAATTTTTTGGGTGACAGGAGACCTACTTCTTATTGGGAGGAAACCGTGCCCAGGATTGTTTCTTGCAAACCAGAAATTATTAATGAGTGTTAATGGATGGGGCATAAATCCAGAGATAAATGAAAATGCAAAGTGGCGCACAAAAACACGCGCAACAACAACAACAGCATCGGATGAAGACGACGACGACGACATAAAGAACAGAATCGGGAATGCGGGAAGAAGGAGAAGATTCGGACGATAATTAGTGTTGCGCGTTCGCATATGAGTGCGATGAACTTATTCGGAGGCCTCAAGTCGCACTGACTGCCACCATGCGCGACAGGTAAACATTTGCGGATGTGTGTCAAACGTGTTTATATAACCCCCGACGATCGGGCCGAATCCCGCCTGAACCTTCTTGTGCGCTAGGATGCTTTCGACACCGTACGCGTGCCACTGCATCCAGCCAACGGGTAGCTAGTGAGCCGGAAAACGATGCGCGAACGTCGTGTTTGCTGACCGACTGACTGACTTCTACTTGTCTGTGTATTTCGACACCGAATTCAGTTCAATGACTCCGCTTCGTTGTTGAATTTCGTCCAAAATATTTCACTTCTCACTTTTCAAAATTCTTTATTATGTGTCACAATCTACTCAAAAATAATGAGTGAACTGGAATTCAAAGGAGTATACGCACGTAATTAGTACTACAAAAATTGAGACTTTCGAAACTTTTTTTTTGAAAAGATTTGTCGAATACTATACTTCCGGCATAATTAATTCGAGAAAAAACTCCCAATTATTTGGGTGCAGAAATAGAATCAATCTTCGTTAATTTCCTTGGCGACCCAAATTTTTCTTTGAAAATTTGTTAAGAGCGTCGCTATTTGTATTTTGAATGTCGAATTCAGACGTTTCTCATTTTTCATACTTATGTTATAACGTTAATAATAAGCATACAAAATTGAGTTTCAATTCTTGACGCGAAAATATCAAGTTTTTGAATGCGCCTTTAATGTACAGTAACATTGGAATTGTTTGAAATGCGACCAAAAATGGTAACGAAACCAGCCCAAATTTTTGGGCGCGCTCCCCCGGAATTTGTCTGTTTTCGACAATAAGAAGAAAAAAGCAAAAATGGACAAAAAATGAAACGAAAAAATGAAGGGAGCGAATGAACAAGTTGGAATGAATGAATGGAAGAAAGAACAACTGAATTGAATTGAATTGTTTCAGAAAAATGTTCGAAAAGCATCACAAGAGCCGTCGGCTGTTGGACGCGTGAAAGTATGAAAGACATTGGGATCTTGTTTGATCGCGCAACCGAAACATGAAATATACAAGCATCGCGTGTGTGTGTGTGTGTGTATGAGAGAAGATGCTCCTCAATTGACGCCGACGGCCGTCGCGAATACCGGCCACATGCACACACAAAAACATAATTCGGAAAACGATCGGATGACAAAAACGGACATAAAAAACGGGACGAGGCTGCTCGCAATCGGGGAGGAATACACATGCAATTGGGCGGGCGTGGACCGGTCCAGTTCGCACCAAGTTTCAGGCGAAAATCAACACACGCACACACATCCCCCTCTATTAAATCATTCGCTTGTCCCGATCATTTATTTCTTCGGATATTACTGGATCGAAACTTGTAACTAGGATCTCGGTTATGATTTTCACTTTCACCGTTCAAGTTTGCGGGAATGTTTCCAAAATACAGGGCTAATATACATAGAATTCCACATACTTTAAATTAGAGGGGGGTGGGTCAAAAAGATGAAAATGTTGAGAGTATTTTTTATACAGAGATATGTGAATATTTCATTTGATGGGCTGGTTATCCGTAGTAAGTTGTATAAACAATTTTGTTGCTGAAACACCTTTTTTTTCCAAATTCCTGGATTTAAGTCGTTTATTAAAAAAAAATGAAGACTATTTTATTCAGTACACGAGTTTCAGCAATTTTCAGAAAAGTTAAAATTAAAAGTTAGTGGTCCACAAATACTTTTTGATTTTTGTGCATTTTCAGGTTATCAGAATGTTACACAAGCGCAAATAATTGAAAAAATAAATAAAATTGTGATTTCGAGCGGCCTAGATATATTAGTTTCGTTTTGCGTTAAATTCAATTATTTTTATTATAAAAATTTTGATTAATAATTTTGAGAAATTCTAACCAAAATTGAAGCCGCTAAGCAATGTCGAACTCTTCGAATTAGTTGAATCATTAGGAATCAATAACTTCAGAGAAATGTTTAGGTGAGAAACTTTAAAATGTTACCAATAGAAGTTAATATTGTGATCAACAAACTCGCTTCGATTTCGGCAAAATGAAACTAACCTTATATAAAAGAAATTTGTTTTTAAAAATCATTTCAGAGAAGTATGATTTTTTTTTTCAAAGAACGATTACAAAAGGTTTTTAGAAAAATTCTCGACAAAAAGAATTTCGGGCGCTTCAGAAAAATTGTACAGAAGCCCGAAAAAAACTTGCATCTCAAAAATCAAACATCGCTCGTTTTGGTTCTTTATTACTAATAGTTCGACACATACATATTTGGGCCGAGAATGTTAGATCAAATGCTAACAGACAAAAATGGAGGTCGGAACGACGAAATCGTTTGAATAACTGACTGAATGGGCTGGCTAACAAAAATCGAATGCGATTATCGGATTTGATTTGAAACCTATCTGGTTGCGGCGGCAAACGGCCGAACATTCGTGTACCATTGAAATGAGCGAGCGAGCGAACGAGCGAATGGAAAAAGGAACGACGACGACGACGACGAAAAAGAGCCGTTTGGTTGAAGGTTGCGAAGACAATAGAAATGACACACGTTGGCGGAGAGGAATGAATTGAATAAACGATGAATAAGTTGGCGACGATGATCAAGGTGGCTGAGGCGAGAACATCGACAAACATTCCAATGTTTACCACATAATTCATAAGGCTTTTGCACCTTTTGAGAGCAACAAAGCCCCGACTGCGAATACGAAAAGTGAGCAATGCATGAGAAAAAAAACCAAGATTTGAAAATTTTTTATTTAAAAAATGGTGTCCTAGTTCGAAAATTAAATTTCAAAAATAAGTCGGAGGCAGTTTGTTGAATTGAATTCTTCAACGGCATTTTCAAATCGCAATTGATGAGGAAATTCACAAAAATATTTCGGCCACTTTTACGCAAAACTCATTCGAAATTCTTCATGACGAGCTGCTATGGCAACACGCGGCCAAAAAATTAAACGACAATAATTATGAGATGAATTGGTGCTGGCGAACGAGGCACACGGCTGTCCGATTTGAGGCCTTATTATTTACTCGACACGCAAGAGATTATGTCCCAGAGAGAGGTGGACATTGGCGCAGGTGGTGTTGGTGTTGGTGGAGCCATGTTTCGCCAAAGGTCAATTTGATAATATTGCATTCGATTTATTCGTATACATCCTGATATTCACAACAACCGTAAATGCAAGAGCGAAGAAATATTCTTCACACAAAAAAAGCAGCAATCATTTTTTTTTGCTGAAAATTGAGCACAAAATATTAAAGGCACAGCTTGATACCAGTCAAATAAAAATGATTCAAATGGCACAAGAAGTATGTATGTACAAATACCGTAATCTGATGATGAGAGGTGAAGGCGAGAAAATGAGCAAAACATAATGCACACCAGAAATTGTTTATGTGTCGATATAATAAGTGTCTAGTGGGCCCATCCACACGATCTTTTCACTGCGTCTTTCCACTTGGCAATTTCCGCTTCTCGCCAAGCTTCATCCTTGATTGGCTCGTATTTGATAGCCTTCAAATGTTTTCGCAAATTATTAATTATTGCCTTCAAAGCCTCCTACCGCTGTTGGCTGCGAAAGGAACTCGTCGAGACTGATCTGTTGGGCTCCGATGCCGGCTGCGACCGCTGCTCCCCAGCCAGAGATTTCGGTAATTTTCGGCGTCACAATATCGCGTCCCATGATGTCCGCTTGAATCTCGTTGAAAAGTGTGTTGGCGATCATTCCGCCGTCGACACGCAGCGTCGTCACTTTGGTGATTCCCTCAAGATCTTGCTCAACCGCAGCAATCATTTCCGAGCTTTGGAAAGCGACTGCGCGAAGAGCCGCCAGACAAATGTGCTGTTTGCTGGTGACCTGCGTCAAACCGAGAATTGTTCCGCGAGCCGTTGAATCCCAATATGGGGTGTAGAGGCCAGTGAAGCATGGCACGAAGAACACACCAGCGGTGTCTTCAACCTCTCGACAAAGCGGTTCCATTTCAGATGAATCCTTGATGAACTTGAAATTATCTCTCAAGAATCGAACCACATTTCCTCCGATTGAGCCAGACCCTTCCAATGCATAAATCACTGGAGAATCAGCTCCAAACTGAAAATTCGCATTCGATATTCAAATTTTTGAAATGCTCAAACTAGCCTGGAATCCGACAGTGGTGAGTAATCCATTTTTGGAAATGATCGGTGTGCTTCCAATATTGCACAACATGAAAGTTCCAGTTCCATATGTGTTCTTAGTCTGTCCCTGATTCAAGCATTGATGTCCAACCATCGCTGCCTGCTGATCGCCAAGACAACCGGCAATTGGAACTCCTTCAAGCGGTCCTTCCGTGAAATATCCGTATACTTCGGCACTGGATTTGATTTGAGGGAGAATGTCCATCGGAAGCGAGAAGAACTCACAAAGTTGAGTCGACCATTTGCGCTTATGAAGATCTCAAATAGGAAAATTGAACGGAAAAAATAAACGAGGAACATTACCGAGAAGAAGAGTTCTTGATGCGTTCGAAACATCGGTGATGTATGCTCCAGTGAGTTTCCAAATCAACCAAGTGTCGACGGTTCCGAACATAAGCGATCCTATAGCATTTTAGTGTAAATAGTGGAACGAGGCTCTAATTCGAATTACCCTTATCATAGGCGTCTCGAACATCAGCAACATTCTCAAACAGCCATTTGAGTTTGAGGGCACTGAAGTATGGATGAATTGGAAGTCCCGTCTTCTTCTTGAATTCATCTTTGTCTCTAAAATAGATACAGTAAGCCGAAATGAACAACAACTGAGAGAATCGTACTTTGACGGCGTTCGGGCAATTGCTTGTTCGGCGAGCGACGTCGTTCTGGTGTCCAGCCAAACAATCGCGTTATACAAAGGTTTTCCGGTGTTTCTATCCCAAACAATCGAAGTTTCTGAATTTTTAATTAATAATGTGTGAAAAACTTGAATCAGAACTCGGCATGTTACCTCTTTGATTGGCAACGCCAACGGATTTGATCTCATCGGGCGTGATCCCAAGATTCTCAAGTTTCTCAATTGTCTTGTTGATGCATTCAACCACCGTGTTGTACATTTCCATTGGATCCATTTCGACCCATCCTGCTTCCGGAAAAAGTTGGCGAACTTCAATCTAAAAACCATTTTCGAGTGATTCACGAAAATTCGACGAATCTACCTGATGACTTGTCACAAGCTCTCCGGTGTCAGCCTCGAAGACCAAGAATCGGCTCGACGATGTTCCCTGATCAATAGCGGCCAAAAGAACCATGCTTCTTATCGTTCAATTGAATTGATGCAATAGATTTCGTGAAATTCGAGAGGTAGTCTGGTGAGTGTGTTGTTTCTGCAATATCACCGTCTGATCAAAAACAAAACATCAATATGACGTCGTCGCGAATAATGCAAATTCGGGCAATCTTGATGATATATAACACATGTGTGTAGAGGCATATATTTGACATAATTCTGCATTCACAAAATGAGACTCACGTTAGTTGAAAGAATCAAATGAAATGGGTTAATTGAAAGTGGATGGAAATTTGAAATGAAAACAAGTTGACCAAAAAAAAAGTAAAATTGAAATGCATGACTTCCAACGCCATACGTTCTGATTAAAGAAAATACAGCATTTTGGGTCGCATATAAAATGGCCGAGACGGTGGGCGGGACCATGTCACCTGGTGTTTGAATGAGTGCACGTGATGATCTACCAGACGCCACGCCCATTCGCATGTCCACCATTGAACGTTTTGTGTGGATGGCCAACTTCTCCCATAGCCTGTCGAAAGATAGGAGATTCTCACGCCACGTGGCAAAGTTTCCTAAGGACATTTTGATGAAAGAGCAGTTTTTGAGAGCAGAGAATGTTTTGGAAGCAATTTTTAAAGAACTGAACAATGATTGACTGAAAGTGCAACATTGAAATGAAGAAATCGTATGAATTCAACGGGGGAATCCCCCAAATTATTCACATGCGATCACTTTGTTATCTGTCAATTCTGTCTGCTTCGAATTCTCCAACTTTTGAATTTTCACTGCTATTTTTATTACTGTTATTATAGCTTTTACAGATAACACAATTTGTTCTTTGCTTATTATTTCGTTTTTCATTCTACTGGGCGAGAATGTCATTGAAAATGTGCTCATTGAGCAAAAAACACTTGGATTACTGTAGCTGAGACGAACAAGAGGCCAAAATACATCAGAAACATAGACAAAAACTGGTCAAATTACTTAGAACAAGTTGTGAGTAAAGGGCGTTTTGATAGTTTTCGATCTATTTGATTTCTTGTGAAGAAATACATTATATCATAAAGATTTTTTCGACGAAATTTTAGATGTTCAAAATTGTGTTACAATGAGAAATCGGTAGGATTCTACGAGCATTTCAAATTCCAGAATAAATTGTTTTTTTTTTTTTGAATATTTGGAATACGATATCAAATATATCATTTGCAGATCATTTCGAGACGGCGAAAGTTTTGAAAGTCATATGAAGAAAAAACTAGTTCAAAAATTTATTAATTGAGAATGTTTTTTTTTTCGCTGAATATCTGAAAACATTTTTTTTTAAATCACGTTGATGGAATTTCCATATTGGAAATAGAACAAACTTCCAGGGATTTGAATGAAACGCTGTGTTGTTATTGAAGAGGCAAGCTTCTTTTCAGCCTACTTTCCAATAATTATTTTTGGATACTATTCTTAAATAGTCAATAATTACTATAGGATATATTGATTGTCGAATAACTCGGAATTTTTAGCCATTGTACCGTCGATTTTTGAATCGGAAACAAATCGAAACGATAGCGAGAGCGAAGTTTTATTCGAGAGAAACAAGGGTAGATTTTCTTCGAAATAAACAATTTGCGAAAATTCTCGCCATGTGATCAATTTATCAAAACCATTAGGTTCAAATGAAACAAAAAGGTAAATTGAAACGAAAATGGAAAAGTACACAATCAATTTCTCCGAATACGATGAATATTTTCTATAGATTTCTGATCTACGTTTATTATCACAACATATAGCCAAAATGTGATTCTAGTGATGATATTGACGAATGCATGATTCATTCATGATTAGTCAGGTTCAAAGTCCGCCTCGCGGTGTATATTGATTTTTAGATTTGTGACTCTGTTATTCTATGGACCCTTGTTGTAGAAATCGACAAGGTCAACCGACAGTTGTATCGTGACTACAACGTGTTGAGTGTCCTATCATTTGCCAAAGAACACAATAACGATGTCGAATATTCTAGAAGCAAAACGGACGTCGCCAATTGTTTCAAATTGTTAATTTTTGATTTTTATTTGATGATTCCTTATGCTAACTTGAACGTGTTGAATGTGATGAAGACTCCCTCATTTTCTCATCTCAAAACGAATTCTATTATGAAATTCACGTGAATATTCCATTTTGTTTTATCGGGAACATTTTTATCATTTCAAAAAACGAACACACTGTTGTAGATTTACGGTGAGTTTGATTTGCAGGCAAAAAAACGTAGTACGGTACCCGAATTCCCGCTGTTTTAATCGAAATTTGAATTGACATGGTCCACAATTATTCAAGACGCTCTTTATTTCAATGGTAAGTTCGTTGAATAATTTGGGACAAAAAAAAACAGAAATGTTTTACAGAAAAATCATCTTTTGAATGTTTCGAATTTGTTGGAAAAACGCCAAGAATTTGATATCAAACGGGTTTTGCGAAAAAAAAATGTAAAAATGATCAATCATTTATAAAAATCCTAGTGTAATTTGACTTTCTATGTGTTTGTAAGCTAACCAAATATTATTAAGCGGCAATGAATAAAAATATGTCAGGCTTTTTTAAATTTTCTGTTAAACGAAATCTATAAACATATAGTCGGCATCCGGCGACCGCTGTTCGCGGGTAGATTTACGAGTGCGCCTTTCGAATGGGTCTCGCCACACGTGAAGGCTTATGTTCTATTTTTCATGTATTTTTTCTTGATGAATATGTAATTTCTTTGAATTCTAATCACTGTTCCCGTCAAAAATGCAAAATCAGCAGTTAGTCTAAGCTAGACCATAGCAAAGGCGCCTGCACGGAAATATACCCGAATAGAGTAACGCCGAATACCACAATGAGTATAAAATTTGAATTTCATATACAAATATTACCGCCCAACCAGTAAAACCTACAGACAATTTAAATTCTATACAAGACTGTTTTTAGATCATTTTGACACTTTTTTAGAAAGTTTTTTTCAGTACTATTTGACTTTGTTGGGGCTCGAAAAAATGCCTAGCTTATTTCATGATTCCATGCAGATTCTGACGAAAAAAATCCGTTTTAAACTAGTCTTTTTTTAACGAAATCTGCATAATATTCCCATGGAAAACACATACATATTTAGACAAAATATTCCGATACTTATCCTTCTTCATTTGAATAAAAATTCTCAACTGGCGATGTGCGCTTTTTCATTCTCGAACATTCTCGATCAATGGGAAATCATGGAAACCGCGTGATCGTGTCACTTTTAATTAAAACAAATATCATTTTCCTGTGGCAGATGATTGATCATTCGAGCATTCAATTGTTTTTGTTTTCAAAAAGCGACAAAATGAAAAAAAGAAGAAGAAAAATAAAGAGAAAAATGCGATGGCGTCAGTCGTCAGAAATCGAAGCAAACCAACCCCGACGTGCCAAGTTGTTGTGTTGTAGGGCGTCGATTTTTATCACAACGCCGACTTCTTCTCTCGTCGATTTTTGTTCTGTTTCGTCGCAATTTCGCTATCAGCGCAGTTGCGTGCGTGTGCACCCGCACCGGACGCACGGACGGACCCATCAGTCGGTGTGACGTTCGACGACACGTGATTTCGCCGAAAGAATAACCCATTTTTTGTCGTCTCAACAGATATTGTAATGTCTGTAAAGGGGTCGCCGACAAACCGGAAACTCGAGAAATTTTTAGGCAGTGCGAAACGCTGATCTTTGTGTGATTATTCGATAGTCATTTTCAAGGGCTTCATTATCAAAATAGCAGTTTTTATCACCAATGATGGGATTTCACCTAGAACGATTTTCAACATGCCCTTGTATGGTTGTCAGACCAAGTTCAAAGAGCGACAATAAGTACTCTGTGCGCCCAACACAAAACTGATAAATTATCAACGTTCATCGATTGCGAATTGCACAATCTGATAAAATGCACATCACGAACCATTCCCAACTGATAACACCCACGCTCAATCGAGATCGTATCTTTTCTAAAACATTTTATTGTCGGCGTCAAATGATTGAACAGAATTTAAAAAAATGTTGGCTAAGTTCCAAGTGCCTTGAGACGTGTCTGCGTACTCGGCATTTTAGCGTACACGCATTTAATATTTAGTAGCGTGCAAATTTAAAAATTCGTAGATTTAAACTGATTATTCGATTTTGAATTTCCCGCCACCACCGATTATTTGATGCCCACAGTATTGACTAAAAAATGGTCGTAAAATGAATATTAATTAAAAAAAATTTCGATTTTTACAGCGATTAACTCAAACCATATAGACTATTAAGGATCTATGTAGTCAAATTTGGAAATACTAATCTCCAGACGATCTATCTATATAATATAACACGAGAATAACTGCATGCTATGAAAAAATCCTCAAATTGTATGTATAATTTGTTTTTATTTTTTATTGCATGAATAAGTATAATAAAAGCATAAGTAAATTGCATTCCTTTTATATAATGAAGAAATTCCAAAAAAAATCGAAGTAGATTCATCAAATCACCTCGATCTTTGATTATTTTTCGTAAAATCAAGGCATTTTTTGAATCAGGTCCAACTGTTTGAGTCAGCCTCATACCAGATCACAGCACCGTTCATTCTTGTTATAGTGTGTCAGCTGTTTCAGAATTTAACAAACAGAGACATTCTCAATGCAAGACAGACAAATATTGTGAGGCACGCTGATTATTGAACAATTCCATGTTTTCCCCAATTATTTGATTGATTGCCATTCAACTGTTTAATGCCCTTTCTTGGGTGGCGACTCAATGGTATTGTGAAACATGTTACAACCCGGGAATATTGCGATTTGAAAACAAACATCGCATGAAAGCAATTTGAAACAACAAGCGAAAAGAAACTTAAAATTGCAAACTGAGCACAAAAATTGCACTGCTCCACAAAAGTTTAGAATCACTCGTATTTTTTTTTCTTCAAAAAATGACATTTTCACGAAATTTCAAAAAAAAACGCGTGCCCACCACACTATCGCGTGGATACAAGCGAGGAATATTCGAGTTCTCGACTGGCCTTCTTGCTACCCAGACTTGAATACCATCGAAATTGTATGATAATACATGGTCAACAAGATTTACGAGAGAAATAAGTCGTACGACAATCTAAAATAGCTGAAACTGGCGATTATCGAGACTTGGAGAAAGTCGACCAACAACTGATTGACAATCCACATATGGGATACTGAAAAGAACTATTTTTAACCATATTTTAACAATACAAACATTTTCTGAAATTTCGTGAAAATGTCATTTTTTGAAAAAAAAAATATGGGTGAGGCTAAACTTTTGTGGAGCAATGCATAATAACACATAGAATATGATATAATATTTGTACATATAAATACTGTTTATTTATTAAACACCCGTTGAATTTTCAAGAATAGTTTATCCAAACCTTTATTTAAAAATAAATAAATATTAAATTTCAGTTAACTTAAGTTTCAATTTCAGATTTCAGTGTTGTCAGTCTTATTAAATTTATTATTCGCAAACTTCAGAAATAATATGAGACGGAGGTATTCTGGTAAGAGTTTTTTTCTCAATTTTTCTTCAGTGTCTAAAAAATAGAATTTGAATGCCTTCAACAGAAGAGTTGTGGTAATGAAAATTCATGGTGCCGTGGGTAGAATGCGAGCTGCCCGCAGCCGATCCCAATCCCCCACGACCTGTCCCGCTCTTGCCCTTCTTCGGACCCCAACACTCGCTGGAATGGACTAGATTTGGAAGTCTCGACGGGCAAATTCCCAGAATGAACCGGCCAAAGATTCACTGAGTTCACTTCCAATCCAGGCCAATGCGACTTGTCTCCACAAAATTTCCAAACCTACCATTTTTTTTCATCTACCTGACCCTAGATTTTTATCACCAGAAAATTCGCTTCATCGCAGGGATTCCTCATCCGATTTTCATGAGAACATTGAATCGACTTGAACGTGTTACCCTAATAAAATAGCTTCCACGAATAAATTAAATTAATCGGTTTCTATTGATTATTTCAATATTTGTTTTTAATTTGCAAAAATCTCGCTGGCAAAATGGGTAAAGAAGAGAAGTCTAAAAGCAAGGGTCGTGCTGATAAGAAGAAATTGACATCAAAAGAAGAAGTGAAGAAAATGACATCGAAGGAAGAAACGAAGAAGATGACATCGAAGGAAGAAGCGAAATCTGAAATGAAGTCTGAAATTAAGACCGAAGCGAATACAGTAGGAGAAAAGAAAAAGAAATGTCAGAAGGAACCAGAGAAGGATAGAAGATCGAAAGAAAAAGACGAAGAAGAAAAAAAGGCAGACGATAAAAGAGAAAATGACGAAGGCGAAGAAAAATCCGAAAATTCCGAGGTTCCTATTAATATCGATCCCGAGGTTATAGATTTTCTTTTGGGATTCGAATTAAATTATTCGAGATTTCAGGAGGCCAATTTCCCACATTCTGGCGGAAAATCCGAGCATATCATTGTTAATTTTACTAACAAAAGGATGGCTTTAAAAGTAATTTTGGATATTAAAAAAAATAAATTTAAAAATAATTAAACAATAGGTTAGATGCGGAAGCAAATATTATCGAGTAGATCCAACATATATGATAATCGAACCAAATAAGTGTCGCCAATTGAACATCACCCGATTAGCCGGTCATTTTCAAACTCGTTATTTCAATTCGATCATTTCCAATTTAGGTCCCATTGGAACTGATAAAATTGTAGTACAGTATTATGAATGTGATAAGGATTCTACAGATGCAAAAGGAGTTTTCAAAGTATTATAATAAGCAAAGTTTAACTATAAACTAGTGCAATTAAGGTTGCTGATGCTGAAGGAAAGAATATTCCGAACATTAAAATAAAACTAATCGTGAGTACTCAAATTGAAATTGGAAAATCTCCAAATTTACAATTTTTGTTTTTCATTTAAAATGTTTCTTTTGTCTGTTAAGAATTTTCGTGTTAAAACAAGTCATTGTAGGTGGTGATTTTGATTGCAGGCATCAGCAAAAGGTGGTCCGAAAATGTCGCGAGAACTCGTTGATGAATAGCCGGTCACGATACCATAATCCCATGCAATCCCACTAATCTTCAACGAGCTATATTGCAAAAATTTCACATTTATTTTTAATTGCCTCTGAGAAATCGAGGACCCGTTGCATAAAAAGTATAATAATAATACGTGGTATACACATTCCAAGTGCAAATTGCATATTGCTCATTAAAATTCCAAAAAAAGACATCTTACAATTGAGCGAATTTTGGTAATTAATTACAAATCACAAAGTTAAACCATATGAGGAACTTCTTCTTCATCTTCATACTCGCAATCGGGATCTTCGGCATGATCATTGCTGATGACAAGAGTCTCGGTTGGTTTCGATGAGCAAATCAGATCATTCGACATGAGTCGGCGGGCGATTGCAATTGCTACTGCATCAATTTCAGTACCAATTTGACGAGATGAATCACTGAAAAATTAAAAAAGACAACGTTTGTTTGCAAATTGAAGTCGAATATGGTAGAAGTCAGGGTGTGCTGAAGAAGGATTATGTGAGAAAAGAATATCATCCACATTTGTTCTAGAAGATTGCCACTTTTTCCGATTTTTGAACAGTGTAAAAATTAGGAAGATGGTTAATGATAACTAAAGAACAACATTTGAAAGCATGCTAAAAATTTCGCACTTCAATTGCCTTAAATCGCCAATGTCGCGTGACGCCGGACCAAGAAGAGTTAAAGTGCCAGATACTAGCGGCGAGGACCGTCTGTAATTGCATTTTCCACATTGCAATTCAAATTATTCATTCATTATCGGTTTTAATTGGTCGGAATTATTGGTTGGGTGGGAGAGCACACAACTTACAAGCATCTCGTGACCGTCACATATTCCTGTTTTCTTGGCGGCGTTGCCGAATGACAAACCAAATGTTTAATTGCATCGCGAATTTCCTTAAAATCGGCAAAAATGTTGATAAGCATTATTTGAGTTTCAGATTTTCAAATTTTTTGAACGAGAAACCCGAAATTGATAGTTTTACCTGATTGCACAAATAATAGACGAATAGGCGTGTGGCGCATACGAAAATGTAAAGCACTGAAACGACATCGGCGCAAGTTTCATAAATCTGCAAAAATTCCGCATCTTCTAATTTGCATCGTTTTTCCAATCATACATCAAAATAGGTGTCTTGGGTCGAATCGAATGACACGTACTCCCACAGTGTGATCATTACATTCAGAATATTCGCCGTCAAATAGGAGCACACGACAAACACCATGAGTAATGTGGCCGATCTGATCTTGGACTGCAATTTACCATCATATTTATGGTATAATTGGATTATGAAATATTCGAAAAAAGGAATAAGTAAAATGACTTAAACCATACGCAAATTGCGAAAAAAAAAACTAGTTTTAACGAGAGTTTTTCTTTCCAAAATCTACGTAGTGCCATTAAATAAGATTCATTAATTTTTTACCTTATGGTCACTAGAAAGCAGTCGAAACATTTGAGCGGATCTTTGTTGCATTCGAAGGGTTTTTACAATTTTATAATTGAGAATTGCGAGACTCACGAACGGCACCATGACTGTCATTATATTTCTTAAATTAATTTGATTTAATCTCGGAAAAAAAATAATATAAATGTCACCTTATATAAAATCGATAAATTGTTCCGTACCAGAAAGTCTCGACGATTTTGTCGAGCATCGGATAGTACTCATTGAACCTGCCTTCACATTCCGGTCGTTGCACAATCTGAGAAAACCGAAAATGGCGACAACTCATCGCTCAACGTACCACCATCTCGAAAAGAATCGGTCCACGAAGAAGAAGCGATAATACAAACACAAGAAACGCAGAAATTCGTCGACATCTTCTGAATGCTCCGAGACATTTTGATCGTTGTGTGATCAGAAATCGCTCAATTGTCGCCAGGATAATCAAATAAGTTGAGAATGTCATAGAAGTTTGACATAATGCCAACAGTGGTCCGACATAGACGAGATAGAGATCATTAAGCCATCGTAACTGAAAAAAATGAATTGGAGTAGCAGTGAGCAAGCACAAAATCTACTTGAAGTCTATCATTTATGATTTCCATTGCAATGACAGGACCATAGTTTAAAGAAAGGAAAGCATCTGAAATGGCAAGAAGAGCAAGAAAGTAGAAGTGAGCATGTTTCGATGAAAATAGAACCTGGAACAAAAACATTCTCCATTATAAATTCTCGAAATAAAAATTAATTGGTGATTAAGTCACAAATACAATTATTTGTGATGGTATCTTGAATAATATACTATTTTCAAATGATATTAAAAAGGAAGCGATTGGCCTTGGTGTTATCAGAAGAAAATGTCAAACCTTCGCAATAACGATGTTAGTGAAAATGGAGATAACTGAAAGCGATGTTCCAGCAACCGCCACTAAGTACCATCGTCGATCGAGACTCTGAACATAGCACGCATCTGAATCGTTTCCAGCAGAATCTGTCGCGTTGCCAGAATCTTCTAATATTTCCATCGTTTGCTGCCTAATTCCTTTTTTTGCGTATCTCTGCAAATTTTTAATATATCTTATAGAAATTTGAGAAAATATGAAAAGGAGAAGTACGTAGGCCGAATAATTCCAAGAAACGGGATATCGAGATAATTGATGAATCAAAAAACAATAAGAAAAATTGTTTGTAGGAGTGCCATCATAAATAATAATAATGAATATGAGGTTGGTCTGGGTTGAGAAGCGACGGGGGGAATTTCGCTTTTTTTGCAACAAAATATACTCATTCCATTTTATGTATTCAAAGGAAATAAGTGAAAGGAAAATGGGTTAAATCAATGAAAAGAAAAATAAAAAAAAGAAGGAATAACAAATTACAATAAAAGTAGCAAACAATTTGTTGAGGCAATTAAATTACCGTAATTGTTACAGGATTATATTGCAAGTAATTATGGGACCATAAAATAAGGATTAGTGACTTTTGAAGCTTAGCTTTTGCAAACGAAATGTTTAGTAATTTCTCAAAACTAATGTGTTTTTGAAGCAGTTTTGCAAGTGCATCCAATTTTTCAAAACAATCGTAATTCCAAGGTGAAATATTACGGTATCAAAGACGTCAGTTTGATTAGTATTTTCGAGCTTCTAGTACGTTCAAAACTAAAACTGAATATCTACTATTGTGGTAATTCCGACTCTAGTTGAAAGTTGCAACAACATGTTTTTAATTATTTTTATTAGTCGCCTTCGAGGTGAAGATGTGCGGATGCCTGCAAAGTGGTATTATAATCACGTCATCCGATTCTTCGCCATCCGAAATGTCACGTGCAATATGTTCATCGGTAAAAACTGGGAAATAGAAAAAAAAATTAATTATATTAAAAAAAACACACACACATTTCGGATCAATTATGATATTTTGAACTAAACTGGAAATTTTTGAATTTTGCAATAAATTAATGGGCTTTTAACCTGGTTTTCACCAATTGTTCAGTAGTTTTTTGTTTCAAAATCTGCATAATACCAACACCTCATTTTTGCGTAATTTTTTCGTGAATCCAGTGTTTCTCACGCGTATACTGTAGCTCATGTCATTTTGGAAAACGCATTTTAAGAAACTTCTCATTTCGTGAAAAAACGTGAGAAAGAGCAGGGTTTGGAAATATCGAAAATAATAGTATTTTTTCGGTTTGAACAATGCGCGAAAGTACAACGTCTTCCGATAAATATTTCAGGATACTTAGGAGATTTTCAACAAGCTCAAAAAAAATATTATATGTCTCAACAATGGATAGATTGGAACACAAAAATGAATGGATGTAAATTTAGGTTCGAATGAGATGACACAAAACACAAGGTTAAAGCGATTTTTAATAAATTCAACACATCGGCGTCTCGATTCGATTAGAAGGCGATTTTTGGAAAAAAAAACGCAAAAAATGTAAGGGAAAATATTTCAACGAAAGCTTTTTCTATAGTTTTGAGCTGCAGCACTAGATGGAGGGATTGGAGAAGCACCGCGGGTTACGGTGACATCCGGAATTTAATGAGATGGTTAATAAGATGGAAATGCAAGCCGGCAAAATGGGGTGTCCAATTAGTTGAATGCTATTGGATTTGCACGAGATCGCAATGGTTTGGCGACCATAACAAGATGAGGAAGAAGCGGATGGAAAGCACGGCGAATCACAAGCGAGTGCGATTCATTCGAAATCATGTGAATGGAAATCGCAGCGGCAAATTGACGAGCTCACAGAAAACAGCACTTTGAGAATCAAAGCTTTTAAATTTTAACTTTCATATTAAAAAAAGTTTCAACTTAAATCGAGGGAATCCAAAATGAGCTTCTTTTGAAAAAATTAAATATTTTGGAGTTGAGCCTCTTTCAATTCATTTAGAATGTATTCAAAATAAAATTATTGCAAGATGAAAGAAAATAAGAAAATAAAAACAATTTTGTAGTTCAAAATGTTATTTTTCGCAAAGAATATGTATATGTGTGTGTGTGTGTTTTTTCGGCGACAAAAATTGCACGACCCAATGGATATAATGGTTGTTATTGGCGACCCGGAAGCATTTAGTATTGGCAATTTAAAATATGCCCAATCTCGACACTAAATCAATTAGACCGTTAAATTAGCAGAATAATAAAAATAATGGGATTTTGTCACAAAAGCAATGCGTTTCAAAACAGAATCTCATCGAGTTGAGTCGATTAACTAATCCAGTATCGAGATCATGTTTAAAGGCGCATTGCCGAAAATGAAAAGGTATTTGATCAATATCTAATCTTTGAAAAGGAAAAAAAGCGAATATTCGGTGAGAAAATTGAAATGTTTTATCAACTTCTATTCGCATTTATAGCTTTTTTCATCGATTCTCTCAACAATTGACTACGGTACTGCGTGAGAATTGCAAAGAAAATCGGTGCGAAACAAAGTGGAAGAAATCGAGCGAAAATTGGCGGTTTCTACTCAACGTTGCTTGCTCAATCATCAAAAATTTCGATTTGAAAACCGCGAACGTGTCACAATTAGATTGAAGATATACGACTGACACCATCCATCCATCAATCATCATTGAATGATTATGAAGATAAACGTTTTCTGATAAAATTATATTTTTTTATTTGGAGGAAAAATGTGAAGAAATGTAAACCGAAAATGTGCTGATTGGCATTGTATTTCATTGAATAATTCACAATACGCCGCTGAGAATCTACCGAAAAGCGAACAATTCTCGTATTTTCGGGAACATTCGAAATCGGTTGAATTCATTCATTTGGATCTTAACACTTATCAATGATAATTATAGTCGACGTCCGGCAACTTCTGGGTAGATTTACGGGGATGCTTCTTACTATTGGTCTCGCACGGAATAACTGGTTATTTCGCATTTTATAGATCGGTTCGATAATTTCATTCACGTGAAATTATCAAAATAGGCGTTCACACGTGGCGAGCCCATTTCAAGGCGCATGCGCGTAAATCTACATCAGTCGCCGGACGTCGACTATAATGACCAATAAAAGTGTCAAAACACTCGTTATATAATTAAAAGGCATCATGAAAATCATCATAATGGCAGAAATATTTCAGGTGAAAAGTTGTCTGATCAGTGATCGCAGTTTAAAGAAATCGCAAAAGTCTACGAAAGCGAAATTTAGGTTTGAAATTTATTTTCGCAATTTTTTTCTTTTCATTTCATTCAAGAAAGTTTTTTAAAAAGCATTTGAAAAAGAGATTGGTATGAAATGAAATGTGTGCAAAATTGCGTATGTGTGTAAACAGACAAAATGGGACAAAAAACAGAACCCGCCCATTTAAAGTTTTTTTCCTTCGTTTTTTAAGAATTTTGACGAATGAAATGGTTTTTATTATTTTCAAATTGTCGACGTCGCGCGACTGCGTAAAATTGACTGAATGCAAAAAATTTAAAAAGAGGTATGCGCCTTTAACTTATTCTTATACATTGACAATATATTTATTATAGAAGTTTATTTGAAAATCGACCGGAGTTCTGCCGCTGTTCCTTCAAAAACTTCCTATCTATACCAATCGTGAGATAGACGTTTAAAAAAATAATATTTCTCAAATTTCTGCCCAAAACATGAATAGTCGGCGTCCGGCGACTGCTGTACGCGGGTAGATTTACGCGCATGCGCCTTGAAAAGGTCTCGCCACGCGTGAAAGCTTATTTGCTGTTTTCACGTGATCTGCTTCATTTTTCTTGATGAGGTTCACATTTCCTCGAATTTCTAACAATATTCCATTAAAAAATTATCGAAATGGTCCATAAAATTTGAAATAACCTGTTAGTCCTTGCGAGACCATTTCGAAAGACGCATTCCCGTAAATCTACCCGCGTACAGCAGTCGCCGGACACCGACTATACTTGGTTTTATACTTATTTTTGTCGGTTTTAAATGGCTGATCGATATTGATAAAAAAACGATTGGCTATATGCCAAGGTCTCAAAGCAAAAAGAACTATGCGTGCTTGCGTACCCTGCATTTTAACGTACGAGCGTTATAGGATAATGCAGAAAAAAAAATCGTGTTTTTTTTGCTGCATTGAAATTCACCTCATTTTTTGGTCCACTGCCTAGGACCTTAAACCCCCCCCCCTTTAAACCTAGGTTTAAAATTTTTATTTTGCAAAAGATATTCGAGGTAGTTTGAAAGAAATGGTGACAAAAAGCTATGGTTGGAAAATTGGAGGTGGTCGAAAAATACAAATTGGGGGTTCAAATGATGGGTGGAGAATCTGGGTAAGGAGGCGATGGGACCATTGATTACTTTTCAATTTGTTTTGCATTATTCTTCTAAGTATTTTGATAATTCAAATTTTGATTTAAACAATAGAAATAAATATAGAGTATTACAGTTAACCTGCGAATCAAGCACGCTGGAATTCAGACGAGGGTGCCCTTTTTTTAACGCGGGGGGTCACGAGGAACTGGCAATTTTGCATTTTATGGGTTGGTTCGATAATTGTTAATTTGAATGATGTTAGAGATTTAAGGAAATACAAAAAAATAAACAGTTCACATGAAAACAACGAAATAAGCGTTAACGCGTGGCGAGACCATTTCGAAAGAAGCACTCGTAAATCTACCCCGAATATTCTATGGTAATATTAAAAACCTGAACCGGATGCAGTAGATGGCTATCAAATATAATAATTTGAAAGAATGCATCGCAACAAACGATAGTTGAAAGAGATCTGTTGAATTTTGCTCGGCAGGACAAAAGTCATCTTCTCGTCAGTGTGCTCATTTTATTAAATAATTAATTAGCAAACAAAGCAGACTACTAGACTATTTGGAAATGTTTCGAATTTTGTGTTATCATGTTACACTCGGAGAAAATTACCAAATTGACAATTTGGCGCGCTATTCAAAATCTTGGAAAAATACCAATATTTAATGTTGCGAGTAAAATGGATAAAAGAAGAAATTAATTAATATATAATCTTCAACGCTCTTTGTGCTGAAAAGAAGAGAAAAACACATTGAAATGGATTTCGAAACGAGCTCGGATTATAATCGAATCAAAGCCAACCAAATTCGTGGATCCATTTATTTAAATAAACCGCCACTCGTCCATTATCTTGTTTATTTTTGCTCGAAATCTCCAATTTCAAATAAATATCAAACAGCAGCAAAAAAAGGAAAAATACAAATTTGGTCCGCGAGGTAGAAGTATCGGGAAAATTTTTGAAAAAAAATCTTACGAATCGAATAAGTTATTCTCTTTTTTTCGTGACAAAGACGACTCTCAGCGGCGATTCATTGTTATGAACTTGGCGATGCGAGGGGAAACCGAATTGCAACAAGAAAATAGGTTGGCGAATATTCCTATCGCAGTATTGAATGATTAAGAAACAACAAAAATTCGATGAGAGGAAGCTTCTTTCCTGAATGAATCTTCAAATAAAATTCTGTTCGATGTTTCGATGCTGCTGCTCTTTTTTGTCCATGAACTTTGCTTCGCATGATTAATTCGTTGCTCAAATTATCAAGAAGCTGGATAAGGACCTATGAAATCAAAAACTCAAACACTTGACGAATATCGTAGGATCACAAAAAAAATGAGTTGAAACTATATATACATATTCTGAAACGAATTTAATAGAAATAAAATTTGAGAAATGCTCGGTTAATGTAAATAAAACCACTAATAACACAAATATCGAGCAGAAATATGATTGAATTTCTTTTAATTGCTTTTCAGCTGTATAGTCGTGTACACAAACGGGTCTGAAATGGAATTTATCGAAAGCAATTTAATAAGATTTTATTGGAATGCGGAGGAGGAGCCGGTTGAGGCGAAACTCTTAATCTTTATGAAAATATGTAGTGAATGTCTACTATATTGGCATTAATTGATGTTCATTCCATAAGAAATTATTTTTTGTGTTGAAATTGAGGGATTGAGGGACCCAAAAAAAAGGGGGTGGGAAAAATATGGAAGTGGAAACATTGAACTTTGAGATTTGATTAGATTTCGTCGTCAACTCGATTTGTAGTAATCAGAAGTACACATAATTTTGGAAAAATGACTGATGTGAGGTCGAATAAAATGCAAATGGACGGACGAGCAAATCTATTAGAAATTGGCCGATAAATTATTCGAATATTTAAACATGACGCTGATTATGACACACGAGGAAGTGTCGAACAACTTTTTTCCGGAATTTTTATTCCTGAATACTTTGAATATCGGAAAATGAAAGAGGGCGATTTTTTGTGAATACTAACTGGTAAGATTGATGCAGGAAGCACAGAATTGATAAAAGGAAGTTCAAGCTCAACATCGATTCTCTTCTCTTCTCGTCGATGATAGTTTTTGACAAAAAACAAATAAATAAATTTACGACTGAATAGGAAAAAATGTTTTTGGAACATTAAATGACGACAGCGATGAAAAATGTACTGGTGATTTGGAAATTAATTCATCTCGTTATTCCATCAAAAATGGGACCCGTTGAATTGGATGCGCAGAGAAAACTAGGTAATAATAAAAAAAAAGGGTGGCCATGTGAGGTTATAAAATTTGTCGAATTTCGATGGATGGAAAATAATTTCGAAAACGTATTCTGAAAAACAACGCAAACGTAAATAATGATATCAAAAAGTTGAAATTTAAATCGAAATAGTGAAATGAATCCCGAAAAAATGTATCACAAGAAAAGAAGAATTGAAGAGTGTCAATAAAATATGTCGGTTTAAGCCTTAAACCCACACACTCTATTTTCTAATATTCGCATTGAAGTGTCTGTTTTTATTGTTTTTATGATTATTGTTGTTTTTTTTTTTGAAAGAGGAATTTCGAAGATTTTCCTGTTCCAGCAAACTGAACGCTTAATTTTAAAAGCATTATTGGAGCAAAAAAAAATTATGCGGATGAGTCAAAATTTTTCATTCGCGTAAGCTTTTTACCATCCTCATTTTTCTCGTTTTCCTAATAATAAAAATGGATTGGCAGAGCAGTGGTGGCTTGTTGAATTATTCAAACTTTTCATCATACATATGTTAATGCACATATTCGAGGATGGGAGTTCGAGACTGCCTGGCTGACTGACTGACTGGGTGGGTGACTGACTGGGTTTGAGAAAGAAAGTAGTCAAAAGGAGATGACCGAAGGAGGAGCTGGAGTATCTCATAAGATGAAATTAAAAAAAACACAGAATGCTTTAAATAGATGGACAGTTTAAGTGTAGAATACGGTAGAAAAAAATGAGCTGACCAACGAAAATGGAATAATGAATTGAAAACATGAAGGGCAGCGATGATTTTGAACGAAAACAACCGATGACATTTCGCACTTATAATAAATTTCGCGAGATTTTTTCGAAATTTTGACTATTTCGGTTTGTAGTGTCTTTTTTTAAGCATTTTTTCGCTGTTTACACCTCATCCGTTTACCACGGCATCTAAACACATTTATGCTGAATTTATGAATTTTCGAGTTCAAAAATACTCGCCGATTTCTGAACATTGAAAGACGATAAATGTGTGTGCGTTTCAGATCTCATTATATTATACAAATGCACATACATGTATCTCTTCCAGGAAATTTCTATTGCAAATAAAACTAAATATGTCAAATTCAATTTGGCCCATTTGTTTTGCTTCATTGTTGTTCCCAACCCGAATGAAAATGAACAAATGGAGAAGCCGCAATTGCTCGACATCGCGAATGGTCAAATGTCGAACTTGACAAATAAAACTAGAAGATCATACAATTAAATAGAATTAAAAGAGAACGAATTTGCGTGTGATTTGGATTCGAATCATCATAAGAGATATGAGTTCAATCATGATAAGAAATGAGTATAAAAGGTGGAATAAACTCCGGATGAGCATCGGTCTCTGACAGCTCTCAGACATGGCTCAATCCGTCCCACCAGGAGATATCCAAACCCAACCAAACGCGAAGATTGTCTTCAACGCTCCGTACGATGACAAGCACACCTACCACATCAAGGTGATCAACTCGTCGGCCCGTCGTATCGGATTCGGAATCAAGACGACCAACATGAAGAGACTTGGAGTTGACCCGCCATGCGGAGTTCTCGACCCCAAGGAAGCCGTCCTTCTCGCTGTTTCCTGCGACGCGTTCGCATTCGGACAGGAGGTAAATCGGTTTCAGGAATCGTTGATCCGACTAATGGAATTGATTGCAGGACACCAACAATGATCGTATCACCGTCGAATGGACAAATACCCCTGATGGTGCTGCCAAACAGTTCCGTCGCGAATGGTTCCAAGGAGACGGAATGGTCCGCAGAAAGAACTTGCCAATTGAGTACAACCCATAAGGCGCCGAACCACTGTTTCTCACTCTCAATACATAAACAATTACTCTATAATTACTAATTTATTGGTCTTTTTTTTTATTCACAAAAAGCCACCACCGACTTTCGATTAGGAGAAAGATCACATGGATATAAGCATGAGCAAAATAAATATAAAAGAAAAAGAATGAAAACTGGTTTTTGATTCGGATGAAGAATGGAAGGAAATGAAGAAATACCCATAGTAGACGACAATGATTGATTGAGAAGAATTCCGATTAAACGATCAATCGAGCTTAAAAATGGCTCGGAGCAAAGAGTCGAAGAACGAAGATGGATAATAAATGCGGAATGAATGGTGTCGAGTGGCGTGTTGTGCTGCTTCTCGCATCAATCTTGGCCCATTCTTTCTGTCGTTCGCGTATTATGTCCTCCTCGGTTCTGAAATGCAATCAAATTCTCGATTCTTCATTTTGAATGACAACGCTCACCTGACATCCTTGGCAATTTCGCGAGAGTCGTCCTCGTCAAGGAAAACCGGGGGCAGTTTTGGTTTAGCCGCCTGTGGCTCATTCGCGCTGCTCGTGATTATTCCGACATTACTGTGATTCGGAAGACGAGGAATATTGATAGAATTGGCCAAGTCTCGCTGCTTTTGAATTTCTTCCTCCAAAATTCTCTGCTCTTCCAGCGAATCGCGAACTCTGAAATATTCAATCTCATTTTTGATTGGGACTAATCTATATAAATATGCAGATATTATTAAGATATTCAATAGTTTTCTTCTTTTTCCAATTCAAAGACATTCATAAAATTGAGGAGATAAAATGGCATTTGTTTACAGCCCATAAATTTGATTTCCGCATTCGAAATGGTTCCTTTTCTTCTTCATAACTCACCCAGACATTTGAGCTTGTTGAAGAAGTGAGAGCCGATTGCACAGGGTGCTCGAGCAGATGCAGAAGTTGACCATTCCACCTTCACTTGTTGCGCAACCATCTTCCAACTGAAAATCATTGGAAATTTTAAGTCAAATAAGAAGAAGAAGATGAAACCGTTTCCCCAGGAAGGAATACTGCCGCTTCTTTTTCAGACAGGCACTTTTTCTCCATTGCGAATGAACCTGCAAACGATTTCTTGAGTCCCGCGCGAATTTCCAAAAATAGAAATACTTGTCGACATTTGTGTTTGTTTCGTCGCGCAATACTTTGCCGATTCGTCGCAAACTTCTTCGGACATTGCCGCACAGTCGGCCGTCGGATCCGACATATCCGTTTCCGTGCAGATTACACATCGAATTGACGATGAAGCTGTTGATGCCGGCCGATTCACAATCGGGATTATCGGCTTTGGTGGAATTGGTGACGGGTGTGGCGACGGCGGCGGAACTGTTGTCGTTGATGTGGTAGTCGCGGTGATCATCGTCGGTCTCAGTTCGGGTGTTGTAGAGGCTGGCGGCATCGGGATTTCAGGAACCTGCATATGGGCAGAAGCTAGTTGGGCGGCTGTCTTCGAAGCACGAACACTCTTGAATAATTGACGCTGAAAATGACTTGATATTGAATTCGTAAATCTTATTTCGAAATTCGCACAATTTGTTAGTATTGTTCATACACAAATCGTCTATTGCGCGCTCATTAAACCATTGTAAAAAGTGACAATTATGTATGTATATGCAGACGCAAATTTATGTCAATTTTCGCTGTTTTTAATGCCACTATCATTTCTCAATTGTTTTGTCGTGTTCCTCCTTGACGAACAAATGTTAATGTATTTGACCCGAATTGTCAAGAGGGTCTCGAGCGCTTTTGTATGATTCGCAAAGGTTAATCCGCAGCGACTAGTAAAGAAGTCGCAGGCACCTGCTGGCTTAAATGAAAGTTGTTGCACAGCGGGGATGTGCAAGCGCAGAAGTGCACCCTTCCTCCGTTCGACGATCCGCAGCTGTCCTCGTTCGGGACTGCTCCGAACTCATTGACGAGTTGCTCGGGCAGAACACACATTTTTTCCATTCCAAACATTCCTAAATAACCGCATTTTTTGAGATAGCCATTATGCATTATCGGTTAACCATTTCCGATGGCGATTTGCCTCGTGAAACACATTGATCTCGGCGAGGAGCATTCGACTTGAACCTGCTTCTTACACTCTTCATACTCGTCTTTCAGTGATCCATCGCCACATTGAATGCATTTCATCACTCCTAAACAAACAATTCACTATTTTCTACTCTGCAGTCCGGTTGGTTTCAGGATGAATACCGGCTTGTTGGAATTCTTCGCCTCTCGCCGGAATTATTGGATTGCCAGTGCCAACGAAGGTCCCTTCGCTGATGGCGGTCTTCGGCAAACTCATCACTCTGCCAATGTCCGATTCTGAAGATGACATTGTTCATCAGAAGCAAGGTCAAGAAATTGCAATGACAATAGGAAAATGCGGGCAAAAAAAGAACCTCTTGAGTTAATCACAGGTCGATTCGCAAGAATTTCTGATTCGATTCCGGCGCTTCTAGAAGGCAGTTGTGTTCGGCGGATTTCGATCATTTCCGATGATTTTGAACCATGATCGTTGATTGGAACAATCGCTGGCGGATTGAGAATCGGCGCCGCAAATGAAGGAGGATTTGGTGGAGATGGAGCATTGACAGGAAGTGGTCTGATTTTAAGTGGAGCTGGACCAGTTGGGAGACGAGTTGGAACAGTTGGCTTCTCCGTAACAACATCATCGAAAAGCTCAGGATGTTTCTGAAATCTTTTTAAAAGTGTGTGATTTTTAATTAGATTATACCTCTTCAAATAGCATAAACTGATCGGCAATGGTATTTCGATTACAGTAATCAGTTCTGCACAAGCAATACGCCACCTGCAAATAGTAATTATGGCGAAAAACGAAAATTGTGTGGATACTTCTTCTCCCTGCACATCAATTAAATCGCATTCCTCATCAAGTCGGTAGCCTTTCTCCGGGAAAGTCTTATAATGGTCTTGTTCCGTAATGCACTCTTTCATAATTGTGAATGTATCTGAAATAAATACGTTCGTAATCTCCTCCAAATATTTATTTAGTAGCCAGCCAAAAACCGAGAAGCTAAAGCTTTTCCATCCAAAAATGGGTCGTCGACGCACTGTCGAAACTAGCAAATTGTTGCTTGCATGTTGCGAGCGAAAGTCTCCTCACGAAACTTTAATATTTGTCGCTCGTCGGATAATTCGAGACGAACAGGTTAATTGGTTGGGAAGAAGAAGAAAAAGAAGAAATACGGGATGCCTCTTACAGCAAAAAAAAAGAAGAAGAAGAAGAAGTCTGTTTGCAATAAATAATTCATTCAGCAATTTGCATTCGGAACATATTTTCAACGGTTAGAAGGGCTTCCGATAGCCCACACCGGGTCCGTAATCCCATTTTTATCCGGTTTAGCCTAACCCGAATGTTTGTTTCATCGTATTCATCTAAACACACCGCCCGTTTTTTTTTGTCACCACTATTGTTTCGACGCGCCTAATTTGGGTAAAAGTGCGCAACACAAATTGCGCAAAATATTAATGCGAAACGGCGATGGCCATGACACACTCGTTCCGGTTGTTTGAGCCGGCCGCGAATATGATTGTGATGGGGGATCGAATGCATGACACCTACTGTTCTGAGCGGATCGGTGACGCGTCGTTCGGCAATACATGCGTTCGTTTGCCGGGAATCGCGTCGCGTAATTCGCGCAGTCGAGTTGGAATTGGGATGAGCATTCGCCAAACTCGTCGAGATTCGTATCCCCACAAATGTAGCATGAGAGTGAGGAAACTGCAAATGAAGAATAATTGAAGAACAATATTGTTATTTGAATAAATAAAATCGAAAATAGATTTTAAAAATTCCACTAAATTTCAATATTAAATATTTCGACAAATCGTAAGCTTTTTTTTAGTCTAGTTTGGGTTTATTCATTTTCTGAATTATTAGATTATTACTAGCCTGAACCCACCAATTGGAAGACATCCGAACAAAAGCAAGAATGCCGCGTGTGGCATTTTGGACGTGTGTGTGTGTTTAGACTGTTCGCGTCTTCTTCAAATTGCAATGTCGTTCTTCCTGAAAGTGATTGTGAGAGTTGACAAGAATACGTTTAAAAGAAGTTAGATTATTTTAAACTGAAAAACCTGAATTTCACAGATTATGCGGGTGGTAATAATATGGAATTAAAGTGAAATTTAAAGATAAAAAGCTAGGGAATAATAATACTAATAAAACACGACATGTTGTAAAAAGGCGTCAGATTGGAGATATGAAATTCGAACAATCATTTTGATAGTGAGCTGATTAGATTATACATATCACAATGCTTAAAAGGGGACCATTGGAAAGAAAGGGAATAAAGGACAGCTTGAATGAGGAATGATTTGACAACCTCTTCCGGATTGCGGATTCAAATTTTGTGTTTGTTTATCGTAATCCGAAACTTCGAAAAGTTGAATCGCGTTGAATAATAACAACAATAGTCAAAAAGTTTGAAATGTGTTGACATGAATCTTACAACACCTTTGAAAAAAAAAACTGTTAAATCGAACGATTGTATTGCATTTGATGGGGGACACACCGACGCACAGCTTATGAGGGACGGGTCAGTTGAAATTGCACACCGGCCGGCTACTGGTCAGGTAGATATGCGATGCGCGAGAATATGACCGGCGGCGAAACACAGAGGCGTCGGATTGAAACAGGCTTGACGGTCGGATGAATAGAACGGATCGGAAAGGGGCGGGCGAAGCAGACGAGAGTGGACACAAAAATGAGAAGAATTGAACTTTTATTCAACACAATTGAACATGATGATGGCGATGATTCAAAGTAATCTCAAATACTTCTAGTTTGCCACCCATGTTTGATTTTTGATATGAAATCATGTTTCAGCTATCTTTTGAAACTATCCTCCTTAATTGGGAATTTCAAATATTTGCTAATAACTAATTTTTGTTTTTCAAAACAATCAGACAGACATTTAACTCATGTCTCCATTTGTATTAACATCGCAAATAATCAAGCACTTTGAGTATTTATGGGTCATCATTATTTTTCATGGCGGTAATTCGAATTTGAATTAAACAGTGGGAATTCGGGGACCATATTTTGAAAAAAAAATGTGTATTTCGAGAATGAAAAAAAATGTCCTCGAAGGATGAAATCTTCAAGACGTTTTTGAAATAATGTTCTCCAAATTTTTTGAAGAAAACTCAAAGAACTCAAAAAAAAAACGGTTTTTTACGTAATCTTTTTTATATGGTTTATAGAGATTTTTTGAGTTTTCTTTTTTACCTGCTGTGGAAGTTTTTGGCGAAATATTCATTTTCCATTCTAATCAAAGACAATTGTGATTTTCAAAGCGACGCTTTGATTTATGCAAACAAATTGCGTGGCACGAGTTTGAGCTAAGTTTCTTGGAGCTGCACCATGTTTGGAAACTGAAAAGGATTGCGAAATGGAAAAGAAGTGAATAGGAAAAAAAAACGTTTCCCGTTGGGCAATTGACTGATTGATTTCCAGTTTGCCAAATGATTCAAGTGTCTTTCTGAATTGCAATCCATGACGGCGGAATTTTGAGTGTTTCGCAAAAAAAATGAAAATAAAAACATACAGACAGACAAAGACACAAATCCGAATACGAAATAGGAGAAGACGAAAGGGACTAGTCAACATTTAACTTGGCAGCCAGAGAGGTGTGAGAAACTGAAAGTTGTGTAGACAGGTAATTATCCGGACGAATTCCGACTCGGATTTTAGAAAGGCAAAAATAGACACCGACAGGCGATGGATAATTGCGAGTGCCGTTCAACACTCGGATGCCATCCAGATTTTTTTGCGCAGACGAATTTTGCTAATGTTTGAATTTAAGAGCGAAAGGTAGAAGAAGAACTAGTCGGAATGTTTGGGGCGTCGATTCGAGGTCGAATTAAAGGATCATCCCGCTACTTGTGATCCGGCAGGTTGTGGACTATTGGTGCAAACACAAACAAGTTTATGTCTCAGAAATTGTCTATAAATATTACAATCATTTTTGGATGTTGAAATCACAGCGACGGATAATTGTTATAAAAACCATGTGCGATAAGCTGTTGGTAGTAATGCCATTCGGATTCATTCGAAGCATGACAATGGTTTTTTTTCCGAAATTTTCCACTGAAACACATTGCTAACACAAATAATACCAAACGAGTAGTAATACCGTATTCATGCATAGACGTGAGTGTCTGGGTAAAACTACGAGCTAAATATTTTTTTCTAATTTTTACAACAAATAACTGTGGGAAAAAATAAAAATGCACAATTTGAAGAAAATTCAAAAAAAAATAACATTGAAGATTAAGAAGATGGGAAAATTTTTTATTATGACATGAGGCGCATAAATCGGCATCTACTTTCATAAATGGAGCTATCATGTCCTTAATGCATTTTTAGGCAAATATTTTCTTTTTTTTTGTTTGAAAGTAATATGAACTGGTTTTATCATTTCCGTACACGGTAAACGTGCAAATCTAAACGTTTTCATTTAATAAATTATCGAAACACATCAATTTTTGCTATATAGTTTGATCGACATTTTTTGATTTTTTCCAGATCGAGATGAATTTGAGAAATTCGGGTGACGCATGATTATTCCGACTACATCCTTGTCCATTATTGAATCATCATTCATGTTGCAAGTGAATTGAATTGAATTGGTTGGTTCAAACAATGAATGTGTTGACTATCATCAGCAGACTGTTGATCTTTGCTGTTTGTGGCATTTTTAGCCAAGGTCACAAACAGCTTCAATCAATCCCAAGCGGATTCGTCAAATCTTCAAGAAATCAACGTTTTCCAAGATCGTCTGGAATAAGGAAGCAAAAATCAGAGAATCGGATTTCAACGAAACACTTGAACCAATGGCAAAACGTTGAATTTGTTTTTATTGTGAATTGATAAGATATCAACCGTCAAATGGTCAAACAATTTCAGAACTTGAAACAGTCTTTGATCCGTTCTTGCCCCGCCTCCTAATTCTATTCGGTCCATCGCCAATTGATAATAAATGAAACACGCGAATTAATTGCCACTCCCTCCTCTTAATATTAAAAACTATCAAATTTTCTGACAATTTAAACTTTTTTCCTCCACTTTTTATCCCTAATATCATATTTTTAATGTGAATATCAAATTGGTGTTCTTTTTTCAAATAAAACATATATGTAGCATATTTCCGAAAAATAAATTATGGATTTCGTTCAGTTTTCCTCCATAATTTTCTAATTTTTCATCAATTTTTGATTTAAAAATTCGAATTAGCTCATTAAAAAAATATTTATTTGCATAAATGAATTGAATTTTCACCGATGATTATGCCCTAAATGACAATTGTATCGCATGAAATTCGACGGGTCTTATCATGAAGCCGTTTCTTCAATTTCTTTGTTGCAGTTGCCTGCTTACTTTCGTTGATTGTTACGCTCGCCGTAATGCAACAGGTACTTCTTCTTCTTCTTCTCAATTCATTCATCTTAATTGTCAAATTTCAAGAGGGAATATGATAAAGCTTTTGCTTATAAACGGGTCACTTCGGATTCATGGCTTCTAAAAACATGTAAAAATTACTCGAAAGTTTTCTCAAAAAATGGTGAGAGCTAATCAAACTGCCAAATCTGAAAATCAACACTAAAAATTCAGAATTCAATGCGGCGGTTTTGCGAAGGATCCCAATTCTGAAGTGGCTTCCAATGTAACCACAGTGTATTTTTGAAATATCAATTCGCAATTAAAACCTGTTCAGGTATAACTTATCATTTCTACTCAGCGACATTATTGCCGGACTGACGGTTGGCGTGTACAATGTTCCACAAGGTTGTCCACAAACCACACCATCAAAATGATGGTTGTAATCTGAAAAATTTAGCAATGTCATATGCGACTCTAGCCGGTTTATCCCCAGTTTACGGTTTATATACAAGCTTCTTTCCGCCGCTCATATACGCAATATTTGGCACAACTTATCATTCGAGTGTTGGTGAGCATTAAACCATTTTCTAAATGAGTAATACATAAAATACCAGGAGTATCCTCATTACTTGCAATTATGATCAACAAATGTCTGGTTAAACTGTTAAGTGGGGAAGAATATGGTAATCGGAGATTTTGTTGCTTTTGATCGAAATTGTTCCAACAGAATTTCTGCAAGTTGATCGCGTCGAAGTTGTCACAAGCTTATGTCTACTTTCGGGTGTGATTCAGACAGTCATGGCTATTCTTCGATGTGACAAATTGATGAAATTCCTGTCGGCTCCAGCAATTTCAGCGTAAGCCATGAACCATACATACATATGCATATTAGAAAAATATTCATTTAGGATTACTGTGAGTTCATGCTTCTATGGAAATGTGATGCTTCTTCCAAAAATGCTCGGCTTGAAACTTCCCCCTCGAAGTTCAAATTGGTTCAATATGTTTTATGTAAATCGTAGCATCTTCAACATCAAACAAACCAGATTTTACAGCTTCTGAGAGACATTTATGACAATTTTTATAAAACAAATCGAATGACTTTAATCATTTCGTGTTCGACATTGGTATTTCTTCTTTTCATGAAATATGTAATTGAGCCGCAGTTCAAAAAAACAAGATTTGGCAAAATTCCATTTCCAACTGAGTTGATTACGGTAAAAATATATTATACGACTATTTTGTGACTTCAATGTGCATAGATTATTGTGAACGCTTTGATATCATATCATTTCGATCTGCGACAAAATTATGGTGTTGAAATTCTAAATGAAATTCCTCGTGGATTCCCACTTCCAAATATGCCGAGAATCGATCTTTGGCCATATATGGTTAAGGACGCAGTGCCAATCGGTAAATTGATGAAATTTGATGGTGTAAATTATGATTTTCAGCCATTGTTTCTTATATGCTTACATTGTCGCTTGGTCAAATCTATTCGAAGAAACACAAATTCCGATTGGATTCGAATCAAGTATGTTTAAAATAAGACTGTTCACTGGAATGTGATTCAGGAATTATTGGCAATGGGAATTATCAATATTGGTTCATCATTCTTCCCCACATTCACTACAACCACATCGATGTCGAGAACGGTTCTCAACGAATCCTGTGGTGGAAGATCCCTGGTATTTATCCAAAATCATATCCTAACCTGCTACTTCTCATTCATTTTCAGCTTTCGGGTGTTGTAAGCAGCATTTGCATGTTGATAGTCATCACTTGGATCGGACCTCTTCTGGCTCCTTTGCCGTCTTGTGTTCTAGCTGTCATCGTCGTTGTTGCTGTTCGGACCCTCTTCAACAAAGTTTACGAGCTTCCAAAATTATGGAGATATTCGAAACACGACTTCGTATGTGATATACTTCGAAATTTAATTTTAATTTTTATTTTTTAGTGGATAATGGTTCTGACGTCAATAATCACCCTGATTTCGGGACTTGCCGAAGGCGTTGCCGCTGGAATTATATTTGCGATTTGCACCATTGCGATTCAATCACAACAGTAAGACACCATCAACACCAACATAATGTCATATGATCGGTTCCCACGATGAGTGTTCATTCGTTTCTGATACCCGCCGATAGTTTTTAGAGGTCGAAGCAAAGCGGAAAAGAGAGTTTCGAAAAGAGTTACCCTGAGAAAAATAGCAAACAATCAGTTTTGAAGATGAAAAATACACGAAAAATATTTCAGGCCATCTATCAAACACCTTGGCCAAATCAGAAGCAATGACTTTCGATCTTTGGCTCAGTATAAATCTGCAAAGGTTTTTTACAGTATAATTTTTTTTTTATAATTTTCAAACATGCTGCTGATTTTTTTAGCCAACCGATTTCAAAATAATTCGATTTGATGCGCCTTTAATATTCACAAACGTTGATAAATTCTTGGTGAGTGTTCGAGAAGCTGCGAGTGATTTGCGTAAATGCAACAAAATTACACTGAATGAAACTGATTGGACGGCGATTATTTTGGATTGCCATACATGGACATACACAGATTCAATGGGAATAGATGCAGTCAAAGAGGTAAAAAAAACCACCAATTTCCGATAATTTTCCAGTTTTTTTTCAGATTGATGATGACTTAAAGAAAATGAACATTTATTTATTATTGGCGAATTTGAAATGTATTAATCAATATCAATACAATTCATATATTGTTACTTTTTAGCTTCTCTTCGCAGGCAATATGAACATGCGGGAATTTTGAACCAAATCAAACCATATCAACTTTATCCTTCAATTCAAGATGCTTTAGACGCAGCTCATGAATTGACGGGCCACGGTTTTAAGGAAGAATATAGTGAAAACGGGAAGGAAATTGAACCCTTGCTAAAAATTGTATAAATTATTTTTTTTGTTTAAAATGTATAAATAAATTGTGTAATTTTTTCCGTTTTACGCAGGGAACTATTTGATTTTTTAACGAAATTTGCAAGATAAAATAATTTTATTGTGGATACGGTTTGCATTTTGGTTCATTTTGCGCGTCGCGTGTTTGCAGACACTAGAATGTCATCAAAAATTTTTAAATCGGCATTGCTACTTTCCGATATTCTTGTTAGTTTTTACCGCTGTTTTTCTTTTCTTTGTTTTTTTTTCTTTATAGAATTTACAAGAATACTTTTTAGAAACGATGGAGAGATTTTTGCGTTTCGGAGCTGGACTTGGACAGGTAGGAAAAACCAAAAAAAAAAAAAAATATTTTAAATTGATTTTTTTAGTTCGGTGGTACCCCACAGGACTCTAATCAAGTCGATACCTCGGAGACTGTTTACATCTCTTCGTTGGCTCTCTTGAAAATGCTCAAGCATGGCCGTGCTGGTGTTCCCATGGAGGTAAGTGATATATTATGTACAAATTATAGCGGCACTATTAAATTCTAATTTTTAGGTTATGGGTTTGATGCTGGGCGAGTTTGTTGACGAATACACTGTTAACGTCATCGATGTGTTCGCCATGCCACAGTCTGGAACAGTTCGCATCTTTTTTCTATCTTCACTTTTTAATCTGATAATTTCAGGGTGTATCTGTCGAAGCTGTGGACCCTGTGTTTCAAGCGAAAATGCTTGACATGCTGAAACAAACTGGAAGACCAGAAATGGTTGTTGGATGGTTCAGATAAAATATATAACTCAAAATTATTATTCATGTTTAGGTATCACTCTCATCCAGGATTCGGATGCTGGCTCTCTGGAGTTGATATTAATACTCAACAATCGTTCGAAGCTTTGTCTGATCGTGCGGTCGCTGTCGTCGTCGATCCAATTCAGTCAGTAAAGGGAAAGGTAGCATCATTTTGACAGAATTATGAGAAACATAATATTGCCTAATTAAGGTTGTCATTGATGCGTTTCGTACCATCAATCCACAATCGATGGCTATGAGCCAAGAACCAAGGCAAACTACCAGCAACATTGGGCATTTGCAAAAGCCAAGTATTCAGGTAAATATAAAAATAGACAAATAATTGTGATAAATTGAAATTTCAGGCTTTGATTCATGGCTTGAACCGCCATTACTACTCGATTCCCATTGCTTACAGAACTCACGATTTGGAGCAAAAAGTAAGAAATATCGATAAAATGGCACTCCATTTTGTAAATTTTATACTTTAATCAAAAGTTTCTTTTAGATGCTCTTGAACTTGAACAAATTGTCATGGATGGACGCCGTTAGCGTTGAAAACTATAGTAAATGTGGTGAGAAAAATAAGGAACATTTGAAGGCGATGTTAAAATTGGCTAAGAATTACAAAAAGGCACGATTTCCTTCTCCGATCAAAATAATATTCTTTTGGTTTTTAGGCTCTCGAGGATGAAGACAAGATGACGGAGGAGGAGCTTGCCATTAAGAATGTCGGAAAACAAGATCCAAAACGACACATCGCTGACGAAGTCAGCAAGATGCTCAACGATAATATCGTTCAAAATCTTGCTGGTATGATGGCAACAACCTCGTTCCAATAATTTTTCCACCAGCATCCCCATTATTCACCCTTTTCCTCGTATTTTAAGCATCCCTGTGTGGTTGACTTTCTCAACCAAAACGTTTTAATTTATTTTTTCGACTTTTAAAATTTGAAATATAAACTTAAGGTACGTTTAAGCTTTCATCGTTTTATCAACAAAAAATGCATAAGTGCTGAAACAATTAATATCGGTTTTTCGTCCATTTTCCCAGTAGTTGAGGTAAAAGCATAACATTCAAATTATTATTATCAACCGATGGAGTGTAATCATTGATGAGTAGGTATGGAACTTCCACAATTGCGTGGGGTCGTGTGCTCATTGTTTTATGAGCGGCCTCGCGTTGAAGCTGTATACCGCGTGGACCATCGTAACATTGCCTGAATAATAACGATTGGATAATTTGTATCATAACAAAAAAACCTAATTTGTCGGTATTCTTTGCGAATAAAAGCACTGCATGTCTGCATTGCATGTTCAACATTATACCGTTGAATGTTGTGTTCGAAGCAGACAATAAAAGGAAGAGCACCTTCCACCTGAACAATTTACTATTTTAATTTCGAGTACAATTCATTATACCTTCATGTTGTCGATGACGCATGATTGCAAACGATTCGCATCGCACTCCTTTTGTCCATGATTACACGAGAACGACCCGTCCTGAAATGAAAAAACCACTAGTACCCAAATAATTTTTGATAAATTGGGCAGCTGTTTGGTGATGTTGGAAGTGAAACTGATCACGACGACATCAATCAATGCTTGAAACACCGCATCAATTTGTGTTACTTGTGTGATTCGCGAATTTCCCCACGGAACAAGTTCGAGAGTGATATGATTTTGGAATTGATTGACGATGCTTCCAAGCTGATTCGCGATAAATCTGCAAAATATGAGAATTGAGCTGTAAAATGCATCAATTGACGATCAATGATCACTTTTGGCAATATGGACAAAGTGCTTCATAGATTAATGTGATTTTGATCGGCTGACGACGGCGGCGGAGTGTTTCGCATTGACGAGTGACGCCGCATTGTTGAGCAGCTTGCGGACTGTCACACCTGCATATTTCGCATAAATTAAATCGAATATTACTACTCCTAATAACAAACAGTAATCTCAATAAGTACAGAAGAAACTATCGCATAACGTATTATCAAAATAGGTTTTTTTGCATATCGTCGGATAATTTCTCAAATCTACTTTTCAAGTTTGCGCAATTCGGATGCGATTTATAGTTAACAGAGAAGGTCAAAGGCAACATTGGCAATTTTTTCGTAACTTGTGCATCGGGTAATTATGGGTAATTATGTTTATCGTGCTCACTTAAAAAATCGGTTTGTTTAGTTTTAAAATTGGATTTTTTTTAAATTGATTCATAATCTTACCAGAAATCTGGTGGAATGTCGCACACTTGATGCGTCGGTTGATTGGAAACTGAAGCATGAGGTACCGAAGGATATTGGGTGTGATAAGCTTTTATTGAATCTAAACAAATGGCTGTCAACAAAATGTAATTTTAAATAAATTGACTTGGACTTGGATATTGATTATTCGTATTATAATATGTGTTGTGCGTCGTCTGAGATTGGCGTTGATGCTGATGATGCTGATAATTGCGATAATTTTGCTGATACGACGGATGCTGTCGGTACTGGGTCAATGACGTCTGCAAAAATACGTTGAACTTTCAATGTTACACTATGACATTATTGGTCATTTTGCACCGGATGGCCATTTATTTTTTATTTCATTTTCCGGCGAGGAATCGAGTGGACAATCGGATATAAAACTCGTTGAACTATGATTTCTTTCGTTGAAGATGAACTTTTTGAAAAGTAATGAAAATATTCCGCGGTAGTCGTTTTAGATATTACCGAATTTTATAAATCTGTGATAAATACCATCTTAATAGTTCATTATTCAACCTACAATATTGAAAATATATATTCATAGTTTAAAATTCATATTTTATTTAATTTTTCAACACTTCTCATTTTTTTTCGTTCTCTTCTTACAATTTGCAACCACATCGTTTGAGTGTGTAAATTTTCTCAACTCATTAATCAAGTTCTCGTAAAATCAAAATCGAAACGAAGCGAAAAAAATAAGCCTCGTGGTGCCAGCTGACCATTCGACAAAGATGAAGAAAAAACACAACGCTTCACGATCATATTTCAACGTGTTGGCTCACCTGAACGAGCAGGACACAAATTGCAGGAGCGAATAAAAAATGGGACATTTTGTGTCCGAGTGGCGACCGACGACGAAAAGGTCGCAAAATGATGGGAAACGCGCCACGATCGGATGGATAACAGGGCGGTGCTCCCGCGAGCCAAGACACCGACGAAGACGACGGCGACGGCGACAGCGAGGACGATCAGCCGACGAGAAGAGAGCAGCGGCGATATCGCGATGAGCCAGGAAAAGAGCGAAAGAGATAAATGCACAATTGTGCAAATCATCCCATCACATACGGGTCACTATCATGTCCTTCCCATAACTTTTTTTCTCCAAGGAACACGTGCAAAAGAAAAAAAAAGAAAAACATGTATGCCATCGTACTGTCAGTCAAATTACTGGTGTTTTCCTTGTTTTGTCGAGCAATTATTTTAAAAAAGGGGACAGAAAAAACAGAAATTAATTATGTTAAACGTTATAAAGTGTATATTTAAGAACCTTCGCAGCGCGAATGAACGACCTCAATAGAGTACAATAATCCATTTCCGAATATAAGAAGTTGGTTGTAATATACTGCTAATATGTAGTAGTATACTCGAAACATATTCTACGAAACCAAATGCTTGAACAAGAAATACTAAAAATTCTAGCGAAAAATTGAAAGCCACGATGGCAGACAAAGAAACTGCGAAGTTTGAGCAATTTCTAATGGACCTATTCATGCAATGAAAAAATTTTTTTAAATCAATTTTTTCATGTGGATTATAATCCGGTCAATATCCAGGCAAAAAAAAATATCCAGGCAGGAGCCAAAATTGTCTTGCAATGGAAATCTGATTATCCCAATCAACGATTTCCCGACTAGTTAAAACATTGGAAGATCGAACATCCAGCACATATTGGCTCGTTAAATTACAGTTACAAGTCATTTTTCTAAATTTATTCACTTGTTTGTTCTAATGCGAACTTACGTGTGATGCACTTGCAAATCTCTGAATTAAAAAGTACGTTTACGTTTTTTTTATCTTTGTCAAAAATCTTCACACACAACATACTACTACAGTAATGGCGCTGGGAAAAGGAAGACGCATGCATGTGGCAAGGCTGCCCCAAAACACACGCTGGTCCATACTTGAGATTTAAGAAATTTCAGAATATTTCTCATAGTTTCATTCATTCAGATTCCTCCATCATTCAATTTCTCGTTCGACTTTGAAAACGACAGAACAAAAGAAATTGCTAATAATGAATTCCTTTTATTATATGAATACTTATTTTTTCCTTGGCTTATTGTTTCAATAGTTCAATTTCGGTATAGAAATATAAATAATTTATTAGATAGGACAACTCTCATTTTATTTTCATTTTTCCATACAACAGATTGACTCATCTCGAGAGAAATTCGTCATTTTAATTGGTTAGTACAAAATGCAACAAAAATCCATCACTGATCTATTACTCAAAAGAACCCAAACCTATAATTTTCCTAGAAAATAAATTAAAGAAACATTTTTGTACATTTAATAATATATTATTAAAAGATTCTTTCAACGAACCAATTTTCTCCACACCCACAATTCAGCGTCATTTGACTGTCATTTATAATACTCTGCAAATTTTGGAAAACAATCTCAGCTGGTTAAAAACCCGAAACCATTTTGAACAAAATAAGAAAATGCATGTTGAACCACAGATTTTTAATTTTTTAATTTGTCGAAAATCTGCATAATACCATTACAATTTCAGTTCTCCTAACCTTCATTTTTTAATAGAATTTACACAAAAATAAATATTCCTGTACACTAATGATGTGTTTTTTTTTAATATCACTATTCGTATATTTTTTGACAAAAATGAAATCTTATATTTTTATTCAAAATTTATAGTGACTATATGAATTTTGAAGTTTTCAAACAGAATTATTCAGATAATTTTTTCACCAATCCAATTACATTGAATTTATTGAATTGTGTGACTTTAATATTATTTTGGCATATTATAGAAAACCATCTATTTGGATGTTTTCAACAAATAATTCAGCCACCCATATTCTCAATTAGAATCGTTTTTCGAATCTCATATTTCGCGTATTACGAGCTTCATCGTATTATTTTGTACCCAAGAGCTTCTATTTTGAGATTCAGAACAACAGAAGCAGCTAATCGGCTAATTTGTTTTTCTCATTCCATTTTCGTATTCTCCCATTTGATCTCACTCAACACATGCATTATTTGTGTGTCAGTGGCTCATTCAATGATGAGCATTACGATAATTTGTGCCAGCCGCTACCATTCCTGAATTATTGAGAATCTCTGCAGAAAATTAATCAAACGTCATCTCTTGATGTTTTCCAAACAACTCTCATCATTTGCCGGCAATTTTCTGGATCCTCAGTGTCATTTTGAAGTGATATTGACAGCGTTCGAAATGAATTTGTGTAGTATTCAAATAACACTTTTTTCTTGATAGCAAATAGAAAAAAAACCTAATGGACCTATTCATGCAATGAAAAAAAAATCCATTTATTTCATCTGAATTCCCTATGCACGCACGTCGAAAATTACAAAAAATTGGCGCGATATATCGTAATTCTCCGCTATTTCAAAGGCGCACGCGAAAAGTTGTGCGGGTCACGTCGCGAAGACGGTACTGTAATTTTTATTTTTCATTCTGTGTGCTATTTTCTGTATTTTTCAAAAACTTTGAAGATGAAATGTGTAATCGAAGAACGAGGGAAAAAACAATTATTGGTATAAGTACTCCTAATTCGACAATATAAATATATTTTTCGTCATTTAGATACAAATTATCATTTGAAATAGTGATATTTGTGTTGATTTGATGCAGACTTCGCTCGATGACGTTTGTGATAAATTTTTAACGTCGGTTAAACAAAATCTTACAGATTTCCAAAAAAAAAAACTTTTTAAACGCTCAAAAAATAAAAAATTCGAAAAAAAACAGCCATTGAAAAAATACAGTACCGACATCGCGACGAGACCCACACAACTTTTCGCGCGCGCCTTTGAAAATAAATTGCGGAGAATTACGATATATCGCGTCAATTTTTTGTAATTTTCGACGTGCGTGCATAGGGAATTCAAATGAAATAAATTGATTTTTTAAATTTTTTTTCATTGCATGAATAGGTCCATAACTTGCGTAGTAATACTCAATTGCGTTTTCTGAACTCAATGAGTGTTCTCATTTTTTGTTCTCAAAGAAAAAACCAAAAAATTTGGATAAACAAGACACTCATCACACTCCACCCGCGCAATTCGATTAATCATTGTTAACAATTTATCCGATGTGAATTCTGAAGTATTTCACCGTCTACTCGCTTTTCGATTTGCCAAAATTGGAAGTAATTTTCCTGTTATTTTTTCGGAACTTTTCGAAGCGCATTATTTGCATTCTAACACATCAAAAATCATTACAATTTTTATAGTGAGCGAGGGATACGCATAACTTCCATTTATTTTTTATATTCAATATAAAAATGACAACTGAATAAATGCTTGGAAAAATGGCATTTATTAGTATAGAGAAATGTTACACAAAAAAGCAAAGATTTCCAGATTATGTATAACATTATGACACAAAGGATTGTCTCATTTGCGATTAATTTTCTCATATTTGCTCACAATAGACTTTTGTGGCATTTATCCCCTAAGCCACGCCCACCAATGAAGGTGTGAGATAGAAATCGGTTATTTGGTGGTGCTGTGCAATCTCAAGGTATTTGCCCTCTCCAAAAATGTGTGTGGCTGTCAATTGGATGGTCCATTTGCTCAATACGGATCGTCATTTTTCTTCCTAATTCGTTTATTTTAGAAGTGCTGTTATTTGAACACACAATTTTTATTTATTTTAGTTGTTTTAACGAATTCAAAAATTTGAACGTCAAAGTCATTTCTTTATGTAGAGATTTACTTTTCACGATACTTCAAATTTTCAAGAGCAATTTTTGAATTTTAATAGAAAATGCGAATGTGCTCTCAATATTCGCATGCGGCTCTTCAATTGTGATCTCTGTGTGTTCTCACTCTATTAAATATTCGATTTGACATTTTTACACTTTCTCGCATTCATTTAAGTACATGCTTCTCCAAAAATCTCGACATTTTCAGCTATTTTCAACATGCAATTCTTCGCTGTTTTCACTTGCGTTTTCATCATTTTTCCAATGGTCAAATCGCAAGAAGAAATCATTCTAGTCGCAGATGAAACGATGTTGAAACCTGTGGATACCCAGGATGGAAGGTAGCCAACAATCGAACTCGAACGAATCTCAAATTTGATATTTTAGCTTCTCAAACCACATTGTTGCTCTCCGGCCTGACTACACGTTCTGGAGAATGATAGACGTGCTTAAAACAATGTTTGATAGCCAAACGGCAGAGAAACGAAGACTGATTAGAGATGCAGACGAAATAGAAGGTAATCCGCGATTGAAGGGGTCTTCAAATCAAATATGTCATAATTTCAGAACGCTCTCAGAAGCTTCGATCGCTTCGCGGAAGACGTCCATTTTTGAATTTCGGGCGTTATCGCGTTCAGTTCTAAGTTAGAATCGTTCGAACGATATTTTCAAGTGTTTCCTGTATTTTTTAATTGCTCAACTCCCTAATAAATCATCAACGAGAAACTGTTTTATAACGTTGTTTGGAATGTTGTTTGATTAGTTCAGAAACCGAGACCAAATCTGCATTAATCAATTTTGCACAATATAAAAAAGCTTATTTGCCACTGCTGGTTTGCTTCTTTTGCGGTGATTTCTGTTCTCGCGCTAGAATTCCTCGCATGGCAAAAATGTCGAAGTCGGGATGTGCAATAGAGCGCAAGTGCCATCAGTGCATCGGCAGCGACCTATGAGAAAAAAAATAAAAAAAAAAACAATTTAAACTGATTGTTAATTACCTCCTCTAACCGATGAGGAACCTCCAATTTCTAGTCGCATTCGCCGGAATCCTTTTAATGCTGCCGGGGTGCCATCTGCATTTAAAGGCTCAGTCCTCCAGCAGTGAAACGAGGAAGTGCACGGCTTCCCCAACTGAAACTAATTAATCTGAGAATCAAGAATCATTCGACTTCAATCTCGAACAACAAGTTTCAATTCAAATTTTGTGAATTTTCTGCTCAACTCAACTGCATGCCAAAAAAAAACGTTTTTTTCTGTGGGATTGCAGCATTTTCTTGTTGAAAATGTGGGAAAAACTCGAAGAAAATGAAATACCTGCTGCAATCGAACAAGAGGAAATGTATTTTTTCACACCGGCTGAGAATTTTTCTAATTTTGCCCACAAATAGTTCACAAAATTCGCTATCGAGTGAAAACGGCCGAGCACACTCGATGGGAAATTTCAAATTGTGTGCAAAATTCGAAAAATTCCCAGCCGGTCGAAAAAAAACTTCCCTTGTAAGGAAACCAAAAGAAAAAGTGCTACCTGTGTGTCGAATTGGGCGAGTGTGAGCACGACGGTGAAAATTAACGATATAATTGTCGTTAAAATCGTCTTGTTGTTACCCATATCTGAAAAAAAAACGAAAAAATAATTAAAAAAAAAGAAAAAAATAAAAAAAAAAAACGAGGAAACACGTAGGCAAAACGTAAATGAAGACATTTAAGACATTCAGCCCGTAGGTATCAAACTCGATTCACCTGCTTTTCCGATGTGAAAAAGCACGCGGAAGTTAAATATTGGAAGCCTTGAAAGGGATTTCATTAATTAGTAGAAGACGTATTAAAAGAAACGTCTAACAAGAGATGAAATATAAGTAAAAATTGAAGTTTTCAACATTTTCGGGTTATGTTGTTAACAATCAACGAAAAGCATCGAACATATGGAATTTAATAAACAAAATTTGGCCCGATTGTCGTATTTTTCGTTTTGAAATTTGCTCAGTTTTCTTTTTTTTGTCTTCTTTTTGTGGTTTTTAAATATACTAAAAAATGAGTAATCATCGCAAAAATCGTTTTTGTTCGTAAAGAAAATGTGATTTTTGAGTTGTTTGGAAACAAAGAAAAATGAATATTTTATATAAAATTACTGCCGACCAACGTCAACTTTCGGAAGCTTCGTGAATGACACGTCGTCATATTTTGAGACGAAAATTGTGTTCGCGAAAAGGTCTTGATTTCAGTTGGTTTCTTCAACTCAACTTTTTTATTTTTCAACAAAATCAAAAATATCTGGCGAAAGATCAAAATGTTCCGAAATTCATTGAATCAGCTGCAACTGTTTTCGAAAATAGATCAACATATTTAAAAATAAATAAGAGATTTATAGACTTTTGTGGCATTTATCCCCTAAGCCACGCCCACCTGTTGCATTCGTTTCAAAATTTCCATGGTTCATCGAACTTTAGCTATTCGACAGAAAAACCTTCAACATTTTTGATGGAGTTTACATAGGTAACGAAATTTTTCAATGGCGTCCAGGCTTCTCGATAAATCAAAAATTTAAGCCAATGAAGATGTTTAAAACATATTTGACAATAAAACAAATGGTAAATTTAAATGTGTTCTATCATAATTTTCCACGAATTTTGGACTGATGGACTCGAATCCGATGATTTGATGATATTGCAAAATTTGAAAAGTGCTTTCTAGAATAGGAATCGACAATGGGATTCATATGAATTTCATGCGAAATATGCATATATGTTTGTGGCGAATTGAAAATTATTCAATTGCCTAGGTGATGATGTTTAAGAGACGCTAGTTAAATTTCGGTATAAAATTCACCTTCACGACAAGCCAGATTTGGAAATTCAAACGTAAAAACCGCTTCTAAATAATACATTTTTGAACTTTTCTGAATAGCTTAATCTTAAATAATGCATGTTTAAAACTAGACAGTCGTTCAATATTACGATATTGGAGACATTTTGTTAAAAGTGAGAGTATGATTAGCATGATTTCAGAAATAATGCCGAGATTATCATCATTGCAATTGTAGCAAACAAAAATAAAATATTTAGAGTGGTTTTCACTCACAAATATATATTATATTATACAATAACGTTTGATTAAGTTATAGGGTGTACAGGAATACAGAATTTAAAATTGGTAACTTAAGAAATATTTCATAGTATCAATGTGGAAGTTAAATCGGCGATGATTAGGATTATTTAAGCAAGAATACTCCGTAGTTTGCGGGTTTTATACAAAATAGAATCAAAATAGAGCAACCAAATTTGATATAAAATGAGGAGAGATGATTTTCAAATTTGGAAGAATTTTGTTGAGATTTGTCGAATAACGAGTATAGAAGACGAAAATAAGAAATAAAAACGAAAATTGGAAAATCTTCAAGAATTCAATCATCATGTGCTAATCATTCAAAGGCGTCTAAATGGACTCTAGTGTTCCCGTTAACTTTTTCGAATTCTAACGTTTGACTTTTCCGAATTAATCAGGAAATGAAGTCACATCCCGTTTTCTTCATCGCTTAGAAACTTCTGATTCACTTTAATTCAGGCTTCACAATGCTTATAAACAAAAATTTGAAAGTCACCATTCAATTTTTTTTGTGAAAAACTGCCAAGTCTAGCAAACGAAATAACTATGTAATGCCACAATCGTTTTATTTTTTGCAATAACTTTTGGACTACGGTATTAAAAATGTTTCTGAGTGGTGCGGCAGAATAATGATGTGTAGGAATGACGTCAAAACTTTGTTGTTGGGGCACGTGGAATCTTGTCAAATGCTTTAAGTAGAAACAAAAGCTCGGAGCGAAAAAAAAAGCGGCGAGTCGGACACGATTTAAATTGAATTCGAATCCCTTTCCGTACACCTTCTTGTTTCAAACGCGAATAAAAAAAGAAGCGTCGTCCCACGGGAATCGTTTCGAAGCGCGACGATCTCATTTGAAAAAAAAAACATGATTGTGTTTTTTAGACGAACAACAACGAATGCATGCGACGACGCGTCTTGTGATGATTTTTGCGATCGCTTCGGCGACAGCTCCTATCGTCTCGCAAATCGAAGCACGCAGATATCGCAGACAAAATGAGGTTTGATGTTTTCCGAGCAAAAAAAAACAATTCACAAAACGAGTGGGTGTCTGACAAAATTTGATAGTCGAAAAAATTGAATGAAAAGGAAGCAAATCAGTACAAAGCGACGGCTGGCGACGAATCCGAACATAAATAATGAAATTAGCCAAATTTGTAGCAATTTTCTTCGTCAAAAAAAATGAAAACATTCAACTCCTCGCCCTACTTTTAAATGTATTGTCATATAAGGAAGTCCATAAAAATTCATTTCTGAACAACGTCTGCAACGATAGATTCATTTATGTATTTACACGCTCGTTTGCTTGAAATGTATCCTATTTCTTGAATAACGGAGTCACATTAGAGGTTCCGTTTTGGCTATTATTTTAGAATTAAAACAAGGATATGGAGTGTCTTCTTTCCAAAAGGGGAGTGTTTGTTTGGAATTAGCTTCTGAAAGGAAGAATACTCGCATTAAGGAAGATTAACTGACCTCGGTAGCTCTAACGCCAATTTATACATTTTTAGAATAATAGGGAAAAGTGTAATGGTTGCGTTTTTTTTTCTATTTATACCCAAAACATTTTAATTTTTGAAAGTATTTTCAAATTGTCGGCTATAGCATTATTTATTCGGTGAATTCGATTAAGAATCTAGACTAGACTAAAGTAGTATGCTTGTGAATGAAACCTATAAAGCAATTCAAAAAAATTTGGAACCAATATTGTCCCGCCAGTTTGAAGTTCAGACTAATTTTTGACGTTTTTTTAAATTTAAATTTTATTTCAATACATTGATCATTTTAAAAATGTTGTAAACTCAAAAATATTTTTAATTTAAATTTCTTCTCCAATGGATGGTTGTTGCCAAACTTTTCGAACACCCTGACACACATTTTGATTGTCTCATAAAAATGAGATTTTAATTCACTAAACTGATTGATGATTAAAATTGTCATAGAGATTTTAAGAGAATAATTTAGGTAACAATTCATAATTATGCAGAAGCCAACATTCATCTTCGATGTCAGTCGATTAAAATGGATCAAAAACCAACATTTTTAGGACCAATGATGTCGTATTCGTTTCGTTTTCATGACATTGATAGAGGTGATTATTGCTATGAATTTTCAAATTGTGTCCCTTTTTATAGGAAATCGACACTTTTGGTGCGATGCGTTGGGCCTTTTCGGATTTTTCGAATCATTCGACGTTTATGGACGAAGTGCATCTAGTCGAACAAATCAAACATGGTTTGCATTTTTTTATTCACAAAGTAATGTGGAATCTCGCAAAAATGTAGCCTATGATTTTTTCATCGTTTGATAGGTTTTGGTTATACAGCAAAACTGATTCTATTCGACGAAAATTCAAGTCTTCGTTTTTTCATATTCAAGTGTTAAAAATATCCATTTGAAATATCCATCGGCTAAAAATATCCATTTGAAGTGGAGTGCTGGCCATCAGTTGTTAATAATTGAATTCTTGATCATATGATGAAATGATACGATATTTGCTTTGCCGCACTCACAACATTGAGATATTCGATTGTTTCGAAGCACAAAAAAAAGAATTGTTTGAATAATTAAAAAATAATGATTTTTAGTACAATATTACAGACCAAAAATTTTATAAACGAAGCAAACTCACTTTTTCAAACTCTGTCAAGTTTCAAGAAAAACGAGTTACTCGCAAGTCATGTGGAAATATTTCAAAAATCGCTGAATACAAAGAATGTTTGGGTGTGAAGAATATTTATTTGATTCGCAAACCTCATTAAAATTCAAAATTCATATGCCATCGCTTTGAAAAATGAACTCATTAATTTTATTTCAGTTCCTTATAAAATATACTTTCAGCGATTTCTCGATATATAAAAATTTCCAAAAACGGGTATTGATCTATCAAATTATACATAAATAGTATAGACTGTTTTGTTCGTAGGTGTGAATATGTGATACACCAGATTTGGTCAAGTGCCCTGGGATCAAACTTCACACAAATAAGATAATTCGATTTTATTCACATTTTACAAACTTCAGATATTTTTAGGTATCTGAAGAATGATGGTCTCTATTATAATCATCAAGAGAATCGGGTGATTGAATGGACTTGGGTCTATCCACCTCTTGATTCGTATGCAATCGAATCAATGAATGCAGTAGACATTGGCCCGCTTCCAGTTTAAACCTCGTACGCTCAAAAATCAATCTATATTTGGAATCATTCTGCTTTTTCCGAATTTGATGATTTGTGTTCATCCCAGACCATCGTCCAATGTTTCATTGCAGCGTGTGTCCATTCATTTAACGCCTCATTGTTTTTGAGCAGTTTGAACATGTTTGCTCTTTTCTCATTCATGTCTTTGTTATTTGCGAAACTTCACACCCTTAAAGTGCAATAAAAACTTGCGAGAAGCTTACCAATGAGGGCGACAAAAAAAACGGGTCACCCGGCAACAAAAGAATTCTGACGACGGTTTAAGCGACGAAATCGGCAACGATAATCCGAATAAGTCAACGGTGGCGGGCAATTGGCGACTGGGATGATGCATGATGGAATTGGCCAAAAATTCGAAGAGAAACATAATGAAGTTGAAAGAGACTCAGAGATGGTTAAAAACTTATTTCCGATTGTTTACCGACGCAAGATCGGGTTCTGAGCATGACCCCCGCGACCCGAAAAGAGGCTGACCCTCCAAGTTGAGGGGCGAAGATTCATTCATTCATTCATTCACTCTCATTCACTTCAAAACACTCACCGTCGGCGTTATTTGTGTATCTATCAATTTCAAATCATCGAAATGCGTCGAATATTTCTGATAAGCGTTCTTTGCATTCGTTTCGTGCCCACACTACCGACTCCCGCCAAAGCGCCACCATGCCAATTGCCACCATTTACTAATTTGTTGCCTTTGAATTCACGTCGCGAGTTACGCAAAATTTGGGCTGGATTTCATTCGACGACGGCGGCCAAAAAATGCGAACGGTTTGCTTATGAGAGTTCAAAGATGATTCAACTTTGTCAAGTTCAGACAGTTAGCGCAAACTCGAGAGCTAATTGCTGGTCTTCCAGAAGATGTCAAGATTCGAATTCTTGACTTTGATCGCGGAATAGTCACTCCTGTCGAAACTTCTCACAAAAATAACAATTTTCTTTCGGGATTATCCGAAGAACAAACTCATCAATTCTCACAGGTCCTCAATTTCACATCATTTTTTACATACAATCGTATAATTTTTGTAGATTATGTCTAATCGATCAGCGACTTCCGAACAGAAATATGATATGCTTCGTAATTGGGCTTCAGAATATTTAGATCTTGATCAAATCAGTAAGGTTGATCAGTTCATTTCATTTTTGCAAAGGAAAGATAAAAGTTTCCAAGCCAAGGTCAACCATAGTTGCTTAATATTTAAATCACTATTCATTTTAGGTGAAAAACCTTTCTTCTGAAGCACGAATTGCCCACGATAAGCTTGAATCATTAAGAAGATTGAAACAAGATGTTTATAATGAATTATCGGATAAAGCTAAAAAGGAACTTGCTCTTCTATACAGGTGACATTTTCTTCAAAATAGGGGGTTTCAAATACGTCAAATTTTTCAGAGCAAAGTGCCCTCGTGGAAGTATTTATGAGTCTAGCGATCTAGACGCCGAGGAAATTCAACTAGCGTGTTCTGTTGGTATAAATTAAATCATAAATTTATTCAAATTTTTGAAATGATTAGATGAGCGAATGCCGTTGCTTCGGACTATTCCAACTAATTCGCATTCAAGTTCGACGACTCCATCAACAATCGTAACCACGAAATTGCCAACGGAAACTACCACCACATCCACAACGCCTTCAACTACAACAACGACTCCAGCAACAACAACTTCAACACCAACCACGACGACGACAGTGACAACAACATCAACAACGACGACAACTCCATCGACAACCACAGCTACGACAAAGATACCATCTACAACAAAATCTCACAGTAGCCCTGATCAGAAATCGTATTCAACAAATAAATCGCCTAATAATGAACAGGTATTTTCCGTTAGAACGCTTTTAGAATGTGTGTGAATAATTCATTGAAATAATCATTTCAATGAAATTTCGAAATCTATAATTTTTATTTTCTTATTTTTTTATTTTTTTTTAATATTTTTTTTTCAGGAATCGCTGTGGGTTCGTCTGACGACGCCGGAGACCACAACCCATGGTCGTCTTTCATTCGAAATCGAAAGGAGTAATTCGAGTATTCCAGTGATTCCAGGCCGACCGAATGGAGTGGCTTCGATGTTCGTCGCAGATCCCGAAAAGCTGTCAGATTTGTTGAAAAAGATTTTCAAACAAAACTGAGCCGATATTGAGCCACTTCGTTCATTCCAAACCCAGGGCCTTGTTGAGTGTTGCTCGACTCGTAAGGTAATTGTGTATCACAATAAATATTTATTTATGGATAGTGAAAAAAAATGTGATTGACATGGTAAAATGGGAATATAATGGAAAGACATGCAAGATAATACTTTGTGAAGTGGTTTTCTACGAAGAAAACTGATACATTATTATCAAGGATGTGCGAATGAATAAGATAAAACAAAAACGCCCGAAAATAACGCATTTGTATGTGAAGAGAATCACAGGGTGTCTAATCAATTAAACAAAACTATATTAACTCTGAAATCACAGGGCAGACTAGAACCCAGAAAAAACGTATGAAAAAGAGAAATTAAATGTATAAGTTAAAGTCCAACGGTGCCTGATTGGAAGTAAGTCTTCGGATTCGACATTCGACGTAGACGATCCATCAAGGGCATCCCCCCACGCCCAATTGTCGAAGGAGATACATTTCCGTGCCACCCCGCCGCTGCCTAAAATTCGTATTGTTCAAGATCTCTTCATAACCAATCTGGCCAATTTTTTGTCGAAACGAAATACAAACCTGAATGAGGCGTAGCCGTTGTCGATAGTTATTTGCTCGTGTGTGGTCGTTAATGATGTTCTGCACATAGGAAGATGGAAACCAGCCTCCCATTCCATCAGATAGCCTCTCTCCGTACAACCAACCTAAACGTTTTGTTGTCAATTGCATACAATAGCACAAATACACCGTAAAACTTTCACCAGAAAAAGAACTAGACAAAAAAATGCGATAAAGAACAATTAATGGTCCCCGGGAAGCCCCAAACATGAAAAAGAGAAGCAAATCAAACCGTCAGGCATTTTTCGAAGAATGTTGATTGTGTCGCCAATGTTCAGCGATAATTCGTCACTTTGAGATGGCTGATAGCTGTGGACGACTAGAGCTTGGGGACAATCCCATTCGGCGTAAACTTTCTCTTCAGGGTTAGTAGACTGCAAACGGGTATGATAAGCAAAAGAGGCACACGATCGAGAGAAGAGGTTTGATGGGGTTAGGCTTACCGGTGGAGGTCGAACAGCGCTCAACCAGCGTTCACGGTCAGTTTCGGATTCTGCTGACAACAGAAGTTCAGTCTGCCTATCGCGCGCATTTCTCATTAAAGTACAAAGGAACAAATGTGGTCGTCCTACTAACGCGCTGATTGCTCCAACAGGAATCTTAAATAGTTAATGTTATGATTTGTTCGATTTCTTATGCCAACCTTTGGGTTATCCGGCTCGATCGGCTGCATATCTACAAACTTGCGAGAAGCGTAATCTTTGCAAACATATGTGCCATTAAGCTTCTTCTTTGTTATCATCAGAATATCTGAGAATAAGAAGACATGAAGTGTTCTCGCCTTTTGTCGACTCTATAAAATAACTATTTGTAAAATTTGATGCGATTGTAGGAAATCAAACCTGTAGAATATTGGTTGTTCTTCGTTCCACGAGTTGTGTTAGAATTCCACGCTTCACGAGATATCGACTGTTAGAAACCAAAGGAATTCGTCTAAAAATTCAAATTTCGTTAAATATTGTTTCATTTAAAGTATTACTTGAGATCAGCATCTTTGTAGACAAGTCTTCTATCAATTTCGAGTAACTGCTCAGTTCTCTCCATTCTTCTCGCCCCTTCGTTACATTCTCGAACAACACGATTCGACGCATTCAACGCTGCCGTCGCCGTTTTGAATCTCTCATCTGACGAATCCAAACGATCTAATATCGCATAGAGAAGGAGAGGATATCTTAAATAACCGTTTTAAATTATTGTTTTTATCTATTTGAAGGCACCTCGTAATTCTCTGCATAGGAAGCATCAAGAATGATCTCATATCTAATCCCTGACATTGTTTGTTCTCTTCTAGCCGCTGAACAGCAGTCAAGAACGCAGGATTGTCAGATTTGAGACGTCTGAGAGTGCGATCTTGATAAACTTGATTCGAACAATATTTCACATAAACTTCGAAGTGCTTGTTAAAGTGCTCGAGGAGAATATCGCATACATCATCGAGTACGAGATTCTCCTCCAAACGACTTTCGAGATCACAGAGAAGTCTGAAAGTGAGTGTAACGTTTTCGAGATGATCACGAATCGATACCTTTCCGAACAATCTCGTACAGCGAAAATATTGCTGAACAAGTGTTTTCTATCGGAATCAGAGAGTACCGAATGCGCAGACTTCGAGCCCAGCATTTGCGGGCTTGCCATAAAATGTGTAATGAGCACATTCAGAGAAAGAAGATAACTGGCTTCAGATGTTATCACCTCGAAATAGGCTTCTTGTCTCAATTTACTTTCATCGTCAAGAGTTTCCAAAAGCCCAGCAGCTTTCACCTTCAATTCGTAAATATTATCACTTGTTGTTAAGTCAGCAGACCTCTGCCAACTCGCACCATAAACTGCGTTGTGACCCAAAGTTAGAGGCACCAACTAAACGATCACGTCGCATCGATGTGTTCGAAGTGAGAGCAGATGCTGAAGTAGTTGAGCAATCAGCGCCTCGTCCAGAATCTGACGATATCGAAGATTCTCGTCGAGTCTAAATGTAGCAATACAAACAATGTAATTTTGATAAAAACGAAATACCGCCGGCTTCAGCGCAATCTGTTCAAGATTTAATGCCTCGGGTTTTGGAGCAGCAACAACTTCTTTGGGCTCCTCAGTTTCTTCACGTGCCTCTAACATATAGTGTTGATAAAGTGGTTGCTCGTTGGGAAGCATTCGAAGTTTGTATTTTCTTTGATAATCAGCTTCTTCGGGAGACGGTTCATCCTAAACAGTTTTAATTCGGATCATTCTTGAGTCACTTGTTTACCTGAAGGGGAGAAGGTGTCCAAGATTCTTCCAAAGGAAGATGCCCGACAGCAGGTCTCGCGACGCACGAAGTCATTGATTCATCATTGTTTCTCGACTCGACTATCAAATCGGCACTCTCATAATCCGACGACATTTCTAGAAAGTAACACGCGAATAGGAAAGGAAAACAAAACAATTATGCATTATTGCTACTTTCATTATATTATTATTATTATTGTTGTTGTCGTCGTCTATTTGCAGGTAATGTAATTGTTTTTTTTTTTCTTGTAGAATGTCATTAAAAAAACAAACGGGAGAGATGTGCGCATACTACCTACTAGTTCAAATTCATTACATTCCACAAAAAAATGAAAGAAGTGAATTTTCGTAAAGTCAGAAAATTGTAAAGTGCCATGCTTTTAAGTTACACTCAACAGAAAAATGATAAGAAGGCATGAGTGAATACAGTTTTTATATTAAAAATCACAAAATGCTCAAAATTTTCTCAATATTAAACATATTAAAGTGTACAACTATTTTTGAGATGAAAAGAAGATCGTTCACAAGAACTTTTCAAGAATATCAAGCCCATAAAAGGAAAAAACATTAAAACTTACGAGATCGATTCGAATAGTCGGGAAACGCTTTGTTGAGTTGTTCTTCTAGTTGGCGATACATTGAAGAACGGCGATCATCTAGAAATGGACATATAAAAAACGAATTCACGATCAAAACAATAACATTAGCGCGGTCAGAAAGTACAGCGGTTTGCCTTATTTATGTGCGCATGCATGTATGTGTTTAGATGCTTTGACGAATGTCTCGTTTGCCCGTTTTCGCCCTTTTCGCGCCGTTTCCTCAACACCGTAATGTATACAGAATAAGACGACGACGGACGGCGTCGTATTGCCGCCGACACCATTTTTGAGCAGCTCATCATCGATGTGTTATTATGTTCACGACGGAGACGCAGATCAAAACAAATCGCGTTGGTTGCATTTGTTTTTTTTTTATAAATGTTTCTAACATGCCTCAAGTTCAATTAGGGGTCTCAAAAATGCCGAATATTGAGATTTAAAGGTTATGACGAATGGTATCAAATGAAAGAGTGGCTGCAAATGCATTTGACGATTACGAATATTGACAAGGTCCTTTCTAAATTTGATGATGAGTTCAACCTTTCAATTATGATTTGCACAATTATTCTTGAGTGTTTCATGGTCACCGAATTTCAGAAATTACGCATTATTTGGGTTTTAAAATAAGACAAAGTCCATTATACAAACTTTGAAACAAAATTTTTTGTAAATTTGAAAACTTCATAATCTAATGGATACTCAAACATACGAATTCCAATTAATTAAAAGAAAACAAAACAGAAGGAGAGTATTCCAACACGCTACAGACCTTACAAGTGCGGCTAATTGAGAATAAATGTTTTGAACGCAGTAAAGAATTACTGCCGAATACAATCGATGTAGTCTTTTTATAATTAGGAAATCTCATTTCCCCATTCACAACACTAAAATTATACAGTAATGTAGATATTTATACGACATTTTCCTTTAACTTAATCAACCAAACCATCTACTTCATTTTTTTATTAATTATTTTCGATGTCGCGCGGCTACGGAAAATTGGCGAGCACCAAAAAATAGAGGAGAGTTCACAGTTTGCATTGTGCGCCATTAACCTATCCTTATGCACATATCTTGTAAATCTACAATTTTATTTTTGCTCCAATACCACCGTCATTGGTTTTAGCCAATTTTCCATAGTTTTGCGCGAAGTCGACAATACTTCTATTTTAGTTTTTTTTCAGTAACGCAGTAAAACGATGAATTGAAATGGAATACAGTATCTGGGTTCAGATTTCGAAGAATTGCTTCAAAAACAAACAGTGAAGGTCTTGAACAACAAACTTTCCTCGAAATAAAAGAAATAAAAATTATTGAATGCGTTCAAATGCACGTGTGTATTTATGTGAAGCGTACCAAAATACGAATAATGTTTGCCTTGAGAAGCATTAGCGAGCGAAACGCATGTTACGCGGATTATCACACTTTTTTCGATTTTTTGAAAAGGATTGAGAAAATTTTGAAAGCGAAAACACTATTGTCAAGGTTGGAAGTAGCATGATCATCGTCGTTTTTTTTCTGTACAAAATGCAATACAAACATGTATTGTTTCCCAATTACACCAGGAATGTTGCTCGTCGTCGTAGAAAAAAGACAAAAGGAGAGATGAAAAACGTATCGAAAAAAATGTACCTTGATAAGTATCGTCGTCTTCGCTACTCCAGTCGTCTCCATATATGTGTTCGTCGTCCTCAAATAGTTTGTTAGAACCATTTTTCTTGGACATCTGAAACAATTATTTTCAATCTTCTGATCGTTGACAGAAGTTTTTGATTCAGATATAATCACTGACCTGACTCGAATAATCTGTGTCCAGTAGATCAACACTGACGTGGCACTTTGAAGTTCGCTTTGATGGTTTTTCCCCAACTTTTTGCCTTAACTGACCAACCTAAAATTGGGAAGTTCAAATTAATTATATTTTTAATCTAATATTACCTTTTTTGAAATATTCAGCTGAAATTCACTTTTGAAACGGAATAATTTTTCAAGTTCAACAGAGCTTACTCGTTTGCCAGATTTCGAGCTTCTGAAAAATCCACAAAATAAAAAACCAAGGCTAAGATTAATATTTTGCGTGGTAAAAGTCACACGACCGTGGGAAACCGGATGGAATCCATAACGAAAAAAAATAATAAAATCGAAACGAATCTAACCGTTGCAGTGTTGCTGAAAGAAATCGTTGCTTCACTTTTGGCATCATGTTCTCTTCGGCTTCCGTCGCCTCATCGAAAACTTCTTCGTCGTCGTCATCGTTTCGATGACATTGGGAAGAGGAAACTGTTGGTCTGGAACGCATTTGATTAAACTAGATGAGAAAAGAAGAGAAAAAATTATCATCAATTAAAATGGAAATCAAACAAATTCTGTCGCACAAATTCATATAAACGTCTTTAACTAAAGTATCTTTGTGGAAAAAATTCCACTTATTTCTACAAAATTTGTCAATTATTCTTAAATTTAAACAAAATACTAAAATTACGACAAAATACGCCTATAAGTAATAATTAAAAAAAAACTCGAAATACTAAATAATGCTTATTAAAATCAAAAAGTGACTATGTATTTCGGAATTCCGAAAAAAAAAACAGCTCGTTTTAATTGTTAACTCATCAAATAGTGAACGATAATACCTGGAAAAATCAGTAGTTCCATAGGCATAGTCATCATTCTGTGTTGACATATATGGATGCATCGATGTTGACATTGGGGGCCCATCCGTCAGTATCTGTTCATAACAATCTTCGTCGTCGATAATCGCAGGAGTTTCAGGCACCGGTATATTTGGTATTCTATAAAATGCTACTTTGTTTATTTTACTCGAATCACGTCAAACTTTGGGAAATTTTCATTGGTTTGCGGCATCGTTGGAGGAGGTGGCGACTTGAATTTTGGTCGAGGTAATGTTGAAGGAGCCATTAGTGCAGGAGAAGTTCTTGGCGCTGGCGTCGGCTTCAAATGAGACGGTATCCTTCGAATTCGTTCTTTCGAAGGCGGCATGGTTGGAAGTGGTGGTGGCGGAGAAGGTTGTGCTTGAGAAGATGACGAAGAGGAATCAATGGTTAGTGAAACTCGACAACGCTCTTCGTATAAAAGTACATCTTGATTTGCTGGCATATTTTGGATTTTCGACCGTGGTGCAGGTAATGGCACTTGTTTCACGTTGTTCTCCCCCTCAACGGTCTTCCTTTCTATTGTCAGCTTTTGATTTTCGGCGTCGCTTCGTTCTTGACTAATATTGAATTTGGGAAAAACTCCGTTACTATTATTATCGTTGTTGTTTTTATTGCTACGTTTCTCGTCAAAATCGATCGACTTGCTCTTCCGAATTTCAGAATATTGCGCAGATGAGTTCAACGAGCAAATCTCGCCTATGCTTTTCGTTCGCCGTTTCAACGAGCTTCGACGACGCGGTAACGCGTTAATACGGAAGATTTTCGACGAATTTCTAATCAATATAATATGTATAAATTAGCTTAAAATGGAAATACACTTACGCAGAGTTTTCGATGATTCGAAATTTGCCTATTCGTTTTGTCGGTTTCGGTTCAAGTTTGGCACCAGACTCGAATCTATAAAATCATAACATAAATTGACAAACTGAACACTTTACAGTGTCTACGCGCTAATGTTTTGGTCATTTTCAACCTGTGATTAAACCAATAAAACTAAGGTCCGAAAACAGTGATAAGTGAATATTTGTTTAAAATAAGCGAGCACTATTGGCAGGCATCGCGATGAATTGAATAACGGAAGGCAAACAAGAATACACACCAGTTCGCTTTATGACTTTTATTATTATTATTATACTCTTAGTTATGATTATTAGAAGAAAGAGAACAATAAAAAAGATATTCGAATGAGGTTCGCCACAATGCTGTTGTTCGAGCGAAAATTTTGTTTCAAAGGCTTGCTGTACAACATTGAGAACTGTATGGGAGAATCAGGAAACTCAATTATTTATAATAAGCATGTTTCTTTCACATTCGGGTGCAAACGAAAAAAAGAATTCTGGAAAGTCGTGGAAATTATTTACTTCTTAAAAATTAATAATTTTTCAAAAATGGTTTGAAAAATCCTACGTTGTGAGAAATAATAGAAATTTGAAGCTTTTTTGAAAGTAATTAGAAAAATATTTATAATACGCCAAGACCTATTTAATATAATTTTCTTTGAGACTAAAACCGTTAAATTTTATAGCCACATTTAACGATTGACGCGGATTTTATTTCAAACGCAAATCCACAGACAGCTATTATCGTATAAAAAGGTCAAATATAATGTTTTCTTTTGAGTATATTATTTAAATTATCTTTTTAGTGTGGAGAAGCCTGACGAATTTTTCTTTTATTTGTTCTTTATGAGTTTTTCAGAATGTTAAAAATAGAATATAGGTGTAAAAACAAACCTTTTGGCGAGCTCTTTGACATTGGGAAGTGTCATCTTTTGTGTTGTCGTCGACGCCTTTTCATCGAACATTAGATGATAGGCCCAGTCACCCGCGACTAAATACAATCAAAATTAATTAATTCGGAACAGCGGTTCCAAAATCGGAAATTAAGCATATAAGAAAATAGGCAAAAGGAATCGAAAGCGCAAAATGATGAGGAAGAAACAAAACTAGACGACATCGATGAAGTGAACAGCAAAAAAGGGCAAAATAAGGAAAGTGTAAGCAACGAAGCTGAAAATGGGCTGAATTATAATTACTTATACATAAAGAAACAAAGCTGACAATTATAGCTCGAAATAACTATATTTTTGGTTAGGTTTATTTTATTGAAAAGGGAAAGACTCACTGAATTCATATTCAATTTGGCCAATGACAAATTGAGTGCTATCGAGAAAAAAATTCGCATGCATTTTCGATTTGACTTATTCTTTTAAAATTTTCGCACCGAAAACCATAAAATGAGGAATTTCCTAAAATAGTACTCGAAAAAAAGGTGTAAATAAACGGTAAAATGGCCGATCAAGATGGGTTAATCGCTTGATTCAACATTCGCATTCGACAGATTTTGCCCACTATTCATGTTTTTTTTCCATGAGACACATCGAAACTTTTTGTGAATACGTAAACACCAATGTAAATAAATAAAAAGAATGGTGAAGCAATAGAAAACAATTGGAACTTACAAGTGTATCTTTAAGAACCTTGAACAACATATGCGATTACAAGGAAACTAATATGAGAGAGATGTAAGTAAACGAGTATAGAAGGTCATTTTTTTGTTGTATAGCACTCTTGGAACGTAAATTAGAAAGGTAATGGCTTCTTGAAACCTTACTTCACGCAGAGAGAGTGCTAGAGGCAAAAAATTTGAAGAGAAAATAAAATATGTGCAACGCGTCATTACGCAAAATTGCGGAGTTTATTGAAAATGCACTGCCGTTCCATTTTAATGTTTAATTAATATTTGTAGCAATTTTCATAGCGTACCGTTAATTAATTAAATATCGTTTGGAAACCATCATTGTGAACCGAGACAATAGAGACAAAACCCATTGAAATAGCGAACAATCGGCGGACACGGAGAAGCGACATATGTGCATGAGCAGGTCAATTGGAGGTATTCAGAATGAGGTGTGAAGAACACAATCCCTTCATCCATCTGCCCACAAAAGTCAAGAATGCGAATAAGGAAATTAAACGGAAGTGAACGACGAAAATTCACGGGTTAATGAAATGTAAACACTGCCACTACAAGTTGTATCAAAGGGTCCCCGCCCGTGTAGGTCGGATTAACCCGAATTGTAAATGACAACCAACCAACGGAAGCATTGAACGATCTGCAGAGGCAGACGAGAGTGACACTAGTTTATGATTGCGATCCTCATAATTTGACGATCAACAACTTGTAATTGATGTGATTTCAACGCGATTGACATTAATTGACAGCAACGTGCGATTGATACTGAGACAGAAGCTCAGATTGTTGTAAACTCGTTTTATTACTTCGCAACGGACAAGTAATTTGATATTTTTCATTAAATAGAACATAAAATCTCCAAGTTATTACAAACATAATTCGAATATCATGATTATCCGAGTGATTTACTGTAAAAGAAACAAAAGAGAAAATATTGAAGAGTTTATCTGAAACTCTGGAAAAATTGGAAAAAATTAAAGTTAGAAGAAAAAAGAAAGAATGCCCAATGGAAATTTTCAACAAATCCCAAAAGATTGGCGGCGCAAAGGGCATTAGAAACAACCACATGCACAGATGCATTACACAAAAACGAGTGCAACCCTCGAATGTTTTTCGGCGAAATTGAAATGAGCGGGTCTACAATGCGATTTGAAATGAGTATTTCGAAGAAATTTGTGACGATGAATATGTATACTAACGAATTTACGGTATAAAATGGCATGATAAACACCAGTTTAAACGGACGGAATGCGCAACCGATTTTACGTCCCAATGGTCATCAATTTATGCATATGTCTATTTGAAAACGGCAGCAGTCAAATTCGTGAAAACGAGTAAATCGGCGACGACTACAGAAGTTGCAAAAAAATCAGATGAACAGGGTTGGCTGAATAGTAGCCGCTTCCAAGGTTTCGACGAATTCACACCAATGACGAGGGGTCATTTGCGGGTCCGGAATGTGTGGGTATGTGTAAAGAATGGATAAGACCAACAACAAATAGAAGCATTCGTATTCGGTGGAGACGCCGAGCTGCGCTATTTAATATCAAATCAGTGAAGAACACCGCAACCGGATGAGTTTTGCCGAGTTTTGTCGCCGTCGAGTGGTCAATACGCCGAGCCCGGATGGCACACTATTCGAGAATCTTTTTTTTCTCGCTTCGTTGCCTATCGCACCGGGTGGCTTTCAAAAAATCAAGAGGATCAATGTGTGAAGATTTATGACGGCCGACAATTGAGGTGGCAATTAATCGTCGCAAAAGTTTAATTGGGGCTAAATCGCAATGAAAATCACGGGGTTTTTGGGAAGGAAAAAAACAAGGATATGTTCGGTGAAAAAGGTGAGAAGACGCTTTTTTTGTTTCGACTACTGTCATCTGTGACCAGTGTCTTTTTTTTCTTTATAAGACCGCATACCCACTATTCTATGTATCGTGCGGTTATTTTTCCTATCTCACATCGTCAAGAATTGAAACCTCATTTGTACTCGCTGGAATTCTTATTTCTTCCCAACATCATTTTTCACAATTGAAAGCCTGCCGCACATTAATCTAGATGGCATCTATTATTCTTGACACGGGTCCATAAAATTTGACGGACCCGACAAATTGCAAGACAATGTATGATAGTCTATACGGAAGTTAACTAGCCAGAAGGAACCAATAATTGCAAATGATTTTCGATTTTAAATTCAAAAAATAATGAAAAAGAAACATTATCATCAACAAGTAAAACAGCAATACCGGTCTCTCTTATATGGACGCCTTTTTTTGCAATATTTGACGAACAGAATTGATTAAATTGGTGGCGGCGAATTAGAAAATATCTAGTGGGAAAATGGCATTCGTGTATTCATGCGCGAAAAAATTCAGGGAAAATTAACAGGTTTTTTTCATTTTCATTTTAGAATTGAAACCAAAAAAAAGAAGCTCCGGGTGCATATATGTACATATATAGGAACATGTAGATGTGCAAGAGCAATTGTGAAATGCGCTCGCCGGGACGGGCACGTCTTCAAGCCATCAAGTGGAATAATAGGCAAGTCGAAGAGTGCACAGACAAATCGCAAATGTACCGGAGGAGAAGCCGAGGGTCCGCGCGGACAACACCACTCGTTGACCGACACACACACACACACACACATCTATTAATGAACGCTCGGAAAACGGCTTTCGGGTCCCGAAACCTAATTGAACAAACGGGAGGAAAGGGTGAACGGATTAGGCGTCGGATATTCGATATTTTTCCGAGAAGCGGCGAGCTGTTCAGATTAATACAATTTATGATTGATGGATCCGATTACCACGTTATTATGAATTTATGGAGCGCTGCTCCTTTCTATGACGAACATTCGCTTTTCGTTTTGATTGAATCTCCTTTAAAACTTATATTTCGCATATATCGTTATTATGTATTCAATATTAGTGTGAATTTAAATTTAAAATTTTTAAGAATTTCAACTTTGTTTCGAAAAACCTATTGAAAAAATTCCAATAAAATGTGTTTTTTTTTTGGTTTTTTTCTGTGACATTGTCGTGCATTTTCGCGAAATACCATTTATTTTAATTTTCCAGACATTAAAAATTTTCAAATATTAATAATTCAAGATCAAAGTCCAAAATATGAAAGATATTTGCGAGAAAATTCAAATAATATTGCAAGTCCGCTATTTTTGCGGAAATTCAAACGCCTTTCTTATTTTAAGGAATTTTTGAGTTTGGCTGTATTTTCTTTATATGTATGTATACTGGAAAAAAAAGAATTAAAAATATGACCATATTTCCAAAATGTTAATAATGAGCTACGCGTCAGAATTAGTCTTTCTTTGACAATTGTTAGGCTAATATCTTGTAAGCTATATAGAGCCATTTAAATAGGGTTAAGCATGAATATAATAGCATATAAATATTATTTGACTAGATTGCCACGCTTGTTTGTTTTTTTATGGTGGAAACTTCAATCAACACATATTATCATGGAATTTGAATTTTAATCACTCGAAACTCTAAAAAAAACAATTCTAAAACATACGAGGAAATGCGCTGCATGCAAAGACAAAGACAATGAAATAAATAAATATGATTGATGGGTCGTCGCGATTTCGAGAGTTGTGTTTTACGAAAGTATATAGCCATTCGGAATTGGTTCGACGGTTTTCCGTTGAGTACGATTTTCTTTATCTAAGTGTGAAAACTAGAAATCTATACAGTTGTCAGCCGGGCGAGAAAAGACGAACGGAAAAACTGAATGAGCCGGTCGTTCAGGTTTTGTTTGAGCTCTCACGCGTTCGATCAAGGATCAGGGATAATTTGAGAGAATGGATTTATTGAAAGGAATTATGTGTATATTTTTTTTTCTATCGGTGACGGTCTTCAATTTGCAAAATCACTGTAGATATACGTATGTGTAATTTTATCGTCAACTGAGTATCAAGCTCAAATGCACAGCACACCGTCTCGGATACCTCAGACGTTTGAAACCGGCAATATTTATAATGATAAAAGGTCTGATTGCAAATAAAATTTTTGAAAAAAATTAGGTTCAGTCATTAGAAAGATAATCTGAGAAAGGAAGTTGAGCAAAAATTCAAATACATCTCTGAAAACGAAAATTATGAAAACGAATGTACAAAAAAGTCACAACTCGAATTTTCGAACATCACTAACATATAATAATTGAAACAAATAATTTCAATTACAAAACACGAATTGAGATTTAGAAGCATTGTTTTTTTTTATTATTTTATTGTTTTATTGTATATGTATTCTATTGATGGTAATTATTGGAGGAAAATCAGAAAAGGAAGTGTGTTAAAATTGATATGGTAGTGACGCAAACGTGAAAACTGAACGTTGCGAATTGCGCAAACACACATGGAAGGCATGGTCGATTGCGCCTCGGACGTGATGTTTTTTTTTGTCGTTCAGTAGCATTTTGAGCCGCCGCTCCGTCATCATTACCGTCCAGGCAGTTTTCCGCAAACGCAATCGTCCGGTCGGTCGGCACAACGCCAACGGACACAACACAAAAAAAAAATGAGTTCGCATGTGACTCCATGAGAGTCTATGTGTGTGTATTTACCGACGATTATGAGCTTTTGTGGCACGTCTTTTGTCGCGCAACCGCAAATTTTGCATACAATACTTCGTCCACAAATCATAGGCAACCGTGGGCACAAGTAGCCAATGCTGGACAATTGTGAGGCGGGAAAACATAGTATCTAAATGAATTGAATGAAATATATATGAGAAAAAACTTAAATGGCCAACAAACTGATTCAATCTATCGTTTTCAACTTGAATATACTTTCACGGATTTTTCCAAATAGGGTGTTTTTCTAATTAGGGTAAATTTTTTTCTTGAATAGGGTATCACCATTTTAACTATTCGAAACGGTCATCTGCAATTTTCAAAGAAAACATACTTCAGGTGAGATGAGTTAACCAGGTTCTTGCTATCATCGGTCTTCTGTTCCGGGTATATTCCAGTATATGTTGTGTCCTTCCGAACGAGCTAACTTATGAATATCCAAATTATTGTCGATCCCGAGCAACTTTGAAAATTGGCAAAATTCCAAAAAAGAATTACAGTGGTCTTGGCTCAAAAGTAAAAGTGTAGATTTACGGGGCTATACTTATGGATAGGTTAAAGGCGCATACCGAGCACTAAGTCCTCTTCTCTCTTTTTTAGCATTTAGCCCGGCATTTTTCCGAAGTCGACAATACATTAAGAATACTTTGAATACTAAAAATATCGCAACAAAACCAAAATTCACGTGCGTGTACCGATTGTAACACTAATTTCCCAAAATTAAACCTGATTCCTTCATTTCTAGCCAAAAATTGACTTCGGACCTTAGAACATACACACATAAAAAATAGAAACTTCATCCCGACTTCCCCGTTTTTCGTCATTTGTCTTTTTTTTCCTTGGCTCAAAAACGGATAATTTAAAATGCTCTCTCGAATTTCGACATTGAAAATTCCGCAAGACAAAGAATAGACGCAATAAAACACCAAGGTGTTTGCCGAGTTTCCATGGGATCGAAGTCGACAACATATTCAGCCGTTTGGCAGTTATACGTCGAATAATGTTTCGCAAGCTCCTGTTTTTGGCTATTTTTTGCGCTTTTAATAGTGCCGATGGTTTGAAATGCCACAAGTGCGGCGGTACTGATGGCATACCGAAAGCGGCCAAATCGTTAATATCTAAACTGAATATTACGACTTTGGACTCGGTGAGCATTACTATAGAAACTGTGCTAATAAACGCAACATTTTTTTTTCTTTTTTAGCTTTATGGAGATTGCAAAGCTAAATCTGGAAGTGATATGTGTGATGACGGAAAGTTTTGCTTGAAGAGTTCACGTAAGTTTCAACCTACAGTGCGTTTCACATTTATAAAGCCACCTCTATCTTTGGGCGTAACTTTGTCAATTGTGAAAATGTTTTATTATGAAAATTGGTAAACATATGTGTGTATTTTTATCCCCGAATTCAATTTTAAAAACAGAATTTAAAAATTTTCGCAATTGCCAAAGTTACACCCAAAAACAGGGGTGGCTTTATAAATGTGAAACGCACTGTATAATGTTAATGAATGAAATGAATTTCAATATTTAGATGTCTATGAAGTTTCCTATGGTGGAGTGAGTGCAAAATGGACTTCTTACACCAAGGTAACATCAACTATACAATACAATTCGTTTGTATTAATTAATGAATTGTTTAGGGATGTGCGACTCAAAGAAAGGACAATCAACTTGACCCAACCGCCACCTGCTATGATTTGGGTCTGGTTGGGGACCATTCCGGTTATACTGTGGTAATTAATTAGTAATGCTTAAAATCATACGGACTTGCTATTTCAGCGCAATATCGATTGCTACTGCGACAAGGAATTCTGCAATTCTTCCCAATTGCTTTCCATTATTTCATCATCGGCTTTAATTGCTATCATTTATTTGTTAAAATTTTAACCAATCTATACATAATTGAGAATAATCTTAAACTCGTACATATTTCTTCTTATTATCTATATAATTCGTCGAACGCTTTCTGCGTAACACATTTTGAAGTTTTTTGAAGCACTCGCACGCGGTTTTGAGCTGTTTTCTTGCATCCAATTGAGGGAAGCAAAAGCCGCCATCGGAGCCCTGGAAAATGAACTTGAAACTGCGAATTCCCTATACAACTTTGTCCAACATTATTTTCATAAGTTTAAATCTGTCTTCAACGTTTTTTTTTACATTTTGTAGTAACAATGATCGCTAATAAAATTAATTCATTCATTGCTAAAAATAAAAAAGAAGGGAAAAGCGATTATAAGAAACGTTTCAAGTCGGCAATTCATAGAATACACCGATTTAGTCTGTATCTTCAGATCAATTGAAAGAAACAGTAAGATGACATTGTTTTAAATTTCGCAAAAAATTAGAGACATATTATCCCAAAATTGTAGATTTCCGAACTAATCAAAATGAAAGGTTAAAGGCGCACACTGCAGGCATTTAGATAATTTTTTCTCAACATCGAATTACGCATAAATTAACAAATTGCTATGAATCTGTAGACCACGGACGGTTTTCTTCAATTCATCCCACACCCACCTGATCTTTGCATTTTTCCGAACATCCCAACTGTCTTGTTACGCATATCTTTCCATCAAGTGGAGCCATGTATTCATAGCATTTACAGCTGAATTTTTTTAGTGGTGAATACAGTATTTCTTGCTAAAACTAGTTTTAGGCATACCTAAAGTTGAAACCATCCCAACCGATGCAATGTCCATACCAAAAATTGTCAGTCTACAAAAGTGAGAGATTTTAGATTAATTCGAATTGAACTGTTAAAAGTTCACAATAATAAAAAGTTACAAAAAGAAAATTTTGGATAGTTGTTTGTTTTTTCGTTAACCCTTGCATCTTCTCGAGGTGTTTACCTTGCAAACCTCATCGCATGCTTGATGATCCAGAAACGTGCAGGCGCCCCTAAAAAAGCGAAAAATTGTCATTGTCTGTCGGAAACACGACAATTGGAACATTTCGCAAAGCTAATAAAATCCTAAATGTACAATGTTCCTCGATCTTTCCTTTCTTGTCTTATAAACCAAAAGTGAACAAAAAAGTCCAAAAGGTTTCAGACAATGACAGAATGGATCCAATTATAATAGCAATGGTTTTCAGTTTGCAATTCGTCGCCTGATCTCAAACTGGTTTCAATATATATATATCTAATATTCGCGATTCTTCTTTTTTCGTCGTGATTTTGTGATCTTGAAATGAAAATCACCGTTCGAATCATCGTGCGATAATTTCAATTCTATTCACAGAATGAAATGATCCATCACAGGCGGGTTTTGAATCGAAAATTGTCAAATTCAAGTTGACAAAGACAGCAACTCAACACATACGGCAAAAAACCGATTATATATGGTTTTAGAATCGAATGCAAATAAAAAAATATTAATATTTGAATTTAATTTGTCATTGGAAATTAAAATTCAGCTTGTTGTAAAACCAATGAGTAAACTAAAAATAAAATCTCTTGAATCATTTTCTTTTTCTTTTACAATTTTTTTCTTTTATATAATTTTAAGAAATCAAAAATTTTCAAACAATTCAAAAAATATTCACAAGTGAACGTGCATTTCAGCGTCTTTCGATATTTTTTTGAATTCTAGTTTGAACATTTTTGTCGTGTTGCATTTTCCCATTATTATATTGATGGATTGCCATCAGAATTTTCATCAATCCATGATAAGTTACGACGTCTTAATTTTGTTACTTTGAACACGGAAATATGACCAACGGTCATATTTAGAAAACAATTCTCGTGCAGAATTATTACACAATTTAATGCTTGCAATATTTCGCGTTTTACACCATTACCATTTATAGAATAATCGATCCCTTGAAGTAATCGCAATTTCACTTTTTAGTCTTCGAACCTTTGCTATGCTGTGTTAAAAAATGACTATTTTGTCTTTTAATCTGAATAGGTCCTCTTAATAACATAGAATTACGTTGAGGTTCAAACCGTCATTAGAAAGTCGCTTTATGAGTCGGTCCGATGACCTTAATCGACTAGTGTAATGTAGTTCATATTATCATGAAATTGACGATAATTTCTAGAACCGAGATATCAGACAATTCATTGAAAAATTATGGGTTATGAAATCGATATTTTTTTTAAATGGTTAGATTGGAGCTTATTTGAGAATACTTAGTTATCACTATTGTAACCAGACAATCTGAAAATTCGATAAAAACTCTAATCATTTTGAACTGGCATTATTCAGTTGTTGTACTATGGTCTGGTCTTTGTTGAACGTTTTGGCCTTCGTTCGAAACAAATTAAAATCCGAAATTAGCCCCATTTCGAAGCATCCTTCGAAATTCGTTTCGTTGCAATTTCTGGCGCCATTCAAAAACGAAAGATTACCTGACTTTGATCGGATGTAGCGAGATTAGCATGGCGAACAATAGCAAAAGCATTGCGTTTCGGTTTCGTTCGAGTAGCTTCTCTTCTCTGTCGAGGTGTTCGTCGTCGGACACCTGTGAACACACGCGATACGCTTCGAAAGAATGATACTTGTTAGGGCGGGACAATACCACACGCAGACAGTATAGGTTTGACCTGAAACAAGTTAAGAAGACGAATTAAAGGAGAAACGAAGTGGTAGTGAAGAGTGGGACGGCAAAAGCACTTGAACCCAATTTGCATATGACTTCCTCTTTTCGAATTCACAGTTTAAGCTAATTTCACTTTAATAATAATCTCCGTTATTGCTAGAAATCACTTTCCGAATTACTAACAAGTTTGACGATTACAGTGAAGTTATTGGAAATCGCAATAAACTAACTGTTTTTGACATTTAATGAAACTACTGTAGTTATTTTATTAGTAGGTAGTAAATTACAGTCGAATTTCATCTGGAATTAATAATCAGTTTTGCGTTTTGAATTACATTATCTACAGGGTGTCATTTAAGTTCCCGCACAAAAGTTTGACGCCATGAAGAGCTTGGCTGGCGCACTTTTCGTGCACCAATACAATTTATTTTTGTTAAATAAGGTATATTTTACTTACTTTCCAAGTTTCACCTCTTTCGGATGTGTTTCCGAGAAATGGCGAAGGCTAACATCCATCGCGCTTCCATTATCGAAGTTCATAAGCAAAATGTGAGCCCGAGAGACATCATTGAACGCCTCGCTGTGCCTCGTAGAACGGTTTGCGACACCATCAAACGTTTCAAGGAGCTAAATACGACCAGTGACCGTCCCAGACAAGGAAGACTCGTCTCAGTAACCACTCCTCAGAAGATAAACGCCGTCAAATCGAGGATCAGGCGAAACCCCCACAGGAGCATGAGAAAGATGGCGTCAGACGTGGGAATGAGCATCTTCGCTATGGAACAAATCGTCAAAACGAAGCTTGGACTGACCCCATATCGTGTCCAAAAAGCGGCAATTCTATCGGCCGTCAACAAGCAGAGACGCTTCGAAAAAGCAAAACAACTTCTTGCTCGCACGCAGTCTGGAGAACATCTCGTCACTGTCTTCTCCGACGAGAAGCTATTCACTGTGGAGGCGGCATTCAACTTACAAAACCATCGAGTACTTGCCCAGACATCCCAGCAAGCTTCTGAGAAAAGCAGAACAATACATCGAGCCTCACATCCTGCCAGTATGATGGTTTTCGGTGCCATCTGCTCAACCGGGAAGCGCCCCTGGTTTTTGCAGATCAGGGGATGAAAATGAACAAAGAAGTCTACGTTCGGGACTTTTTAGAGGAGCATGTGATGCCCTGGACCCAAACGCATTTCGTTGGGCAGAAATGGGTCTTTCAACAGGACGGAGCACCCGCCCACACTGCCAAAACTACTCAGGAGTGGTGCCAGACCCATTTTCCCGACTTCATCAAGTCATCCGAATGGCCTGATTGGTCCCCAGACCTGAACCCGCTTGACTTCTCCGTGTGGGGTCTTGCAGGAGAAGGTCAACGCAAAACCCCACTCAAGTGTAGAGACTCTGAAGAAGACATTACTGGCGGAATGGCACAATCTTTCCATCGAATACCTGCGTACCACAGTCGCATCCTACCCGAAGCGTCTCTGTGAAGTCATAGCTCCGAAAGGAGGCCGAATCGAAAAGAGTTAATAGATAAATATTTGTTATACTATAGATAAAAAATATTTCGAGTCTCGTTTGATTTGGACCTTTAGTTTCAGAAATATACGTCTTCAAAGTTGTGCGGGAACTTAAATGACACCCTGTAGCTTCAGAAAAGTAATTTGAGAAATGCATTAGACACATCGTTTCAAGCATAATCAAAATTTGAGTTTTCAAAACACTTCAGCGTTCATACATAAAAAAAAATATTTTAAAAGTGGATGAAAAATAAATAATTTTATACTCTGTCCCGGTTTTCATCCACTTTTTGAACATTTTTGTCCCTTTCCAATTTTTTGCAGTGGTGATACATCGTTTGTTTTACTGAGCTCAATTAATTGATTTGAGCCTAAAAAAAGAATATTCCTACGAGTTTCACTAGCACATATCCTTCAAAACCACTGTCTACTTTAGCTTATTGGCGTTTCCATCACGCTCTTCAAAACATCATGCGAAATAATTTAAAGAAAACTCATCAACCTCATAATTTTCAAGTTTTTTTTTTCATTATTTTCGGCAAAAATATGAGGCGATTGAATTAACTTCATTAAAAAAATTTTAATCGATTAAATTTAATGAAATGAAACGATAAAAATGGTATTTCGTTTTTTTTTTAAATCTAGTTTGCAATTATTGGATATACGGCACATCGAGTGTTTCTCAAAGCACAAAGTTCACACAGTTCCGCACGTGAGTTTAGCAAAATTACGTTTTGTTCTCGTCATAATAATATGTTTACCGGAAATATAATGAAACGGTTTTCTTTAAAAACCGTTTTTATCAATTTTATCAATCCTTTCGTTTGTTCTTGATAATTCTACGTATAAAATAGTGAGACGGTCAGTAGATGAACCACGTCTGCCAACACGACCGATTTTTGATACCACCCCTAGGTGATCATTCGTTTTTTCTGAACACACTGGTTGTCTCACCGTTTAATGTCGAGTTTGCGCCATACATATAATTAAATATAGTCTAACGTATAGTTTAGATCTGTATTATTGTTTTGAAATTATCGCTTTGATGAACCTGAATATTTCAAAACTCATTAATTCGTTTTTCTTTGACCCTTGCTTATTAATAGAGTATAAATAAAAGAAAAGAGCAGTTTCATATTCGATGAAAAATATAAATGCGTTCTTTTTCATTTTATTGTGTATTCCAATGTTGCCTGAACAAAAGTTGAATTAATTGCAGATAATGGCAGAATGGTGTGCAGCGAATCTTCGCAATTGTGAGGTTTGCATTGATTTTTTTCAAATGATTTATAAAAACAGTTTGTTGTAAATCGTTGAATCGAAAAAATGAAGTTATGACTCATAATAATTTTCGAGAAATTCATGAACTAAGAAAAAGATTTCCAGTGCAAATGAAAGGTTCTTCTTTTACTGGATTGGAAACATTTGCAAACAAAATTTGTACATTTTTAATGGAAATGAATTGATCGATTAAACATTTTATAATAAGACTAAGAATAGACTTCTTTTAGGGTTGGAGATCTGCAGGTCTTGAATTGTCTACAACGAGCGATGAAAATGCTCGCTGGCTTGATGCTTGCATACGTCAACTTGTCTCATGGTCCGATTGTACTTCATTGGGGGGATTCAACAAGTCTTTAGAGAAACTAGTCGAGTCTGACCCAAATGCTAGTCAGTTCGAATCGAACATTTTTATTTTTAACATTTTTTTTAGTCATGGCTAGAAGTTTCATTGTCGGTCTCAAAGGCTTGGGAACTGAAGCTGGTGCGCGGGACAAACAGTTTGTTGAGGAAATGAACAAATTAGAGATTGATGGAGAAAAAAACGGAAACGAAAGGGAAAAACTGCATGCAAAAGCTGCTATTCTGTGGGGCAGAGGGTAACAAACAAAATAAACGTTGGGATGTTTTGAGCTGTTCAGGAAGCACCACGAAGCTGCAAAAGTTTGGGATTCAATTCTCGACAAATTCCCAACTGATTTGATAGCGGTTAAATTCGCACACGATGCTCATTTTTTCAATGGAAGCGCCATCGGAAAATTGGAATCGATCGAAAAAGTGATTAACAAATGGAATGCTGACTTACCATGCTATAGTCATTTACATGGGATGTACGCATTTGGTTTAGAAGAAAATGCAATTTACGACAAAGCAGAAAAGGAAGCAAACATCGTATGATTTTTGATAGAAAAACCACTATCGAATTGTATTTTGGGCTCTGCAATTGAATCGATTCGACTGTTGGGCGACACATGCAAAAGCTCACGTTCTTGAGATGAATGGAAGACACAAAGAAGGAAAATCTTTTATGTATGCTACGGAAGATGATTGGAAAGTGCGTCTCATTCATAGGTCGATTGTCAATGACTTTTTTCAGCACGGCTGGATCTTGGCAAGTCACAATTATTGGCACACTGCTTTGTTCCACATTGAGTTTGGAGAATATGAGGACGCAATTTCGATTTTTGACAAGTGATCAATTTTTTGAAATATTTTAATATGTAGCGAGATAATATGCATTTCAGAGAAATTTCGAATCGCTTCAATCGCACACGTTCATTGCTTGACATGGTCGATGCGAGTTCATTGTTGTGGCGATTGGAACTTGAAGGGGCCAACGTCGGAAAGGACAGATGGATGATGCTGAAAAATCTCGGAAACTTCATCGACAATCATTCAATCGTCTTCAACGACGTTCATTTGGGTTTGGCCCTAAACCGACAAGAAGACTTGGAAACTGCAGAGAAGCTTCGAGATTCTTTAGACGAATATTCGAAACTGCTCAGTGAAGACAATGCCCAAATTAGTAGAACGATAGGAATGCCCCTGTATGATGGAATGATCGACTTTGCGAATGGAAAATACGATGAAGCCGTTCTGAAAATGTATCCAATTAAAGACGAAGTCGTGAAAATTGGAGGAAGTCATGCTCAGGTGCATTCATATTCAGTTTTTAAAATGTTGAAAATTCCATTGAATGCTTTCAGAGGGACATGTTTGTGCAGACATTGATAAGGTCTTGTATGCTGTCTAAAAATGAGGAGAACTGGATGAAAACCCAGTGAGTCTTTCACGTTTCATCCTTATTTATGAGTTTTTCTGAACGAAAAAATATTTCCAGGGAGCTTCTACGGCAACGTAGCGAGTTCAAACCGAACTCTGTTCTCGGAGAACGTTTAGCCGAAAAGTTTCGAATCCTTCATCCAATTTCTGTATTCTGATTTTGATGCGATAAATATTTATTCCGTGTAAATGCAATATGTGAAATCAATTTAATGATGAGCACGAGTTTGCTCGCGAATAATAGTTCTGACGCGCTTGCCAAAATCTGGATGGATTTTCGTGAAATGCTCCAGAATACCATCGATGATGAATTGGTGACAGTTCTTCAGGGAATCAGCAAAATTCTTGCACATTCTTTCGCGAGCTCCTTCATCGAGAACTTTCTCCCAAAATTGTCGGGGTTGCTCATAATTGTGATCTTCTCCGGTTTCGAAACGATCGACATCACCGCTCAATGAGAACACCGAGTCCTTAACATCTTTGCGAGTCACATGCCCATTGAAGCTGTTGGGGAAGTAGTTCGGAGCATTGCCTTGATTGTTGTAAGCCATCAATCCATCTCTTTGAGTGTTATGAGTGCGGGATCTGTACGGGCAATTGACTGGCAACTGAATGTAGTTGGGTCCGAGACGATGGAAATGGGTGTCGGTGTAAGAGAAAATTCGTCCTTGGAGCATTTTATCTCGCGACAATTCATTGGCTACGCAGATGTGAGTGAATATTCGTTTCAATTTTCGGATTCAGTATGCAGACTATAATTTACAGATTGTTTATAAAAAAACAGACGTGACGGAAACGTATTTCCAAATATTTTATAATATTTTGAAACTAACAAATGTCGTAATTAATTACAACATTGGTTGGTTGCGGTTGCTCTAGGAATCACTCAGTATTATATTTAAAAGTTTGTTTCCGTGCTCCGTACTTACGGTGGGCAAATAAAGCAAATACGTCCGCAAACGACGCGCAGCGTGTTTGCAGATCAGTCGGCGGCAATATATTTTTTGAATTTTTGAATGCGTTCTATTTTTCCGACGCTGATTTTTCTATAATCGATAAAATAAAAATATTATTTTTTATAGAGCTCAGAGTATTTAACACTCGTAGAAGAACAAATAGCCACGAAATTTGTTTTAATATTGATAAAAATGATAACATTTCCTTGAAAACAGTGTTCTTGCGAAATTTAGAGAAAAACAACAGCATCATGTTTTTTTTCCAATTTATATTTTAAAAGAAACGCAGCGAAACGGATTCGATCTGATTTAATCTCATTTTCAGAAGATGGGGACACTGGGTCAGCCGTCGCAATTACTTGTTCCGGCCACTGGGATCGAATATGAATTTGTTGGAAACAATCAACGGACCAAATTTTTAGCAACACCGTTAGGTATTTCGTAATCATTTTGTTTTGAACAATTAAATAACATTATTAGGAGAGCAATTGGAATATTTCGTTCGCTTTGACGATAATTTTCTTCAAGTTTACAACGTTTTATATGAGACTGCTGTACACAGCTTTGATTTCCCCAGCGATTCGAAAATAATTGATGTCGATTATTTCCCAACAAAAGGTATTTCGCTTTTAAATATTTCGATTCTCATTTTGCAATTCAAGATGGATCATTCGGCGTAATTGTTGCCGTGAACGATGAGAAATGCACATGGGAGGCTGAAAATTTTGTGGTTGCTCTTCACGTCGACGAAAATTCTTCAAAGAAATTAAAAATTAGTCACTCATTAGAAATTCCGGAGCATGTAACGATCTTAAAAACTCTATTTACGAATGAGGACATGGACAAAAGAAGGCAGGAATTCAAGTTGTTTTCCAGAATTGCAAGATGGCCTCATATCATTGCGATTGGTTTTTACGGTTATATTTGCATTAACTTTAATTTCCATTTTAGGAGCCAAAAACTCAAAATGCTTTATCGGGAGGCTTCTTGAGCATTCACCAGAAGATGAGGCATACACTGTTAAGCACGATTCTTCAAAACTTGTTAATTTCTTAGGTAAAAATTAATTTGAAAAAAATAAGACAAAATAATTAATTAAAGGAAGTCTCGTGCTGAGAAGTGGTGAAACGTTTCGATACGCTGTGAATGATGTTCATAAAGATTATCCTGGTATGATTGTGTCATTTATTTCTTGCATCAATAGTTGAATGAGTTCAGTGAGCGCTATAAGTGTTACATCTCTTGCTCTGATGCCTCGCAGTCGAACTCTTCTTGTCGGATTGTCAATGGGAGGGATTGTGTGTGCTTCATTAAATCCTTCGAACAGCCTGTTTGTTTTCCAATTGAAAACCAGAATTATACTGTTTATTTCAGACAAATTCTCGACTTACGTCATGAACGCTGTATTCGTCATATTGTTCCACTCGAACCCGAAGACGATCCGGAGAAATATGAATTCTTTTTTGCTGCTGCTGAGTAATTCCTTTTTTTTTAAATATAATTTGATGTTCATTGCGTTTTTTTTGTAGTGGATCACCTCGCCATCCTCTAATTATCCACTTATACCGCGGAAACTTCAAAAGCGAAGAAGAAGTCTCGGAAGAATCCCGATATGATCGCCCATTTTTCTATATTGTATTCGAGCATGCTTTCAAATTCAGCAAGAAATGGATTGCAATCAAAGGACTTACGCAGCAACGAGCGATTGGAAACGGATTAGGCTACCAACGAACGCGTTCGAATGAGGACAGCTTTGCAGAAATCAATTCTTCCTCTTTACTAAACTCTTCTATATCTTTCGGTTAATTATAAACATTTGCGTTAATTCATCGATCAGTTTAGGTTCTTCATTGAAACGATCGATGGTATTTTTTGTTTATGAGAAAATCGATATAACTCAAAAAGGATCTACTTTAGCTGTAAGTCTTTATTGTTCATGTAAATGTAAAATATATAAATTTAGGGTGCAATTTTCGACATAGATCAATATTACTACAAACGAACTCCACAATGCTTCTTGCCGGACAAAACCATACTTCGACAATGCCCATTCCTCTCAAGTATTCAATCTGATATCTCTTCTGCCGATGTTCATGAAGCTTGTATTTTACTAAATCAGCCAACTGATATTTCTAAATTTGTTTCGAATGTTTCCGACGGAGATCAGCTATTCTACGCATCTGCTCTAAATGTGGGTTGTTAATTTTATTCATCTTTAAAAAAATCTCTTCAGTTTGATCGGGTGATTATTGGAACGTCGTCCTCGATAATGCGAATGAGAATTTCGAGTATTCAAGACAACGTAGGGTTATTTCTTTTTCGAAAGATCGGAATACAAAATTTTGAAAAATAAGACGTCATTTTCAGCTTCTAAATAGTATTGCATCAAATTTCCCAAAAGTTTTTAACTCTCCGCAAACAGCTGCTGAACAATTATTGGCTTCTGGAATAGTCCCTCAAAACGTGGCTTCGTTATCTCCAAATTCGTCAATGGACACAGTATTTTGATATTTAAAGGCTTATAAATTCTTTAAATTGTTTATAGAGTGTTCTGAATAGCCAAGCTGCCGATTTGAGTGCTCATGAGAAAATAGTGCTAAGTGGAATGCTTTATAATGGAAAAGTGGACGATGTAATCCGAACATTAACGGGGTTAATGTTCGAATCTTCTCGTCGAATGGATATCATTATGTGGGCATTTTATGAATGTTGCGATTTCCGAAATACGATAATTGATAGAAGTAAGATATGCACTTTAAAACTGTAATGTTTTCATATGAATTTGCAGTTGCTGATGTCTTCGAAGGTACATCCATGAATTTGTCGCCAATTGCGAATGGAGTGATTTATCAAGGAATCCAGCTTTTTCATGACGTCCACAAACTATTACTTGCTTGCATCGATGTGATGAAAGACAGCAGTTGGATATATTCAATTTTAAACGTGACTATATACATATTTATAATAATTCAGCGAAAGTAAAGAAATGTGCGACTTCAATCAAATGTTTCCATGATCATACTCGTCTCGTTCGCCAATTCATAATTGCTGGAATTGTACCAAAGAACACGAGAATTACACGAAAAATGAAAGATGCACATACAATTAGAGTTCGTACTGCTGGACAGAATGGGTAATATTTGAGATTTTTGAAGATTTAAAAAATGAAATTCAGAAAAGGACTTCCTATTCAAATTCTCGTTCGCCGTTTACATTCGTTCACTTCTTCGTTGCCGTTCTGGGATTCGATTCCGCATGATCAATGGTATCCCCCTTCAGCTTTTGTGAGTTTCTATGGCGTATTCGTAATTTTAATTTTAATATTTAGCATTTATTGGAGCCAATTTTGGAAAGAAATGTTCCAGAAGGAATGAAAAGGGAATTGATAATTCAATTCATCGTTGACTGGATTCGGGCGAAACGATATGGCGAAGTATTAAATTTTTCTATTAAAAAAAATGCATACTATGAGTAATTTTAGCCACTTACAGTTGAGGAAATCATCAAGCAGGCGTTGTTTACCATTGGTGATCAATTCTTAGGAACAACGCATGAACGAATCGCGTTTGTTTTGGAAAATGAAAAGTTTGCCCTTCAAGATTTCAATAAAAAGAATGTCTTTAATGCCGATGTTTGTAAAATTTATGATTTTTGTGTACTTTGTTTATTTAGGATTCAACAATTTGCCCTAATGACGAAACTCGGAAGAATGATACATCGATAATGGATCCGTGGACAAAACAGATTGAAGATCAATTTGAGCAACGATATCGATGTTCGAAGACCAAAACCAAAGGTTCATGTATGTTTCCAAAATATTGTTTCAACTCATTTTTTTATTTAGTGCTGACTGACGATGAAAATGACAGTAGATATCAAACATTCCTTATGAGTCGTCAAAAATACTCAGATCTTTCCAAGGTGTTGCATTTATCTCAATTATTTATATACAATTTATTCAGAATTTTGTCAATTCGAACGGAATGCTCAGAAAACTTCTGCCAAACGTTATAAAAAGTAAGGCAAATAGCGACAAAACAGGATCGGATTCGAAAAAGGAAGACGATATCAGAAGCGTTGTAAAGGCGATGATTTCAAGAGGAAAACATGGTGATGTAACATTGAATACTGGTTCGAAACCGACTGGCGTCCCAGCATTGGCTTCGATTCCACAGCCCACTAAATTATTAACGAATAAAGCACAGAACTCGACTACTGGAAGGAAGAGGTTGTTAGTTGATACAAAAAATGATGATAAAGTCACATCTCCATCAGGCACTGAGCCACCGGTAATTTTTTTATGTGTTAAGTTTTGAACAATTTCTAAATTAGCTTGCCAAACGACGATCACAGCAATTCGAAAATGATAAGAATTCTGGTGATGTTGCTCCAGCTCAAGTACCTTGTGATGAGGATGACGAGATGTTGAATGCAGTAACACGAACTCCAGCAAGATATTTGCGACGATTCACTCAGCGTGTTGACGAATTGTCGCCGACTGAGCGCATGGTTCCTCCAACCATAAGTATCGCACCATCGAGCATTCTGAAGACAGCCAAATCTCGTATATCTCATATGCATGTTTATTTTAATAGTTCGTTTATAAATTCAGAGCAATCGCCAAGTCGTGGAAGAATTCGTTTTGCTAAAGGTCTTAAGAGTTCGCCGGATCAAGATCTCTTTGCCAATGACGAGAAAAGTGTTGTGAAATCGCTTAATGTGAGATTTTTCTTGCTCGTTCTTTTTATTATTCGTTTCAGTTCGATATTCTGGAAGAGGATGATGCTGGATCGACATTTGTGTCGTGCGATACTGCAAATGACAAAGAAACAGACCAAGATGAATGCATTGAAACAGAAAAGTCGTTTGAAGTACAAGAAGATATGCAGAAGGTAAATTTTAGAATAAATGAAAAATCGATAATATTGTAAATAATTAGGAGCAGATCGAAGAATTTGAAGTTTATACTGATGCGACACCACCACAAAATGCATCGAATGCTCCAATTGAAGCTTCTGTTGAAGCACAAGAAGACGAAGTGAATTCGGATGAAAACGCTGATATTGCAAAGAAGCAAACTGAAGGAGAGCAGCATAAACAGACTGAAAAAACAAATGAAATTGCTGAAGATAACGAAATGGAAGTTGGGGATGCCGGTGAAGAAGTTTCAAAGAAAGTGGAAGAACCCGAAGAGAGAATTTTCGAAAAAACGTTCGAAGTTGCTGATGAATTGCCATCAAAAGAAATTGAGAAATCAGTAGAGATCGCTGAGGATATTGTGGAGCGGGAAGAATTAGAAGAAGTGGTCGAAAGAGAAGAGGAGAGCGAAAAAAAGGAAATAGTTGATATTGAATCGGAGGTTTTTTCTGAGCCAATTGTGGACGCGCCAGAAATTGCTGGGAAAATTGACGAGCCGAATGCAGAACAAGCAGAACCTAGCGGTGATGTTGAAATGATGGAAACCGATGATCACGATCAGAATGAGCATAATGGAACATTTACTGTTCATGTCGATAAAGATGGATTTGAACGAAGTTTTGAGAAACAAATGGATTCGGATTTGGTTGAAAAAGAGGCGGCGAAATTTGCGGCGCCATCAAACGAGGCATCTCGTCCGAATTCATCAGCTTCTGGATTTATTCAGACAGATGTAATCATTAGGGAAACAGTGGTATCGTCGCAGATCACACCTAATAGCCCCAATGAAATGGTTGTCTCTCGTTTCCCGCTAAATTTATAATTCTTTAATTGCAGCTCACAAATACGACAACTCGCGTGACTCGCTTGCAATCTCGTACTTCTTCGTTTAGCGAAGAAAGAATTATATCTCCTGAACTTAAACTGGCCCTAGAAGAAAACGCTTCTGTGAAGCCTGATGCTGTTGTTTCTCAGAAAACCCCAAGCAAAAAACCAGCAAAAGAAAGAAAAACACCGGTTCGAAGTTCATCAAGGGCGCGATCCACAGATAAGGAATCGGAAATGACCATACAAACTCCTAGAAGATCTGTATGTTTTCATTAACAAATTTTATTTAAAATTTTAAGTTGTAGTCACGATCACGAACTGCGTCAGCATGCCAAACCGTAACAGCGGTTGAGAAGAAAGCGATTCCAGAAGAAACCGAACCTGTTGAAGCACCCACACCAAGAAAATCTGTACGCTAATAATTCATTCTCGATTACAGCAAAATTTTTTAGGCACGATCGAGAAATACTTCAATCGGAAGAGCGGCAGACCAAATTGTGAGCAATGAAACAAAAGAGGAATCCGAAACCGTCATTGCTAAGAAAACGCCAAGAAAAAGTGTAAGAGCAGTTTAAAATTATGTTCATTATCGATACTAGGTTTAATTACCCAAGTTTGAGGTAAATTGACCTTCCCTGATGATGATCTAAAGATCGAAACGTCGGATAAAAAAATTTTAACAGTGTGCGACATTTAAAAAGGGTCATATCAAGAAGATCTCTTCTACTTAACAATAATCCACACGATGCACTCAAAACAAGTCGCTCCACAACTCACAAAACATTATCGATGCTTTTCAGGCTCGATCAAGGCAATCATCTGTTCCAGTTGATCTTGCTGTTAATAATCAGCCAACGGAAGCAGTTCCTACTCCAAAAAGTGGAAGACGTGCGAGATCAGTGTCGACATCAAGGAATGATCCAATCACAATAGAGCCTTCAGAAGTTATGGAAATGATTTCAGAAGAACCAACGACACCGAAGGTTATTTTTTAATTATTATCATTCTTTATTTTTATTTTTATTTCTAGAGGGGTCGCGTTTCGAAAAGTCCAGCAAGAGCTAGATCAGTTTCTACATCGCGAAAGGCTGCTGCTTCTACTAATTCAGATAACGTAATTGAAGTTATTCCGTCTGAAGAACCAGAACCTGTTACACCATCTAGACGCGGAAGACCGAGAAAAGCTGCCAACTCTGAATCTCGTATGCCTACCCTATAACATCGCAACAAATAAACGAGCACACTGGGTATTTGAGGGTCATCGTATTTTTTGGGCAGCAACTTAAATTTGATTAAACAGTGGGAATTCGAGTACCGTACTACGAATAACCTGCAAATAAAACTCGCCGTAAATCCACAGCAGGGTGCTCGCTTCTTTGCGATTGCAATTATCAACTTTTGTTTTAATATTTGAATTTAAGATGACGTCATTGTGGAACCTGTTAGATCATCAAAGAGAATAACCCGAGCTTCTTCTGAAAAACCGACTTCAAATTGGAGAAGCAAATTTGAGGTTTTTTTTTCTGAAGAATGACTTGCTCTTTATTTATACTTTGTTCAGAATGCTTTGGTGCAGGCTAACCAAAAGATTCCAAAAAGATCCAATAAAAAATCTGATGATGAAGTTTGTAAAAGAAATAAATCTTAAAATAATTTTGTAAGTGTAGGTCGCTCCACAATCTCGAACAAGGACTCCAAGCGTTTCTTTGCGAGGTTCGGTATCGCGAATTCGATCGCCATCCCGAAAATCAGCGAAAATCGACGAACTTGAAGAGTGTGATGCGACAGAAGAAACAACAACACCGCGTCGATCGGCACGTCGCCTTGGTACACCTCGTCTTTGAAAAAAAATTTGTTTCATAAATTTAACTAATCCTTTAAAAAAAGCAAATTTTCTCAGTGTTTTATTCGCCTAATTTTTATGTGGAATTCTGTGAAATAATGTTTATTTTGAATTCGTTTTGTTACGCGAATGAAAACTAATCTTGTCTATTGTTCATACAACAGAAATGCTAATTAGTTTTGAAGAATGCACATATGTATTATGGACCTATTCATATTCATATTATTCATCATAAATTTTCACAAAAAAACGTAAAAATTGCATAAATTGTGCATTTTTTTTAAACACTGCATTGGAAAAATGTTATTTTTTTTTTATATTTCTTTTCATATTAGATCGAAAATGAATATAAGATCATGGTGTCACAATTTGAATAATAAGCAACGTCTCCGTAAATTCGTCCGTCCTCGACAATACGAGAATTTGATCACGATGAATTCGTAAAAAAGTACTATGAGGCATATACGAGGACCCCCTTCATTGCCTTCTCGTATTTCTCGGCTATCGCACTTTTCACGTCCGCAATCATTTCCTATTCATTATTTATTTGCTCAGTTTATACATTTTCGGTTATTAGTGCCAATTTCTTTCAAAATTATTATTGTCAGCGTCGCGCGACTGCTGAAAATTAGGTAAATGCCCAAAAACAATAGCAGTGGTCTTGGCGCAAACTAATAATGTAGATTTACGGGCATATTCGTAATGATAGATTAAAGACGCACATCTCGCATCAAGGCCTCTTCAGATTTTTTGGCACCAGTTTTCCGCAGTCGTTGATCAACGTATTGATAATTATTGTTGAAAAATTTAAAATGTATCCAGATGGCGTTGTTTTCGTAAACCGCTGAAAGGATTACGGTAACTCACTCTTCCAACTCTTAAAACACGCAGAATCCCACTCCGTCGGGATGCTACGTACACTTTCCTTATTTCGACGATAACTTGCTCGCGCTTTTTGATATGAGTGTCAAACACGGAATTTCACACAAGTTATTACTACCTGTGTTAGCAAATAATTTTTGAGAAATGCACAATTCCGCAGAAGTTATGTAAAAACATTTGATCTTCGAAAACGACTGCAAATATTATCTATACCCTCAGTTTTTGTTTGACGATTGACAGCTTCAAAAATGACAAAACTCGTCGATTTTCTATTTCAGCAAAAATTCCAATCCGACAACTAAGAAGCAAGGCAAATGAAGTATAGTATCATGTGGTGAGGTTGCACTTTTTTGGAAAACAACAAATCTAGAATAATTAATGATACATATTCGGAAAACAAAATACTAGTTCGCTGAATATAAATTTTAAAATTCTGCTAATTTTGGGAGGGATAGTCGAAATACCTGACCAAACTTGAAACACCAGTAGTTTTTGTTTTCTTCTTTTTTTAATTTTTGCATTCTTTGGCCAGTTTGTTATAAAAAGGGCTGACGGTGTAAACAATTAGTCGATCAACACGCACTTTTTATTTTTTGTGAGAAAATTCACCAAATAAAATCTCTGTTTTTTTTTCTAGGATTTCGAATAAGTGCATTGAGTGGAAGTTGTTTTCCCTCACTTCTGTGGTTGTGAAACTGTTTTTTGGCTTATTTGTTGAATTCTTTAAAGACGCCTCTGTTTTGTTTTAATTGTCATCATTTATTTGATTGCTATTTATTTCTGATGTTGTTTCTTTCTTTTGCCTACTAGTTGTGGGGCAGGTATTGTGTTTCTTGTTAGACACTCACGAAAATTCTTCATTATTTTCTTTATACTCATTCGATTACTTTCAGTCTTCTAAAATAATTTTCTTCAAAATGATTAAATTTGCTGAGGATCAACTCAAACAATATTCTGAAAAGCATCCAAATCCGGAGAATCTCACCACTGCCTATGGTGTACCACTTCACACTAAAACAGCCTCATTGACTGCTGGACGACGTGGTCCCATGCTGATGCAAGATGTCGTCTACATGGATGAAATGGCTCATTTCGATCGCGAACGAATTCCCGAACGAGTTGTTCATGCTAAGGGAGCAGGTGCTCATGGATACTTCGAAGTCACCCATGACATCACCAAATACACCAGAGCGTGTGTATTCAGCGAGATAGGCAAAAAGACACCAATGCTTGCAAGATTCTCAACAGTTGGTTCGTTTAAATGTTTTAATCTAAATGTGCGAATATGTATTCATTCAGGCGGAGAAAGTGGTTCGCCAGACACGGCGAGAGATCCAAGAGGATTTGCGTTGAAGTTTTATACAGAAGAAGGAAATTGGGATCTTGTAAGCACATACTATCAGAATTATCGCAAAACTCCCGTCTCATTCATTTGTTATGCATTTTCATCCGGTTAAAACTAGTTAACAATTATTTTTTTTTTCAATTTACACTGATTTAGGTCATATCCAAAATAATGCTTTAAAAATATAATAAGATGAATCGATTAGTAGAATATCACTGTTTTGGAATGTATTTAGGTCGGCAACAATACTCCGATATTCTTTATTCGAGATGCTATCCACTTCCCGAATTTCATTCACACTCAAAAAAGGAATCCACGAACTCATTTGAAAGACCCAAATGCCGCTTTTGATTTTTGGGCAAATCGTCCGGAATCGATTCATCAAGTGATGTTCTTATACTCGGATCGCGGAACTCCTGACGGATATCGCCATATGAATGGCTATGGATCGCACACGTTCAAAATGATAAATAGCGAAGGACAACAAGTGTACTGCAAATTCCATTTCAAACCAGTGCAGGGAGTCAAGAATTTGACAGCAGCTGAAGCAGGACGACTTGCTGGAGAGGACCCTGATTATGCTACACGTGATTTGTATGAAGCCATTGAAAATGGAAACTATCCAGTTTGGACAATGTACATCCAAGTGATGACCTTCGAGCAAGCCGAAAAATGGGAATTTAATCCATTCGATGTGACGAAAGTGTGGCCACATTCCGACTATCCTTTGATTGAAGTTGGAAAAATGGTCTTGGATAAGAATCCTTCAAATTATTTTGCCGAGGTTTCTTTAAACATTTCATTTGGAATAAAATGCTCTTTTCAGATTGAGCAGGCTGCGTTCAGCCCATCACGTGTAATTCCAGGAATTAGTTTCTCGCCAGACAAAATGCTGCAAGGCCGCATTTTCTCGTACCCTGATACCCAATTCCATCGACTTGGCCCGAATTTCCTTCAGCTTCCGATCAATTGCCCGTATCGATCTCGACCTCACAATACCCAACGAGACGGACTAATGTGTGTGAATAGTCAATTGGATGCTCCAAACTACTTCCCAAACCGATACAATGCGTATAAGACAGCTGAAAAAGCATATGAGCCGCCGTTTAGTGTTATGGGCGATGTTGAAAGATTCGAGACTGGAGATGATCACAATTATGAGCAACCAAGAGAGTTTTGGGAAAAAGTAATCTCATATTTTGAGCTGTAATTGAGAAAAAATACTCTGTAGGTATTGAATGAAGATCAACGTGATCGTCTCTGCGAAAATATCGCGGCTGCCTTGAAACCGTGCTATGATGAAGTACGTCAAGCAATGATCAAGGTTCTTCAAAATGTGCATCCCAACTTCGCAAATCATGTACGCCACCTCACTTGCGATACGGTAGATTCTCAAAAAAACGCTCACGATTTCAGTCAGTTAGTTTCAGCATTGATTCGTCCGAATGGCATATCGAAAATACATAATTAAGTATTTTATCGTTTCAATAAAGATTTTTGATTTATTCCGTTATATACATTACAGGTCAAAGATAGTGCTTCACTTGCAAAAGATAAAAGAACAAATGATAACGGTAGAGCATGTGCGATTAAGTCGTCATGAAACCTATCAGCGTGACTATAAATAAGGCAAAGCTGGTCAATTCATATCGTGTACCTTTCGTTTCCCATTTTGTATACATTATAAAAATCACTAGAACTTTGACTTTGCATATTTCAATTTAAAATTCAAAAAATATCTCTTAAAATTATGTTTTTGTTGTGTCCTTGTGAACGAGCCAACTTAGGAATACATATAATTATTATATATATATATATATATATGTCAAATAAGAATAACTTGTGAAAAGGGGTTTTTAAATCGATCCTATAAGACGTATGCACGTGGAATGCCACGTAGTGTGTCACGTAACGTGTCACGGCTCCAACAGTTTTAAATATCAACTACGAATATCGAATGAAATCATTTGTATATTTGAAAAATACCGAAATACTTTGGGGATTGTGACCTACAGTCAGAATTAGGCACGGTTGTCAGAATGCATTGATTCCATGACGCGCAGAGAAATCATCGTTGACCAATTTGAGTAGTCTATCGACCCCAACACTCGTTATCACACACTACACTGTGGCCATGTTGAACAACACTTCAGTTTTTGTTTAATTGATAATCATTTTGTTATTATATCTGGATGTTTGTCCGGTTTCAAATCAGTTTGTTTCAGTTTCGCCATGGGCCACGACGATCCAGCTGACAATCAACTAAAAAACTACAAAGGCGCCAATCCGGTATGGATCATAAATTGTTGTAATATACCATTATGATTTGTGTTTAGCGTGCGAATGTCATTACAACATCGAATGGAGCTCCGATTTACACGAAGACCGCGGTATTGACCGCTGGACGACGTGGTCCCATGCTGATGCAAGATGTCGTCTACATGGATGAAATGGCTCATTTCGATCGCGAACGAATTCCCGAACGAGTTGTTCATGCTAAGGGAGCAGGTGCTCATGGATACTTCGAGGTCACCCATGACATCACCAAATACACCAAGGCGAATATTTTCTCGAAAATTGGCAAACAGACTCCGTTGTTTGTCCGCTTCTCGACCGTTGGTGGCGAGAGCGGATCTGCGGACACCGCTCGGGATCCTAGAGGATTCGCGATTAAATTCTACACCGAGGAAGGAAATTGGGACCTGGTAAGTCGTGAGATTCGAAATAAACAATGTGCAATTCAAAAATAAGTGCGAAGTACAATCGTGCTAAATAACGACAAATAGAAAAAGAAGAACATTGATAAGAGAAATCACGTTGGCAAAATATAAGACAAACATCAATATGTGATGAGAAAAGTCACATATGTCTTGTAGAATCAATGATTTTAGGTCGGCAACAACACTCCGATATTCTTTATCCGGGATCCGATCCATTTCCCGAACTTCATTCACACTCAAAAACGAAATCCTCAAACTCATTTAAAGGATGTCAATGCCATGTTCGATTTTTGGCTTCATCGCCCAGAAGCCCTGCATCAAGTGATGTTCCTGTTCTCGGATCGCGGCACTCCAGATGGATACCGTCATATGAATGGCTATGGATCGCACACGTTCAAGCTGGTCAACAAGGATGGACACGCGGTTTATTGCAAATTCCATTTCAAGGTAAGAAGCACAAAAAATCGACAAAAGTAAAATTCTTGTTGTCCAGCCTGTGCAAGGAGTCAAGAACCTCAAAGTAGAAGATGCGAATAGATTAGCTGCCGAAGACCCAGATTACTCGATCCGAGATCTTTTCAATGCCATCGAACGCGGTGATTATCCGGTTTGGAAACTGTTCATCCAAGTGATGACCTTCGAGCAAGCCGAAAAATGGGAATTTAATCCGTTCGATGTGACGAAAGTGTGGCCACATTCCGACTATCCTTTGATTGAAGTTGGAAAAATGGTTTTAAACAGAAATCCGCAAAATTATTTCGCCGAGGTTGAACCAAAATCATTTGTCCAATACCTTTTGTCACTATTTAGGTTGAACAATCAGCGTTCTGCCCAGCTCATTTGGTTCCTGGAATCGAATTCTCGCCAGATAAAATGCTCCAAGGACGAATTTTCTCTTACACCGACACCCATTTCCATCGTCTCGGACCTAACTACATTCAGTTGCCAGTCAATTGCCCGTACAGATCCCGCGCTCATAACACTCAAAGAGATGGGTTGATGGCTTACAACAATCAAGGCAATGCTCCGAACTACTTCCCCAACAGCTTCAATGGGCATGTGACTCGCAAAGATGTTAAGGATTCGGTGTTCTCATTGAGTGGTGATGTCGATCGTTTCGAGACCGGAGAAGATCACAATTACGAGCAACCCCGACAATTTTGGGAGAAAGTTCTCGATGAAGGAGCTCGCGAAAGAATGTGCAAGAATTTTGCTGATTCCCTGAAGAACTGTCACCAATTCATCATCGATGGTATTCTGGAGCATTTCACGAAAATCCATCCAGACTTTGGCAAGCGCGTCAGAACTATTATTCGCGAGCAAACTCGTGCTCATCTTTAAATTGATTTCACATATTGCATTTACACAGGAATAAATGTTTATCGCATCAAAATCAGAATACAGAAATTGGATGAAGGATTCGAAACTTTTCGGCTAAACGTTCTCCGAGAACAGAGTTCGGTTTGAACTCGCTACGTTGCCGTAGAAGCTCCCTGGAAATATTTTTTCGTTCAGAAAAACTCATAAATAAGGATGAAACGTGAAAGACTCACTGGGTTTTCATCCAGTTCTCCTCATTTTTAGACAGCATACAAGACCTTATCAATGTCTGCACAAACATGTCCCTCTGAAAGCATTCAATGGAATTTTCAACAATTTAAAAACTGAATATGAATGCACCTGAGCATGACTTCCTCCAATTTTCACGACTTCGTCTTTAATTGGATACATTTTCAGAACGGCTTCATCGTATTTTCCATTCGCAAAGTCGATCATTCCATCATACAGGGGCATTCCTATCGTTCTACTAATTTGGGCATTGTCTTCACTGAGCAGTTTCGAATATTCGTCTAAAGAATCTCGAAGCTTCTCTGCAGTTTCCAAGTCTTCTTGTCGGTTTAGGGCCAAACCCAAATGAACGTCGTTGAAGACGATTGAATGATTGTCGATGAAGTTTCCGAGATTTTTCAGCATCCTCCATCTGTCCTTTCCGACGTTGGCTCCTTCAAGTTCCAATCGCCACAACAATGAACTCGCATCGACCATGTCAAGCAATGAACGTGTGCGATTGAAGCGATTCGAAATTTCTCTGAAATGCATATTATCTCGCTACATATTAAAATATTTCAAAAAATTGATCACTTGTCAAAAATCGAAATTGCGTCCTCATATTCTCCAAACTCAATGTGGAACAAAGCAGTGTGCCAATAATTGTGACTTGCCAAGATCCAGCCGTGCTGAAAAAAGTCATTGACAATCGACCGATGAATGAGACGCACTTTCCAATCATCTTCCGTAGCATACATAAAAGATTTTCCTTCTTTGTGTCTTCCATTCATCTCAAGAACGTGAGCTTTTGCATGTGTCGCCCAACAGTCGAATCGATTCAATTCCAGAGCCCAAAATACAATTCGATAGTCGTTTTTCTATCAAAAATCATACGATGTTTGCTTCCTTTTCTGCTTTGTCGTAAATTGCATTTTCTTCTAAACCAAATGCGTACATCCCATGTAAATGACTATAGCATGGTAAGTCAGCATTCCATTTGTTAATCACTTTTTCGATCGATTCCAATTTTCCGATGGCGCTTCCATTGAAAAAATGAGCATCGTGTGCGAATTTAACCGCTATCAAATCAGTTGGGAATTTGTCGAGAATTGAATCCCAAACTTTTGCAGCTTCGTGGTGCTTCCTGAACAGCTCAAAACATCCCAACGTTTATTTTGTTTGTTACCCTCTGCCCCACAGAATAGCAGCTTTTGCATGCAGTTTTTCCCTTTCGTTTCCGTTTTTTTCTCCATCAATCTCTAATTTGTTCATTTCCTCAACAAACTGTTTGTCCCGCGCACCAGCTTCAGTTCCCAAGCCTTTGAGACCGACAATGAAACTTCTAGCCATGACTAAAAAAAATGTTAAAAATAAAAATGTTCGATTCGAACTGACTAGCATTTGGGTCAGACTCGACTAGTTTCTCTAAAGACTTGTTGAATCCCCCCAGTGAAGTGCAATCGGACCATGAGACAAGTTGACGAATGCAAGCATCAAGCCAGCGAGCATTTTCATCGCTCGTTGTAGACAATTCAAGACCTGCAGATCTCCAACCCTAAAAATCTATTCTTAGTCTTATCTTAATAGATAATTTTTTAAAATCAATTCATTTCCATTGAAAATGTACAAATTTTTCTTGAAAATGTTTCGAATCCAAAAAACAAAGAACCTTGCGTTTGCACTGGAAACACTTTTTCTTAGTATTACGACACATAACTTCATTTTTTCTGTTCAACAAATAAAATGCATCCCTTTTTATAAATCATTTGAAAAAAATCAATGCAAACCTCACAATTGCGAAGATTCGCTGCACACCATTCTGCCATTATCTGCAATTAATTCAACTTTTGTTCAGGCAACATTGGAATACACAATAAAATGAAAAAGAACGCATTTATATTTTTCATCGAATATGAAACTGCTCTTTTCTTTTATTTATACTCTATTAATAAGCAAGGGTCAAAGAAAAACGAATTAATGAGTTTTGAAATATTCAGGTTCATCAAAGCGATAATTTCAAAACAATAATACAGATCTAAACTATACGTTAGACTATATTTAATTATATGTATGGCGCAAACTCGACATTAAACGGTGAGACAACCAGTGTGTTCAGAAAAAACGAATGATCACCTAGGGGTGGTATCAAAAATCGGTCGTGTTGGCAGACGTTGCGGTCGTATGGTTCATCTACTGACCGTCTCACTCTTTTATAGGTAGAATTATCAAGAACAAACGTTAAACGAAAAACGAAAAGATTAACTAAATTGATAAAACTGTTTTTAAAGAGTACATCTCCGGCAAACAAATTATTCTGACCAGAACAAAACGTAATTTTGCTAAACTCACGTGCGGAACTGTGTGAACTTTGTTCTTTTGATCATTTGATGTGTTCTCTTCAAATTTAAACGATTGTACATTTTTTAAATTTGAGAATTTGTTTAAAAAAATGTCAAAATTTATCACAGACTGTAAAAAGACTTCAATTGTAGAAATAAATAAATTACGATCCGCATTTCAAAATTTTGGCAATTAGCAAAATTATACACTATAACATGGAGGGTCCAAGAGACTGACAAAATGAGAGAGTGTGTGCGGCGGCAGACACAGATTTTGCGTCGAATTATTCTGGATTTAAAGAATTTCTAGAATCAGCCGTTTTTTTTTAATTTTACACTCATATGTTTATAAATAAAGAAAAACATTTTGCCGAGAATATTCAATGAATGTCACCAGTCCGCCAGCACCCGTCTATTAGAAACCACCACCCCCCCCCCCACTTTTCAACCACCATCCCTTCTAGGACTGAAAATTAATAAATGACTAATATTTTCCCAATTTTTAGGACTGTTTTATTTTTCGTATATTTCAAATTTTATACCACTTTCAACAATATTCCATGATTAATGTGTCTTTCAGACTGCGTCCGACTGTAATTCCATGTCATTCCATCAATATCCGTTCATTGATTCGCTGGTTTTTTTTTGTAATTTTTGGTAAATTTGGCCCATTTAATTGTTCCCCTCCTTTTCTTATTTAATATTGTTTTTCAAAAATAAATTTATATTCCTTAAACGTGTTAAATTGTATTAAAAATTGAAGCCTATTTGGTTGCTACTTTAGTTTTTAGGTATATAAGACTTGCAAAGAAGCTTGATATCAAAATGCACAATTGGACACTTGAAAAATATCGACAATTGTTGGAATAGATTCACGTTTACGAAAGACGAAATCTTTCTGAACCGGGTTCTCCGAGAATAGTTCATTACACTTAAAGTTTTCAGCCTTTCATAAGAACACTACATAGTTTCTAAAAAAATCTAATTTAGACATCAATTCTGCGAATCTTCTTTTGTTAATTTGAATTATTGCAAATTTTAAATTAAAAAAATTTACTGCTAAACATTGCTGTTAGAAACTGCAAATTTTGAAGTGCAGTGAAAAAGTTTTTGTTTTGGCGGCAATTCAAATGCATTTCTCATTTATTTGAAGTTTTCGAGGATGGGTAGTCTCTTTAAATGGAATGAAAGACTTTTTCGACTTTAATTATTATTTTTCCAAAGAATTCAAAAATTCGTCATTGTTGTGATCCTATTTCATGTGTTTTTCTAAATAATTTATTGCTGCAAATCCATGCATGTCATTTTGTGTTTTTTTTCCGTGTGTTCGCGTTCGTCTCATTGCTTCTTCCAACACATTTTTTTCGTGCAATTGTCGCATTAACTTACAGTCCAAATAAACTTGAAAAAGTGACCAGACAACCTTATGTTCAATTTTCGTTTTCCATAATAATAATAATAATAATAATAATAATAATAATAATAATATACTCAAGTGGGCGATTGCGTTTTCAATCGGAAATACGCAGTCGAATGAATCGTGTACGCGTCGAGACCGTCACGATGAAAACTGTACGCGCGCAAATGGAAATCGTTGCAGCGCGGAACAAGGAAGCCGTCAAAGAAAAAAAAAAAGAAAGCTTGAAGCATCTGTAGCATATTACGGAATGATCGACCAAAACTGGAAGCGCGTTTATGTTTTATGCCTTTTTTCAAAAATTTATTCGACAATTTTACGAATTTTGTGCAACATTTTTTAAATGTTTTTCAAAACTCAACTGTCGTATTTTTCATCAAAATAAGTGCCAATATTTACCTACTCGCTCTATTGTTTTTCATTTATTTATTTCTAGAGAAGCTGTGTGTGTGTGTGTTTCACATTTTCAGTTTTTTTTCATTGATGAACACTGCAAAAAAAAATATCTGAATATATCGAATTATCCGGCCCACAATGTCCTTGGAATATGTGGACATCGAGAAGAATTGATTTAATTATACGTTCGAGTTTTAGGCTTTCAAAGAGACTACTTCTCCTTTTTCATTATTTTATTGAAATCTTTCTTTTCGCGAAACATCTTTCATCTAATATTCCCAAGAGTAAGAAAAACATCACAACTGTTGAGTGATGAGTTTGATTATGTTGAGAGCTCTATTCAATTTATGCACAATATTAATAGAAATCCGCATTCTTTCCATCCAAAATCGTTTGATACATCGTACTTTGCGAAGCTTCCTGAACTATATAGTGATTCTGATACCATTTTGAATTTCAAAAACTAAAAAAAACGCATAGCAAAATAAATAGTAGTAAAGTTATGTCCCAAGATGCTCAGATCATATTAACTATGCAAGTATAGGTAAGAAAGTCATAAGAATTTCTGTTAATTCAAAAAGTTTCAATTCAAGTAATGAATCAATTTAATTGATCCATATTAGGCTATTTAGGAGTCTTGCGAATTAATTGCGCGACATCCATCTCGAAATGCGAGACCTTCATTTTTTTCTAGTGCTGTTTAATGCAATATCATCATTCGATTGAATGCAAATACCAATTAATAATGTGCTGTCGCGGAGTTTTTATGAAGAACGACCCGTTTTAAACTTGTAGCGAACCAACTGTCAAATGGCATTTGTCAAGTTTGCGCGAGCCGCGACCCCGTTGCCGCCGCTAAACACCATAATTCGCGGACGGCGCTTCTTCCTCTTCTTCTCTTTCTTTTTTTTTCACTCGTCCAAATATAATTCACTTTTCAGGGCACTTTTATGGACGTGAATAATTCAGTTAAAATTTTGAGTTTTGTCGCAAAAGTCGCGCTGAGGGCCGCCATTCGCCGTTGGTTCTAATTGCAATAATTTGGTGTTGTTCGTGGCCGCTCGTTTTACCAAATCACTCTCTCCCCGAACACCCCAGTTACATCTGTCCCGTTCCATCAGCCATCTAGTACATATTTTCATAATTACTATCACATTCATTCGTTCAATTCAATTCCGTCTCGTTTCGTGCGAAAATCTCAAGCTTTCAAAAAATCGGAAACACATGATAAGATATCGTGTAATTCGAGTAAGTTTGCAAACATGCGTTCTATCATTTTTCGAATGACGCTAGTTTGTTTCAAACAAAATCACTTGTGCAACAGACGCCGAGAAAATCGCGCCGTATTCAATTCAAACTGGGTTTTTGATATATAAAAAAGTGTCGAGACGGGGCGGTCAATTCGCATTGTATTCGTGCAAACACGGCTCGAAACATTCGCGCAAACCTCACCTCAATCTTCGGTTTTCATTCTTCTAGTGCCCATTCTTTTTGTAGTTCCTCTCATTAGTTCATTCTTTCACTTTTTCCTCAATGTTACCACAAACTCTTGGTTTTTCTGAATTTTAGGCTTCAATATGCATGTTGTTTGAGACAAACTCGCATTTTGCGCCTTGACACTTACAATTCGGTTATTTATGTTTTTGTTTGTTTCTCGAAAGGAGTGTCACGTCGTTTGCATAATGTTCTATCTGATAGCCCACTATTTATTTTACTTCAAACGCTTACCCGCTTGTTTTTTCCAACCCATATGCAATTTGTTTTTAACCCATATTTGGAATTTGCATAGAACTATCCATTTTTTTTTAAATCTATTAGTCACTAAACAGCGATTTGCAGAATATTCAAACAGTTTTCGCCGATTATGAAAATAATCGTATTGTGTCCACAAAACTTCCAGTATTGGTGTCATTCAATCTGGCACGTTCACGAAACCTTTTTCTTTAAATATTCGTAACCATCAATTTATGAGTTCACCAACCTTTTTGTACCGGTTTCTAACAAAAAATTAAAGCGTCTTCATTTTTTTTTCAGACGCGACCTTTTCGCGAAACGTATTTCAATATGAATTTCATTATTAATGCCATATTTATTTTTATTTCTAAAATTTATTTCAAAAATTTTATGAATAAGACCCCAGATTGGCACCTTCTGGTGTTCTGTTTCTTTTAACGGGTCAACTATAACGTATGCAGTCCGATTCTCGTGTCTGACGATAGTCGATAGGGACATCCCGTCGAGGAGGCAAATTCTCAAACTCATATTCAATGACTGTAGCCTATAATTTTATTTCAAACAGGGGTTATTTTTTGTTTCTAAAGAAAAAAATGTGCAGACAATCACTTATGTCACTCTAGAAACGAATGTTCATTATTTTTTTTTCGAAACTTCATATTTATTCGCATGAAATTCTTCCCAACTGTTCAATTGTCCAGATGTGCATGATGTTGTGCACGTTCTGCATATTTCAAGTGGGCGGCGAGAATTCTCTCACCAAAACACCATTGTTGACCCGGCAATTCGCATTCAAAAAACCCTAATAAACTGTGGGATATTTTGGGGTTGCCGAGGTGTAAAATACATATTATTGGCTAACTATGCGATGCTGTTTCAACATGCTTCTTCTTCTTCTTGTTTTCGTGTTTGTTTTCGCCATAGTTCTCACCGCAAATTCTCGGCATGCAGATGTTCTTCTCAAGTGGTTTCGTTGCGCTTAATTCGAACCATATGCGTTGCGTCGGCGTCGTCGTCGAAAATGCGGCATCACGCTAACTTTGGAGGCAACTTTCGCTTCGTCCCTCCCATCCAAATTTCGCTTTTATTTTACTTTTTTTTAATGTTTCTATCTCGAACCATTGAAACTTTTGGTCGATTTTTCGTCGACTGAGAGGATCGGCAAATAGTGCGAATATCTTTCCCGTCGTTATCATTCCGGACGCCCAAACGAATATCTTGCGCGTTTTAACCGAAAGTGCGTGCTCGATCACAAGTGGTTTTCTACTTTTTTTGTTGATTTTACTCGTTTCAATTCGCTTTGTCGAATCCCGCCAGTTGATAGTTAGCAGACTGTATTTTGCATCAGAGCCCGAATATCCTTTCCTCTATTTGCCAACGTTAATTGACAGTATCTCGTCATTTCGAAACAAACAGTTATGAAACAGATATCCGATGTTCTGTTTGTTTTCAAAATGTGTTGAATGTCTGCGGAAGCCGATCAAAACTGAAATTGTTCCGATTTTATCGATAAATATATGTATGCGATAATTCTATTTGAAAAAAAGCATATCGTGGGAAAATTTTGCTCAAAAATTTAGTATCAACAACAAAAACTGTTTTTCGCTTTTTTTTGATTTTAGGGTACCACAGTTCACCGGTTCCTGCAGGTTGAACAGAATAGTTGTTGAAAAAAAGAGCAAATAAACACATTGTTGTGAAAAGTGCAATTGAAATTAAAAAAAAAACGTCTGTGCAAAACACTCTTTCGGTCTGAGACACAAAATGAAAATCGAGAAATTTCGTGATGTTCAGAGGTGCTATTAAAATAAACGAGCCTTGTTCTCGAATTCGAATGAATATTTCCCGACACTGCTATATCTTAAAATTAGCTCAAATCATGTTGAAATTTAATTTCCCCAAGTCTTCAATTCTCATCCTAGTACTAGAAGGAGTAGTATATCGTTGTGCAATTTGATGACCTCTCTCCCTTCCCACTTTCATGTTTTTGATTTTCTTGAATACCACTCCCCCACCAGATGCTCTTTTCCGAAATCCGATGCTCATTCTCATCATCCACTGAGAGAGAGAGAGAAATGTGTTCGATAGCGCTGTCAAAACCAGTAATAATCACTGCAAATATTTGATTTATTCATTATATTTATACATTTGATGTAATCGCTGAGCTTCCGAAATAAATGCATGAAATGTTTACCCGACGCGTCAAAATTATCGAAAACGCGGGTGGTCGTTCTTTGATAAACTTTTGCCCTCAATCCACTAAATATATTTATAGTTTTTCGACATGATTCCAAATGTATACCGATAATAGTAAAGACAGGTGGTTTGCGTTGAAAACCCAAAATAAACAGTTGTAAAAATAGGATTGAAAAAGCGACAGGATTCAAATTTCGCACATATATCCGATTTCATAAGATTTCGTCGCCGAAAAAAGGATATCACTGCGCAGTATACTAGTTTTGTAAGCTAAACGAAATCTTTGTGTGTTTTTTTTAAGTATTTACTTTATTGTGTGCTCAAGAAGTTATTAATTGAGTTTATTTATGCCCGAACAATATCTCCGGAAAAATTCGATTTCCAGCACTTTCAAATAAGATCCAGCCTCAAGTCTGCGCAAACTCTTCACGTCTATTTTTTTGCCATTTCATTCATTCGAGGTCCAGCACAATAAGTGTATTTTACTATTTCTGACCACTTCTACAGTTTTTTTGTTTTTGTTATTTGTTTATAATACCTTGTTTTGTAATGAATCTGAAAGTGAAAAATCAACAAATCTTCTTCCAGGTGCTCAATAAACCACGTAGAGCCTCTTGTTAAAAAAAATAAAGATGTGAAAATGTATATGTTCGCACCTCGATATATCAAATTTCATCTAGAAGAATAAGTAATTCAAGTTTTTTTTATCTTTTGAGTCTTGAAATTCAAAGCTGACTTCCAGCACCTTGAAACAAGATTTTCACTTTTGTCCGACAAATGTTGTTTTGCACAAGAATTGAATGGTAATTGCAGTTGTTCAGTGTCTAGTCAATTGGTTTAAGAACACAAATAAGCAGAAACAAATCATTTTACACAATTTCTGCAACCCCAACTCCATGTGTTGACCTTAGTATTCAATCGACGGCATCTGCGGCGATGTTCCCCACTCGAAACGTTTCAATCAACCCGTTCTGTATATGATTATGATGACATCTGAATCATACACCTCCCATTGTGTCCTCGCATGTCATTCGCTCATAAACCATTCATGCTTTTTTTCTCGTTCATTTCACCAACGATTTTCAGCATTTGCGCCCGACGAACTACAATTTTTCGATATTACCATCAGCTTTTTTTTTTCTACGAACGCACATGCCAGAAGTTATTCTCAACGCAACAAATAATGCACGAAGACAGTATAGGTAATTTAAATTTATGTCGAAATATATTTTTCTTCATTTGAAAAGAAATGTTATGAATTATTCAAACACACATTCCTATTTTATTTATTCAACAAATGTGTGACTTATAGGCGTCTTTTCAAAACAATCAATTTTTTTTTCTCGGCGGACTAGATTTTATGGCCGCCATTTTTGCGGCCGTCCCTTTTCTAGAATTGCAAAAAAACGCTTTGCGATATTGAAACGATCTGCACGGTATATTACTTCAAAGTAATTAAAAAATAAAATGAAATCACGTGGAAGAGGCAACAAAAAAACTAGATTTGTTGAAGATTTTAATTCACAAAACGTCATTTCTGAAAATTCAATGGCAATTTCTCGACGCTTTTCAAACTTCCGTAGTATTCTGAAAAGTCCGTTGAAACTTGTTCGGAGAGAGAATAATTTTAAATCAAAACGGTAGGAGTATCGAATAAATTAAATTAATGACATGATTTAATTTAGTCTCCTTTGGTAAATTGGCAAAAATTCAAGTAAAAAAAAACGCAAAAAAATCAATTTGCAGATCGGTGGCATTCGGAACATGGCAAGTTGGAGGCGCACGACAATTAACCGAACGACGACCCGATTGTTCGTCATCGAATGTTCGCCTCAAATGGTACGTGATTTGGAATATAGGATTATCCAGAGTAATCGGATTGCGGCCCTCTCCAGCCCCTCCCCTATTGCGCATGTTATGTACCTGTAATGCGGAGCGGCCTCCAATAATATCTCGCTTGAGAATAACCAGCCTCGACCGGCTAATTGCCGTTTCATTCGTCTACCATGCGCGGCCGGCGGCTTCACACAATTGCCGTCAATTCATTCAGTCAGCTTTTTTGTTCTTCTACTCCCTCTTCCTTGCCTCGTTTAATTCGTCTATCTTCATCTTTCCGTTCATGTGGTTTTTTATTGAATTTTATTTTATACCTCTTTTACCTCACGCCTTTTGTTCGTCCACATATCGCATTTTAATGATGTGGAACGAACCCAGAAGCAAAATTGTCCAAAAATGGCGCGTTTTTGTACGTTTGGTTTGCCTAACCTTGAGTGACTGGAGATGAATTTGAATTTCGCCCACAACCCGTTAATGTGGGAAAATGAATGCTTATTTGGAAACAGCAACAGAATGCCGATTACGGTAGGCTGCACCTCATCCGTCGAGGTCGACCGAATTCTAATTTCTCCTCCTCATCACCTGCCTGTTGCATTGCTATTGTTTGCCGAGTTTTTGAATTCCGAAAATTCTTTGTGTTCGCATATTTATGCGCTCAATTTTTGAGCTCATTATTATATATATATTTTTTCATTCAAACTCTCAACTGATTTTCGTTTGTTGAAAATATTTTGTCTTGTTTTCTCACATTTTATTTATATCGAACATATGAAATTCTGTTCGATTCGTTTTCGAATTCCATTTCGTATGGAGTTCACATTCCTTATTTTTTTCGGATTTCATTGATTTGATTTAAGAAATTCATATTTAAAAGTTTCTTTTTTTGTGAAATATTTGTGTAATCATTCAGTGATCAGTTTTTTTGAGATTAATGTCAGATTTGTATTTTGATCGATAAGTTGAAACTGCTTTGATATTTTGGTTCGGATTTTTGTGCGCAGGGCGTGGGGCGGATATTCTCCATACTACCCAGAGCCCGGGACGAACTCGCAAAAATTAACTGAGAACATTTTAGCTAGCTCTTCATACTTCTCAGTTTTTCTGAATTTTTAAATTGAGAATGTAACTCGTCAAAACAAATAACCATGTGTTTCTGTTCAAAAACGCACTTCGGTGAAACCGAAATGCGGGTTGTTCATTATAGAAATTGTTAAGTTCGCAATTATATCCCAGAGATCAAATTTTAAATGAAACTTTTACAGAAAACCCTGTCTTCGTATCCAAACCAAGCAAAATATATTTAATGTTTGTAAATGCTTGAGACGGTGTCAATATGTGAAATGTGAAATTTCTATCATATTCTCGCGATTTATTCCTCTTTTTCCTTCCCAATACGCATGTGTTGTTGCTTTTGAATAAGACATTAGCGATTGACAAATAGTTTAAACAAACACAATGGATTGAAGAAGCACAAACATATAAAAAGCAGCGCGGCGGCGTCGGCGACGGTGCAGGGTCGTCGATGCCTCAAATAAGGCAAAGAGCAGGCTGGATCCGATCGGATGGCACCGACACATTCACTTTCGCCATTTAAAACAAACACCACCCATTTTTTTTCAATGGGTGTTGTGTATGTTGGGTGAGGCAGTGAGTGTTTTCTAATTTCGTTCGTCCCAACTTGACATCGCCAAAATTGCCTCAAACTTTCATTGCAAGTTTTCCGCAATGAACTTTTCGCGAAAACTTTTTTTGCGATTTTAATTTTAAATGATCTTGAGAAATGTTAATCCAACAACCTTGTCTCCACAATAACCGAATTCTTGAGATTTCTTTACAATTTTGTAGAGAATTGCTATTATAATGTTTAACCTTATTCATAATCCACTAACTATACACATATTGTACATATATTCAGTTCAATTCACATAAAATGTATCTTTACCATAAGAACTAGGTCGCCATGCCTGAGTGAATTCGAACATTTTTTGCTTCTTCGTTCGTTTATTCATTCGATTGCCTGTTCTATTGTCCACGAATTCCGCTGGCTGTTGTCGTCGCCATAACAAACTTGTAATTAAAATCCGCCATTCATCCATCCATTCTCCACCTATCCATCAATTGCCTCTTTTTTCCTCTTCGTCGTTTTGTTTCGCTCGTTTTTGATTTGTTAGCAATTCTCACCCATAAGTGTCGTCTTGTTATCCGTCGAAGTATCGAGGGTCCAGTTCCTTTTTTTTTCGGCAATTATGCGCGCCTATTTGATGGGTTCCTATAGGAATTGAAAACACTTTCTGTGTCCACCGAATTTGAGCAATTTTCTAAAGAAAAAACCCGAAACTCTGCTTATATTTGTCTGCTCATATTCTCTTCTCTTTATTCTCTTTTTTTTTCATTGAATATTTTCCCATGAAACTAAGTGTTCCATAATGGGCTATCAATTGCAAAAAGAATGCAATTGGTCGATTTCCCTCGCATAACGTTTTGATCGAATTGCATCTATTTGCGATGTTCGCCGTTTTTTTTTTCGATAAATCCGAATTGACAGCTCTATTCGCGCGATTCGACTCACTATTTCCCACTGAGCAAATGTCTGCACAAAATTGTTTTATGTCCTTCGTTTCAAAACGTCATTTTGGCAATTCGTTGCTTAAGAAATTATTATTTAATTACGAATATTGTTTATTTTTGAGTGCCTACGATTAACTTATATTTCGGTTGGTAAAATCTGTTAGAAATCATAAAAAACGTTGCATTTTTTTTGAATCAACAATTGAAATTGAGTTTCAGCCACCGAAACTTTCTACTGAATTCAATGAAACACTGATTGGCTTGTGCTTTTTTAATACTGCTTCATATTCATTGTAAATTGATATTTTAAATGATATTTATGATTTAAATAATTCAAAATGTGTTCAATAAGCTTGTTTCGTAATTGGCACTCGAAAATTACTTTTCGTATCATTTTTCCTTCGGTTTTTTTCGGCGTTCTTCTGTTATTTACTCATTCTTCCAGACAGAGTTTTATACGTTTTTTTTAATGATGCTCAATTCGTGTCGATTCTCAAATCAAACTCTCATTCAATATTTATATATTCATTTATTCGATAGTGATATCATTTTTTAATGTATTTTTCTCATCTAATTTGCACATTCTGATCTCGATATGAGACATTTTCTGATGCGAAAAAAAAACGAAGTGAAACGAAAAAAAATATGAAAAATGTAGCATTCCGAAGCGTTTTTGGCAGCGGTGCATTCTCGAATTTCATTCAACATTTTGTCTATTTTTATTGCTTGAAAAATGCCTTACAATTAGACTATGTAGTAGTAGTCTTGGCGAAGGCTCGTCTTGTTTTCGTCTTCGATGCTCTCCACAAGACACATGGAAAATATCAATTTTTCTATTGATTTTTGACCTGCATACCTGCCCGCTTCATGCTCCACCAATTTTCTCTCATATTTCGTTTCAAAAACGAAATTCGACAAAGTGCGGTTCATTGAAGCTTTTGCCATACGTTGTTGGTCATTCGTACATATTTGAACATGTTTGTTGAACGGATGCACCAACTCAAGTAGGGTTTAGCAGCCAGATCTACAGCTCATGTTACATTATTCATTTCAAATTGTGCACATTATTATTGCTATCCATTTTCCAACATTTCGAGTGGTCGGTCAATAAAAATTGGCTCATATTTTCGAAAAATTGACGACACTTTTTGTTGAAATTGAGTTTCTAAGAGGGTCGACGAACTGTGCAGCGATATCCTTTCATTTTCTCACCATTAGTCGAAGTTTCATTATTTTCTTAGTTGACTTCTATTCTGTGAAATTGTGAAACGAAGAACTTAAACGGGCGTTGAAAAATTTTTTTCTAAAGAGACATAAGTACTGAATAAGTCTAGTAAGCATTGCAGAGTAGTGCGTTAAAAATTGCCGAATTTAGAGGAAATGCTCATTTATCTCGAATAAACAAGAAACACGTCGATAAATAATTAAAGGAGTGTTCATTCGTTGTTGTTTTTTGTATGCGCACTCGAATGTTTGACTAGGCGGTTGTGTGAAGCAGCGTGGTCGTCAAACGGCAAATTTTCCGGATTTCGTGTGAGAGTTGACCACTTTTGATTATGACATTTCCAGATTGTTCGTCACTATTCGCCCAAACCTTTGTTCTTTCGTTCTTCGTTTTTTTTTTCCTTTCTTTTCAGCAACTCCCACCAATTGTCTTTGAATCGAAATTGATTTTGATCGGAAGCAATTTTTTGCATTCCATCAATCAAGACAAATGTTGCCATATGGTGTCTTGTTTGACCGTGATATTTTCGAATTTTAATTCGTAGGTTTCAATTGTTCTTCTTTTTCGTTTTGATGCCAGTGGTATGCATGCTTCTTCAGAAATTTGGTAAAGCAAACTTTCGATAGTTCTTTATTCTATCTTGAATACTTTATAAACCCCTAAGAATGAGTTAATTGTTCCATTATATGTATTATTATAATACTAATCCAGTTTCTTGGTTTGAAATTACCTCGGTATTATTCAACAAATCGAGCCGCAAATCGTTTGAAGGAAACCGTTTTTGTTTTGTTTTGTGGCCGATTATCGAAAGTTTCTTTTGCGGCAATTCTCGTTATAATTGAATAGTATTCAAACAAAGTTTTTCCTTGACTCCTTTAGCTAACATTCATTCTTATTTCCTTCATTTTCATTCGAATTTCTACATGAATTGTTTATTTCCAATTTATTTACATCATCGTCTTAGTTTCCGACGGCTAATCCTTTGCTTGTTCCCTGAATGGCACTCATTGAAATTATAGTCCAATTTTTAAAGCAACACTTTATTTCATGTATTCAGTTCGTCTCCGGACCTTCATCGTGGCGTCGAACCGAATAGCCTGCTGACGGTTGACAAACGACATAGTCGACTTGGGGAGAGCAGTCCGAATTTATCGAGAATTCATCACACGCATACACAACTTTCTCTTGGTGGTAAGTTCGAATTTATAACGTTTGGAAAAAAATAAATTGCTGAAAAATGCTACATACATATTTACCATATATAAGACTAACGTTTTTGCCTTTTTTTTTTGATTTTGTGGACAAACTAATCTTGAACCTGATAGTCGCTTCCAGTTTTGACGAGTTTCAAATTCTTGTTTTTCTCCAAAAATCGCGATGAAAATCTCGAGTGGCATTTCAGGCATTTTCAGCAGTTTATTGCATTTTTATTCCCGTCTCGATTCCACCGTTGCATCACGTATTCGACACAAAAACTCCGAATGTCCCCAACGAGATTTCAATGTTTGAAATTGAGACCCTCGAAAAGTAAAGTATCATTGCAAATCTTAACAAGATAAACAAGAAAACGTCGCGATTAATACGATCGTAAAATTGAAGAGAAAAACAATAACCGTGGGCATCATTCAATCAAATTCTCTCAGAACTAATATTCAATCATCTTCTTGACTTTTTAAGGTCTTCCAAATAAAATGTCGACCTCAACAACAGCCCATGACTTCTTATCAAGTAGCGAGTATTGTCGTTATGTATGCAGTCGGGATGACGTTGGTAAGTATTTTTTTTTAATCAATTCAATTCTTGATAACTCATTGACGATTAAACCTTCGCCAATTCTTTACTAGCATTCTAAACAATTTTGGAAACAATTAATAATGGAAAATCTTCACTAAGTGACTAAGTGAAGATTTTCCATTATTAATTGGAAAGTAGTGATTCTCAGAAAATCGCTGAATTCGTTTGATGTTCTCAGCGTCTTTCACTTTTTATGTCATGTCGATCGGACGATGTCCTCGTCTTTTATCATATTTTTGAATCAAATTTATGGCGCGCCCCACAAAACGTTTTCAACTCTTCTTTTTTATGTGTTTTTTTTTTCTTTGTTGCCGAAATGCGAACTATGTCACATTTTATTTATTTTCTGACCAAATTCTACCGATTTTTTGTTGGTAAGATATGATATTAGAATAAAAATTCGGGTACCGTATTACGGATAACCGGTGTAATGCAATAGTCCACAAATTCACAGGTTTCTCGTTTTTTGAGAATTTTTAGAAACAATAATAATAATAATGAAAACACTTGTTGATGGGCTCTTTATTCAACACCGAACCACACGTTTTTTGGTGTTTTGTCGAGCACTTTTTCGAGTTTTTCCCAATGTTTGTGTTCTTGAACACTTCAATGATCGCGAAATGATCAATTAGATACAGAAAAGTCGGCGAGAGCTGGCAAAAGTCTCGACATTTTTCACTTTGTATGAATCGCTGCCGAAAACTGTTTTTCATCACGCGGGTTTGTTTGAACTCGCGGATTTCAAGAGATTTTACCGTCCATTGTTGATATGAAGTTAGAGAAGTGGTGACAAAAATAAAGAAAACGGACGCAAAAATATTGAAAATATCTACTAACAAGTGTAAGTATTTTAAATAATAATTGAAAAATGGACATTAATTGAAAGAAGGGTTACTGTAGTCAATTAATGTCTGTGAACATCATGGAACATTTTAACAGAATATTTATTTTCGAAATTTTACTTTTTCAATCAATTTGCCATTCATTTTCATATCCTCACATTGAATCTGCTAAATGTACAATATGTACGTATAATTAATATCGTTTCGATGAATTTGAAAAGATAAATTCTATACTAGTTGTTCAGCTATTTATAACCAACTTATTGCAAGTTTCCAAAACCGTAACAATGCTGGCATTTTTCACTTTCACCGCGATATTACGTTTCTAGTTTCATTCTTTAAAAAAGTAAACTTTTTGTGATGTGAACCAGATAAATAACTCCTTAGATGGTGATTCCGAATTAAATATGACAAGATGAAGGTCAATGACATCGTCGTACAAATGCTGCAAGTTGTTTATGTACGCTGAAACGGTTCTTGTGTCATTTAAACAGTTAAATAATTGCGTTCAGTCACTCGTCAGTCAATTTTATTCTTTGTTCTGTTCTTTTTTTGCGTTCGTGAGTTGCCTGTGTGTTATTAGAAATTTATAGTTCTGCCTATCATTGAATACACATGTTTCAACCCACCGAATAGACCGGTACGCGTGTAAGTCTTGTGTGTTTGCTTGCGCAACTTCTCTAGCGCCTCACACGCACAATTTGGACAACTCTTTTCTGCTCGGTTCGCCTGTGGAATGCAAGGTGTGGGATAGGCATTATTGCGAAGTTGGCTCGAGACGCGCCCCGGTTGAGTACCATCGCCGCCCTGTCGGCTCGATTCCGATATCATCTGATATCCGAACCGCCTCCAATCATTGCTCGTTTTTATTCGATCGTCAGATTAATGTTCATATTAATAAGTCTTATTGATCTATGGACATGGCTTGTTGCTGTCAAAGATTTCTCGCTGGCAATATTTATGTCAGGTAGGTATTCTTCGAAAACTATTATTACTACTTTCATTCTATCTAATTTTCGTCGAAAAATGCCGCCACACGTTTCACTTGTTGTTTTGAGATTTTATTCGCATTGTGTTATTTCCGCGCAAGTCTAAATGACTGCTAATTCTAGTAAGTGGCCTAATTTGGAATCGCATTCTTATGCGTGCTCTTACTCTTTGTTATGTTCTTCTTTCTATTCAATGTCTCTTATTGTCGTTTTATTTTTTAAACATCAACTTTCTGATTTTGTTTCGAAACTATGTATTAATTTTTCATTATGAAACTCTAAATTTTCGAATTTTGTTGTAATAAAGAAAAATTAAAAGAAGAAAAGCGATTCTGAGGAAAAGTGAGAAAAGTCGAGAAAAAATTCAAAAATTACTTGAGAATTCTTCCAATGTTTTTCGATAAGTTTTCAAACATCTTCGAATGTTTTGAAGATTTCTTCAAGATTTTCGAACATTTTTTGTCGTCATTCGAAATTCTCGAATATAGTATAAGGAAATCGACCATTCTTCCAAAAATTCTCGATTTTTTTAATGACATACAATCCAGAGTACTTTCGCCATGGTGCCTGGAGACACCTTGGCGCGTTGCGAATATTTTTTTGAATTTTAATCCGCAATAGAAAAAACATTGGTTATGTACAAGGATTCTGCAGCTGAGAATGCATTCCAATTTGTGATTTGGTCTTCGCGCCGACCTTATTCAAATTGGTATCGTTTTAAAGATATAATTAAAGGAATGAAAAAATATTTTGGTAGCCACATTTTGGGAAACAGACTATACAAAGTATACGAATCTAGTAATACGACCCTTATTTTTTGAAATATAGCTATTTGCACTTTTAATTCATATAAACTGTATCTAAGTTTATTTTTAATGTAATGTTATATTTCTCTCCCACTTTGTTTTGTGCTCATAACTCTGTGAAATATCGGACCACCCATTTGCGAAAATGTTAGAACTACCCTCTCGAGAGTGATTCGAAAAATGCATGTTTAACTCGTATTGTGTTTCGATTGGAGAGAAAAAAACGTGATATCGGTGACAGCGGTCTCTTTCACAACTATCGCATAAATTATTTCGGTGCTGCTGCTTTCCGGAGCCACACACAAGCACCTGTGTCGGCCTGCTTCCGCTATTCCACCCGCTCCCTCGTCCCGTTTTTTCGATATCTTCAATTTGACTCGAATCGAAGTTTTTGCGATGTTTCGACGACCTCAGTGTTGCATCGATGACATGATCTGCCGTTCGAAAAGTGCTATCCAATGCCCTGCAGCTTTACGTTTTTTTGCTGTGCCTCTCGTTAATTGGCGAACTCCGTCCATCGCTCGGCAATTGTTCCGAAATATCAGCTCACGGACTTATCACTATCATATTTTTTCTTCCGACTCAACTGCTGACCTCTCATTTTATTTCTGCTGTTCAAGGGCCCTTTTAATCGAAATATGGTATTCGAACTCACCTACATCGTTCGCGACAACTCTGGTAGGTTGATTGTGTTTGTTTGCAGATCAGATATAATTTTCCGTTTCGAACATAGTTACTGTATTCTAAAAATAGAAAATTGATGATAATGGTTTGTCGGCTTGTAGTGTGCAGTATTGTGAAAAATCACTTTTCTCGCAAATACCGCACTCGTTGCTCACTTTATTACCAGTTTTGTGTTCTCTAATTTGGACGTTACAATAGTCGTCGGCTCTCAAGATGTATGATGGAAACTTGCATCGAAATCTAGCTCTGATTGTCGCATGACTTTAATTATTTTACATTTATTTGAATGAGATTATCTCCACTAACGGACGTTGTTTTTTTTTTAAATTTTTTTTAGTAAAAAATGTTCACATAAAGAAAATCTTTTACTTTTTTATGTTTTTAAATTATTAATTATTGTTGTAAGTATATATTTTATTTTCAGTGCGTTATTTTGAAAATATGTATATCCGCAATTTAATTTCGATAAAATGCAATGTGTGAGTGCTCACTTATTAAACTTCATCCACCGCTCTTCCAAATTAATTTTTAAAAAGCTCGCGTCGTTTCGAAAAAAAAAAACAATTATTTTCTCTCTCTCTCTCTCGATCGGTTTTTGTGCATCTCCATTTGTTTTTTTTTTGTCATTTTTTGTTTTCTGCTTCTGAAAAATAATAAGTGCGTGTGTGTTTTAGACCCTTGTGATGGCGATAATAGCTATAGTAAATGTATATTTATTGGGTGTGTGGAAGATGTCGAGTGTCAAATGCCATTTTTGGAAATGAGAGTACCCGACGATGGCTACTCGAGCCTCGTCTCAAAATTGTATTTCCGGTGGCTTTTGCGACAACAAGAAATTTCCAATTTTGGCGTGGTTTGACCGCGTTATTCAATTACTCATTTTTTCGTGTGCCATCTACTCTTGTTTCTTTCAATATTTTGTTCGCATGTGTGAATTATCAAAACATAATACATTTTAGAAACAATTCATTTTTTTAACGTAATCGCAAAGAAACTTTTTAAGATTATTTTTTAACACTACGTTGAGATTCGAAACGTTGTATGACCTAAGGCGATTCACCTGCCTTCTTAGCCCCTCAGTTATAATTGTTTTGTCATTCGCCCTGAAACAAGCGTGCATAGTCCTTATCAGGACTACTATTATAGTTTTATGAACGCAATGACCCAATGATAGGTAGCAAACATATCGAATGGAATGCGACAATCTAGCCTCCTCCTCCTCTTTTTATCACAAAAATGCAAAAAAATCAATGAGTTTTGAAATGATTTCAGATTCGATCAACGGCAACCCGAAGGCGATCGAACCAATTCAAGCGGCTTTTCGAAAGTCGCGAAAGGATGAACTATCTGTAGACGAGACGAAAAGCGCGCGAAATTTGAAATACTCGCAATCGTCGCGACGGAAATTCGAAACCGCCACCATCGACGCTGATTTGTCGGCGGATCGAGCACATCACAGGTGATTTTTGTCTACTTCTCATCCTCGGTGCACTTTATTGTCTAGTGCAACTTTTCCTCATCTTTTCACATCATAATAAAAACATTTAATGCTTCTGTCTCTTCTGAGAAGGGCATCGTTCACTTGTCGCATTTATTTTGAGACACTAGAATTATTGACTGAAGTTCGAGGAAATTTTTCTTTCGTTTTTATTGAAAATTGCATTTCGATTGAATGTCAAACATAAATTTAATTTTGTTCGGTTTTTCTTCTCTTTTTGGTTTTTCTTTCTTTTCAAAACTTAACGTGAGAATTGACAGATCGCATAGCGCCGGACCACATACTGCATATTCGACAGCTCACACGGCATCAACTTCCGAAATGAATCGATCTGGGGTTTCTCGAACCGATTCGAACACAACGTTCCTTCGTGCCACCAAAAGATTCTTCAAGAAGATTTACACGTCGGCGACTCTGCCAAAAAAGCAGAATAGCACGTCCGTTGACAACTTCCAGAAGCCGTCGATGTACTATGAAGAGAGGTTGGTGACTATTTATTTCAGTTTGGTTGTTAATTACATGTTCAGAAACTTGAAAAAGGTGGAAAATCAACGAATTGAGGATTCACATTGTCTCGCTCGTCATGATTTGTACGATGAGGATGATGATGATGTGAGTTTTGTCTTTATTTAACTGGAAAAAAGCTCAAAAACGCGATTTAAGAAAATTTTAAACGTCATAACATAGAATTTCGTTTTTTCATATGAAAATTCAAATTTAGACAATGCGTTCCGAAAATGCCACCATGGACATCAGCTACCCAGACAGCGGATTTGAAATGGATAGGTGAGAACTCCAAATTGTTTAAATCCACTGCAAAAAAAATTGAATGAAAAATGTTCTGATAGTAAATTTCTTAAATACCTAGAAAAGAGAACTTTTATCTCGTTAATATTAATATCACAAAAGTAGATTAGTGAAGATGCCGCTCAGTTTACTTAGCTTTTGTAAATCAACAATTTGACACTCATAGAAACATTTGTGTTTGTTTGTCAAAGTGATTACGCAGTGCACTACTGGTTTTCGTGCGTGATTCTGAATCGAAAATAGTTGTTGAGAAGCGCGCGTGTGCGTGCTGCTAATACACACCCTTCACTGTGAGTTAATCAAGCAATATTGCAGAGCTTCGACTCCCGAGCAATCGTCGGTTTCGATGACATCGACATCGAAAAGTGACGATCAAGCGCCGGCTGAGATGAACTTCAGTAATCTTTTCGAGCAGCTCAAACGAGAAATGGTTGGTGTTTTTTTTTTGTTTTTCAAATAATTTTGGAACACGCTATATTTTCGGACGATTGCATTAAAATGTCGTTTCATATTTTCTTTGATATTTTCTTTGTACTTTTTGATATATTGATTATTTTCATTTTTTATGTACCCATATAAAGTTGAAACTGCAATTTTCAGAAAGAGATGCGCGAACGTGACGCGCAGATTCTCGCCGATTTACATCGCGTTGAGACTCAAATTCAGACGGTGAAGCAAGCTCAAATGTTGGCGGCACTCCAAGACGAATTCGAACCGGTAGAAAGTATGCAGCTTTAGAGGATGACATTCGTCCAGTTTTTCTGTATTAGTTTGCCTCGATTTCAATCCGGTCTAGTCGATTTTGCTTGGAATTTCGTTGAACGGGTCGTTTGTCATCTTACTTATTATTGTTCACCATCGGTTATGCTTCCGTTTTGTATGACATTTTACTTGTTTTCACTCCTTTTTTAACGTTTCTTTTCAATTTTCTGATAGCGTAATTAATAATCCTTTTTTGATGTTTGTTTTTTTTATATCACGAAATGTTACCTTATAAATCAGGCCTCCTCTCACACTCCTTTTCCCGTTTCTCTTACTCATCCTCGTCGTATGTAAATAGGATCTGTCGTTCGGTGTACCCTACCGTATTATTTTAAATATCATCGTGTACCGTTCTAATTGGTTATTAAGATTCGGTTTTTGGTAGTCTCTTCTTTGGGTTTTTCGTGAGGCCCGACACGAAAATGCATTTTTTGAGAGACGAAGTTTTATGAAAACGAATAAATGATGTATTTAACACAATTCTACAATTTACTTCCTTATGATCCACACTGTTACGATTTGTGAGATCGTAAAAAAAATCAAATAATAATAAAAAAAGGGAAAATTACACAAGTAATTTGATTTTCAATTCGGAACATTTTCTGCAATGGTTTTCACAAAAATACTGTGGCTATTAGAAAGAAAGTGAAGAACGGATGGACGACACTAGGATTCCCGGATTGGCGGTCACAGATCCTTCAGTTGAAAACCACACAAAATCACCTTTCCTATTCATGCTGGCGGACTTCCGCCGGGCATACGACGAACTGGAGAAGATATCATTCAACTGACTTTGGGAGTTAGTCAAAACTAAAACGCGTCTATCAGATAAAGCAAAAAATAGAGCTTTTTCGTGGAATGTAATGAATGAATAATAAAAAGTTTTTGCGGAACGGATTGCAAAAAAAAATACAGTAGCGTGGTGTCAAGGCGCAGGACACCAAGCGGTGTGGCTCCCATGACGTGAGAGAGTACGGTGTGGCCACGGGCGGGAGAGAAAAACAACGAAAATCGCCATTACGTGTGCGGATTCGCCATCGGTTTGCTTCCGTTTTGTATGACATCTTACTTGTTTTCGCACTTTTTTAACGTTTCCTTATCGTATTATTTTAGATATCATCATGTACCGTTCGAATTGGTTATTAAGATTCGGTTTTTGGTAGTATCTTCTTTGGTGTTTTCCTGAGGCCCGACACGAAAATGCATTTTTTGAGAGACGAAATTTTATGAAAACGAATAAATGATGTATTTAACTCAATTCTACAATTTACTTCGTTATAATTATTAAATTTGCTTCGATATTTAGTTTAAATAATATGGTCGATAGTATTGAAATGGTTGGTAATTCGGTGAGTATGAAGGGAAGGAGAACTGGACTGGCGACGGATTCATCCATCTCGGATCAAATTGGGCCCATTTGTCGTACGGCAAACTTGATGGGAACAGCTCGAGAGCGGTGAATGAGCTCTGTTGATTCGAGATTTGCTGTGGAGCCACTGTCACTGGCTCGGCGAATCGGTCCGAGGATTTGATTTTGTTTAACTTGTTCTGATGGATGCTTAACAATGGCCTGATCTCGTCTTGTTCCAATAACATGAACGGAGCGAATATGGGCGCCAGAAGATGAGCAACGAGTTTGTCGATGTTCTTGATGTTTTGGAATTTAGGCTTATTCAGGTTCTAACACATTTACCGTTTTTAGAGATGTGTAGTTGATTTTGAGACCAGAACGAAATCGATATTTGATTTTGTCAATCTAAAAAATAAACGATTAAAATTTTCATTCAGAAAAAAATACTATCATACTTTGCGCGCATATTCGTCGTTATTCGAGATTTCAACAGCATTCTGAACTGGTGAAAACTTCATGACGTACAACACCAATCGACGACGAAGCTAAAAATGTTCATCAAATATTTATTTAATTCATTGAAGACAATTTGTAGGAAAATCTCACGTCTCCATTGAGTTTCCTTCCATTTCTCACGAAATCAATCACGAGCTCTTGTGATTCAAGATCGAGATCATCGAGTTTGCTTGCGAGACTGACTTGATCCGAATTGTCTTCGAAAGGATCGGGAGGAGGTTTTTGTGTGGTTGATGAATCAAACTCTTCGTCAAGATCATTTTGTGCGAATATTGAGAATATGAGAGAAACGAAAAACAGAATATCAATTCGAAATAACATGGTTTGATTGGAATTGAAAATTGCAAAAAAAGGTCGAAATGGTTCTTGAAAGTAACCGAGGACGAGCTCGGATTATTTTCGGTTCTGCCCATTTTTCCACTCGCTCGCACCAATTCCATTCCGAATCATTCTCAAGGCTACGGTAAGCGGTTTACCGGAAAGATGTAAGAGGTCGTTGAACGCGAGAAAATCATGAAAAAAAGTGGAAAAGAATGCAAAATAGACAACATCGACTGTATGCGTGCGGCTAATTGCTGTTGACTTTGAAACGCTTCGCATTGTCTATTTTGGTGAGGAAATGATGATTGGCGTTGAGAATTTGATTGCCTTTTCTGGACATTTCTAGAATTTGAATTGGAAATATGAATATTGACAAAATTGCAATTTTTGAAAAATTAAAAATTAAATGGCAAAGATTCAATCAACGTAAAAGTGGCCAATTATTTCAAGTATTACACTGGCAAGCATAATTTTCTCGGATAGGAAAGATCATAACGTGTCTGAATTTGTGCAAACAAAAAAAAATCTGTAAGAGCTCATTTCGATTTGCTTGCAATTTGGAATTCCGTTCACATAAACTTATACTCGTCTGTTTAATACACCCTAATACTTGTTTGTTTTCTTGTTTGTAGAATACCATGCGAATAGTAAAAAGAATAGTACGCCATCCATCGAATTTCGCGGGTTTGAGATTCGCCGCTCCTAATCGTTTTCCTTTATTCGCATTTTTTGCAAGTCTTGATTGCACACTGCTTTGTTTTTATATAATTTCTCAACAAATTTTGTTCTTTCTAACTTGTACTGTTTCTAGAATTCTAGAATGGTATAATTATGTTAACATCCTTTTATTTAAATTAAGATCGACTGATCCAGTTACAATAATATATCCTTACGTTAGAAGATTGATTTCTAACACGGGATGTCTTTTTGCTGTCCATCATAAATTTTTTTAAATTTTTTGCATACAGATTCTTTAGAAAATTTCCAATCGAATGAATTAGGTTCCTACCTGCGCAAACTTCTAGTTATCGAGGTATGCACCTTTGTATGTTGTCAAATCGAAGTTATTTGCAACTCTCTACTAAAATATGAATGATTTAAATTATTCAAAATTTGTTATAAAATCTGTATTTCCCCAGATGCCAATAAAATATTTGCTTTTGTGATTCTATTTCGACTCGTTTACTTTCCCACAAAACCCTTTTCGACGCCGAGTCTCCTGTGCTCCTTATGCCGTGGAATTGTCGAGTTTTTGCCGGATATCTGCGACGACATGTCAAATAAGTTGTTGAAATGCAAACAAAAAGGTGTTGAGTGCGCGGATCGAATTGCATTAAAAGAAACACCATCAAACCGATGAATCCATTCGAATTTCAGTTCAATTTTCGTCCTTATTCACGCCTCTTCGTTTTTCGAACTACTACTACTTATTGTTGTGTGTTTTGTGAGTGTGAATGTGTCGCCACTCGTAATAGAATTCGCCGAGATGCGCGAAACTTGTCATTCATTCATTTTGTGCTCTTCTCCATCTCCTTCTTCTCCTTCTTCGTCCTCGTCTTCTGTGCTCGTTCTGTCTTTTTTCACTCATTCTTCCACACGTTTTTGCAGTTGGTTGTCAAAATCCGAAACGAGATTTATTTGGTCGGCGAACACAAATTGCAATTACTTGCAACACCCTCTTCGTGTTCAGCATTCATTGTTTCGAACTCGCCGTTTTTCTTTTTTAAAATTTTGCTTTCGCACATTTCAGACATGGCCCCAATGGATAAAAACCCTTCTAAAAGTCTTTAAATCTTACATGATTTTCTTAAATGTTTTCATCTGTTTTATATCATTTTTTTTAGTCAACTCGCCATTTTTATTTAGATCAGCAAGCCGGCAATTATCTAGCTTTTAAGAATAATTCAAATTAGTTTCTTCAAAGTCAACTCAGAATGAATGAACGAATAATTTCACGTTAAATAACGCACTGGCGTGATCATTTAAGAAATAATACAATAACATTTGGATTTGAAATTATTTTCCACTGTATGAATTTTTTTTTAAACTTTTTTGGGAAATATTTTTAACTCCGTAGTTAATTAAAAGTGCTAAAATGAGGTGAAGATGTCATGGTTTATATACAATAATTTCTTCTTCTCATTTTTTTCAAAAACGTTCTAAAAATTTTTTAAAAGGCGATTGATTGGTGAAAACCAAAATGTATTCAAAATTGGTGTGTAGAAAGACAAAAAAACGGAATTATTTTCAAACGATGGGTTCTTTTAAAATTTGAATATTCATAAAAAAGCCTATTGGCAATGGAAAAAAGGAAATGCCACTAATTTTGCGTAAAATATATAAAGCATTGTCGGTTTCAAACGACTGATCGAAATTCAAAAACAATTGTCTATGTGCCACAAACTGTCGATTCAAAAAGAATGGTGCGTGTCTGCGTACCCGGCATTATAGCGTACGCGCATTTAATATTTAGCAGCTTTCAAATTGTCAAATTCGTAAATTTACACTGATATGCGATATTGAATTTACTGCCACTGAGCAGCCATTGAACCCGTGTCGGATTAACCGTCTATATTATCAGTAAATGATTTAATCCAATTTAATATCATTCTTATAGCTTACCTTTTTTAATTGTTTGGTTATATTGTAAACGTCGTGCGACTACTGAAAATTGGCTAAATGCCACAAAATTTAAAAAGAGGTCTTGATGCGCGGTGTGCGCCTTTAACCTATCCTCATACATTGGCCCGTAAATCTACACTTTTAGTTTGCGCCAACACCAATGCCATAATTTTTTGGAATTTAGCCAATTTTCCGCTGTCGCGCGACAATACCAATATATCAGTTGTGGATATCAGTTTTTAAATGTTTACTAAAAGACTTTTAATGTTATATTTCTAATATATAAGACCGGTTTATTCAAAATTCGATATAAAAATTAATGATGAAAAGTCTTATGATTTGTAATCAATAATGTTTGAATAGTCGTAATTGGAAATTGGCGAGCATAAATTATTCGGGAATAGTTAGGTAAATATATTGGGAAAAAGCTGCCCGCGGCACAATTTCTTCTACGAAATAGAAGAAAAACCAATTAGGGCTCTTATTCATTTCACTGCGCTTCGCCAGATTAAAAATCTTTTAAGGGAATATAGGAAAACACACACACACAGCGATTATAATCAGAGACTTTTTCTCTGATTATAATCTTTAATCAAACTTAATCCGCAAATATATTTTCAATTTAAAGAATGTTTTCAAAAAATCAAATGAAAGGGCTGAATTAAAAGGGAAACAGAAATGAAGTGATATTCTCGAAAAGAATATCGCAGATTGGAAATTTCTTCGAACCTTCAATAAATGTTTCAATATTCTTCGATACTGGGTGTCTTTAATATTCTCGTTGAGTTTTCAATTAAATCCTTTCCCAGCACCTTATTCAATAGCGAGGCGAGAATCTCATTTGGAATTCAATTCAATCGGAGGTATCATCATTCCTTTCAGCCGACATTTTCTCTTATTTCTGAGCTCGCTCGACAAGATTTTACTTATTATCCGATTAAATAATAATCTTTATTCTTTTTTCCTAATAATCGTTTTCAAATGTTGTATCCATCGAAATAATAATAATAATAATTCGATATTTATGGATGAATAAGTTGGTCCGTCCGTTCAATTCCTCTTCCATTGTCTTACAAACGAAACGTTAATATTATTCGCTGCACTTCTTTGTTTATTTCTAACCATCGATTTCTTGCTTTTTATGGGTTTATGTGTCCTATAAATATGTGCTTTTTAAAGATTTATATGTCATAGTCAACAAATTTTTTGAAATTTTAGCAGACAAGACACCAGAAAATTACTAATTTTATTAGAAATTTAAAATGTGAAATAGAAGGGTTGGTATTTTTTAAATATCGTTTTCTTCCCAATTTCACTTATTTTTGCCATCCACCACATTTTACAATTCAATAACCTTGAATTATTTTTTTATTTTTAAAGATTCTGTAAACACTTGAAGAATTTTTTATGTTTTTTTAAGCATATTGAATTTCGCGCCAAAACAAGCTTATTTCCCACACCAACGCGCTCATCAAATTGAAATGTAAATCAATATAAGTGAGAATCTCTGAAAATTTGTGCTATATCAAAGTCGTGTTTTCGGCGTTTGTTAGTGGATTTAATAGCATCTGACAGGGCTTCCAACTTCTCCGAAAATTATTTCCCAAAAGTATTGACGAGTATTATTTCTAGTAGTTTATACTTAATGGTCAAAAAGAAAATAAAAAAATTGCAAATAACAAAATAATATCTCTTGCTATTAAATAATGATAGTATTTAAAAATATTGAAGTGTATTTGAGGCTCAATTTCAAATCTTTGGACTCTAGTCAATGAAATTCTTGTGTTCGAACGACAATATATTTTCGAGGTCGACATTTTCGAATTTTGTTCCAATTTTCAATGAATTCCAAAGAAGAAACTTCTTTAAAAGATTCAACTATAATTGATCCAATAAACTCCGAGTTTCTTACATTTGTTTCCTTTCTGTTCAGTCGTTGCTCATATTTCTATTTTCTTGCAAATCGCGCATTTTATTTTCATAATAAATAGACATCCTTGCAATTTTTTTCGCTTCTTTCACAACTTTTCAATTTCATTTCGTCGCTCGTTTTTATTGTGCAAAATATTGTGTCCACAATTATTCATGTGCAATTCATTTGAAATTCAATCGTTGCCAAGAGTTCGATTTCGCGTTATTCGAGCTCCCACTCATCCATTACAAACAACTATTACAAGCTTATTTGGAATTCAAAAAAATTGTGCGGTATTGTTTACAAGATGAAAATAAATTGCAATATTGACGAGACAAACAACGCGCGAATCTTGCTATTGTGTAGTCGATGTCCAAATTGAAATATGTACATCCGGCCGAGGAAGAGAAATGCAAATTGATGCATTTTTCACGCTGTTTTTGGTGTGAAAAATGAGCGGTCGCACAGATATTCGAGAAAAATGAAGCTAATCGAATGACAGACACACTCACACAAGCAGACAACTTTCTAATTAAGCATACGGCTCTTTTTTGTGTGAAATATTTTTATCAGACTTGACGATTATCAATACAGGACAATCTATCTGATATCTGATTACCGAATAAACACAACTGGAATGATGATATTCTGGTGGAATTGGTCATTAGATTCAAAAACAATGAATACTTGAATATATTACTACATCCTAGTAGTTTGTTCGGCATATACTTATACTTTTGATTTGACTATCCCATACATTTGGAAATAAGTCAAAATTCAGACGAACCGATTCCATCAATCTCGTCCATCATTCAATTTGTGGCTTCGGGAGTGCAGCTAAGTCAGCCGGTAGATGGCCCCATGGGACGCCTCAATGCGATTCTTTTCTGGTCAGTTTCGTTCCAAAACTTTTTCTATTCTTCTCATCTTTTCTTTTGGGTTTGGTTCGTCTAGTTGTGTGTTAGTGTTTCCTCTTCTCCGAATTTTCCTTATTCGTTTCGTTTTGTTCTAGTGTTGGTTCCACAAAAAAAACACAGACATAGAGACACACACACACACACATCCGAAAACGAAATGACGCCGACCGACGAACAACGACGGAAAAGAATTTTGACTTGCGTGTAGCTCCGCCCATTATAGGCGAGCAGCATGCGCAGGAGTGTTGTGCTCGGTGCATCGGCTCGAATGTCTAACCGTAGCTCATAGATGATGCCCAACCCGATTTATATTTGGGTATTTCTATTCAGGGCAATCGTCACCCAATTGCCCAGCGAGACGATTGAAGAAGCGCCGCCGTCGCTAGTACAGTTTTCGCAGAATGTGCTCCGCGATTTCGAACATCAATCCAAATTTTCTTTAGTTCAAGAGGTAACTTCATTTTCCTCACTGCTTTCTTAAGTACGTTTAAGTCTTAATTATATTTGATTATAACAAAAAAGAAACATGCTGTTGCGAATATTTCATTTTCCAATGTATTTATTACCCGTAATTCAATATCATTTGAATTTCGTATTGATTTTTGCGTTTTATTTCTGAGTTTGCTTTATTCGTTTTGAAATTTCAATATTGTTAATTACCCTTAGCAGATTAATGGTTAATATGAGACATTTTTAAAAATTCTCGAAATCATAATTGATAATTAAAATTGTAGGAGTATGAAAAACTGAAATCGAGCATCCGATCCCGTCGCGAAAACGCTGCCGAGAAATTGCGTGAAGCGGAGATCTATCTTGATGATCTCTTCACGAAACGAGTCGACGCGCTCAAGGTTCGTACATAAATTGATGAGAAAATGCACTCGACTGCGTTAAAATAATGAGGAATTGAGAGATAGCGAAATTGGTCGAAATTTACTATTCATGAGGTTTCGAAAAATCTCGAATGTCTGCTGTTTCGTGGTATTCCATGAAATAGTAACATTCAAAAAAAAGAATAACTATATTATATATATATATGAATAGAACATTTTCGAATTTCTCGCTAGAATATGCGATGCAAGTGTGAAAATTAGCGAAGCATGTAATAATTGGAAATATATTGAATGTGCATAATTCAGGCGTATTCACATCGCCTTTTATGTATGACACGAAAAAAAAAATAATATCAGCGTGAATTGTAGAAAATTGTGGCGAGCGCTGAAGCGTCGGCAAATGCATTTGAAGAATACAATGATATGGCGGTGAGGGAAATTCTGGGGACCATTGACGACGAAATGAAATATTGCAGCACTCGGTGGCCCAAAACGAAGCCAGGTGCGAAGTATACATGAAGAAGATGAACGACTCCGATGTGCATTATGTCTCGAATTTTGTTGACGGGCATACCAAGTCGGGAACTCATATCACGATTGAATCGTACCAATGTGGTAAGCAGCTTCAAAAATGATTTATTGTTTGATATTTAAGCTGCGTATTTTCCATTTTAGATCCGAATGTAATGCGAGACTACGACTGGACGGGCACAAAACATCTTGAAAATGTCATGACAGAAAACAAAAAAGAATCGCCGGAAATGGGACATCAGTATATTGGGACATACTCGGGATTGACAAGGATGTATCCAAGTATGTTCAGTGAGACACAATTTATTTTCAATTTTTTATCAGTTTAGGAAGAAGCTGGAAAGTCGAACCATCGCCGATTACCATCGACCTATTTGATCCAAGATTTCGACCCTGGTTTGTCAATGCCGAATCTGTTCCGAAAGACGTTGTCTTCCTCATTGACTAGTATGAATTATGATTATGGCTTGAATGTATACATTCAATTCAGTTCCGGAAGTGTCAAAGGACCTACAATGCATCTCATCAAGATCACAATGATGTACATTCTGTCGACACTCAATCCCAACGATTATTTCTTTGGTATTTATGGGTCTCATAAAAATCGAATCAATTTTCTTTTAAAGGTGTTTACTTCAATAGCCATTTCAATCCGATTGTCAATTGCTTGAATAGGACATTCTTGCCAGCGACGACGAGCAATAAAAAGGTGTTTTTCGAGGAACTTGGATTGCTCGAGGAAAAAGACCAAGCGCACTTTGCTCAGCCATTGAAATTCTCTTTGGATGTTTTGCGAGGGGTTTGTGAATTCAATTTTCTGCAATTTGCAATTGACTAATCATTCAGAATCTCGAATCAAATCATTCAATATTTTCGGGATATCGTTCAGAAGGCCATAAGTTGCTTATTATTTTTACCGACGGAGTTGATGAATGGCCTCATCAGGTGCTCGATGAGGAATTTCAAACAAGAAACAACGAATTGGTTTCTAATTTTTCAATTTTGAAAATAAATTTAAAACGAATTTTAGATTAGGATATTTGGATTTTCAATGGGTTACGGTACCAATCAACTTCCCCTTCAAAAATATATGGCTTGCAAATCTAGCGGAGGGTATTCAGGTGAGTGTATCAATCATAAATCGTAGCATTTCAAACATTCAGAAATTGATTCTATAATGGACGTCAAACCACAATCTAGAATGTTTTTGAATGTATTAAGCAGTGTTCGTGGCGAGACCCTCAGAACAGTCCCAGTTGAGAAACGACAACCTAGTTGGTAGGGGCTTTTTCATAAACAATCAAGATAAACAATCAAGTTCTAGGACTCAATTGTATATGGAAGCACAAGGTCTTGGACCGACAATAACACTTTCAATGCCAATTTTAGCGAGCGATCATTCAATTTGGGGACAACAAAAAATTGCTGGCATTGCTGGTACGAGTCGACACACGATTTCAATATTTCCAATTCGATTTCCATTTAAATTCTGTCTTTATTTTAATAAATTAATTTACAATGATCATTTTCAGCGATCGATATTTCAATTCGCGAGCTCACCAATTCGCTTCCACTCACTAGTGAAGACATGTATGCCTATATTGTCGACAACAACGGTGTGCTCGTTTATCATCCTAGTTTGAATATTCCAGTAAGTTCGAACAAGAAATTATTGATTCATTGGATATTTTTCAAGAAAACCGAAGTGCATTGCGTGCGAAGAAGTGCTTGTTATGATGCTTCTCAAGTGAAAATGAAGGCTGGATCGGGACTTCGAGTAATTTAATCCCGAACAAAACGCATTCTATCAATACTATTTGTCAGGTGCAATATGGGTTCAGTGATGAGCGAGTCTATCGACTTGTTGGCTTGATTGACAGCATCCCAACTATCGATATGTATGACTTGGAAGCTGATCTAACTGCCGTCAAAGATCTGAGAAGAAGAATCACTACGAAAACTTGTCATGAGGAACCGATTAAAGAGGTTTCCACATTGAATTCCAATTTTTCTGATCGATTAAATTATACTAAAATAATTAAGGGCTCCAAGGAGTATTATTGCGCCAATTTGAAGAACTCGCCGTACACTATTGTAGTTGTTCTCGACAAAAATTTGAGCAGCCTTCACTATGACGATGACATTGAAGAAATTCCAATCATCAATAATAAGCTGGTGACATTCTTATACCCACGAAGGTAGTTTTTTTTTACATAAAAGAAATATATTTATGATTTTGTTATTTTAAGAGATGTTTGCGATTGGAAACTTGATTCGTATAGTGTTGTCGATCGGTATGCCGCCTGGGCCCATTTATCACAAACCGATGCGTGCAGCAAACACGATATGAGACTGGCGAGGGCACTGTCCAATGGAATGACAAAATGGGCACAAGCATGGCCGTATTCTGGTGAATCCATAATTATCCGCGTTTCATATACGTCTTCTGATTCAGATGTGGAAATTCCGTGCACAAAAACATTGTTGCCTCGCAATGCGTCAGCCCTTCATTACGTCAACACTTTTATTCATACCCGAAAGAAAATTGCTGCGTTTTATCCAGCGTGGTGAGTTGAAATCGAGTGAATTCCAAATAAACCAAATTTGTATTTCAGTTCAATCTCAAACATGAAACAAATCGTTAAGAAATTCGACAACGAAGTTCAAGAGATGGATAATTACGATTTTCTTCAATTCTCAATGCGGGCCGGCAATCTTTTCATGTACAGGTTATTCAATTTATTGAGCAAATTTTGTTTTGCTAACAAAATGAAAAAAAATTGTAGAACTATTGCCGATTATAACAACAATCGTCTTGCGGTCGTCGGAACACAATGGCGCGAAAATTATTTGGATGAATATTTTACGAATTTCACTTCAAAACACGACGATTGGAATATATGCAAGAAGGTTTTTTTTTGAAAAATATAAGGGAAAGTGGAATTGCTGATTTCAGCAAGAATGTTCACTTATCACCAGAAATGGACATGTCGTCGCGTCGTCGTCAACAAGAAGAGTCGCTCATCTGTCGAAATTCGATCCGCAATTGTTCGAGTCTCTCGTTAAAGGGAATCTCGTTGCTGTGTAAGTATTCCAATCAGTTCTCGTCCTTCAAAAACTCATTCTGCAGCAATACGTGGGTGGATGTGCAAGCTGAATGTATGGCGAAGAGAACGGCACCTTGGAGCAGCCCAGCTCCAGGACCAAGCAATTTGCTCAGACATTCCGTTCAATTCTTGTTCGAAACGTTCAAGATGTCATTTTGGTATGTTGCATCATTCTTTGTAATCCGGACCGTCGAAATTTCAGGAAAAATCTGTTCGAGAGCCTTGCACTTTTCGTTGACGCACAACCATCGATGACTGGAAAAACTTGCACGTTCCAACGGATCAAGCCATTCGAGCGATGCTCTGTCAAACATTTCCATTATCGAATGACGCTGAACATCACCAAACAACTTCAGCTCGTCGGAATGTCGACGTGTTCTAGGTGCGTCATTGCCGAGAACCCTTGGCGAACACTTCATGAAATATGAATTGATTGATTCTAGGTATGCAATGTTGTATCCGGTGCCAAACACGGCACTCTCGCTCATTATTGCGGATCGTGCGTGCTCAATGTACAAACCGAAAAAGAGATATGAGTCGGATCAAAAGAAATGTTTGTTTTTTTTTCTGGTCAAAAATTAAGAGAATACATATTGGATGAATGTATATCAAAGTCCATTTCGAATTTGAAAGCGATATCATTTTACTATACGTTTGTATATGGTATAATTATCAACTAATTGCATTGTTTGCAAATCAGTCTGTTTCGTTGATTCTAATCAAAAATCATTCAGTGGAGAAATGTGACGTAATTCACTCGAACCCGCGCCGCCCACCTCCAATTTTGGATGATTGGAAAATCCATCGACAGGTTTCTTTTTTTATTGCCATTATAATGATATGAAACAGACATTTTTCATATAAACATATTGATTGATTTCAGGAAAGCTACGTGGATTGCGAGACGGAAATCTCATTGTCGAAACGATCAACTTTCTACATTACAATCTCGATTTATCTACTACTTTTATGCATAATTTATTAGGTTGTTTAGTGTTTTTCGTTTCAATTTTTGTGGCTCATTCACTCAAACGTTGTTGTTCTTGTATGTCTTATGGATGTTCTCAAAACGGGTTTCCCTTCATATTTTCAAAAATAAATCGTTGGGTTTCTAGCACTATCGAGAAACGAAAAAACTTATTCTGAAGAGTTCCGTGTGGGCGAAATCTGGTTCACGTGGACGCAGACGGTCCCACACACAATGTTGTGATTTTTTATGCAGAAGGTACTTGAAAGTGGGTTTTACCATTGTGAATGGATATATAAGAAGATAGAAGTCCAACTTCGCATTTTGCTTATTTGTTTTTTTTCTGCCTTCCGGAGCTAATGGTCCTTTAACCAAAGAATCCGAGACAATTGTGATATTATTATGATTGCTCGTTGGTTTCTGTTTTAGACTCAATCTTCCCATTTTTTACGAACCCGTTTCTTCAATATATCAATCTTCTCGCAAAATTGCATTGTTTTTATTAGTGGTCAAAGCAAAACCACCAGTGAAGAACACCATTCTTGTTCATCGAATCCATTCTTGAGACTCGTTTTCTCTCTATTTCTCACCCATTTGATTTTTTACATCAGACGTCGGTATTTGCAACCGAGAAAAACACACACACACCAACAGAATGGTCTTTCCGTATTGGGCGGGACATTATTGGTCTTCGTTGATTCGAATCGGATTACTGTGGGCGATGAAGAGCGACCATCGGCACGGGACCCAATGCGTCATGCAAATATGATTATCTGAAAAAATGTGGGCGAACTCAGATGCTTCAAACAGATCCCGAAATATGCTTTTCATCGGAATTCCGAATGGCACTGTTCTACTTCCCTTCGTGATGTCGAGATTCCGATTATAATGGAATATATTCTTGAATATCCATTGGATATTAGTTTGAGAGAGTTCAATAAGCCATTTCTTCGATCTCCTTCGACGCCAATGACGTGATGTCTTTCTACGTTACCCCCAATGTGCAATTCTGTGCAAATCCGTGCTTCTCCGCTCAGAATAATCTATTTCGTTCCATTCAGTGTGTATTATTCCAGAATCCGTCCACCTCTTCTCTTCATCTTTTTTGCGCCGACAATTTTAATCAACTACGTGGAAAATGCGGTGTGTGTCATCAGTCTTTTGTTCGCATTCATGCGTTTGTTGTGTGCGGTTCTTCGGTAGTCTCGAGCTCGTATAAATTCTCATTCGTTCGCTGCAAACACACACACACACACAGACAACCACTGGAACGCTCGCGATTACAGCTGAATTCGATTTGGTCGTTGTGTGATCATCATTTCCTGCGAATTCTTTCTCTTGTCATCACCCGCCCCCCCCCTTTAAGTTATAATAGTTATTTTTCTGCAGTCATTTCATTTTTATCATGGCAGGTTGTAGTTTGATACCGAATTCCGTCGGTGTGCATATAAATATAACGGCGAAGAATCATAGGACGACGCCAGTTTGTTGAGTAGTGCCTCCGCATTCACACTTTTGAGGCACCTGCCCACCCAACACGTTATCCATTTACAATATAAATATTCGGCGAATCGAAAACACAAATGATTTGTTGCAGAAGCAACATGCGAGCACTCATCTTGGCTCTCTTCGTGCTCTTTGTTCTAAGCGAAGCGTTCCCATCCAACCAATACCAAACAAGATTCCGCAAGAGTCAAGCTCGTAAGTTTTTTCTCATTCTTTTCATTAAACGCGATAAATTGAAATTTTGAAGCTTCAGATGATTCGAACATCCAACCGTTCATCAGATTCCGAAAATCTGTTCCACCCCAAGTTTGGATGTACCACGAACCGATGGATCAAATATTTGAGTAGCACGATGGTCCATAGTTCTCTCGTCTAATGTTCTATTTTCTATTTAATTATGATGTTAATCACATATTTTAATGTTTGAATTCCAAACTCGAAATGGGGGAATCGTACGCATCTTGCTTGCAGCAATATTTTATTGTTCGATGTGACCACCAGAACGATCAATAAATCAATGAGATATGTTAATCCGGAGATATGAAATCTTAGCTTTCTCTCAAATTATTTACGGTAAGTCATTCAAGCATAACGGTTCGAAAATTGAACGAGAAAGAACGAATAAGAACAAAATTTTAGTTTTTTTTAATTGTAGTGGAAAAAAACAATGTACTGAGAAAAAAAAATGGTTGATAGAAGAAAATTGATTTTTCAACTTTTAAAATCGATTTTCAACATGTCGAATTTTATTGCGTTGCAATTTTTGGTTTTGGAGAACACGGGTAATTCACGTTCTTAAGTACGCCATTTGTTATCTGAGTAGAACGAAATAGGATTGCTAATTATTGCAAAAGTTCAACAAAACTGTGTGTTGAACAACACTGAAAATAATGTAGAAAATGAATACATTTTCATAGAGATTCAATAGTCTCTGTTTGTTTTAATTGAGATGGATTCTCTCTAATGAATACTTCATAAATTAACAACTCACTGAACAGCTGTGATCGATGTGATTGATGGACCACCTCTCGAGATTAATGATAACAATAAATTTGCCCCCCAACATTCTTGGCATGCGAAAAAGAACAATAATACGATTCACGAAAATTATTAAATTAATATGGTGGCAAACTTGCGATAAGATCAATTTTTTGAGAAATTTGAATGAAAATAACCAAAAAATTGGAGAAACAATTGGAGAGTAAGCCTTGATCACGAAAACGTGTCGCTAACATAAATGGTCCCAAAGAACAGGCACGTGAACAGGACCATCTACGGCAATTGATTGAGTGATCAAATTTCAGGCCAATTCTTCTAATTTTGAAATCGTTTTCCAGTGTTCAAACAATGGTTGGCAAATCTAAGAATCGAATAAAAAAGGAAGTAATTATTTCAAATTGCAGCCGACCTCACTCTTTTCCTTCAACTTTTATCCATTCCCAATGTTTTTTTTTTCCAATATTGAATAAGTTGAGGAGAACATTGTTTGCGCAGATCGCGGAAATATAAATTAAACACATTCAAGTAGACCGAGCTGTTTTGTGTTCATTTCATTTCATATTGTATACTTCGATTCTCATCCAACTCTTGAGCAATACATTGGGATTTGTACACGCTGACCCGATTCATTCTCCATTTATTCTCAATTCTGTTTTCCGCTATTTTTATCGTGTTCTGAACATCGACAATTCTCAAGTGAATATGCGACTTTTCAATTCCCAAATAAAATTTCGGGGGGTTCGAAGCAAAAATTTGTCGCCGTCGAAATGTTCACCCATAACTCATCTTTTTTTATGGTAGAAAAATCCCGTATATGGATAACATTTTGGAATTAGTTTTATTTATTGCTCGTTTACTTTTTTGTCGAAACCAATGCTCTACTATGCTGAATTTTGAAATCTGGTCTGACAAGATATTCTTCTTAATTCATTGAAGAATGAATAGTTATTTTTGGTCTTTAACAGCAAAAAAAAAATAAACGGCATATCAGTTGAAATTTCTATTTTAAAAAAAGGTCTTGATTGGAATTTTGTTTTTTCATTATATATAAGGTTGTGACAAGTTTAATGGCCAGTAAAGGGGCAGCCATAAATTGCAATGTGCATGCATGTTTTTAATCGTCGACAACCCAATCCACTTTCCATCATAGTCGTTCTAAATTATATGCTTCGTCTAGCGGCAAACAATTTCTATATATCCATATATGGCTCGAAAAAGAAGCAGAAGATGAAATTGAGTTTGGCACAGTATCCAACACACAACTTGGAGGGTTTGATGAGAGCAGTTAGTATGTTCGTATGTCTTATTTCTTTCCATGTTTTGGGAGCCAGCGGTCCTCGTCCCGATATCCGTCTCGTTTTCATCTTTTTGCGTCGTCTTTGAAGACGAAGAAGAAGAAAAAGAAAAAATTGATATTGCTCGTCGGCTTCCGCTTTTTCTTGCTTTGTTTCATGCCGACAATATAATTTTATTGTTTGTCGACCAATTTCTTCTCAAAACATTTGTGCAACATTGACTTTTTTGTTGGAAAACAATGAAAACGAAATCTAGAGATCAAAGAGGAGTTTTTTTTTCAGAGATTATGAGTCTTATGAGAAGAAAAAATGATTGTTTTTTTTTAACTTCGACACATTTTTGGATATTATCTTTCATTCGACTTGATTCGTAAAATGATATCTGATTTTCATTAACATGATGAAGTTTCTTCTGGGGAACCATCTTCGTTAGATTCAATTAAAAAATGTTCTCACCCGATATTGCCATTATCCGGAAATATCCTTTGTTCGGCTCCGTTAATGATTGTTTTCCGGTTTTCGACGATTTCTTTTTCTCGTTACGGAAAAGAGTAGAAATTCAAACCAAAAAAAGGGTTCAATTTCATGTGGCGAACAGAAAATCACTCGGATTTCACACCGCCATTCAAAGTGAACTCACGCGTTGATTTCGTTTTTGTCTCCGATTTCGGAATTGAGCAGCACACTCCTTTCGCCTACCAAAAATAAGTCCGCTTTAGCAAAATTGGCATTTAACAAATCAATTGTCACATGCGATTTTATTGACATGAAATTCGAAAAGAAGTGATTGATAACTTCAGCCGATTCACTTGTTTCATGTTCTCCTATCTAGGCTATGTTCTTCTCGTTCTCATCCTCCTTCTTCTTCTTCTTCTTACTCGTCTTCTTAACAACTCCTTATCAGTTACATTTAGAAATTCTAATACATAAAAAATCAGAACCTCAATCTTTCAAATATGTCCCATTTTTAAACTTTCCAAGTCCGTGACATGAATAATTTTTAATGTGAATTCTGCACGAAACCAGCATCTATCAGATATGAAATTTTTTGTCTAGAAGTTGTCGTGTTAAAAAGAAAATTCAACCAAGTAAAATTTTAGGTAATTTGGCAAAAATTTAAAAAAAGGATGTCAAAAGGTTCAATCTGTAGAAGTATCTATTTTTCTTCCACTTTTTAACAATTTTTTGCCCCTTTCCCAGTTTCAGTCGTTTTTGTACGCATGATAAAATGAAAAATAATATTTTCGTTTTTTTAGGTACCTTGGTCGGTAACAAATTTCAAATTACGAGGTACGAGCGTATTACTTAGGCGACCTACATATTAAATAGCAACTCGTACATTAAAAACATTTTCAAATTCAATCGTCCGCAACAATATTCTTCACAATTTTTTTTTGTTTCCATCAAAAAAGTTAATTATTGTAATTTTTCATACATAACGTTTTTTTTTTAAATCGGCAAAATATTCTAACGTAAGAAAAAATCAGATAATAAATAAAAAATTTCGAAATAATGGCGTACGTGAAATATACCATGGCCGAATAATTTACGGACGCGGGGGTGACGGCCGTCCGAATAGAAGCCTTAATATATTAATTAATTTCTAAGAAAAAAAATTCGTGCATTGGAAATCTTAAATTTCTATTATCCCGTGGCAGCGATCTAATGATGCATTTTACAAATTTTAAGTCAACCTCTAACTAGCATATGTCAAAAATTTCATTTTTGGGAGAAGAGATATATAATAGAAACTAAAGTTCGATTCCAAAATTCTGCGAAATGTCTTTGGACCGATATCAAAAGTTATTATTGAAAATTGCAATTCAATCTTAAAACGACTGTACGTGAAATTTTGAGATGGTTTCAAAATTTTGAAAAATTATTAATGTGTCGCATGCGAAGACGTTTTAAACGTTTCTCATTTTCAATTAAAATATATCAACTTGAGATATTAATTCAAACATAATTAACATTCAATTTCACTTTTCTGATTCATTTCAATTGTTCATCATTATTTTTTGAATCGTCATTGAAATATTCAACTGAAAAAGCCCATTGAATAAAAAAGTTTTTGAATGGAAAATAATTAATTTTGCGCATAAAATAGAGACATATTTTACAGTGATATTTTCAACAAAAAATAAATAGAATAGTTTGAATAATTTATATTTATTATTTGTTGATTGGTTCGCTTAAAAATGAAATTGTATTCTCGAATAATCACTGCAAAATCTTGTTGTTTATGCGCATTTATTCATCATCACCAATTTATTTTGATTTGGGTGTGAAATCCCCGTTCGGCAGCGGTGGCGACGTCGGCGACCGCCTGCATGTTCTGTATGTACGTGTCAAAAACAAATGAATAATGAATGAGATCGGTTCAGCATTTTCTTTGCCGTTTTTGCCGACATCAATCCGTTTTTCTCTTTTGTTTTTTTTTGCTTAACAATGAACCTAATAATCTGCCTTCCACTAGTGCAATATGTGTCAGCGACATGCATATTAGCAATTCGAAGAGACTATTCGGTTCATGTCTGCTCATTATCCGCTTCTTTGCTCCGTCTTGTCTTATTTCTCTCTTCATTTTGCCACCGCTTCTCAATTTAATCTATTTTCAGATTTTTGGGCTCCAAAAAGGGAGTTTTCGTACGTTATGACAAGTTAGTTTTGAATTTTTTTCGCTTAAAACATGGTCTTAAAATTGTCAAAGGACGGACGAGTTGAAAAAACGTTTTGACGGTCATTTCCCCAGAAGAATAATGCTTTGAAAACTCTTAACTTGATAAAAAAAATTAATCCGAATTGGATTGATTTTCACTTAATTTATTAATGACCAAAGTTCTCATTTAATCCTTCGAACTTATGAATTTTTGAAGAATTCATAAAATAATCATCATATATGTGTATGAATATTGTCGATGTCTCGCGACGGCGGCCTGATGGAATTGCGTCCCGCAACATGAGTGTCGATTTACGCAACTTATGAAGTGGGGCATGCAACTCATCTTCTCGAGAACATTTCTGACATTTCGCCAATTTGAGCATCAAAAACGAGCGCCTATTCTCGATTTTTTAGAATGGAAATATAAGAATTCACGCAATGAAAAGAGTTGCAGACTGCGCTCCTCATTGGACGGGAGCTGCTTGCGATTGGCCGATCTGCGTTCACGGACGGGCAGATCCGTCAACAAAGTTATGCAGCTGCTACAATTACTACGCTCCGCCATTTTGTATTTCGTGTATGCCAGGTACTTGTCAAAGTCACACCATCAACAAGAATGCAATTATTAATCATAGGATATTGGGGAGAATCATGCGATCGGCAACCATTGAAAAGTGTGAAATCGGCTAGCGAATTCCCGATCGCCATTCCACCAGCTCTCGTCAAACCATTATTCATCAGTATCATTCTTCTCATATTATTCCTTATTTGTTTCTGTATATACCGGTATGCCTTATTTAATAGAAAAAATGATAGGTAGAATTGTTGATTTAGGCTTCGTCAATATGTTCTCGGACGTCGTCCACCGAAATACGAAGACATTGCGAAAGATCTTCCACCGCCATATACCAACTAGCTGCCAAATATATTCAAATCACATTATACAATCCACTTGACATTTACAGTTTCACTTTTAATATACGAGTTTATAAGTGTATAGTTAATAAATTAATATATATATATATATAAATTAGTTATTGCGTAATCACTCCTGAATAACCCGTTCTTCGCCAGTTCGTCCGTTCGTTACAGTAATTTTGGGAAGTGGGAAAATGTCTCTAACAGGCGGCGCAGGAGGAGTTTCCTGAACGAAAAAAAGTTTTTAAATGAGGCAATATAAGATTTGAATTGTTTTTTTTTTGTTGCGGAACTCGAGCGTTTGGAGCTGCGCGTTATGTAAACATAAAATTCTATTTGTGTGGATAATGCGGCGAAAAAAATGCAAAGCAATGAATTGGATGCAATACGATATACTAAAATTTGGTTTTAGACATCAAAATGAAATTTTATAAAAATATTTTCGTCGACAAAGATATTCAGATGTTGCTATAGATTGATGACGTTGTGCGCCTGCAGAAAATTGGCAAAATGCCATGAAAATTTTGGAAGAGGTCTCGGTGCGCCAATTAACTTATTTTTTATACTTAGGCCTACTTTTCAAAGGGCCTAAGTATAAAACTTTTTTTTCAAATTTTTTTTTAATCTACACTTCAGATATTCGGCATCATTATTTTTTTGGTATTTTAGATAATTTTTCAATAATTCCGGAGTAAAAATGTTCTCATTTTAGTCTGGAAACAAAAAAATCAATCAGAATCGGATCTGAAATCGATCTGATCCGATCCGATGTTTTGCGAATCAGATTGTGAAATAACTATCGTATCCGATTGACAACCTTTCTTGTAAAATATTTAATATTCGAACTCGATTTTAATGTGTTTTTTTTTGTAAAATAAATTATTAGAGACTGCGCAAAATCTGCTGAAAATCTATTTTGTTTATATATTACTTTTTTTGAAAAAATATCGACTTGTTTAACAACCAATATTTCAAAAATTGTACCAAAAACCCAACAAACCTCTTGTCTCCTTTTGGTGAAATAACATTCTCTAAAACATGCGGCAACAAATAGGCCCATAACAAAAAAGAGAATAAATATCGGGACTAGTTGGTCCCAGGTGACGTCGATAAACTCATTTCGGAACGAGACCATTATATTCAGCGCATTTCAAGAAATGTAGATCAAAAAAATAAACGAGGCGATGAGTTTCTTCGGGACGGGAAAAACGGAAAGACGGACGGGTCGGCCGGCGCAAGACGAAAAAATGGCGAAGCAAATAAACAGGAGAGAAATCGCGAACGATCGTGATCGCCAATCGACTTTCTTTGTATGAATCAACGCGACATTGTCGTTTCGCCAAAAAAGGATTTGTTTGAGAAAGCTCTTCAAAATGCCCCCCTCGTCATTCTGAAGCGCACGTTTCTTTTCAGATTCCATTCATTCTTTGAAGACATTGAAATGAGTAATGAGCAAATAAAGTAATACCACTCATAAGTTTGTTATATCATTTTTTTTTCAAAAATAATTCGTGCAAAAATGATTGTATAACTAGAGAAAGGAAAAGCACTTTTGAGTTCGGGTATATACTATATGGAGGGAAGCTGAATGGGGGAACGTCTATTTTTTATTCTTGAAGGGGCTGGGAAATCGTGATGAATATTTGAAAAACGTAAAAAATTTAATCGGCGCGAGAATTGAACTACAAAAAACATATGCCGGGTGCGCTTATAAATTCAGAATTATAGGCGTAGAATCCAAAATGAAGCAGAAACCATTGTAATTATTTTCTTGATGTGTTTTTCAAAGGTGAAGAAACCTTTGAAATTTTTAATTGGTTTCGTTTTTCACACAGCTCGTTAGGCTAACATTGATTTACCTTAGCCTATGACTTGTTAACCTAAACCACTCATATGGATCAATGTTTGATACAACCTTACCCCCATTCAGAAATATCATTTTTCAACCTTACCCCACCCCCCCCCATTCAGCCTTTCTCTCCATTCAATATTGGCCTTGAGTTCAGTCAGAAGTCAAAAAAAAATTTTGCATCGTGCAAGCCTAGCCTAGGCTGAGCTTTTTTTCCGCAATCCATTCGGTGATTTTCCAATAGATATTGGAGGATTTCGATGCATTCTGTGGCAAACTTAACACCAAATTAAAAAAAAATCATTTATGCAATTCGAAATTGATATTTAATCATGGTCGATGTTCCCTCAGAAAAAAAAAACAAGTGAAAATGGAGTGTTTCAAAAAGTAACCGTAATGGAAACAATAAGAGAAGAAGGGAATTTTAATACGCGCATTGTTGAATTATTCCGTTTTCACAAATTCGTTGATTGATCCATGTTTTGGTTTTTCAAATATTCCAAATTCACATAATCCGGCTCTTCCGGATTTTTCATGGTTCCTGAGAAAAGCAAACTGTCTGATGTTCCATAATCATCGTTTAATCGATTCACCTAAATTCAATTGGAAAAGCTCAATTTTTGAAAAAAAAATAGTCGTTACGTATTCAGATTGAGACATCTGTTCTGGAGGTGCAACAGCTTCTTCCGACGTCAAATGGCCGCGACTTCGAAGCTCGGCGTCAATTGCATATCGATATTGAGCATATTTTTGCTGTGTTTGCCAAATGTATTGTTTTTCTTCCATTCCAAGAATCCGCAAAAAATTATCGAGCTCAGGAATTTCGAAGGCATCCCACTGAAAAGAACAACTTTCTCAATCCCTTTTTTTTTATTTTCTTTTCTGCTTTTGCTTCACACAATTTCGCAACAAACTTTTACTAATTCGTGTGCTCGCGCATCATTCTCGTCAATCAACTCACCAGAATGTCGCCAGTGTCGTTTTCCTGAAGCACAAGACATTTTCTTCCGTCGGGCTTCTCCCAATTGAGCACAACTTTGAGTGGGCACGCGTCGTCCGAGATGCGCGTTAGTTTCCCTTGAAAATCATTTATTAATGGCTAGCCAATAGGAAATTCTTTACTTTGCAAAGTGCAGGTCGAATCATCTTGGCTCTGCTCGCATTCATAAAGAGCAAATTTGCGCGGGTTATCGGCAACATGGAATTTCTTCAAAAGTGTCACAATCATTTTTCTGTAAATGTCACAAACTGATATTTTCGTCAAAAGAGACTGGAAAACCTGGCAGTTGTTTTGCTGTCAATATTTATAGTTTTTACAGTATTTCTTGGAAGAAAGAACGAGGTAATGGTTCGCAATGTCGATGACTTCGAAGTTGATTTGGCTGAAATTTTTCGAGATGTGATCTACGATTTTTCCCAGCTTTAAATTCACAAAAAAAGTTCACAATTTCTCGCTTAAAAAATCGAAAAATTGATATTGGATAACACGAAAATCACCTGTATTCACAACATCATACACCGTCGGAGGGGCGACACCTTGAATAACACTGATCGGCCTACTCAAATTCATATGAACTAGAATATGTCCACCATAATTAATACCATCATCGTGCTGAATTTGCGATAGATCACATTGAAACATGCTAAAATTACCATAGTGATTTCATTTCCCTTAAAAACTGCATTATATGCATCAATTTTTCGCTGCAAATCTTGTTCCCTATAATCTTCGGTCCATTCAAATGGAGTATCTTCTTTCACGTATCGTTCAATCACTTTTAATGTCTGAAAAAAATACCATTTCATTTACAATTTTAATATGTATAGGACGACTAACGGAATTTTGTGATTCTGGCGGTGCTGATGCCTTTCGCTTTGTGGGGCTGTCGATCGGTGAGAAAGATTTCGGAAGGGTGAACGAGTGCTTCGTTGAAAATATTGGATTCTCAACACTGGTTTCACATTTCGTCGGAGTGTTTCCGTTTTCTTTGTCAGACCCCGTGCTTGAGGTCATTGATGGCAAATTGAGATTCTTCGGAATAGTCCCTAATGTTCCGTCTAATTGTGGATAAATCGATTCATAGGCTTCTAGCGAATCCAATGAACTCCCAGGAGAACGACAATCGAGAGTGACAAGATGTTTGCATCGCACATGGCACGTGTAATTGCAATCTAAAAATGAGCATGAAAAATGCGAACCGCGACGAAAATCGAAACATACTTTCACATTTTAGAGCTTCTTTCAAAATTCCCCAAATGAAATCGCCGCACTTATCGCACCATGTCGGATGAACAAGACCGTATGTTCTAAAAATTATTTCCGATATTTATTCAACATAATTTCAACACTCACTTGAAATTGTGGTTTAAAGTTTTATTTGAATTTCCGGTTGTGATTAAATCTTTCAAAGGACCAAAGTGTTGCCGTTCAATTGTATCCGACGATATATGATTCGAATCCAAATCTGCTAGAAATGTGGCGCCGAAATCCCAACACTTAAACAAATCAACCATTAATTAATACATCTAATAAAAGTGTTACATCGACCGGATCCAGCTCGTCTGTCTGTGGACAATTTTCAAGTCGAACTGGTCGGAAAACTAACGTACTCTCATCATATTCCGCAATCTCCTCATTTTCTTGTTGGGAACTATTCGAAGCAGCCTGAAACGACAAACATCATCTTTTGTTTTTTATCGATTTTCTAAATGGCAGATAAAAAGCATTGTTAAAGCTGTTTTCCTTTGCAAATGTGAAGGTTTATTAGTTGAAAAATCTGTTGTAAAACAGCAAAGTTTTTCATGATTATTCCAATTCCCGTCAAAATGAAAAGAGATGAATCAATAAATATGAGCTCAGGTGCAAAAACTGGAAGAAGAATTTGTTCATTTTTAATCATTTTTGAATTCTTGCAATCAGCCCAAAAATGAATCGAAACTCGCTCACCATTTCTTGATCGGGTCCGCTTGTTTTGAGGCCCAATTGGCTCATCCAATCCGGAAACAAGCCCAACTGCGAAAGTTTTGATCGAAGACCGCCGAACCAGCTGACAAACAAATCAATAAATAAAGAAATACATGAGAAAAGTGCTTGGAAACGAGGTCTGTGAGCATGAACGAGAGAGAGAAAAAAGGCCGAATGAGAAATGGCAAAAAGGCGAGCAGATGGTCGAGAAGGCCAATTCGAAAACGACGCACAATTATCACCGAAACCGGGAAATAATGAGTTGAAAATTCAAGAGACTAGTTTGTCCTATGGAAATTCCATATTCTTCTTTAATTAACACCAATCACGAAAATTTCAGACTTGCCCTTTTTGTTGTTATCTTATATTATGTATATAGATGTATTAGTTATAAAAATGTACAGGCTTGTGACAAATGTGTAACAATGTTATAATTAACGATAACGAATGCGGTTGTGATGACGGAAAGAGAAGATAAAGGAAACGAGAAGAGATGAAATTGAAATATTGTGACAGATGATTGAAACTAATCGATTTTCTCATCGTTTTTCTCTCGACTAAACAATTTCGGTAAATGCCTGCCGGCCGACTGTTTACCTAGTCATGTTCAATTTAGGGCCACGCTTAAATATGCAAAAATTGAAAAGCCACACCCAATCACAAAATTTTTTTTGAATTTGAATCATCGTTAAAACAATACCAAAATTTTAAAAATAGAATCGAATTTGAAGACGAGTAAACTCATTTTTTGAAGGATTCACAAACTTTCTTTAATATTTAATAATTAGGTCTTTGCAATTGAAATGCACCATTTTAACCCGTAATTAAAAAAAAATAGCATAAACAGCTTGAACTCATAGAAAAAAGATAAAGCGAAATTCGCGTATTGACATATGAAAAAAGCTTCAATAAAAATGAAAAAAAAACGAAGGATATTGAAACAACGTTTAGAAAGAGAAATCGATAAGCTTTCGAATGATATACAAACTCGTGGTATTAAAGTAAAATTTTTTCTGAATGAAATGAGTGTAAAATACAAAATACAAAATGGTACTTGCAACAAATTAAGACTAAAGAAAAAAATACGAAAATAGAATCCAAACTAGAACTGAATTGAGTTGACAAAATATCAATGAACGGATTTTTAAATGACTCAATTTTTTTATAAATAGTATAGTATTAAATCACATCTGCTTTGAAAAACACAGACATTGGATTATCACACGTGTTGAAGCAATTCTCCAAATATTTGCCTTGATAGATATTTTAAAATGTTGCGATTTGAGATATGGTCTCAATAAAGAATCGGTCGAGTCTTATTTTTTGTTGTTTCTTTTGTTCCTTTCATTTTCATTCAAAAATCGATAAAATGAAGAAGATAAAAGTTTGAAAAGACGCCGAAACGGCCAGAAAAAAATGATGAGAGATGATGGGATGAGAAGAGAATTATGATTATAAAAGTGGCGATCAAACGGATTTGTGCGAAATAAAAAAAACGTCACGTTGTGAGGAAAAGCTTGCTTACCCGTTCGAGATAAACGGAGATTGTGGCAGGTTTTGAGGTGCCACTGAAGTTGAAGGTTGAAATGCGTAAGATTGATACGTCGGGTCATCTGTGGCGACGCGAACGCTACCCGTCGTTTCTGAAGAAAAAACGACGAATTTTGTTGACAGCTTTGAACTTTTTGCAAAATCTCAGTTGGCACGCAAAATCTCAACACAAAAATAATTATTGGCAATTTCGGTTGTCAGTTTTTGGCTGTTCGCTTTTAATTCCCCACCCAATGCCATTAAAACATTTCTATCCATCGAATTAATAATTAATTTTCACACTCGTTATTCAATTTTGTTTTCATTGAAAATTCGTATAGAAATGGTCAGAGGCTACTTTGTATTTATTGGTATGAAAAACTTTCACGCGCTGCTTATTATAGTCATTCTAACGGCATCGTGCTTGTCGAAGTGCGAAGAAGTATGTACTCTAGTTTTTACTACACAATAATAAAAAAATAATAATTCTCGAAATAACAAACTTGTTTCTACAAACTCGTCGAATTTTTAAGATATATGAAAAAATGTTTGTGACTTTTGAGCTTTGAAAATACAATTCTCATTGAAAAAGTTGAGAAGATAAAAATAAAGTATGACCGACGAATAGTCTCTCAAAAGCCAAAAATTATTTTTTGAGTTGGATGATAATGGAGAATCAAAGAGTTTGGACGACGACCCAAATTTATTTAAAATTTGAAATTGCACAAAAATCAAAATAGAAAATAAAAGCAAATTAGTAATGCGAGAACGTATTTGGAAATGCATACCTCGACTCCGTTCGTTGTTATTTATTACTGAACGTAGCATAGGGATAAACACCTGAAACAAAAATATTTCATATGTCGAAAATTTGTTAATAAGATTCTCGTATGCACTAATTGAACCAAATTGAATAGTAAAAGTGAGACTGGTATCGCCTATAAAAAGGCAGACGGAGGTCAGGGTGAAGAAGGAACCGAACAGCGAAATACTATATGGTTCGACGAGTGTGGGGACATAGTCAGAGGGAAAGAGGAGAACCGAATGCAGAGCACATTGCGCACGACGATGAGAATTGCGCACGACCATGCGTGAACAATCCCGGTTTCCATATTTGTACATTTACATCATACGAATCAGCATTTTCAAATAAAAACAACACTTCTTCAAAGAACATAAAAACTGCCTCATAGGGAGTTTTTATTGAGTGAATCCCATTTTATTTATTTTTTGTTTGAAAGAACAAGTTCTATCATTTTAGCAAGAATAAATGAGTAGATGCGTACCAAATACTATCTGATAAAATTTTTTCATAGAGCTTCAATTGCTTTTAAAGATTTTTTGAGACTTAAAAACCATTTATCCAATTATTCACCACGAATTTCAATGCTTCCATTCTGAAAACGATAGTTGTTAATTTTGCGGAAAAAATTTACCTACATTTCATAGAAGTTGTGAGAAAATCGTTCAATAAGACATCCAATTCCCAATAAAAACCGTATATTTTGAATCCTTGTTCATTTTTTAATATGACAATTTTGGCGAAAAAAAAAACAATGAGGAGTATCGAAATAAATCTTCTTGAGGAGTAGCGAAATAAAAGATAAAAGAGATTATCTCTTTTCACTCAAGAGAAATTTGATATATTTTTCGGCGATAAATAAATAATTTTTTTGCAATGAGCATAAATCTTTCTAACTATCAGTCTTTACAAAAAAAATTAAACAAAAAAAAACTAAGACGACAGTGATTTTTTTATTCAACAATTTTTGCGCAAAACAATATCGGAAACAACAAATTTTTCAATAAATACCGGTATTTTAACAAGAACAAACAACGGGGATTTGAAATAAAAACCGTTAAACATTTCGATAATTAATATGATGATCTACTTGCGGAGAAGAATATAAAATAAAACGATTTGAAGCATCAGTACGATGAGAACGAGAGAGAACAGGATAGCGATCACACGCCATTGCCAAACGCCTCCGATTTGAGAATTACGGTCCTGTTGACTGATCGAGGTGAACACCGAACCACTTTTTGTGCTAAAATTAGAATAATTAATTAACTAAACTTTGTTACCAATTAATCAAAACAATTGTTAGGTTCTTATTAACATGAATACTAATAGATTTTCTTGTATTACTGTCAAGGATAAACGAATATACAAAGTTTTTGCTCATGATTAAAAATTTTACGACTAATCTTGCGAGAATTTTCGATATCACCTAGTATGAAATTCATCAATGTCTACAGTAGACATTAAAGGCACAAGAAAATGTTCAATTCGCATTAAAATCTTCAATAACCAACTTACTTGGTATCATGGTCATGGAAGGAAGTTGCCGCAATGGTACGTGGAGCAAATATCGACTTCGTCGCTGCCTATAATCGCATTATCCAATGTTTGACTGTGTTATATTTAGGAAAAACCTGTGATGGTGCAAGAACAGATCTTGCTGGTGAGTTGAGAGGACGAGCTGTTCTTACAGAATAAACAGAAGATGGACGGTTGAGTTGGTGGCTAGAACTCAGCGACATCGAGGCGACTGATGGCGCAAGCTCGCGAGCAGGAGTCGATTCACGCAATTCTCCCCTCAATCCAGAAGTCTGCGACAACAAGCTCGGCTTGAAGAGCGTTCGAGTGGTTCGTATGGATTGAGCCATTGATTCGCTATCATCCCAATCCATTGTCTAAAAATATGGAAAATATACTAAAAAAAAATGCGAATTATGATATGCCACCTCATTCTCCTTGTTGAACACACTAACTTCTGGATCAGGGCTCATAGCTCTTTCTCTCCAATGCAATTTGGTCGGCTCATTTGTTAGATCTCTTAAATGACTAGCAAACGGTTCACGTAAATTTGTCTTCATTGAAGGCGACACGGATAGCGGTGACGACTTTTGTAAGAATTGAGTCGGCGAATGATGTTCCAAAAGCGATGCATTCCGACTTGTCTGCGAGGAGCATTGCGAAATTGGAGTTGAAGCAACAGAGAACGCGCTAAATTTTGGTTATTTTTAATGTTTTAAATAGATAATGCATAATGAAAACAAACCTCGAGATAATCTTATTTGGTTTCTTTTTATGAAGTTTCTTGCGGGGAAGTAAATATGAAGCCGCGGCAAGAATACTAAGAAAAGACGAGCAAGCACAACGACAAAGAGCGAGGTCATCGGAAAACCCCTGTAAAGACAATTTACAAGTACATAATGAAGTACTTAAACTAAAAAATCACTCACTTCGGATGAAATGAAATACGTGAACGACGAGAACAGAAGAATTAGGGGAATGAGAAGATCTGGAAGTGTAGTACGACATCTGAATATAATTATTACAAAGAATTCAATCGAACAATTTGACAAACTTGTTGATATAACATGCGTAGAGATGAGCAATCAAAATCAAAAAGTGGATTTCAGCAGAGAATTCGTAAATTTTTTGAAGAATTCTATTAGCGGTCGGTGGCATATTCACAAGGTTCACTCCAGCATCCTATAAACATTTCTTTATTTAGAAAATGGAACCGCAAACCTTCTGAAGAAAATCAACATTCGCAATAAAATATGAGATTGCGCAGGAAAGCACAAGAAATCGAAGACTTTCGCAAATTCTGCCCCCAGCAAAGAAAAACCGACGAGACCTCTTAATTCGGCGAAATTTTTCATGAAAGGCATTTAATAATCTTACTTTTGAATTTGGATTCATTAAACCATTTATTGTCGATCCGATAGCACGTTTCAATTTGTAACGAACATCCAGTAAATACGAGTATTTTTTCTGTAACAGATAATTTAAAATTATATATAATGATTCTATGCAATGATACTTTATCTTCTTCAATTTTCCCATGAACTGCTAGTGTACATCTCGGACAAAGCTGATAGATTCGGTCTAATTTATAACGAAATTCTTCAAGCTCCTCATTCCATCGTTCCTGACATGATTTCATTATTTCCAGCAGTCTAAATCATTGGCTACCTCATTAATTGGTTCGAAATCTGCAATTTTCTTCATGATCAATTCTTGATTTCGATTACAGTCGCCGCATAATCCGTTTTCATTTTCTGAAAGTCTTATTTTCAAAAAAGAAAAACATATTTGAATGTACTCGTACTTGGACTCATTCGTAATCCGTTCAAGCGTTCGGGAATCAAATCTCGTTTCTTTGTGGCATTGACTGACTGGCAAAAACTGAATGAAATACGCAAAAATCAAATAACAAAATAAATTCTCCAATTTACCGTTTCGGAGTTGCCATTGAATGACTTTGCTCGGGAATTCGTCGATTATAATCACCATCCTTGGTGAATCCATTGTATTGTTCACAATGTGGACACACGAAACTATTTCTAAAACGAATCAGAGATTGATTGACTACAATTTCAAAACCTACACATTGACCGCATCAACCTTTGTGTCTTTATTGCAAAACCAGCAATTGACTGTCTTTTTCCTAGGTCTAAAACGCAATTATTCAAGTACAGAAAAAAAATCATGGGAATTAGATTTTTCCATTTAATAATAAAAAGCATACCGAGCAAGTTTATATATAATTGGAGCACTGATAATACATGCGCCAATCGTCGCCGCCACTTCCATCTGAATCTAGCTAAAACTACCAAAAAAGAAAAAAATTTTCAGTATCAAATCACTTTGAAAAACACAATCAGTTTTCTTATATAAAACCACAATTTTAACGAATTTTTATAAAAGCAAAATATACCAATGCCAACATATATACCAACATATATACAGAGAAAGAGAAAGAGGCAAAAAATGAATAAATCTTGATAACGGGATGGAAAAAGGAAAACGGGGAAACTGAATAAACAACTAGAAGGAACTCACGACAAAAAATATCATCCAAAAAGAATAATCATAAGGATTGGAAAAAAAAGTTAAACATGAAGAAACATTTAAATTAGGATTGCTCAAGGAGCTCAAAATGCCGTTTAGCGGACCGGATATTAAGAAGAGTCGTAGCGGCTGATGCGCTTCCATCTGGTATCACAACCTGAAAAAAATTGCTCCATACAATAGAATTTCAAGAATAATCAAAGACTGACCATAACGAAAGTGTTGTTAGTGAACGAGTCGATAAATGCAGAAAAATTGTTATTTTTGACATGAATTGATTCGAGTCTTGAACCCATTCGGCTGAAAATGATAATTTCAAGAATTGTAATTATTGCTCTTATTGTAAAACCTGCATGAAAGTTTGAACTGTTTTATTATGTTCGAGACTTTTTCGAAGCGATGAACATCCTTATGCTCTTTTATCGCAGCGTGTGCAATAACCAAAAATGTGGCACGTTCAAAAAGAATCACCTACAAATTTCAGTGATTAATCATTTTATCAATATTTAATTTGAGCACTTCATCGGCATCTAAAATCTGCCCAAATCTTTTCAATTTTTCCTCCATTTGATGTACATTCGGAACCAATTTGTACACGATTGCAGACCATGCCTCAAATTGATAAATATGAAAATGTTCACGCCAATATATGTCAATACCTTATAAAGGGTTTCATCCCAGATGCTGCTCTTGAAGCATTGACAAACAGCATTACCGCGCTCTAATTGATGCGGCTTCGCTGCCAATTCGCTATAGCGAAGCACATCAGCTTCGCGTTTTTTGAAAATCTATAATTAATTTCATTATACAATGCGCAACATTTTTTGAAAACTTCATCTCTTTTCTCTTCTTCGATCAAATCCATTTTATGAATCAAACAAAATACTTGAGCTTTTGGGGAATTCTGAAGAAGCGCTTCAAGGCACGATTGATAATATCTCAAATCCTTCTCGAATTCTCTACTATCAACATCGAACACATATATAAGAACCTAAAATATAGAATTAGCAACCACTTTATTAGACATTTGTGCAACCTGAACATTTTTAAAAATCTGATCTTTTTGGGAGACCAAGAAATTTTCCATAAACGATTCCTGACCACCACAATCCCACAAATGAAGTACCAAATTACCAAGGAATCTAAACAATTATAGTCCTTCATTTTTTGAATCACTGATAGTACTCTTATCAACCGAACATTTAAGACGAGATAATTTTTTAACACTATCAAATTGTTTAAAGTATCGTATTGTTGGTGTCAAAACGAAATTTTAAAAATGTTTAGTATTTAGCTTTATAGCTTTATGGATCTTCACTGAATTAACGAAATTGTATTTTCACAGATCAGTCATTTGACGCTTAAAATTACCTAACATGGGCGTGTTCAACTTCAATTGTTGGCCCAAGTCTCGAACAATCTCTTGCGATATAATTCGCGAAAATGATCGATCTCATCGACGTTTTTCCGGACCCACTTTTTCCCATCAACAACACTTTTCGCTTCGCAGACATCTCTCTAAAAATCCAATTCCAATTAAATAACAAATAAAAAAAATCAATATTCAGAAGTATGGAACATGCCAAACAACATGTCTAAAAAACGAATAAACGCGAGCAATAAATAAAATTATAATAATGAATCGTCGATGTCATTTCAATTGAATAATATTCAAATAAATAATGGGAGCGAGGAAACAGAAATGAATTAACATTGAAGTAAATATTATGAACGATAAGAAAACAGTGAAAAATTCAAGGAAAACAACTATTCAAGTGATTATGTGCCACCAAAAAAAAAAAGAGAAAAAGTAGGAAACACACACACATACAAATTTCAAAGGAATATTAAATATTATCATTACTTTGAATTCAAATTATGAATATTTCGAGCTTAGAAATCAAATCGAAATCTAGTAATAATTAAACATGAACTTGAGTTGAATCGTAATTGATCGACATTGATTCGTACAATTCTTATCAATTTTTGATAGTGAACGAATTTCGATAAATTACCTACGAAACCAATCGAGAACTGAATTATGGAATTTGATGAGGAGTTTCTTTTAAGTGACCATCAGCAAACAAAATTATCACACGGAATTCAAAAAATAAGAGGAAATTATGAATGAAAAGTGAATCTCTTCGAGAAGAACCAAATTCGAACTCATGAACAAAAGAAAATAATTGGATTGCATACTCTATAGATTTGAGTGGCCGGAAAAAAAAACTCGCAATTAAGTCACCGATAAAATTAAATAAAATGAATACAAGTATGCACGTGGTACCAAAAAATTAAATATTAATCGTAATCGTATTTGGCAAACCCCCGTAGAAGTGGCGAATCGACCCAGACAACTAAGCATCGCTCGTGTCCTCGAGATTGTGCGAGATTCCAGAGACAAATCCTACGGTTAATGGATCAGATGGTTTGAAATCGTGCGAATTGCTTAGTGGCCAGTCCGAGCTCTCCTGGAAATGATAAAAAGTGTGGGCTGCTTAATAACTTAAATAATGTTGGATTTCTGATTAAAAAAAATAAAATTGAGCTTACCCCTTTTTCTGGTTGATCAGCACCAGGCCATTGTACATTAACTACTGTGGCTCCTGTTGAAGACGCTGGAAGTGTTGAGAAATCGGCCCAAGAATCATTTGAATTGGAGCTTCTCCCAACATCTTCTTTTAACTTATTCGGCCATAAAAATTCCCCGGTTTTCTCTTAAATCCACATTTGCTTATTCATAAATATTGGCCAACTTCTTTACCAAATGCATTAGCGACTCCTTTGTTATTTTCTGTTGGGAGTCCAGGCCAACCACTGCACGAGTTGTTCGAATCTTGCGAAATGTTTGAGTTGTTCAATGAGCACGATGACGAGTTCGCACGTTGTGAGCACAGTTTTCGGAATTCATCTTCATCTGGGGTATCATCAAATGGCCCACTATCGATTTCATTAGGAAACCGATCCAAGCTGAAGTTGAATCTAAAAAAAAATTAAACACATTCAACTTATTATTTGAGTACTTGTCAGCGTCGGATGTAGAACTTGCTCCAAATGGTTTTTGCGGCGGGTTCAAGGCGAGAAATTGCGAAGCATCTTTCCATTCTTCGCTGTCATTAAGAAAATCTCTATCGTCCGAATCAAACCCTTCAAACATTTTCTATTAAAAAACATAACTGAAAAATATATTGTTGAAGTCGAGCTATTACGAAAAACTGGCTAAATGCCAAAAAGACAATGGTCTTGTTGTACGACTAAGTGCAGATTTACGGTACTAAGTATAAGAATAAGTTAAAGAAGCTCATCGCGCACAAAGACCTTCGCCTATTTTTTTTATTTAGCCAATTTTTCGCAGTCGCACAACGTTCGTAATATACATTACCATCGGAAAAAAACGGGCACATTGAACAATTGCGGACCATCTCAATTTATGGGACGGTAATTCAAATTTCGATTTAAATAGTGGGAATTCGGGTACGGTACTACGGATACTCTATGAATAAATCTCACTGATAACCGGTGTAGATGCTCGTTTTTTTGCGATTATAAGATTTTAAAAAAATTACCAGGATTACTCGTTAAATTTGATTCGTTGTTGTCGTGAGGCGGATTGAAAGGACGATGATGCGAGTTATATTCCTTGATCGAATCGCTTATCTCTTCCCAGAGGGTCTTTTTCTGAAGACAAAACAATGAGTGATCAGAAAATGGTCAAATTTTACCTGAACCAGCGCTTGAATTGCCGACGCCATTGGAGCGCACATGCTTGATTTATAAACAGCTTGAGCGAGATTCATATTGAATGCTCGGAGACCGCACTGTTCGATTAAACTGGGCATAGGCTTACTGAAGAACATCGTTCCATAGATTGCTTCAATGAACGAGGCATCCTCAAATATGCTACACAATTAAAACTAAAACGACTAATACAAAACAAACCTTCAAAAGGTACTCGGCAATAGGAGATAATGTCTTTTTATCAACTTTCGAGTATAGAATATACACAAACATTTTTTCGACTAGTGCATGAAGAACAGACATTTTCGGATTTTTTTTGGCAATCTCTACGAACTGAAAACGGAGATATTCTATTTAATAAGTTTTGGAATGGTACCCCGACTATTGGAAGCTTTATGAAGGCGGAAAGTAATTTCTCATGTGTTGGCGTATGGTTTGTGTTGCAAATCGCTACAAGTAATTCCATCAGCTGTTGCCAAGCGGGAGATTTTAGCTAAAAAAAAATTAAAAAATTAAAATATTTTACAGAATTGTTAAAAATGTACTTCGATGCATCTTTTGGCAACTTGAAAAACAGGAAGAATTCGTTCGGCCAGAATTGTTTCAGCAATCCGATCTGGATCCGGCTGATAAACAACTTCAAAATTTTCCACGTTATTTTCTAAATGCCTTGTCGAAATGCTTCCACTGTGGCGATCGTCCAATTCTTGCCTCATTTCCTCATCTATCAAATGCGATGGTGCATTGAGAACAAAGTTTGTGCGAATCATAGTATCCATTATCTAAATTAGCTGCATTACATTGCATTATTTATAAAAAAAAAACGTCAGAAAATATCGAAAAATTACTTTTGAAGCAGCTCTAATAGTGGCAGACTTTTTCATGATATTGTCGTCAGCGCAGGATTCCTTAAAACAACAATTTGAGCGACTAATTACTGAACTATAATTACATCGATGGCAATTTTATCGACAATCTTTCTAATGAGATCCTCAGACATCATAAGATCGTGTAGTGGATCGTCTTTGTTTTCTAATACATAAAGCTTATCACGAATTTCCCTGAAATTTCGAAAATATTTCACATTTCGCCATCGGCTGCAATACTTGACAATTTCGCTGTAAACCTCTGAGAGACATTCGTTATCGTCGTCCGATGTATTTTCATTGATACGGTCCAAAATTTTATCGAAAAGATTGTCATCGATCATCCACTGAAGAAAAAACTTTGAAAATATGTAGATGATAGTGATTTTCAACCTGCTTCAATACATTCATGTTATCAATCGATGATGGAATTCGAAGAAGATTTTCGAGAAGGCATTCAATAGCCCCAAGATGGATATTTTGAATACATTTGTCGAAAAATGGTGTATCTCTAATGATGGCGTATGTCTGAAAATAAACGAATGAAACTAATTGACGGATCAAAATAGTACCGCGTCAAATTGCTTTGAAAGCAAACATTCCATTATTTTGGCAAAGAATCCGGCCACTAAATGATTCAATGGCTCCTTGCTATTTAGAAAATCAACCAAAACTTTCTTCGTTTCATCACACTGAACAATTTTAAAATTACGTAAGTAATCAATCCATATATCAAACCGTAACGATGACGTGTTGGTAAACGTCTGACCCTCGTACAGTGAGAATTTCGGAAGCAATGAATGAAAGCCTAAATTTCGAGATGTCTATGACGGTTCCATTAGATTGCACCTGTATTGTTGTTTTACTGGAAGATTTGGGTCAACATCTGGACACAAGCTCAGCTGCACCAGTTTGATAATATTTTCCTTTTTCGTTATGCTAAAATTGTGAATATTCACTGGTATGTTACAAAAAAAACTTACAAATTTATGAGCGATTCTCTGCAATATCGCGACTCTTGAACAACATATTCATTAAGTAGAACCTCTTCTAAAGTAAAGTTCGATGTGTTTAGCAACTTCACAAGCGAGTTTTCATCTTCTGGTTGACTCCAAAACATCCTACAAAAAATCGATTATGTTGACAAGAAAACGCATAGCAAAATGGTGTGTAGAAATTGAAAATGCATGAATGTTTTGATTGCAAAAATCTCATAAAACCAACAGTCTGCAGTTTCGCGTCACTGCATGATTAATACGCATGACCCTACGCACATTCACAGACCTCCCATTTTCTAACAAGGCTTCTCCTCTCGCTCCCTCATTTTTATTTCTTTTTTTTAGAAAATCGCCAACGAAGCAGGCAATAAATCGTCAGGGACAAGTTGAATATGTAATCGAAAAGCATGGGTACCCTTTCATTAGGCATTCAGCTGTTTCTCGTTTTTCTTTTAACATCATATTTATTGAATAAGGTTAGAAAATTGTATTTGTTAAATCCAATTCATTATTTTTTATTCAGTATTCTACCATTCGAAAACAGAATATTATTGTAACTATTTCAAGCTTTGTCGGATGGTTTTTCTCACTTATTATAATATTCGTTTTACCACTGGACGTTGCAATTGTAAGTTATTAGTGTACATTATTGCATTTATTACAATAAACAATTCAGACGTTTTATCACAAATGCGAGCAAGATCGCTTAAGGTCGCCAAACAAAACTAGTCAATTATGTGAATTACCGGGTAATTATGTGCCCGATGAAGTGCTTTTTGACCTTTGGAGAATTGTATATTGGACGGCCCAGGTTTTAACGTGGTACGACAATTACTTACATAAAACATAACACAATTTCAATGGTTCAGGTTAATTCTGCCACTTCTTCAAAGCTATGTTACGGCCGGAGAATTTACAGTTTTCGGAAAATTTCGCGCTGCGGTCATTAACAATGCACTTTACTATGGCATCTATTCAGTATGCTTTTTTGTAATATTGATATATGCGATGATTAAGGGAGTATCAATGAACATGTAAGTCCCAATTAATTATCTTTAATTATCCAATTATCCGTTTTTCAGAGATAATTTAAAGGTAGTCATAGTCTCCGCTTCAAACACATGGGGTCTTTTTTTGCTCGTAGTATTGCTAGGATACGGATTAGTCGAGTTGCCCCGAGTTTTATGGCATTTAGGAAACAGACGTAATTTTTAAGGTTATTAGATGTTTTTTAAATGTTTTTTTTTTTTAGATTATCGTTTACGAAAAACTTATTTTGACATAGAAAAGTTGGCATCAGAAAAGAGTGAAGCGGAAGAAAATGTGAAGGATGTCTACAAGTATGCCAATTTTATTTCTTCCTTGTTAAATATGATTTCTGTTTAGAAAAGTTCGGATGATGTATAATTCGCTCAAAAGCGATCAAGAAATTCAGCGCAAAAAAGTGCGGACTATTTTAGCAAAGTTTGAAGATTCGGTTTGAACTTCTGCTGGTTTGAATTTCCACATTCGACTTTCAGACAATTGACAAATTGTTTCCATCGAGGCAAATAATAGATAATGTTTCTCCGCAAAATGAGAGCAAGTTTTCAGAGGCGAAATTGGTAATATATTCGAAATTACTAACATATTAAAAACTATTTTTTAGATAAATATTCACAAAAAGGCGATTTCGGCGATCCAAACTCTCAACAATACAAGTGCACAATGGAGGTATTTTTTCTCGTTTTAAAAATTTTCACAAACTTCTAATTTTTATTTATGTGGTTTATGGTAAATAAAAATATCGCCATTCTGTTCTTTTTTCCAGTGAAAATGCATTATTTATGACATCAATAATCATAAGTCATTAAATTTCCATAAAATTCATTAAACTATAAAAAATAATTGAATTAATTTTTTCAGAGAGCTTGTTGATCGTGCTTTGTTTTTGGAAAACTTGGCATTTAGTGAATCTCAAGGAACTAGTATGATGATGGAACGATCGCGAATTATCCCGGCTTCAGTTCGAAGATTCTACTATTCTTACTTGCAAGTACCCTTAAGCAAGGTGTTTATTTCATCCCTTTCATAGCGAATTTATTCAAAAATTTTATTCTTTTTTAATATTTCAATCGCCGAAAAAACGGTAACTCTGTGCATATTTACGACGATTTTAATTCGAATGTTTTTCGTAGTACGGTAGCCAAATTCTAACAGTTCATGTTCAAATTTGAATTATCCCAATAAAAAAAACGATGGTCCACAAAAATTTTTAAACTATGGTAGCATTTTATCTAGCATTGATTTCAGATTCTCAGTGCTCTTTTCGTGTTTATGACAGTTTTCATTCTCATATCTGAATGCACATTCTTCGTCGTCTCGCCGACATTATCTCCCGCTGCTCTTGTCACCGAATATGCTGCAAATCGTTTTCACTACAAATACACACAGGTTTTCAATTTTTTTTTATTGCCTCGACAATTTCTTTTAAATTTAGTTTGTTGCTTTTGGAATTATTGTTTACCTATGTTTATGTGCTTACTTCACAATATTCCGACTTCAAATATACAAATATTATCATTTGGATCCGAACGGACATACCGATGAGAATAGCATATTGTTTAGTGCAATGTATGGAAATAGAATTGCTTATTCGTAACCAATTCGCATTCAGCCTTCTTTGTCGTCTAACACCGCCGATTTGTCTTAATTTTCTTGGAATGATTCATATGGATTCGCATATTTCAATGGATCAGAAGATGGGAATTGAGACTCAATTCACAAAGGTAAGCTCTTCAAAAATCTGCACGTCTCAAATTATTTTTTTCAGTTGATGGGACATCTAGATTTGATTCCAATCTTAGCGAAAGGTATCAACATCTATCTTCCAATGTGCATCATTTTGTTTTGTGCTGCTCATTATTATAGGTTAGACTTTAGAAAATGAGAACTAATTATTTTTTGTTAAAAAAAATCTCTAAATTTGCTTTTTAAGAGTTGGTGCTTACATATTGCATTCAATTGGATTTGACCAATTTGTCGAATCAGATGAAATGACAAATGAAATGGTGAATTCTGGAAGATCACTTGTACAAATTGAACGCAATTCGATTCGTCGAAGCAATGAAAGAGTTCAGAGAAACGAGAAATTCAAGTGGAAAAGCTCTTCAAAACACAAATCTAACAAATGTATAATTTCGGTCGAAATTTCTTTCGAAAGTGTGTTTTGTTCCAGATAAGCCGAAATCTTCCAAGTATGACGAAGAGCAACCAATGCTTGCTGACGACGAGGACGAGGATTCATCGGAACAATCCTCTCGTGTCGTCAACTCACCAACAGAACATCCATCATCTGCCGGTTTCTTTGATGATATGTGATCTCAAACTAATTTTTCATATCTCTAAGTTTATTGCACCATTCTTCTATGTACATTAAAAAATAAATTATTAATGTTAAGTTATTGTTAAAAAATTTGGATTGGGTTTTGAAGCCTTATGTAATTTTTCCAATATAATACAAAACCTTTCGAATAGCTTCAGTTGTTCAGAATGTCCTTCGCAACGACATCAAAAAATGTTGCGTTAGAAGATTTATTCGGAAATCCATTCAAACCAAAAAAGGAAAAGAAACAGGAGAACAAGGTTTGTTATCTAATTTAATATCCTAAAAATGAAATGAACAGCCGGAATTCGTATACAAACCATCAGGATATGTACAATTGATCGATCAAATGATTGGAACCAAATCGAGACCTTGGAATCCCGAAAGGACACCGATTAAGCCTATTCAAGTTCAAATAAAACCCACATTATAATATAGACTTGAAACATTTAAGATGCTTACCTTACCAGAAATGACGAAAGAGGAAATATATATGCAATGGGCGATGGAAAATTGTGCAGTTAAAGCAACAATCTCAGGTGTTCTCGGTTTTGGAGTTGGAGTCGCTTTCGGAATGTTCACAGCATCTGTTGATCCTTCAATGTCGATGGTTGGTGGAGATCCGACGAAACAGGTAAAACCTAACTGTTCTCTCGTTGTATTTTGTATAAATTATTCAGTTAACATTAAAAGAGACATGGAAGGAAATGTCAGGAAGAATGAAGTCATACGGTAAAAACTTCGGATCAATTGGTCTTATGTTCTCTGGTAATTTTTATCAATTCAAAAATTGGAATTTGTACCACTTTTTAGGAGTGGAATGTGCACTTGAAACAGTCCGAGCAAAAAGTGACTGGCGGAATGGAACATATTCTGGAGGTAACTAACTTCTCGATTTGTTTTTCGCAAAAATTCGACTTTTAGGAATTGTTGGAGCATTATTAGGCCTTCGCGCAGGAATTGTTCCAGCAATTTGGGGTGCTGCTGGTTTTGCTGCCTTTTCAACGGTTATCGACCATTATATGAGAGGATAGACTTCACGTTTTTTTTTTCGTTTCTTTTCCTTGTTTTTTTTCGATAGATGATAGTTTAATAGCATTGTTTGGGTACTTGTTTGAATATAAAACTTTTTATAATTAACCACCGCCTTGGCATATGAGCACGACCACATGTTGGTAGTGTGAGGTTCACACCATAAATTTGCCAACTGAGCACTAATGTCTGTTGTGCGAACTAATTTCGACATTTGTGCGAATTGGGTGGTTGCCTCAGCAAATTTTCGAATTTTCGCCGGTGGTTTATGTCTTTTTACATTCTACTATTTCCAGCTTAATGTTTCGATTTAAACTCTTAAACTGTTGCAGGCTCATAAAAACACGCGTTTTGAAAATGTTTAAAAATTTATAAGAACTTTTCAAAATATTAGAGCTGTATTGCAAATAGAAACCCCTATTATAGGTATATAAAAATATTCACTAAATATAAATAAATACAAAACTTGTTCGGTGGCCATCCCTCATTCAATGGGACCTCCCGCATCGTGGCGATAACTCGAGTCAAAGGTAATCTACCGTAATTTTAACCGACAATGACCCTCGATGTATCATCGCATCGGAAGCAATGTCGGGGAGGTGCAAAGTGTGTTGTCACTCAAAACACGATCCTTAATCGCGAATGTCGAACACGGCTACTACAAATCGTTTACGATGCCTCAAAGGACGAGCCGCCGCCTGAGCCGACACCTGACCAGCCGGAAAAGTTGTAACCTGCTACTTTTTATTGCGTCCTGTCTTATTAGTTTACTGTGTAATTGGCCTAGGTTTTATGATGGGTGTTGGCTTGATTTATTGCGTAATATCGAAATTGCACTCAAATTAGAACCTTCACACACAACTAATTCATTTTAAAACACTTCTTTGTCATTCCACATTGAAAAAATTTAATTGGGATCGCAAAAAGAACGTGCATCATATGTAGATTTAATTATCCTTTTTTAAATTCTATCTTGAATTACCGCATCGGAAAAACTCGAAGATCCATAATTGATCTAAGTTCTCGTATATTTGAGAATAAAATATATATTTATCACAATCGCAAAAAAAACGAGCGCCTTGCATAATTGTGGACCAACGCAATCTTTCGGAGCGGGAATTCAAATTTGTATTGAATTGGTGGTAGTTCGATTACCGTACTCAGGATATCCTGCGAAGCAGGGCTGTGCGGCAATGGAATTACCGCACAAATTGCCGAATTGCCGAATTGCCGAAGAGAACGTTCGATCGGCAAATTGCCGAATTGCCGGATTGCCGAAATTTTGATTTTCGGCAATTTGCCGAATTGCCGGATTGCCGAAATTTTGATTTTCGGCAATTTGCCGAATTGCCGGATTGCCGAAATTTCCGATTGCCGCACAGCCCTGCTGCGAAGCTAACTCACCGTAAATCGGCGTATAGTGTTCGTTTTTTTAACGAGTGTATTACTTTCGTAAAATAAAACAAGCAGCCTGTGCCGATACGATACTCTAATTCGCCACTGTTTAAATCGAATTTTGAAAAAGTACGATGGTCCACAATTATTCGAAGCGTTCATTTTTTTGACTTTCTCGATTATTTGACACTATTTCAATAAATTTATCGAGAGTCTTTGAGAGTTTCCCAATCAGGGAAAGTTCGACATTTTCACCAGGGCTGTGCGGCAATCGGAAATTTCGGCAATTCGGCAATTCGGCAAATTGCCGAAAATCAAAATTTCGGCAAATCGGCAATTCGGAAAATTGCCGAAAATCAAAATTTCGGCAATCCGGCAATTCGGCAATTTGCCGAAAATCAAAATTTCGGCAAACCGGCAATTCGGCAATTTGCCGAAAATCAAAATTTCGGCTATTAAATGTTTTCAACGATAATTCGAAATATAAATACCGAATTTTCACGGTATCCCAAATTATTCAATGGACATTCCTTTTTGTTTCGCCGATTTTTTTTGATATCAAATTGCCGAAAATCAAAATTTCGGCAAATCGGCAATTCGGCAAATTGCCGAAAATCAAAATTTCGGCAATTTGCCGATCGAACGTTCTCTTCGGCAATTCGGCAATTCGGCAATTTGAAAAATCGGCAATTTCGGCAATTTCGGCAATCGGCAATTCCATTGCCGCACAGCCCTGATTTTCACGCGACCACCGGTGGTAGTCTATAACCTGAAGATTTTATTTTACTGCTAATGTTGTAAAAAATCATTTTTTTTTTTGACGATTTTTGAACAAAACGTCATAGGGACAATACAGAAAAATAAAAATAATGAGAAATAATTCATTTTTCTTTTTTTTTTATTTTTTCTCGAAATTTTCTATATTTTTTTCTGCATCAGAACTTTAAACTGAATAGAATTCAATACCATTTTCAAACAACGTACAACAAGTATTTAGCGATGAAATGTTTCAGTTTCTATAACAATATATATCTATTATGTTTTCTTTGCCGCATTTTTTCACTTTTCGTGAATTATATTGGTGTGTTTTGTTGTACGAATTAACTGGCATCTTCAGTCACGACGGTTTGTCATTTCAGAAAAATTTGAAATTGTTGAAATAAGATTAGAATCTCTGCGAAAAAAATCAGCCGCATACCGTACACCTTCGTTGACTATGCAGAATAAAATGTCATTTCGTTTTACACAATTTTCGTGATCGCTTCGAATTCAAGCGATTACCAATTGAATGGCCAAGAATCAGAAAACCGCGTATTTACTGAAAATGCCGTCATCGTATTTTTTCATGTCCCTAATTGTAAGTGTGTATAGTAAGTGTTTGTTTTGCATTCGTTTTGATTCGAAACGGTTTCGCGTGCACGCTTCACTGCGCAACCTATTGCCGATGCCAAATAAAAAATGGCAAAGATGAAGATGATAATGATGAGCTGCCTGATAAAATCTAAATTGCCTCCAATGTTTTTTCTATACAAACTATATCATTCGAATCTGCATTATATCGAATAGTTTGTCGAGAGCGCCACATCGTTGGGTGATAGGAATCGGTTTGACGACGATTCACGATGACATTAATTTCCTCGATGGTAACCAGTGGCGGTTACAAAAATATTTGGATTCGTGCGGCCACGTTAAACATATAGAAATTCAGCATCGTAATCGGGAAAGTTGCGAAAAGGCGAAATCGGATCGCAACAAATCGGTGGCGAAAAAAGAATGCAATTCGGATAGACCGATGCTAATTCGAATTAGTTGAGTGATCTGCTTTGCTGATTGTGTGCTTGTTTCCATATATATATGTATATTATTTTTGTTTTCGCCTTTTTCGTGCCCTCTATCATCTTTTCATCAACACGCTCGTCTTGTTCGAATATCATATTACAGTCGCATGTTATACGGTAATTCATTTGGATGAGGCGCGTGATGAATCACTGCCCGAATACGGCTAATCTATTGAAAAATGGGGCCAATTGCTTAATTTGTTTAGATTTCGGATCATTGGTGTCGATTTGATATCTCGATGATGATGATGATGGAATCATTTTTGAATTGGGCAATGAACAAAAACGTGAAAAACATATTGTTAACAAGCTTCAATTCTAGAATTTTTGTCAGGAATAATCTCGAATTCAACATATCTTGTTTCAGTTCCCTCTCTTTCCAACTGCTCTTATCAGTGTGACCGCAAAAAAACAATCGGTCAGCAGCCAATACTCATAAAAGTGAGTTATTGGCATTTTGAAGACTCGTTTGAGGCCTGTTATCACCACATTATCATTCCTTTAATGTGTACCTCGCAATTCGGTGACGAAAAATAAAATTCGTGCCCCGTCACGAAACATTACGGACCACTCAAATTTTTGTGGCGATCGTGTGGCCTCGATCGATTGTGGCGATAAAAGCCCGCAAAATATGGCAACAAAGTTACGCGCGAAATGACAAAATTACATAATATGTATCGTGTTATATTCATGATTGCGTAACGATGCTCAACTGAATATGACCACGCCTGCGTCTCGTTGTTGTGCACGCTCTTTCCGCACAACGCGTATCAGCCGGGAGCATCTATTGCGCAGCCAACTTGTGTCTACTCACACCTTATAATTTAGGGATTAGCCGACGCATTTGTATGAAAATAGGGCAGCGGGTCCCTTTTTTTGGCGACACTCAAACAATGTACTTGAGTATTAATACCGAGTAGTCTCAATGCTCACTTCGACATATCGAGTTGAGAACTTACAGCTGTGCTCGAGATGCACAAAAGGGATTACTGTAGATTGGGCATAGCATCGAATATGTACGACGGATTTGAATTGTTCGACGCACCGGAAACACTGAATACGGAATGAAGTGTTACGTCGAACGTGTTCGAACCATTGAGCTTAATTAAACTTCCTGTTGTTTTCGGTGAAGAACAATTACAGTAAGAAGGAAGAAGCGCCGAGTGGTTTGTATTCAGATCCACCCCTTCCTATTCCATAGCCAATTCGAACCTACACTTTTGTAGTGTTCGGGTTTTGTGTATGTCGACCCCCTCTAACCAGTCGATTGCGTTATCAAAAACCGGACAAAACAAACCAAATCGAGCACTGATGATAAATGGCTCAACTTCTTTTCCTTTTCATCTTTCCCGCCGATTATTGACAGAAAATTACCGATGTATTGATAATGGCATATTTATTTGTCCCTAATTTTATTCATGAAGCATCATTCAAATATACATTTAAGCTCAGAATAAACAGATCGTCCATGATATACCACGCTTGGGGGGTTTATGAAATGGGAGAAAGAAAGGGAACCAAGCAAAAATGAAAACGACATGGAAATGATATGTTTGATGGGAAACTGTGTTATATTATTGCCAGTTTTTATTAGTATTATTATTATGCGGACCAAAACCAGGAGAAAGAATGAAGGAAAATTGAGATCACAAAGGGCGAAATGAAAAATATGGCGCCTAATTGCCATTCTCATGATCGCCATTTTGGATGATTTGTGTTTCATTAGGCACTATTCGTGAAGCCATCATCGAAAGAAGCTTCTGATGGTCAATATGCGAGGGCATGAAGAAGCCGGGAATGTTTCGCGGATGCATTGGCGGTGGTGGGAGAAGTGGCATCGGTGGGATGGGCATTCGAGGCGGTAGAAGAATTGCCGGGGGAATGAACGATGGATACGGAATGTGAGGATGCGGCATCTCGGCATGACTTTCGGAGTTTTTCTTGTACCTGAAATTCGAGATATTTGCTTTTTAGGAAAACCGATCAAAATTTTTCTCTGACAATGTGTAGCTCAAATTTCGAATCAATTTCGCCTAGAACATCCTTGTTGATTTTATTTCCTGTATGGTTAGATGTGTTTGATATTGTCTAATTCGATATAATGTTTAGATAAGCATTCCTTCGGTTTAAAATATCTCGAATTCCTGTGCGATTTGAAGCGTCGCATCAACTCTTTATTTGGTGTCGCTCTCGTTGCAATTCGCACTCTATAAGTGCAACGCATTGTCGTGGTCGAGATCCATCGCGAATCGACAGATGCTCTCGCTGATGACACCGGGTTGGTCCGGGAGGTCGACAAGAAGATAGAAGGGCGATGCCTCCTCGGTGGGAGGGCGGGTGCGATTAATGACAACAAATTGGTGACAAATTATCGAAACAGTTGGCGTGTGTTTGTGAAAGATTGCTGTCGCGTCTTTGTGAGTATGTGCACACAAAAAGAATTGTAATAATGATGATCTCGATTCGACACGACAACCCGCAACTCAAAAAATAACACAAACACACGAAATGGATCGCCCACTCAACATACGAATCTAATCGAAAATTACCGTTTTCTCCGACGAAGAAACGAGCCGTTGTCGAACATGTCTTCAGCCGCTGGATCCAGAGCCCAATAGTTGCCTTTGCCAGGATTTCCTGGTTCGCGAGGGACCTTCACAAAACAATCATTCAGACTCAAATTGTGACGAATCGAGTTTTGCCACGCTGGAAACTTCTCTCTGAAATGTTATATTAATCGTTTAAAAAATTGAAATCGATCAACTCACTTGTAATATTCGAATCGGTTCATTATAAAGTCGCAAATTTGCGAAAGAGTCAATTTCTTTTCGGGGGAATTCAGAATTGCCATTGCGATCAATGCGATATACGAATATGCCGGTTTCGCGTGATTGCTTTTTTTGTTCGACATCGATTCGCTGGAATTCGAAAATTCAACATTTCGTCGAAAAACTATTGAGAACTTACGAGTTGTTATCTTCATCGGACCCGTCATCATCTTCATCGTCATCGTCAGCTTCGGTGTTCTTTTCGCATTTGATCAACGGGAAGTGCTCGTCCGACGATGATTGGCTCTCGGAGCTTTCTGATTCATCTGAAATCATTCCTATTTTTCTCGTCGTTCTTCCCCGCGTTCAATACTTTTTCCTAATTTTCTTGCTGGACCATCATTCGAATCCCCGTCGGACCTACACCGTTTTCTTGATTTCTGGCAGCGAACCTCGGCAGGCTCCGAGCTACTCGTCGAGCTCCTCAAAAATTCCTCATATTCCTCATCGCGTTCATTCAGATTGACCTGCGGTTCGAGTTTTGGCGGCTCAGAATCACCGGCATCTTTCGGTTCATCCTTCGATGTCGACGCGAGAATCGCATCCATCGAGAACCGCATTGCTGAAATGTCGTTGATAAGCGAGTGACACCGAAAAGCTAACATTTTGTTAGCTTATCATCAACGTGTGTTGGAAATAAGCGGCAAGCGACAATTAGACGACGACGAGAGACGCGTTTTCGGAGTACGGTAGCTCAAAAGAGTGGAATCGATGAGAGAGCATGAGGTATTGCGGAGAATGAAAGAGGATTAGGGCGACTACTTGAACTCTAAACTAATTTTGTTTTGAATAATTATCTATAACATATAATTAACACAAGTGTGAATTAATGAAAGATATCTACCGTAATACAGAGCAAAACGAGAAAAACAATTTGTGCTCATTGAAAGCAAATATCACGGTTTTTGCAGAAGGTTGTACGAATAGTCGATTTTCCTCAGCAATTTCCGAAAAAAAGCGAAAAGAAATCCGATTTGAATGTCTAGATATTCGATCGCAAAATGTCGGCTAAGGAACATTTTTTATGAAAAAAATAAATGTAATGAGTTTTTATTAATATTAACCATTCAGTTTTTTCAGATTAAATAAAATTATTGGATTCGAAGTAACAATGACATACTAATAGTTTTTCAAATGAATTTTAATCACATTAAATAGACAAAATACCAAAAAATTGAGAAATTACAAATCACCATCCGAAAAATTTTTATCAAATTTTGGGGTGCAAAAAAAACGAAGACTTGGCCAATTTTTTATCTAATCACTCGAATTGCCGCTAAAATAACATTAGCTGTGAGAACTACCGTAGCGAATGATGATCGAAAACGAAAATGTTTGGCGGGTTTGAAACACATGGAACACACTTGCTGCTGATTACTGTAGATTTATGATTTGGGGACGAACACGAGGCACGGAGAAAATATAAACGAATCGACGAAAACAAGGAAATGAAGCGAATTAAATTGTGTATATTTATTGATACAATCGAAAAACAAGAATAATATTATAATTCAAGATAGATGGGCGGGAAAAAAGTTCACGATTAGTGCTAGTTCCTAATATAGTAAACGAATAATGCCAAAACAATTCTATTTCTAGAAGATGATGGTTTCGTTTTAAGATAATATTATGGTTCGGGACTGAGCCGATGATCGCACAACGTATCGGATGTCCCAAAGTTTTGATAGATTACAAAATAATGCAAATTTCGGAGGCTGCCGATTCTCACACACACCGACCCAGTGCGGACCGCTTATTGGATGGCTCCGCCCATCGTGACGACGGTCACGCCCCGCCCACATCGAGTGCCTCGTTCTCTCGCTCGCAGGTCCTCCGATTGAGACTCATTATTAGTGACAGACCCACGACCGCAACAACACTTTACATATATATTTTCATACATATATAGATCTATGTGGGTGTGTGTGTGTGTGATGGTATTATCAGAAAGGAAGAAGATCGAGATATTTTGATTGGCACCTAATGACAGCTACCGTAATTGATATGATGAAAACGAATTGACAGCATTATCATATTATGATAGTGAAAAAAATTGGTATACAAATTATGATCGCCACAAATTGCGCAAAACCATATAATTAGTAATGAAATGAATAGTTTTTCGTTATCATGCAACACACACAAACGCCCGCTCGTAAATTGCTACTGAATTATCGGGAAAAGATAGGGTTGGACAAGTTATCACACAAAAATATGATGTTTCAAACAGAGAACTAAAATTCGATAGCGGAAACACGAAATTTAAGTAGTTTCGAGATTGACAGTTTCTGAAAATAAAAGAACAGCGCATGATTTAAAGTTTTAAAATGCGGAAATCGGTTTTGAGAAAATTCTGCAAAAAATTTCAAGGAATTCTGCAAATGATGATCAAGAAACAAGTAATTAGATTTTTTCTGTTTAATCGAATATAATTATGCCCATTTTTTCCCATTTCAATTCCACATTTCTGCTTCAAATTGTAAATAAATTTTCTGAAACAACAATCAGTGTTTAATTACAGCCAATCTTTATAGAAACCAAGCCTCCCGCTGTTTTATTTTTGTCGACTTTATCTTTCTGTGAGCACTAAATGTTTTGTTGCTCTTAATAGCACATTGTGCCCAGCTCGTCGGACTTTCTCACAAAAAATGAAGGGATAAACTTTCATTGGAATCGGTAGTTTTTTTTTCGCGGCGGAATCATTTTTAATGACACCTGCTGTCTTGTTCGCTTTGACATTTTATCTTTGAGTTGGGTTTGTTGGAAAAGAGCTAAAGCATTCGGAAAAGTCGAGGCTTGAAAATGAAAATATGAAAAGAATAGGAAATGCCTATCTGATAGGAAAACTCGACTTCCGATGGTCAGTCTATCTGAGTCGATTCACAGGAATGCGCGTATCAGCAATTGCCAAAGATTCATTTTTTTTTTCAATAAGAACTACATATAAATTAAAACCATTCCAGTAGAATCATCTGAAATATGCAATCTCATAATCAAAATCTCTCCGGCACCACAACGAATTTTTATTGTTTCAATTCGAGGATACGATTTCAAAAATTGGTTTAACGCAATGAGTGTCAACATAAACGATTTGAGTTGAAACGAATTTTTACATGCACACTGTTTGGCACTTTTTCAATTCCTTATAAATATGTAGACTTCTAAGTCCCATTTTCAAAAAACGATTCAGTTTAATCTTGATTATTTCTGCATAGTTACAGATTGACGATCAAACACAACTGATTTTGTTTCATGCCATAATCATGGATTTCATTATGAAGCAAAACACTTAGGAAGGAATAAATGCACAATGACAGGCTAATTCGCGGCTCGCGAGTGTGCGGAAAAGTTAGTTTGAGGATCTCGAACGGTTCAAACAAAAGAAAAAAAAAGACGGAAACCACAATATGGCGGCGGTCAGTAAAATGATGATTTGTTATGGTATGACAGAAACAACATTTTTTAATTTGAGGCACACGAATCGATTAATCTTCATTCGCCTCGTTATCTCGACAAAACATCTTTGGTGGAAACAGTCAGTGGCCTTTTCCTCTATCGATGCCTTCTCGTTTCTTCATTTGTTGTGCGAGTGTCATTCATTCCACTAAAAAGTTTTGGCGATTTGTCGACACGATACCGGCGACTTTCAACTTGCCGGACATGCGCTTCCGCTCCGCTAATTATCGTCCATGTTTTTCCCAAGAATCGGCTCCGACGTGATCCGATAATTGGTCGGTTCGACATGCTCTGCTGATACGGTTCCGGTCGTCGCGCCTCTTCCCGTCGGCAAATCAGCAGGTGTCGCCTACCAACATTATCATGTTGCACAACGGATTAGCAGATTTGCGGCAACTTTTGTGCGTTACTTCCGATACAGTATCCGATTTATTATAACAGAAAACGGAGAACAAATTCTAAATTGTAAAATTTTCTTCATGATCTGTTTTTTTTTCAGAAGAAGCTGCTGAATTCGTTACTTTTTTATTTAGACCAAAGTAAATTAATAGGATAATTCGATATTCAAGACCAAGAAAAATTGTCGACTATTCAAAATTCTGATGATTTTTTAAACGTTAGGCTTCGTCTTAAATTACTGTAAGTGTGATATTGTGCACTTGTCTCATGGGAGGATAACAAATGACACGAAAAACGGATGATTGTCGTTCTCATCATCAATGAGCTTCTCATTTTGCAATGAGACAATTAACAAAATGTTTTTGTTTGCACATTGCGATCGGCCGTAGGAGGGGGTCCGCCTGCTGTGCTCATCTATCAACCAGCCGACAAATTGCGATGATGATGATGATAATGCACTCGGAGCACAATTCAGACGGGTCAATGTCATCGAATAAAACGACGATGTGTGAAATAATGGGCCGATTTGAGGAGAACAACAAAAGAATTGAATTTCTTGATGGAATAAATGCACTATGCGATAAAAAATACTGCAATTCACGCAAAACGAATTCATTTTCAAATTTAATATCAAATTTGTGGCTCGATTTATTTAAAAAAAAATCAAAATAGCTCTTGTCCAGAATTCCCATCGCTTCTATCAATTATTCATATTATTTTTGCGAGTATCAATTGTTATAAAAACAACAACCCAAGCACCCCCCTTGGTTCAATGAGAGAAAAATGCTTTTAAAACTCATTCATTCATCATTTTAATATTTATTGAAAGCCAAATAAATTGCAAAGCACGCACGATTTTTAATGCTAATTATAATTACCTAATTGCAAGTGGGCGGCAATTAATTGAAAAATAAACGTTTTTTTTTGTCATTCCTATCATTAGAATCATTAAATTGAAAAATTGCTATCTCTTTATACCGAAGGAAGTGGAAAGTATGGGAATTGGCTAATAAAAAGGGAAATTACTGACAAAATAGATATTTCGAAAAATTGAAACATAAACAAAGCGTAGCCGACCGCATTCAATATTGTATACATTTGGCGAATTCATCGTATCAAATATTCGTTTTTTTTTTCTATTTCAAAACATTTCACGTGGCTTCCAAAATTTGATTTTTTGTATGCTTTTCCCATCCATTACTCGTCCGAAAACCGCAATAATTCCGATTTGAAATCGCATGAAAAAATAAAAATAATAATCGGAGTATTGTGGTTTATTCAAGAAAAAAAAGCGTTCGCACGAATCGTTGATTAGTTTACCAAGATTAGGTCCATTTTTCAAATTCACGACTACACAATGAGCAATTTTCGGCACGGTGCCTCAAAGGCGCCGCGATCGAAATGCAAGATTAGGCGAACGCCAAAAACGGTAAGAGGCAGGCCGTCGTCCGCCGCCACTTGTGATAATCCATTTGTTTGGTCCGCAACTACTGACAGGTGAGATTGACCGCCGAGTGGGAAAATGTTTAGCGGAAGTGTTGTTCTTTTACACGGGGATTACTCGAATATTTGCCTATCTGACAAGCAATGGCATGAATCCAAAAACGAAAAAAAATAAATAGAGTGGGTCGGAACAAAGAAATCAAAAATAATGCAGTTTTGATCAGAAAGAATTCGAAAAGGGACGCCCAAAAATGCCGACAAAGCGTCTCGGTTATTTCTTTAATAGTCCGACAAAACTACCGTAGTCATTCAATCTGATTGCATCTTTAAATGATTACGGTAGTCTCTTAAAATAGAACGATGAGATATCATGCGAATACGATAGGCATTCAATCCACTATCACGGAACGCGTTCCATTTTTCATTTCTTATCTCTTTTGTGATAATTCATTTTAAAATAGCAGCTCTAAATATTTTTTAATAATGAAAATGTTATTATTTCGGAAGTTTTCTTCATATTGTAATTAGAAGAAACAATAATTTTGTTATGTCCTAAAAAAGTAAAAAGATAATATATTAAATATTCATATTTGAATGCCGATTTTAGGAAAAAAAATGCAGTAAAATCCATTTGAAACCATTATTAAATTGTGGATACAACTAATTTTAATTTCAATAACTCTTCTTTTCTAAAATCGCATAATACTAAAACCAGGGTATATTATATTTAAAAATTCTAAAAAAAAAAGAATGTAGTGTATGCTGATTTTAGAGAAAAACCGAGAAAACCCGTAAAACCCAATGCAAATTGTTAATAGACCCAATTTTAACCTGGTTTTAACCGTTTTTTGAAGAAAAAATAAATAAAATCTACATAGTACCATTAGAATATTGTTTTGTATTTACTTATGCAGTTGACCGGAAAGAATACAATTGAATTGTTTGTTGAAAGTGTTCGCATTCTCGGATTAACAATGCTCAGAACAAGCAGATGAGGCACTGCTTGAATGCATGTTCGAATATGCAAGATTTAGCTGGGGAATATTTCCAGAAGCTATGGAAAACGACTGAAAGTGGCTCCGATTTATTAGAAAAATCCAACAAATCGTGGTCAGTCACTTTTTGCTTCAAAACTCAAAAATTTCATTTTCAACCTATGTATTTCCATTTTATCTTACGAGCATATTAAAATACTCTTTTTTTCTCTTCAATAGTATTATTAACTATGGCGATTAATCTAGAAAACTCACCGGCAGAATTTTCCGGATGAAGTATTGGAGCCAAAGACATTCGAATATGCAGATTGGTTTGGTCTCGAGCTCCACGCTGTCGGTTATTAGCAAATGAACGGACAGGTGAACGAAAAATTTGGGTGGCAAATATGATTCAATTAGACCACCATGCGCGATTTTATCCATCTTGTTTGCTTTTTGCTGCCCTTTTTTATTCGCTCGAAAATTTTCTCAAGACCTCCGTGTTTCGAATTTGTTTCATCTCGCCGCCAGGCCAAGTTGATTTGTTGCCCCGTGTTCGGAACATCTCGGTTTTTATTGCGTTTGGTATCGTGTGTAGGACAGTGCAGAAAAAATTGAACAAATCATCGTAAAAACGTTTATCACCTTTTTTATGATTTTTTCTTCTTCTTCTTCTTCTTCTTCTTCGTCGTCATCTTCTCGGGCGACGACGGACGGCGACGGACGAAAAAGGACAGCTATAAATTTTAAGAAAGTGTCATCAACCGGATTTTTTTGTCTGCAGAAACTTTTCGAATCTTATCGGGACTATCGTTTGCTTTCATCGCCTTCAAAATTTCAGAAAATTTCCAGAAATTTCGAAATGATAGGAATGAGAGCCAAGACGGTACAGTATATGAAAGTGGAGTTTCAAAAACGAATGCATCATAAGCAAAGTCATAATGTTCCTTGAAAAAAAAACCTGAAGAGATTGTGGAATTTTTGTTAAAATTTTTGAGAACCCAAAAATACGCGTATGAATGCATTCATAAATCGCTATTTTTTGTTATCTTTTCTGTCTTCCTTTTTTGGAACGAACCCACTTTTTTTATTTTCTTAATTTATTTGTTTCTTTAAAAGTTCAAAAATTTAAAAATGTATCCTCCGAATTTATTACTTGTAAAAAAACCCGAGCACAGCTCTTCAACTCCATTGTTCTCTCAGCGTTGTCTTACGGAGCAGAGACTTGGACTTTCATCAAAGCTCTTGTATAAAAAGTTTGAATTAGTCGCACTCCGCTCGATCGGTATGTTATTAGAAAAACGGGAGCAAGATCTTCATCGAGAGAAGTTGTTGGAACCCCGGCAACTTGCATCTTTTATCTGTTATTAGCGCTGGGCACGTTGTGATAATAACAGATGGAAGATGGACTACTCTTCTAACGGATTGGGGCCGTGGAATTGAAGAGGAAGGCTTCTCATGCGATGGTCGGAGATCACCGCAAGAACAACTGCTGATGTCGTAATCATTATATGGTCCGCCCAAGCTCAGAACCGGAAAACTAAGAATGCTGTGGTTAGCTCCTCGAACGGCGAAGAGCGAACCGACAAAGTGAGCATTTAATTGGGAAACGTCTAGTATAATTTTCATTGAATTATTAAAATCCCAAACGTGACATTATTCGTTTCGGTGCCACCTTGGAAAACAGCGACGCCGACTTTCATTTTTCTCATTTCAAGCTTGCCGATTGGTTCCGTTTTGTGTTAGTTTCTATGTTTTGTTTAATCATTATATATGGGATAGCAAGTAATTTTAAACATAAATTTCGAATGTTGCGCTTCGTTGAGTCCTTCAAGAAGTATCTCGGGCTACTGTGAGCGTGTCTCGCGAACATTCGTTGAGTCGGATTTGAGAGAGCCCGCACGGGTGCCGCGCTTCTCGTGCCACGAGACGCGGACCAACACCCCGCATCGGTGACCCAAAGGGTCCGATCCAGGAGGGAAATGCCTGGAGAAGTCTATGCGCTCACGGTGGAGTGGCGACGGGATATCTCTTTGTTGGTACTCATTTTGAAATTGGTAGAATTTTCAAATTCGATGCGCAATGTCAATATTAAAATTTATTAGATTCGAATAAATCTAATAATCAAAAATAATACTTTAAAACATATCGATTTTTCATGGTACAAGGAGACATGTTCCAACGAAAATGGATGATGACTGAGAAAACAGTTGTATATTTTTATTTTTTGATTAATCAATTAAAATTTTGTTTAGGATTGCAAATAAAGGAGTCATGGCATGTGAGTTCGGACGATCGAGGGAAGTAGCAATGGTGCGTTTATCCTGTTCAAAAAATTAGAGCAATTTGGTCTCGAATTAATTTGACTGACTGGACAAATTCAGAAGATCTTCTAGTTTAAGTGTGCAAAGTCACAAACAATTCCAAAACGGGTGGTAAAATGTATTCACTTGTGAGTATCAAACGAAAAATTGAAGACTCCTCAGGTAAACGATCTAAATTATTATTGTTTAGAACATTTTTAAAGATTTCCTAAAATCTATTTGAAAATTTTAAAGTTTTGCATTTTGAATTATTATGTTTTCGAAGATTTAAAAAAAAATAAAAACCTAAAATATTATAAAGTCATGGATTATAATCAAAGATTAAAAAATGGTTTAGATCGTTGCCTGAAAAGGTTTAGAAAACACGAAGTATGAAATAACCTTGCAATTTCTCATAATATTTTAGAGTTTTTGAAAAAAATGTTAAAGTTGCTTATCGGTTTTGCTATGCAAGATAACCAAGATTGCTCCTGTTGGATGCTTTTAAATGTCGGTTTAGGAATTATGTAAAAAGTTTTCGGGAGGGTTTTTTGGATATTAGTCCTGCTCAATCTTTCTTGTGTCTCCCTGCTTTGAGTTGACTGTATTGGTCTAACGTAAACTGTAGGAATTTAAGAAGATGGTGATCTCTTGATATGTATGAAGACCATTCAAATCAGACGTTTGGCTTTGGATGTTGTATTTGCCTAGTGAGTTCTGAAATACATCTATAAGGAATCTGACAAATTGTTGTCTTTAAATTTGCCTCATCTCCGATTTTAAATGGTCCCCAAAACCCATAAATCCTTAAAAGTTCCCAAAACCCAGAGGAACATCCTGTTTGATCAATGTAAGTCATTTGCACTAGATCAGCTGCATTTTGGCATTCATTTCTCGGTGTTGGGCTCTTTTTAAAATGTCAGTTTACTATTGTCCACACACCCAAGTTCATGACTCCCATCATTCAAGTTCGAGCATAGCCGAGCCAAACCAGAAGAAGTGGTTTGTTTTTTATGTTGTTGAGTTCTATTCTTATTCGGAAACTACCGAAAAAACTTGAACTGAAACCAGTTGTGCATTCTTCTAATAAACTTTCTTTATTCGAAACTCTCCATCACAACAGAAATAATAAAGTTCGTCTTTGCGAATTTCAAACCGATCACAGCCAGCTTATGCAAAAAATTTTATACAAATTACAAATACCAGTTATTTGAAACCGAAAATGGGAGAAAATGAGAGAAAATGAAAAGACGAAGAGAAAGAAAATTAAGAAAAATGTTATAAAGCGATTCTGCGTGTCGACTTGATGGATTGCACAACTGATTTCGTGTTCATTTCGTGTTGCTTGAAAAATGTTTCGAATTAGATTAATTGTTGAATAAATAAATAAATAAATAAATAAATAAATAAAACGCAAATAAATAAATTGCGAAAAAAAAATGATAAATTAGTGTTTGTGAGAAGTCGGTCGTGCCATGTAGAACACTGAAGCCGACAAGGCAGTGGCGACGACGGTTCCGATTCCGAGGAACGAAGCGAATCCGAATGGTGAGAGGCAGATGCCCGAAGAGACTCGCTGTTGGATCTCATCGCTTCCCGAAAGTGCAGGAGCGATCGGAGTAGATGGATTTGCCCCCTGAATTCAATTCAATGAAAGATTATAGAGAATTGAAAATGTCTAACCTCGAGAATGTCCAAAGTGTTGAGTTCAACCCGGACATCAACGATTCCCTCGTTTTCGGCCATCTCGCGCTTTCTTCTCAGCAATCTCAACTGAGCAAGGTTTGCTCTTTCAGTGACCTGTGCAGTGGGGGCGGCTGCAGCAGCCACTGCTGGGGCAGCAGACGCAGCAGCGCCACCTCCTGCGGCGGCTCCGGCAGCGCCAGCCTGCTTAACAGCGCCGAATCCTTGTGGCTCGGAGCATGTTGGGCGAGAGCATTCACTTCCCGGATCTTTGATGGTGATCGAGATCTGGCATTGATAGAACAACTGGGATTTGTCGGCGTGCTTGTAAACGTGAGCCTCTTGTCCTGCCATCAAATCTGTCGGATACTCGAGATTGTTGAGCAAGAACTTATCGAGGGCACATCCTTCCTCGTTGAGAATCTGCACAGTATCGCCGTTACCATCATCAACAGTGCACGAGTGAACAACGGCGCAGAAAGTGTCGGTGGTTTCCGAATCGCACGTCCATTTGTGATAAACCTGTTGTCCGATGGTAGCGAACTGGATGGGCTGTCCGGATGGTCCGCCATCAAGGATCTCGTATTTGCAAACCGGCATTGGGACAACATGTGTTTGGAACGCTGTTGTAAGATCGGAGGCCTCGATCTGTGTAGAAACTGTTTTGTCGGATTCCATGTAGAAGCATTGAATTCGGTAAGCGCTGAAACATGTTTAGATTCAAGATTTTCTATGGTATTAATTTTTTGTTTTTTTGGTTATTCCCAAAAGTGCATGGACTGATGAAGTCTTCAATTTTCATGGTTTCTTTTCATATTTGTTTCGAATATTTTGGGGGGAGTGTAGGTGGAGGAAGACGATCCATTCAGCACAATTACGAAACAAAGCAATTGTCGCGCGTTAATTCTTGTGCACTCACGCGTTGCTGAACAAAAAATGACGCGATTTTTTTGCCGACGACGTTTCCGACAAACGCACACACAATTTCTTTAATTATTCAGCGACGTGGACATCTATTTGTTTTTCGCATAGATATAAAAAACACACACACCCACAATGATGAATTTTTCGTTCCGTCTATTTGATATACTTTCTTGATTATTCAATAATTCAATAATTACTTGACGGCCTCCCTCGTCCGATCGACATCCAGTTTGATCATAGAGACCCTTCACGTAGACATGTCCTTCGAATGGATTGCGGGTGTTGAAGTTGACTAAATATGCGAATTACATTAACAAACTGCTATGTTTGATAATTTTTCATAAATATCATAAGATAAGATAATCGGACCATTAGATTTATATCTTCTAACCCTATTTCATATTTTTCTTCAATGAGCTTCTTAGACTTCTTTCTGTTCGTTTTAGAATACCCTTGAGGAAATTTTCCGAAAATATTTGAAATGTTAAACCTGTGATAGAATTTGGACCACATTCGACTTCAGGTTCTCCCTCAACATTATTATCGACTGGAATTGCATTTATCGAGCCAAATAAGGTCAATGCAATAATGACTTTCCACGTCATCTGGAATTGGTTCTATTCATTGAATATTAATAATCGATAATGATATTGTGGTTTAAAAAAAAACATCGAAAATGAACAAACATGCGTAAGCGGGGGATTAAATGTATAGAGACACAATATTGGGGCGTCTTTATACGACGAATACGGTAATGTATCATTTCGAGCTGGTTTAGCCGTTCAGCTTGCACGGTCTGTTAGCAGCTTGTTCCCGGGAACTGGGTTGTGATGGACTGGATTACTGTGTTGTTACCACTTTCAATCGCCAATTAATCATTTTAATCTGACACTCCGTGCGGCCGCCGCGTTCCACCACTGATTAGGCTTAAATGGTTTATTGTTTGCTTACAACATCATCATCATCGACATTTTTTTCTCTTTTGACATCTCGTCGCGTTGCGTTCAAGGCGTCACATCGCACAAGACACACATTAACAAGTCGATAAAACGATTTGCCAAAGAAGGGATTCAATGGTTATTTCGGAAGAAATCATCGAAAGCGCTTGAATCATTTTCTAGTGTGCTTTTTCAGAAAATTTTAGTTTCATTCTGATTCAATTTTTCGCAGTGAAGCGTAAAAACTTTACGGTAATTTGTGATCCGATAACTCATTGCAACGATACCTCCAAAAGTATAAGAATTCTATTTATATCATCTTGTGATTAAGAATTCCTCAGAAGCAAGCACTTCTTGTTTTGATTGCCAAGTTCAAAGTTGAAACATTTGATTCATCACAACGCTGACATTTAGGATTCAGTGAAGCGTGCGCCAAATTCCACCCCCTCAATGCTCGAACTCTTCAAACACCATTCCACCAGGATTTGAGGAAGCGGAATTACACGAAACTTCCTCATAAATAAACATTCGGATTGCCACTTTCCGATCATACGGAATCGCCTATTAATCGGAGAGAAGTTAATCATTTAATTGTTACAATCACAAAAAAATGAAAGAGATCCACCCCCTCCCCCCCCACTTCCATCAAATTTATCTCCCGCTGTTAAAAATTGAAATATGAATTATTTGGCCGAAAAAAAAAACAATGGTCTTATCGTTTATTTCTTTTAAAAAAATGGCTGCCAGAATAGGTGTTTTTACAATTTCCAAGAAATATCCCGAAAAATTCCCTGGAAATGATAAATTTGACAATCAAAGATTACTGTAGATGTTTAAATTGACATGTGCGAAACCCTAAAATATTCAACAATGAATCATGTTTTCAATTAATGGTTGGTGTTTGTTCGATTATTCAATACATCGATTCCGGTTGATGGGGTTTTTCATCATAGTTGCGGCTAGAAACTAAAAAAAAACTGGGAAAAATTTCCGATGGATGTTTCCCGCGCATCTCTGATCCATATATATTACCAGATTAGACTCTTCGTTAAACTATTCGACATAGTCATTTAGAAGTGTCAAAAAAAAATGAAAAATTGCATGAATTATTCGGCAGATTTGTCTTTCGTAGTTTCCATTCACCTGTGCCAACCTTTCTTATAATATTGATATATTTATACTGCCACTTTGCAGATTTTCGCCGCTGCTCGATTTCCGTTGAATAGGCGTACGAACGTGTGACGACTTCCTATTTGTTCTCGACAATCTTGATATGCCCAAATTTGGGTTTGGCATCGTCGGCGAAAACATGCAAATTTGTTTTATATTATTTTGAGTCTTTCTCGACAACTTAGTGTCAACGATGCTCCACAGTTTCCACATTTATGTCCCTTTTCGATTCTCATCCGGCTATTAATAACGCATATTTACGATAATCTAATTATATTCTGGAAGCAGACTTACATGTTTTTTTTTTCTTATGACGTTGCCCTTTTTTTTCAATTACTGGTCAACACCAGAATTTTGCGATTTAAAAGGTTACTAAAAAAATAGTTATTGGGACGTCAGAATTTTGACGAAATGAGTAATGAATATTTAATGGCGAGATATCAGCAAAGTTTAAATGAGAAAAATCACACTGAGAAAGTTGAACATTAGAAGTCAAAAATCGCACAAAACCCAATGTTTTTCTGAGTGTAGGTTTCAGAATTTTTGATGATAATGATTCATTAATAATTTGAACATTTTCCAAGCATTTTCAATTAATCAGCATCGACGTTGGTTCGTGATTAGTTGATCATTTATTCGAAGAATCCAGGATGTGATTTTTAGTTTCAAATTTCATTCTGATATTTCATGCTGTTTTTATTTGCTTCACTTCCTGAATCAAAAATTATTGATGATTCAAGCACTTTGTTTTACGTAAAATTTTTGAGGTGGATGTAATCGGATTGAAACTATTGAAAATAAGTTGGCGAAAGTGTGATACTACGTACGAAATTTGACAATTTAAATGAATATCATGTTTTACGCTCAAATTGGTACCCAAATCATATCGAACACCGTTCAGAAGGGTTCGAATGTTGTTTAAATGGAAAAACTGTTCAAAATTGTAGTGAAAAATTCTCACAATTAGAGCAAGCTTGACATGCCCTGCCGGCTGTGACCCTAAACCAATTAGTACCTTTCATGCCTGAAAGATGTTATCCTTCTATTGAAGCAAATGGTATGGCGACTAAGTATTAGGTCTATTAAACCTTGAAAAAAAGTTATTTGGGGTTTGACGATCTAATTTTGTTTCTACAGTCATTTGAATTTATTCGCCGATTTTCATGATTTTTTGAAAATTCGATTTTTTGCGATTTATACTTGAAAAATATTAATTTCCATAATATGAACGTGCTTTCAAACATTTAAATGTATGAAAAATAAGTGCTAAAAATTTCACCCCAATTGGACCACTCGTTCAAAAGTTATGAAGAAAATTAATTATTTCGTATCTTTTTCTGCGGTACTGTACGTGTACCTTGGAAGACTACTCATCCCAAAAAACGAGCTAGTCAAGGAGATCTTCCGAAGGAGAAGAGCAGCTTGGGCAGCGTTTAATGGAATCAAGAACACCACCGATTTGATTTCCTGTAACAAAACCCGCGCACAGCTCTTCGATTCCATCGTTCTCCCAGCGCTGACTTACGGATCAGAGACTTGGACCTTCACCAAAGCTCTTGCCGAGAGAGTCCGAATTAGTCACGCTGCGCTTGAGCGAAGATTGGTTGGCCTCACGTTATCACAACAACGTGAACAAGATCTTCATCGAGAGGACATCCGCATCATGTCTAAAGTTCGGGACCCCCTACACCACATCACGAAGAGGAAGATGACCTGGGCTGGACACGTTGCTAGAAGAACAGATGGAAGATGGACTACTCTTCTAACGGAGTGGCGGCCGTGGAACTGGACCCGGCCAAGAGGAAGGCCTCCCATGAGATGGTCGGACTCGCTTCGGAAGGAGATCACTACAAGAACAGCTGAAGGAGCCGTTATCACCCCCTGGTCCACCCAAGCCAAGGACCGAAAAGCTTGGAAAGCTGTGGTTCGTGCCTCAACAGGCGAAGGACGAACCGACTAAACGTGCTAAACGTAAACGTTTTTAGTTCGATCAGTGAAAAAAATTTGATAAAAATCATCAAGAGATAAATCAGAATTGAGGTGAAATCAGATTGCTGAACATCCTTTTTCATATTTCAAAAAATTGGTCCAAAATAGCTATCAGTTGTGATCATTGCTCATACTGCAATTCTCAAAGGTCTCGTAACATAAGCCACGCCCATTTATGTCGTCTTCTCATGTTTGTCCTTTCTGAATACGAACACAAAAAAGTCGAAGCCGACGAGGAAGTAATGAGCGCGGAAATGCAGATTCATTTTTGGAAACCAGCCGCCACTGGCTCCGCCCATTTTAAGAAGCATTGCACTTGTACGCCTCATCCATCCAGTGTTACTTGTTGATTTTGATGATCCGACTACACGAGCCAAATCCTTCCACGTCATATTCCGATATCGAAGACGAATTCACAATAGCTACAGTAACCTTTGACGTGTGGCGAGTGGCGAACAAGTCGCAGCTCATTTTTTTCCTCGTTGCTATTTATATTTCAATGGCTTCCTGTGCAGGTATTGAGTTTTGGCATTTAGTCGACATTTCTTACAATTAAATACTCAAAGCGATACCATTTGATTTTCAAACCGATTTCTTTAATTTAAAACATGAGATAAAATTTTTAATAAATATTTCGATCGCAAAAAAGGAGCGGCTGATTTACAGCGATTCGGAAGTTATCCGTAATATGGTACTCGAAATCGCAATGTTTAAATTCAAATTTGAATTTCCGCCCCGAAAAATACGATGGTCCACAATTGTTCAAGGTTCTCGTTTTTTGTTTTTTCTGCAAGACCGCTGTCATTGTTTTTTGATATTTTGCCAATTTCCGCACTATTATCATCGCAAAAAAGAGCATCCTCGTTGCCGTATTTTATAAGTTTCCGTAATGTACAGGTTTTACGTACTACGGTACACGAATTCTCGCTGTTTCAATCGAAATTTGAATATTTCTGAAAAAAGGATATTCGAAATAATCTGTATTTTTTGATTATTGCCACTTTTAGATTTTTGCAGAATTCACAAGGCCCAGAATCCTAATTTTTAAATTAAAATTTGGAATACTGTTCCGAAAAAAATAGGGTCCATAAATACTCAGGGTGCACAATTTTTTGCGACAGTAATATTTAAATATTAGTAGTATACAAATGGTTGTCGCTGGACGGTCATTTTGCCCAAATGACGTTTTTTGCACCATTTCGTGCTTTTTAGACTCATTTTTCATCAGAAAAGTGTCTAAGCTCATCGAAAATCAGTCATTTTTGAAAAAGTCATGTTTATGGGCTGGACGTAGAATCAAAACATAGTGCCTACACTTGGATAAGCGAGAAGGAGTTCTCATGCCAATTGACAGTCAAGGAAACATTAGGCACTAACCCACAAATAAATAAGAGAATATGCGTAAAATGTGATTGAATTAGACCAAATCTTACAACAAAGCATTTACTTTCTAATTAGTTTAAATCTGTCCAGATCCCAGTCGATATCTAAATTAAGCTTCAGCTTGCGCAACGAATCAATTCCCAGAATATTTACATGCTCAAAATGAGTGCCAACTCTGCTCACTTGACACTCGATTCGAGTCGATTGGTTCTGAATTTCATACAATATTACTTTCAAATAACAATAGTATAACAAACAAACCTGGATGGCGAATGAGTAGAACTGCCCGTCGACGACGTTTCCGGCACCAAAAAAAGACTCCAGGGTCTTGACAGTCAGACACGTAAATGGACTTCCCGTGTCAATGAGACACCAGACGTTGATGATTGGCGAATCGGGTTTTTGGGCCCGTTGGAAGATCAAAGGGACCATTAGCCTAGAGTTCGGTCCATGCAGGATTCCTTGTACAGGAAAAGCGGGATCTGAGAACGTCGCTGGACTCAAGTGCTTCACTTCTTGATCAAGTCCAATCTGCAATAAGTTTTAACAATCCATACTATTTATAAAGCGCTAAAGCATATGTTTGTGCCCTAGATCAGCCTTTAATTGGAATCAACTAATCCGTTGCATTTGCAAAAAGATTTTAGTTTTTGTGTGGCCCAAGTTCGAAAAGAGAAAGGTCTAATGTGGTTCATTAGTGGAATTTAGAAAGATGATAAGGGTTTAGCAATTCGTGCCGCAAAGCGACGCTGTACTGGCTGGTAAGATAAAAAATCATAAAAAACGCACCCTTTCCAACTCTTCTTCATTGATATCCTTGAGCGTGATGTCAAATTCATCATAAGGCATGGCCAGAACGCCAAATGAACTATCTGCTCCGCTTGAAGAAGATCCGCTCTGAAATTTCATTAAATAGGTGGATAAAAGTATGTAAGACAACGTATACCTGATTATGATTATCCATACTTGACGATGAAGTTGACGATAGCTTAACCGTCAACAGCTCCCGATCTAAAAGTCAAAAAGTTTTGAAAGCAACATTGAGAGGAAAGAATAATTGGTGCTGTATAGACGACATACAAAATGGCGTCCTCTCTTATGAATGCGACAATCGATATAGAGTGAGTAGGAATAAGTTGAGGAGAAAAATAACAGTAATAATCACGGATGGGAAATTACAAATCATCGCAAACTACAGAAGAAGAATAAATCTTTGTATTCATAAAAGTTAGAATGTGGTGGAAGGATGTTGGCGTCTCTCAATTTCCTCTGCGTCTCTGCCTTCCACTCTAGCCGTGTTGCGTCGCGTGTGTCTAGTTCAACTGGGCCAATTAGTATGTAGTGGCTCGTGAAAAGTGGCTTGGCTCGTGATTTGGCTCACAAAAAGTGGCTCGTACTTACTATATTCTTTGGCTCGTGATTTTTGGCTTGTGATCTTTGGCTGCCATTACCAAGAAAAAAGACAATTGCCAATAATTTGTTTGAAATCGCTGGATGGAGGAACGTCTACTTTTTGTCTTAATGGGGGAAAGGACTGAACGGGGGTAAAGTTGAAAAATTTTATTTTTTGAATGGGGGGGGGTAAGATTATTGGTAAGTCATTTTTTATTTCTGTAAGCGTAAAAATTACGAAATTGTTTTTTTTTCTGGAATTTCACCAATTATGGATTTCAAAGAGAACAGTTAATGGATTGAAACTTATTTCGAATATCTTACAAAAGAATTCGTGGAGTAAGCATAGAACCCTATTTACTCAATCCCTTTCCCTTCCTTATTCGAACTATCTGTGTCTTTTACTTCTTATGACTTGTTCTCTCTTCCTGCAAATAATTCCAGTTTAACATAATCTTTAAATTTCAAAAGAAAAATTCCGGACGTAAAATTATTTTTTGAAAGAGTATGCTCATAGATTAAACTGAAATTTACCTTTAGAAACGTCAAATATTGTAAAAGAATCCAATACGCATCTAGTAAAGTCCTCGAATCGCTCAATCTGTAAAATTTAATATAAATAACTCGTATAATTCCCACAGATAATAAAAAAACGTTAAAAATAACGAAGAATGTTGCGAAAGAACGAGATGTGTATATAAGAATTACTACTTATTAAATTTACTAATCTTTGAAAACGTTTTGCGCGGTTAAAAACAGCAAAGAAGGATTTTAAAAAGAGAAATAGGCCAAAAATAAAATAAAAAATGTTCGCCCTACGGTATACCTGTGCAATTAGTCGTAGAGTGTTTACGGACTGCGTGTTTTCACCGAACATTTTTTTTTAATTTTCGGCCTATTTTTCTTTTTAAAATACTTCTTTGCTGTCTTTAACCGCACAAAACGTTTTCAAACATTAGTAAATTTAATAAGTAATAATTTTTACACACACTTCTCGTTCTTTCGCAACATTGTTCGTCGTTTTTAACGTTTTTTTATTACTAGTGGGAATTGTACGAGTTACTTATATTAAATTTTACAGATTGAGCGATTCGAGGGCTTTACTAGATGCGTATTGGATTCTTTTACAATATTTGACGTTTCCTAAGGTAAATTTCAATTTAATCTATGAGCATACTCTTTCAAAAAATAATTTTACGTACGCAATTGTTTTTTGAAATTTGAAGATTATGTTAAACTGAAATTATTTGCAGGAAGAGAGACACAAGTTCTAAGAAGTAAAAACCACAGATAGTTCGAATAAGGAACGGAAAGGAATTGAATAACGCGATAAGTGAATTTTTATTAATTTTTTGCGAATGAATGTCTTATTAATTATTAAAATTGTTTTAAATAAATATGTTAAAATATGTTATACCGTCAATCCGGTTCTCAAACGTATCATTTTCGATTTTTCGAAGCTTTTTTTTACAAATTTCAAATTAACATTGCCCAATATTTCTGATTTTGCTATTTCTCATTAAAATTCAGAAATGACGTTATATAGAAAAGACACGGTTACCTTTGAGAAGTTTTTTGAAAGCTGTTTTGTTAGAATTACTATTTTGATGCAGATTTTACGGTAAAAATGATCTATCGAAATATTTTAATAATTTATTAATTTTTAAGTGTTTTTAATAAATATTGTTGAGAAATGACAAATGTATCCAGGTGTCGTGGGATCCTGCGTTTTGTACGCAATGCTAAGAGACAGTTACCGTAATCCTCGCAGCGATTTACGGAGTTTTTAAATTTTCTTTCAATTTTTTTTGCTGTATTTTCTTATTTTCTTTAGAAATCTTATATTTAAAACCTGTAGAAACCGAGTTTAATTATTTATTTTTCGAAATATGCACTTTTCCATTTGTCCAGCTGATTTGGGAATTATTGTGAAGATTTTGACGCTCTAAAAATTATTTTGAAAATGAAGAATACAAAAACAAGATAATAGAAACGCATACAAAAAGCAAAACACGATTAAATAATTTTATTAACGACAAAAAATGTTTTCTTTTAAATCTCTGCTGTTTTTACCAAAAAAAAATCGTTTAAAAGTGCTTATTCTGCTAAATACATTATTAAACTCGGTTTCTGCAAAATTTAAAAAATTAAATAACAAAATTTCAAAGGGAAATACGGAAGTTGAGCGAAAAATAAAAAAATGAATATGCGAAATTAAATAAAAAGGCCCCGTTAATCGCTGCGAGGATTACGGTAACTGTCTCTTAGCATTGCGTACAAAACGCAGGATCCTACGACACCTGGATACATTTGTCATTTTTCAACAATATGTTATTGATTAAAAACTGTGTTTATGTTGTTTTCATAAAACTGACCGAGACTACTAAAAATATCTAACATTAGAGCCGAGTTCTATCACGGCGAGTTTCACTCCGGGGTGCCACCCTAAAAATCAAGGGGCGAGTAAGAAACGGGGAGCAAAAAATTATTGGCAATTGTCTTTTTCTTGGTAATGGCAGCAAAAGATCACAAGCCAAAAATCACGAGCCAAGCCACTTTTCACGAGCCACTACTAATTGGCCCAAATGTGTGACTATACTCGGTCAGAGTGAGGAAGAGAAAAGAAGGTCACACAAAGAGAAAGGGAACACTGCTGACCTTTATACGTCACACCAAAGGATCTGAAAGACATTCAGCGAAAGCAAGCTTCCTAGAAGTGCAAGAAGTGGGTGGAAGTGAATTCACTTTCTAGTGAAGACATCCATTTTCACTGAACGTCTCCCATTTCACAAAATCAAATAAGATATTTGTAGCCAAAAAATTTTAACTTCTAAATTATGGAATTAGTATACTGTTTCAAATTTAAAAAATATACTGATACTACTGACATATTTAATGTTGAAACAAGCTAGAAACGTTCTATGATAAAAGGGTTATGCCTTTATTGTAAAACAATGAAGTGTAAGCTAATTCCAACAATCACAGGAGGTTCTGGATTAGAAGATATCAAGGAGGTTGAAATTAGTGAAAAATCTAAAATTCTTAGACAACCCACAAGTTCCGAAGGTGAAAGAGATCTTTTAGAAAAAGCTTATTATTCTCCTAAAACAGATTTCTGCGGTATCAATGAACTATCAAGAGTAGCAAAGGTTTCACAGAAAAAGGTTAAAGAGTTCCTGAATGAACAAGATGTTTACACTCTTCATAAGCCAGCTCGTAAGAACTTCAAGAGTCAAAGAGTTTACCTCAGTGGAATAGATGACCAATGGCAATCAGATCTCGTAGAAATGATTCCTTACGCGGAAGAAAATAATGATTTCAAGTATCTCTTGACCATCATTGATTGTTTTAGTAAGTATGCATGGGTTGTTCCTCTTAAAAGTAAAACAGGCAAAGAAACTGCAGATGCTTTAGAAGCCGTTATGAATAAAAGTGGAAGAAAACCCAAAAAGATGCAGACTGATAATGGTAAGGAGTATTATAATAAAGAAATGAATAAATTATTCAAATCATTAGAAATCAATCACTTTTCAACTTATTCAGATAAAAAAGCTTCAATAGTTGAAAGATTTAATAGGACTTTGAAAGAGAAAATGTGGAAAATGTTTACTCATCAAGGAAATCATAAATGGTTAGACATTCTTGATGACCTTGTAAAGGGATATAATAATCATTTTCACTCGAGCATTAAAATGTCTCCCATGCAGGCTTCAAAAATAGAAAATCAAAGTATTGTTTACAACAATCTTTTTTCTAAAGAGAAAAATCTTTTCTCAAAGGAGAATAATCTTTTTCCTAAAGAAACTGAAAAGGAAGAAATTCAAAAAGATTCAAAGGCTTTAGACAAAGCGAAATTCCCAGAGGTTTTGAGCAAAGCTAAATTCAAAATAGGTGATACTGTCAGAATTACAAAATATAAAGCTATTATTGATAAAGGATATCTACCAAATTGGAGTACAGAGCAATTTAAGATTTCTGAAGTTCTAATAGGTGATCCAATTATGTATTCAATAAAAGATTTAGCAGATGAGGAAATTAAAGGAAAGTTTTACTCTGAGGAACTTACACTTTATAATAATGTCAAAGAAGAATATTAAATAGAAAAAGTTCTGCGGAAAAGAAATAGAAAGGAAAACGGTAAGATGGTAAAAGAAATATTTGCCAAGTGGTATGGATATCCAGATAAATTTAATTCTTGGATTCTTGAAGAAGACTTAAATGCAATTATTTAAATAATCTTGTTTGATTACGTCAAACGCTTAAAATCTTAACTCTATTATCCTTGACTTCAACAATATTTTCTGATAGAATCAGACAGTAACATTTAGTACTTTGAGCAATGTTTTTAGCGAAGCTGGCTTTTATTGTAACATCAGGCCGAGATGCAATAATTCTATCATTCTGTTTTGATACATCGAATACTAAAAGAGGATAGTAATAATAATAAGCATCTTCTTCCATGAAAATGTAATCCTTCGTTGATTCATAGTAACTATTTCTGAATTCTTTAGCAAAATTGTATTGTTGAACTGCATTGAATTTATCAAAATCAAACTTCAGACATTCGTATGA